CTCAAAGTACAGTACTGTGACAGCTCAGCTACCGAGGAGATACCGTCAGCTATCCACGATTCCACGTCGATGACGAGGATATCAGACTCCTGGGATAAGTCCAACAGTCGACGTGGCAAGGACTTCAGCTCAGGGCAACGATCGGCAGATTCTGAGTCATTCTCGCCACTCCTTTTAGGATCCAGGACGGCTATCTCGCTACATTTTTCATGAGAGGAGAGGCACTTTTCGAGAAGTCGTCGAGCTTGTGTTATCACATCGTCATCTGCCACAATCGTGTGTGAGCGATCCTGAACCTCGAGATTGATCACGAGTTTCGTCAGACGAAGCTCCAAGCGCTCAGCTCCATTGTCATTGTTTGAACCCTTGCCCCAACAAAGCCAGATTGGTCCACTGTCGTCTTCGAAGTTGAAGTCGTGAACGTACTGCCAACACAGCGTACAGAGATCACAGCCAGACCGTGCTGACGCAATCAAATCACTCAAGGACGACCACTTCCGTGCAGGGTGAGGGACCGGTGGTAGCTCTGCGAAATCGGCGAACGTTGAGCAAGGAGCGCAATAAGGCATGTCGGCAATGAAGCTAGGTTCGACAATATGATTTCACTTTGGTTTGTGGATTTCCCTCATTCGTGGTGGAGTGTCGTTGATGACGCGAAAGTCGTGAATGGCTTGCCTATCTAAATAACAAAAGATGCTGAAAGTTGAGGGAAGAGCCCAAAGATAAGGACAAGAATATTTTCAGGGTTTTACCAAAAGGCCAAGTCCTTGACTGAAGGCATGTGTAGAAGGTAAGCAGGTTGAAGTTGGCAATGAAGCCATGGCGCAGTCTTGGAGGGAGGGGCAGCGGTCGCCTGAAGGCGTCACAACCTTTACGCGACAGCGCGAATCATAATCGAGGCTCTCCAATCTGGACGCATCGGGTGCTAGAGGTTGATCTGAGTTAGGACTACAGTTACTACAGTTGACAACCATACGTGGGAGTAGTTGTATCACTTCTGAGATGCGCGAGAACCAGACCGGTCCGGCTAAGATGTCAATGTTGTACATTTCTATGCTTTTACCTCTTCACTCCACCTTCAGCACCACCATATATACACCTCATCACCAGTTGATAGCTTTACACCCCACCATCACCCCTGCGATCCATGCCCGAGCCACCAACATTCACAAACTCCTTCTTCACATACGCCATCTCGCTAGCAGGCACCACCGTCCACTCCCTCTCATCCATAACCCTATCCAATCCGCAACTTCTTCCTTTCCAGCCCTCTCCCCTCAATCCTCTTGATACCTGCCACGCCGCGGTGATGATATCATTTACACCGACACCATTGAATTGGGCGCCTACAACACGTAACCGCCCCTTGAATTCACTGGACATGCCTTCCGCGAATTCTTTAATGCGGTCAGCGTAGCCAAGTGTGTATTGAGGAATGCAGTCGCGGGAGAGGTTGGCAATGTGTGCAGTGGGCTCTTCTGTAATGCCAATGTGCCTCTTCAGGACGCTCTTTGCCATTTCCAGACCCTCCTCCTCGCTGGGGAATTCTGTCCAGCCGTCCCACCAGTGTCCGCCCATCATGACTGTAAGTTTTGTGCCGTTGGCTGTGTCCTGACCCTTGACAGCAGATGAATCAAAGATTACGCCTAGGGCGCGCTCAGGGTTTTGCTCGAATGGAATGGATTGTGGGATGAGGTAGCCGAAACCTTCAACAGGGAGAAGGTTCGCGTTGGGGTAGTAGAGATTCACCGTCATGACTGTGACGTAGGGGGTTATCTCATCGTTCTTGAGGGTGGATATGGCAAGATCGAACGATTCTGTTGATGTCGAGCCTTCGTTCTGTATACTGTCAGTACTCGCGTAGCTTCCATTCAAGACGATGGACTTACCCCAGAGACAATATCGACGCCCAGCTTCCCATTCTCGTTCAGGGGCTTGAAGCTCTGAATGGGCGCCTCTGTCCGGATCTCAACATTGCCCTTGCTTTCCACAGTATCCAGCAATGCCCTGACCATCTGTTGCAACCCGTTCCTGAATGAGAACATAGCAGAGTCTTTTAGGTTCTTTGCAAAATCCAGGTCCAGGTCAATCTCTTCATTCATGGCCTTCGCTATTTCCCGGTCGTATGGGTGAACGAGGGTGACCTGCTCCGGTCGTGGGTCTTCGTTTTGCATACGGAAGAAGCCTCCAAGGGCATTGCCGTATCGTCCTTCCAACTGCCATGCCATGCTCAACAGTGTCTTGGCACTCAATTGGTTGATGTCTCCCGCATAGATGCCGTGGAATACCGCCGAGACAATGTTGTCTGCTACCCTCTTGTCCACCCTCCGTGCGAGGAACGAGCCAACTGTCTCATCGGACATGGAGTCTGGCCGCTTTGGCTTCATTGGTTCTGTGATCATACCAAAGGCACCACTCATTATGCCAGTCCGCCATAGCGAGAAGAAGTCTGCGAGGGAGGGACGCTCGGAGGGCAGGCGGTTGAGTTGGTCGGGATAGTAGATGAAGCGGTTCTTTGCGCCAGGTTCGGTGCGCTTCGTGAACGTGATATCGTCAACGAGACCGAGGTCTTGAATCTATACACACGCTATTAGCAGAGCTACTGCTGTAGACATGCTCAAACATACCAACCCCGCAGTGACAGTAGCATTTCGCAACGTCCTGGGTCCCAGCTCAAATAGTACGTTGCCCTTCTTCCCCTCGGAATCTACAACGTCGACTCTGCGACTCTTGATCCATCCACCTTTGTCTTTCCCCGCCTCAAACACAACCACTTTACTGTTGGGGAATTCCCGAGCAACATAGTAGGCGCTTGACAAGCCCGCTATACCCCCACCTAGAATAGCTATGCGCTCCGGGTACGAGGATTGGTAGCGAACGGCATACTGTGCTGTGGCGCGGAGAAGTAGGCGTTGTGATGATGCGAGTTGTGGCCGATGCGGATGCAATGGGGACGGCGCGTGGCATGCAAGCGCGGGGCGCGCGGCAACGGTCTTCAACGTCTTCTGCGAGACATTCTGGAGCCGCATTGCCGGTTCAATTGGTCGCAAGATCTATTGGAAGGGCGTTGCGACGACGACCAAGAAGTTACATTCGGAGGGTTCAATTGATGTTCCTGCGGGAAAATGTCCGAGCTTGGACCGCTTGCTCTCCGCAATCGATGGCTACTGCCGTCATTGATTCAGCCCTATGCACCTGCGATGTCATGCACGGAGCGTTGACTGTAAGTAGCGGGCAAACATTACGACAAACTCAGATAGAGGTGCATGAAAAGTCACGCATGTGATTGACGCGCGCAATGTTCAGGGAATGTATTTCACAGGCTACAATATACATACAAGGTCACGATCACGAAGGAACAAGGCTATCTACTATGCGCACAATATACAAACCTTGGATATCGAATATTTCGCATCGGGATGGGGGCGTCGGGGAAGTAGCGTGGACGTGACATCGAAACGGGGATCGAAGGGGGAAAGTGAGGTTGAAAGAGTTCGAGGTGCTACGGACCGACCGAATAGTGTACAGGAGGCAAGGAACTCGAACCGCATCGATATCGACCGATCGACCGAAACAAGGCGAGAAGTCCGAATCGAATGGTAATCGCCGTAACCGTTCGCCAAAGAAGATCCGAATCGAGCTTTTCGACTGCTGAATGCATTAATGTCGTGGCAGGACATAGAAGTAAATCTAGCCTCCACTTGTGAAAATAACAAATCCCAAAAACCATTTTCCCATCAACAAAACACCGTGCTTGAATCAATTTGAGCACTCGTGTCAATACTAGCCTTGTGCAGACAGTGACAATAGTCCAGATGCTGCCTGCTAGACGCAACGCAGCTCAGTTCTACTCAGCCACGTCCAGGTCTTCGTGAGCAGGAGGAGGAGGGGAGTCAACTAGATGGCTAATCAGAGCGATTCGTTATAAGAGGGTTCGGTTGACTTACTCTTGCGGGGCTCACCAGCCGGTTCAGCCTCGCGGTCACGCTCGCGCCTATCATCGCGATCGACACGGTCACGGTCGCCACGGTCATCCTCACGATCGCGGACATCCTTCATCTCGCGGTCGCCGTCAACAGGGCTCCTTGACCTATCACGGTCACGGCGGTCATAGTCGCGCTCGCGACGGTCATCCTTTCGGGGAGAAGCTCCACGCTCGCGACGAGGAGAGGTGCTACGACGGCGAGGAGAGCGAACACCTCGGTCTGCACGATCACCACGGTCGGAGCGGTCGCCGCGGTCACCGCCACGCTCAGAGCGCTCACCACGGGGACGGTCACGGCCAGAGTCGAATCGCCATGATGCCGAAGGAGGCGTACGGGCCCACTATAGCTTGTTAGACAGACCCACGTCATTATTGTTATTCTGACATACCTCAATCTTCAACAAGTCATCGCGACCGATGCGCTTGTTGTGCATCTCGTGATACGCGTCATCGGCGTCACGACGAGACTCGTATTCGACGAAGGCGAAGCTGCTGGCCTGTTAGAGCCTGGGTCTCTTGCTGCTGGGGAGGGCCAACTCACAGTCTAGAAGAAGCTGAACGGGGGGCTGGGATGTCACATCGGACGAGGCGGCCGTAGCTTTAGAATTGTCAGATCGTTGTCTCGAAGGAGCGTGTGTGCAATGTAGGAAGGTGCAGGTCGTCATCGACGCGCACGGGTGTGGCAGCAAAGGAGGAAGTAGCGTCGCGCAACGTCTTGTGTGACCGCCATGGCGAGGAAGGGGCAGAGAGAGTATGCGGGATCGGGGTTTAGGATGGAGGACGACGATGCGCGTGCGATCGGGCTGGGGCGAGGCGTTGGAAGACATACCGTTCGAACTCGTAGGCAAGGTCGCGAGCGCGTGTGCCGTGGCCGAAGCCGGTGACGTAGAGCGTGGTGCCGCCGCCGCGAGACATGTTTGTCTTCTAGTTACGTGAATCGGGTATGTAAAGTGATACGAAACTTGCGGTCGAGACAAGTTGGGGGTGACGGTGACGGATGTGGTTGATGATAGAAGGTCGCAAGCGGACAAGAAAGTACTGGAGGCAGCTCAGCAAACGCTTGGACTAGCGCCTTGGCACGCTCCCTCGGACGTCAGCGTTCACCGACACCTGGGAGATCCTTGCGATCAGTGCTAGACAAGGAAACACTGATCCTCATGGTGTACCTGTTGCCAAAAGGGTTGTTTGTTTGAATGCTCCTCTCGGAAACCTATGGCAAGGGCACTTCAGTCCGACCGATCGGGAAAGGGCCCACGAGACAGGCACGTGAAAGGATAGCTAGTTGTCCGCCATGATCAATTTTATATTTCACGGAACCATACTACTATATAAATTACGCTGGAAACGCTCCGTACGGTGCTCCCTCAAGCTTGAAGTAGCCGGGCTGAAGTTTTTGGAAGACGCCAGTAGGGTCGTAAACGCCAGAGATGCTCTTCAGCTCCTGCTTGTTGGCAGCCCCATAGCTAGCGACTACATCTTGGTACGGTGATGCGTAGTTCATGTAAATGAAGTCGGAGTTCAGATCCTTCTTTGCCGCCTCCTCGACAAGTCGCTCATACAGGCTGTTGCTGAAAGACATGATACGGGAGTTGTCCGCGACATCCGTCCAGAGAATGGCGAGGTTACAGATGAAGATGGGACCATCATTGGGATCAAGTCCAAGTGCATTTCCGCCATTCTGTTGCATATGTTGCATTGCAGGGACAGTGATTGCTTGAAAAGACAGGACAGGTAGGATTCCAGCAGCGTCTTGGATTGCGGGCAGCATATCGAAGAAGATGTCGATGAAGGCCTTGAAGATGTCTTTGTCTACCTTGAAGGTGCGGTCCCAATATGTCTCTTGGACGCCATCCGGAGCTCCCGCACCAAGCTGGTTGGCCAAAGTCGACATGTTTGCAATAGCAGTTTGGTCGATGATGGCTGGAATGGCTTTCCATTCGTCGAATACAGGAGGCCATGGCGTAGGGTCGGAGTACTCAAGATCTTCGGCCGCAATTTTCATGCCGGCCTGGAGTGCGAATGACACGATCTGAGCTTGCTTCAAATCCTTCTCTGCGTTGACGGCATAGTTGTAGTAGGCCGCATAGACTTTGTCCCATTGATCCTCAGTGTGAGCACGTTGCCCGCCCCACATTTCACCTTGGACGAAGGTCCTCATGTTGAACTTGGTGACAATGCCAAAATTGTTGCCACCTCCACGAAGAGCCCAATAAAGATCGGAGTATTTGGCGGCACTCGCATTCACGATGATGCCCGAGGCTGTCACAACCTCGAATGAGTCGATGTTGTCGCAAGCCCATCCGTAAGCATTCGCGTAGTGGGAGATACCTCCTCCAAGAGTCAATCCAGAAACACCAACCGAAGAGATCTGCATGTGGTTAGAAAAGCCGCTCGACGTGAAAACTGGGGCATAGGAACAAGTAGGGAAGGTAACGTACTCGGCCGCCAATGACTTCAAGTCCGTACTGCTCTATCCAAGGATACACATCGGCCCACCGGTTACCTGGACCGACGGAAGCGATCTTCTTGTCTGACGATAGGCTCCTCTCGTTGAGCTTTTCCAGGGCGATAGTAATGCCTCCCTCGATGCTGGATCCTCCTGCGAATGCAGCATGTCCGCCTCCTTTCACAGCGAAGGGACACTGCGTAAATCGAGACAAGAGCACAACAGTTGAGACTTGTTTGGCATTGCTGGGCTTGAACACGCAAAATGGGTCTACAGCGGCTTGCTGAGCTGCCCAATAGTCGCCGGTGAAGTTGTCGTACGCTGCACTTCCTTCTGACAGCACAGTCCCGTTGCCGAACGTAAATCGAAGAGCTGCGCACTAGATCCAGGGTTAGCAATGACCCCAGGTCAATCGCGACGATCGTGTAGACTTACAGCTGTGGAGCAAGCCCCAGACGAAGATCTTTCCGCCAGACCTGCCAGGCCAGGAATAGCAGTTACATCGAGACCGTTGGCGAGTAGCGCTTCCGTTACATTGAAGTCGACAGGCTCGAATGTGCTTCCAAGCACACCAGCCGCGAAGGCGCTTATCGAAGCAGCGAACATAAGCTTCGTGATCCCCATTTGCGCGTCAACGGAATATGCCGGATGATGGAGAAAGCTGGTACCGAGTGTGTGGGCCAGTGACTGAGGTGCAGGGAGCCACTGCAATTAATGTAGGTTGTGCCCCTAGGGGCGTGCTGTCCATACTCGTCCGACGGGGCCTATAGGTGTAGACCTTAGCGGACGGAGAAGGCAACTTGGTCGCATTCTTAGTGGTTAGCAAAGGCCAAAGTTTGTGGGGTATAAGCTAGTCTCTTGTCGCGAGTCGAGCCGTGGCAAAAGTTTAGCATGGTAGTGACATCCGGGACCTGATGTGGCTGCATGGCAATTTCAAGATGGTCCAACATCGGTGGGAGCTGAAAAGACGTCTTGCTTATGTACACATGGCTCTGCGGATAGACGCGTCGCTTCCAATGACTTGGATTACTGTGCCTCAATCATGCAGCTGTTCACTACTCCACACCTAAGCGCGTGTTGTGATGCAAAAGAATTCCATGCCAGGTGAGAGTCCGAGGGTGGGTGTTCAGAGTGGACAAGGGAAGAGCCAGCCGTGCCGCTCCTGCGTCTTTGCCAATGCCGCATGAACGCCACCACGCCAGCTGTACACTACTATCCGCCAACCGCAAGACACCTTTTTCGCACCCGCCACCTGCATCTATGTATACGAGCGATGGCTGAATCTATTTATCCGGCATACCACTACGTGCAATTCCTCGAGAGTATACCTGTTGCCGTGGACAAACTTATCGAAGTCCTGACCGTTTAGGTCTACAACGCAGTAGAGTCCGTTAGGCCTACCTATGGGCGATATGCTAGGCTCGCTGTGGCTTACCTCGCCGAGGCCTAGACGAAGTTTGCTCCACACCCGCGCTGCAAGGCGATAGCCTGGGGTTATGGCCTTTACAACACGTCTTGGAAAGGAGAAAGGATATTGACAGAAAAAGCATGTCAGCCGCTACGTTCATTTTAGCTAAAATATCAGGCACCGTGCAGCTCCCGACCCTATAGCGCCGATACGCATGTCACCACCTCGAAAAGCGTGAGCGGAGAAGTTCGCCCCCAAGCTAGGCTGTTAAGGTTTATTTAGCCAGGAGGCGTTCTTGGGGGCTTACTGGCCTTTGTCCGCTACAGGATACTCATGAACACTTCGATAAGGCCATCCCGACTCCCTGAGAGTTTCTCACCGAGAGTGTGCAACGTCGCGAGAAAGCAGACGATCGGAATACCAGATTCCAGGAACCAGGAACCGTGTACTGGGTAAATCGAGGTCGCTATCTGTGTATCCCCTTACTCAGACACGCGTTGGACCCCATGTAATCCAATATACCTATGCGTCTCATAGGCTTCCACACCCCTACACGCACCTTAACCCGGAAATCTAGCAAGTTCCAGTTCCGAAGTGTTTAATCCAGAGTGTCGGGCTTCGAAGACCAAGGAATCCAGAATTTTTCCATCTTGATAGCTACAGCGCAGTCCTGTTGCGACACAACATCCGTCCCGAGAAATATGCCCTGTTGGGGTTTGTCCTTGTCTACTCGAATCTAACAGAATCCCTGAAAACCTGCAGTCTTCGTTCGCGATGTCGACAGGCGCCGACTGGATCTCGCAGCATGATCTGCTCCGGATAGACTACGCTATGCTGGCCATGACATCGACAGTCTTTGTTGCACGGATTGGTGTGCAAGCGTGGCGGCGCAAACCCATCGAAGCGCAGGACATCTTGCTCTACATTGCTTTCGCGGCCTACTTGGCTTTCACTATCCTCTACATCGTCATCACGCCTATCTTCTTCAAAATCCAGGAATTACAACTCGGTCGCATTGTGCCATGGCCTACTATGATGAAAGACGTCATTCTCGCATCGAGAGTCATGTGGCAGAGCGGAATCGAGTACTGGACATGTCTCTGGTTCGTCAAGTTCTCACTGTTGGCGTTGTACAAAAAGCTGCTTTCTGGAATGCCCAAGAAGTATCTATACATCTGGTGGGGTACACTGATCTTCTGCGTCGTGGTATGTAAGGGTTCATTCCGTTGGGTCTTTACACGCATAGCCCCCGAAAAACCTTGACTGATTTGGTATAGACATGGTCTACCTGTATCATCACAGGCCCTGGGCTAGCATGTAACGACACCAAAGCGTTCTTCGACAAGGGCGCTGTGTGCTCGTCGCCCGAAGAAACTCGCCGACAAACAGCAAATCTCTACTACGCGTACGCAGTAGACACTGTAACGAACATGATGGGTATGCTCAGTTGACGTCGAAATGCTGGTTTCTTGTAATAACGGAATTTGCAGTCATGTTTCTCCCAATCCGGCTCATTTGGAATCTGCAAATGGAGAAGCCCAAGAAGATTGGTTGCGGGTTACTGTTCGCCTCCGGTCTTGTATGCATACTTTTTTCGACTATACGCATCGTGCAGGTTGGTCAGGACGGAAAGCCTCGATCGCCAGACCCGAAATGGCTGACTATGTGGACTATCATCGAATGTTCAACAGGTAAAGTCGCCAGACTTACTCTTGCTTATCAAACTGACACTTTACCAGCTGTCATCATCGGCTGCTGTCCAGTACTTGCATCCGTCGTACCCAAACGCCGTACACGGCCATCAGATACCGTCTCCTATGATACCCAAGGGTACATTCGACAGTCACCCAACCGGTCTGGCGAAGGTGCGCCAAGAAGTCACGGCTTGAGAAACATACTCAGCTCTAAAAACCGGGAGAAGAGCAGTGAGAAGAACTCGGGCAACATTAGCATATCGAGAACTGGGCACGAGAGTGAAGAAGAGCTCCCACCACGTCGCACAGAAGGCGCTGGTATTCTTATCACAGACGAGATACGAGAGCAGTATAGGCTACGTATGAAAGAGGACCAACGCATGGAAGAAGCGCGCCTAAAGCTTGAGCAGTCGCAGGTGTGATCTTATATAGTTGAATGTATGAACGCTGTTACGGAACTATACTTCGTCTTGCAATCTTGCTGAACAAACTTGAATGGATGACAGCAAGAGTCTATGCCGTGTGCGACTAACTATGAGACGTCGAACAGTAGGAGACGGCAGTTGTTGGCTTAAGACATCACAATACATGATGAAGAATTGTCGCATTTGTGAGTGAGCCAGAAGCGCCACCTAGGTTATAGCATCTTCTAGACCGATATACTGTACTCATGTAGAGCTTGTTTTGTGATATATAATCCGGGTGGCGAAAGCATACTGCTGTGGATGAGACGGGCGCTAGTGGGTGCGGCAAGTGCCGAGCTTGATTACGCAGAACTTGAGCAGGCGCTCCCAGACAATTACTGCGTACTTCCTTCTCCACACCCACCCACGCCCCAACCCGCTGCATCTAACGCGCAACCACTTTCACGACTGACGAAACACCTGTTACGACCGTCTGAACACGCACTCGCGATAGCCTTACGTCATACGTTACGGAAGTCGCGTTCCTCGTCGCTCCCTTAGTTTCGCACCCACCGCTCAATCTCGAATCCACGCGACAGCTCTCCCATCAACGTCCGCCCTCACTATGGCTGTGGATTTTTCGAGCGACTCGCCTCTGGCGATGCAGCTGCAACAGGTAGTCCAGCCGAAGCTCGCTGAGTTTGGATGGACGACTGGCGGCGAAGACACGACGCTTTTCGAGTACATTCTCCTTATGCTGGCCAACGACAAGAACGAAGCGCAGGTCGCATCAGAACTCTCAAATGATTTGCTCGACCTGGGTCCGGAGAACACAGAGACACAGCAGTTTGCGCAGTGGTTATTCGAGCAAATCGAGCACCTGAAGCAGTCGAGCGGCGGCAATGCACAAGTCTCGCAGTCAATCGAAAACCAGATGGACGGCTCATCAAACGACAACATGGCAGCAGCGCAAGATACAGACATGGAAGGCGCGTCAGAAGGTCAAGGCAATATGTATGATACCACCCCAATTCCCCGCCGCTTTGGCGCAGCCACTTGTGCGAGAAATCGCTCGAAGGAGACCACGCAAGCGCGCGAACGCCGATCCGAGGCGAACGCAAAGCATGCGATGGCTCTTCTGCGCTTACAATCCTTTGCGTGCTACAATGAACAAATTCTAACCGTGAACAGTCCTACAGGTCCCAAGGCTATGCGTAACGGTAGCGGCGCCCAAGCAGCACGTCCAGCGCGCGGCGGTCGGATGCTTAACCAGCTTAACAAGAACATGGACCGCAACAACGACTCAGTATTACATCGCGTACGTGGCGCCGGCGGCGGCGTTGGAAGAGTGAACGCACACGCCCGTGATCCACCGAAAGGCCCACGAGGCCAGAACATTGGTCGCGGAATGGAAGCCATGGCCAACGGTCGTGGTATGGGCAATGCCAACATGAACATGGGGCAAACCAACGCTGGTATGAATGGTATGGGAATGGGCGGTATGCCAGGAATGCCCATGCCGGGAATGGGCGGTCAGAACAACATGCCAGGCATTGGCCTGAACCCGCAACAGCAAATGGCGCTCATGCAGATGTACGAGCAACAGGCGCAGATGATGCAACAGATCTTCTCCGGCGGCCAGCCAGCTGGCTTCGTCAACCCCAACTTCCACAACAACCGCAATGGACCTAAGAAGCCATTACACCAACGCATAGATCGGTCACACCAGGGCGGCAGAGGCATGAACCCGAACGCCAAAACTTTCCAGAAGAAGGAGGGCGAGGACGAGACTATGGCCGATGGCCCAGCTGGAGAGAACGGCAGCGGTATGGACGTCGAAATGCCTTCTGGGCGCCCAGATCCCTCTTCCACCATGTGCAAGTTCAACCTGCGATGCAGCAACCCCGACTGCCACTTTGTCCACCAGTCGCCCGCCGCGACACCTGGCACACCTGTCGACATGAACGATACGTGTGATTTTGGAGCGGCGTGTAAGAACAAGAAGTGTGTTGGCAAGCACCCATCGCCCGCACAGCGTCAAAAGTTCCAGTCAGAGCAGGAGTGTGCGTTCTGGCCCAACTGCCGCGATCCCTCATCCTGCCCTTACAAGCACCCTACTGCGAAGCCATGCCACAACGGCGCCGACTGCACAGTGGAGGGTTGCAAATTTGGCCACAGTGCCATCATGTGCAAGTTCAACCCGTGTTTGAACCCCCGCTGCTTGTATAAGCACGAGCCCGGTCAAAAGAAGAACACAACTAATGTCTGGGTTGCTCCTAAAGAGGGTGAACATGTTAGCGAGAGGAAATTTGTTGACGATGAGCAAAAAGAGGAGCTTATCATCCCTAACAAGGACCAGGAGATGCAACAGGCCCCGGCGAACGAGAGTGTGGATGTGCAGTCATAGAAGGACTTGTTGGAACGGCTGAAATGGGACAAGGGCGGTGGATATGATACCATTGAGACGCGGATGGAAGGTGCCGTTGGCTGGGAATGTAGAGCATTGTACATTAAGTCTGGCGTTAGGGTTGGTGGCATTGCCCCGACTTGGAGGAGAGAACTACTGGTTTCTGGCGGCCCTCTGGGGCTGCGCTCTTCTTCTTACAAATTCGCGTCCTCATGCGTGACATCCGAGACTTTCTAACATGTACCCTGGAGATTACCCACTATTTTACGTTCATGTGATAATGGAGAAAAAGACCGTGTATGTCTTAAGTACATGGCGAGGACCTAGGAGCACATGCTTCAACTAAGAGCAAGAACAAATCCAGCCACGATGCAGAGTATATGCATGGTGCCGGATAACACGGTAATACGAGTCTTGGAAGTATAGCGATGCGCGCTCGCGGGTGACTATGGGAAGAAACTATGACGAATGAGGCATAGCCGATCCGCCACGCCTGCTCAGCCACCCTCTTTCGTACGCCGCGACATCTGGTGTGTGATCAACTCCGCATTCTACCTATACTCTGACCATCTGTCGCTCCTTCCTTCTACCTGTTCATACTCTGCTTTCTATACACACTCCGTTCGTTCTTTCCTTCTTCACCTTTCTTCTCGGAGGATCGCCATCTACTTCGGAAGCAAACGCCCAACAAAGTTCGATCGACAGCTGAGGAGAGATTGCCCAGCTTCGCCGCCCAGCAATACGACGTGACAGTCTTTTTGTCCTCCGAGGAACCCATCTTTCTTACACCACACTCTTTGTGACCTACACAAATCGCCACCATGTCTAAACCATATGTACGTTTCCACAACTGTCAGCACCTCTTGTCGCATTGCGCGACATCAACCCATCTCTTTACTGTCGCAAACCCATTACAGTACTAATGATTCCTTAGGACCAAGGCGCACCACCCGCCTACCCTCCGCCAACCCACCAAGATGCCGGCCCAGCCCCCGGTGGCATGCAGCCCTCATATTACAACCAGGGCGGCGGCGCGCCAGACTACTACGGCGGCAGCCCGAACCCCTACCAACAAGGCCCGCCCCAAGGCCAGTACGGACCGCCACAGGGCCAATACGGTCCTCCTCAAGGACAATACGGATACGGAGGCCAGCAGATGCAATACCAGCAGGGACCGCCACCCCCAGGCGGCTACTACCAAGATGACAGGAGGGCCGATGGCGGCGGCGGAGGCTTGTTCGCTGGATTGTGCGCTGGTCTGGCGTGCTGTTGTTGCTTGGACTGCTTGTTCTAGACAGGTCGCTGTGGACAAACAGTGTTGGAGGGATTGATAGAAATGGAATGCGCAAGAGGCGGCATGTTACATGGGGCAATCTGGCTTTTCGACCACGGTAAATCCGTATACCATGCGAACATGGAGTGACGGGAAGAGGATTCGGCGTACAGACTATAGACCGATGGGCTTTCTTTTGTTCTATTTCAATTGGGGTCTCTATGGATATGACTGGTTATCGATCCGAGGGCATATTAAAGAGTACTGCCAGCTACCAACTTACCTAATTCGACGATTTCATTTTCACAATCTCTGCCGCATTGACCTTTTCCAGAACTTGTTGGCTGACAATCCAGAGACCTGCGATCGAAGACCATTTGCCACGACCCGAAAAGCAGCAGCTCGAAGCTAGGCGTTTGCCCTGCTACACCGTCACAATTCGCAGTGCAATCATTCACAGCAATGCGCAACCTGGGCATTAAGTGGAACGTACATGACTATGCATGTCTAGCCAGCGATTCGGACGTACTGTCAGACTTCACTTCGTCGATCATAACCTCGCAGTCTCCCACGCTTCTCGCGGTTCTTTGAACATCACTTACCTGGGTATATAAGACAACTTCCAAGATTGTTTGCTGGTACCGACCTCGGTCCGCTTAACGGACGGTCTCTCACCGTGACATAGCGACGTTCGAGCAAGGACGGCGTCTAGTGCGAAGCAATCGATATTCCCCGTCACATCTCCAGGACTTCACTGTTATTGAAGTCAATCATGGCGAGTAATAACAATCCACCGGGGTACACCCCTCCTGTCATTCTTGATACCTCGACTATGGATGTTCCAAGTTCGACTGGGTCGAGCTCTGTGCTTCTCCCTATGGAGACGGCACCGGGTTACTTCTGCGAAGTAAGTCGTTATGAGACTCAGCGCAGACGCGTGATAGCTAACGAGGTCAGATCTCCTCAAAGTGCCAGTCGGAAAACACGTCCGACGCTCCCAAATGGCTCTACTGTCAACAGTATGATTACGATATCGCTGCTTATTTTTCTTGCGTCTGCAAATACACAAACACACTGTCCAACAACGAATACTTCTCCGCCTCTTGTGTACTGCAAGAGTGCAACGGCGCGGATGCGAGAAAGCGTGAGTACCGTGCTCCGCCACCAAGTGAGGGAAATGGCGAGTGAGTGAGAGTACTAATCGACAATTGTTTAGAGTTTCTCGCTATGTATCGAGCAGCCTGCCAGCAACGTGGTACGAGCTTAATAGACATTTCTCCGGGTTGGACTCCGTACGATCAACCACTACCCCCACAGTCTACCGCTACTGTCAGCTTTCAATCTCTTACGTCTACTCAACCGGGTACATTGACTCAGGCCACAAGTGCAACTAGCTCTCCAGCATCGCTAGACGTATCCACAACGCAGTCTACGAAGACTACCACCAATACAATCTCCTCTGCAATGCCAACACCGACGGACCCTGCTGATGGGCAAATCCCCATTTGCGGCGTATGTTCCCTAAGCTTCTAACATAAGTTCACCCACTAATGGCCATCAGATTTCCGACAAATGCATGACCAAGAAGCCACAGGGCGAACCGTCATGTAACACTGGTGATCTTGACTGCATCTGCAAAGTCAGCAACTCGCTCGAGAAAAACACCGAGTTCGACCAGCAATGCGTCCTAGACGCTTGTTATGGCGATATCGGAAGAGAAGGTGAATCACTCTTTCCAAGCATAAATCCGCACACAGCCTAATGCTAATTTCCTTCCAGAGTTCCTAGACAGCCTTTTCTACCACTGCAAGAAGGTTAACAAGGAACTAATTGACATTCCGAAGCGGTGGGAACCGTATCTTCCAGCTACCTTCCCTTCTGCAACGCCTGCCTCAGTCCCACCCGTCGACTCCAATGGCTCTGTCTCTGAGAGTGCCCGCCAGCCCTTTAAGCTCACTGGTGGAGCCATCGGAGGCATTGTCACCGCAGCCGTCGTCGTCCTCATTATCGTCGCTGGTTTGATAAAGCTTTGGTGGGATTCCAGGAAGAAGGCCAACACGCTTAAGAAGGACAATGCGAAACTACAAGACGCTACGAATCCAGAAGGTATGTCGATGAGAATCAATACCTTGATCAGCGATTCGTCGATACCTGAGTTCGCGTCGCGTCGTGACACTGCAAGCGCAGGCCGCGGCGCAGACACTTCCACGTACCACGCGTCGGTCTACGATGCCACACTCATTGGTTCGCCGCGGAGTATGGACGTACACCCCGTTCATGGTTACGGCACTGCACCTCGCGAATATGGCACAAAGACCGAGGACTATAACATGTCGGAGTATGGCGACGACAAGTTCACTGGACATGGGCGGCAATACAGTCGTGATCACAGTCGATACGAGCTTCCTGACAACGAGAATCGAGGTTACCAGACAGCGCCGAATCAGGAAAATTCTGATGACGACTCGATGAGTAGATATAGTGCCCGCCGGAACAGCTACGGCGACGAGACGGTAGATTTGCAGCGGCAGCGAGGACAAGACGCAACAAGCGATTGGGGGATTGCGCAGTCTCGTGAGTGGACAAGGGAGCATGAAGAAGACTGCATTCGGAGGAGTGCACGTTATTGAGACTGCATGTTTTGGAGTTCTCAACGTTATCTCCCGTTTCCCACTGGTCACTTGTCTCAACTAAGTAGCTCAGAGACTTGTGAGATTGGTCCTGCGGATGCCCGTTGGGTGACGAACCTGGTTTAGACATACATTTGTCAACCAAGTCGTACACTTGAGGCAGTGCATGCGAACTGGTAGTACGAAAATAGCATTACGTGCGCGTTCATGTGGTTGGCCGTTTGTGAAGTGGTGTTAAGATTGCTCCGCCGGTGCTTGTGTAAGGTGAAGCAGGGGACGAGTGTTCGTTGGGCTGGGGCAGTCGGTAGTCGGTGGAAGAGCAAACATGGGGCGTTTGCACTTAAGAAGTCGTGAGTCCGAATCTTTTACCGTCTTGTTTGGTCGGTTTCTTGATCCAGATCTCCAGCGATCTGCAATGATCTTCGATATGTACTTCTCCATCTTGTTGCTCTTATTCGGCAGCGTCGCTGCTCAAGAGCGTGACAAGTTCTGCATCGCTGCGAAGCCACCATTAGCGCTTCCTGGTTGCACTGTAAGTACGGCCCAAGAGCCACACGATCGTTCCAATGGACTCTTCTACTGACCCTAATGTTAGAAGCAATGTCTCATTGGAGAAGGAAAGGTCCTCGATGGCAATTGTGCCGATAACCTCGAAGGCTTTTGTGAGCTTTCCGACGTTGTTCACATACACTTCAATATGTATGGTGTATGTCTTCTCAACGCTTGTCCAAGTGTGACAGACCGACAAGGCAAGCCTTTGATTTATACACAACACGGAATCAGGATTTACTAACCATAGGCCATAGACTACGTAAACATGTTCAAGGCGGCGTGCAAAGGAACACACGAAGATTACTTCGAAAATGAGTTTAACTATGGGGGTAATGAGTTCAACTATAAAGATTTGCTCACGGGAAAGCCATCAGGTAGTATTGCAGCGAGTACTAAGGATTCGGCGACTAGCTTTGAGGCGATGTCAACGTATGAGACCACTATTGAGATACTTACGTCGAATACTCCATCACCATCGACCAGCACTTCGGCATCGTCAAGTTCGGAGACGGAGAAGTCATCAGAAGCGCCATCGCCGCCACCCGCGACTTCGACGCCAGCTGCAGCACCTAGCTCTACGAACGAAGGAAAACCTACATCCGTTGTTGCAGCTCCTGCTCCAAGCAATACTATCCCTCCGAACGACGTCACTATCCAGTCGCATGTTCACATCACGATCTCCAACTCTGAGCTGCCAGCCCCCACAAATACTCATGCTGCAGAACCGACTCTAAGTACGACTTCCATTGCCGGCATAGCAGCGGGCGGCACTGTAGCTATTGCTCTGATCATCGGCCTTGTGTTCTTCTTCCTGCGTCGCCGTAAGCACCGAGCCTCTCTCGCTTCATCCGCAGACATTTGGGAGCCCTCTCGCAATACTAGTCCAAACCCCAAACTTCCAGTTATCGAGAATGATTCAAGCTTTGGTCGTCACTCAAAAGTCGAAGCCGGTCCACAAATGCATCAGCACTCGAAAGCCGAACTACATAGCGAAAGCGCACCGCCACCGCCACGCCCCCAAACTGCACACAATGGCTATCCGAACCCACCGGAGATGCGCGGCGGAAGTGGTAATGAGAGCTCGCGATTCTACCGCCCAGCACAACAGTCACATCTGCACCGTCATGGTAGTAACATGGATTCTCGATATCCCGAACTGGGATCTCACACGGCACCGAGCATACCGTCGCCGGCCTCACCTGTTTCGGCTTCTTCAACAATGCAAGGCTGGCATGCTAACACCCCATCTGGAGTACCTACCAGCCGGATGAGTAGTGCTGATCTCCGCACCGAAGGAATGAGAAGTCCAGTCAGCGAACTTGGTACGAATACACCACTCCGCTCAACACGCTCGGCAGAGCTACACGGCGCTGAGATTACGAGCCCGATAAGTGAGCTTGGAAGCGACACCTTTTCCAGTGGTGGTAATGGGGTGGCCGAACTGCATACTGATCCTGTACTGCCGTCGAAGCTTGGACCGGGCAATAGAGGAGATATGACGGCTGTTATCGCTGAGATGGAGGGCTCTCACATACAGAAAGGACACCGTCATGGGTTGTCAACAAACTCGTAGTTCGTCTGGGTAGTCATGGGCATTTGAATATCTAGGTTGTACGATAGACATGTAGATCTAATACGGTGCGAAATAATACAACTAACCTTTCGTCACTGACTCACATCAACATTATGAATTTCACCCTTAGCACTTTTTCTTTGAACACGCTGTTTCATCAGAACTATCGTCTCAATATTATGTTCTGAGTATTTGAAAGACGAGTTTCACAAGCGCGGCGCACGAACATGTATCGTCGATGCGCCATGCTTGTGCGACGCTGTGCGAAGTGACAGCCGTTCTATTGGAACGCAAAAAACGGATACTACAAGGCAGTACTTACAGAACCTTATATAGAAGTAAGATAACGAGGAGTGAGAATCGCGTCAGTGAGACTGAGAAACAGCTCTCTTGAGTTGACGAGAAACCAATTATCAGCCGCTTCATCACCTCTCTCCACGCTCACACACCTATCAACGAAGCCCAGTCGTGCGAAGATATTCAAGAGTCTACCAGAACGTGTTCTATACTTTCATGCAGGGTCCCGCTTGTGTAAGTATCGACGGGCCGGCTATCAAGTCCTTTTTAGCAAGTCTTTACGCATTGAGAAGTCGAATAATGCTAAGAGAGGCCTCCTTGTTGCTATGAACAGGCTCCCACATCAAGATCAGCCACTGTTACAGGACTAGGTCACGTTGCAGCAATGGAAGACCTTTTGTGGCATACCACTGTACTCTCAGTAAGCTTGATTTGGCGGGTTCAACACGTTATAGATGAGCACATGGAGTATTAAGGAGACATTGTATAACGTCGAGTGAAGGTAAGGTGTAGAGATGATACGCGCAAGTGTTCTAATGTGCGATTAAAAGCATGCGATAGCCTCCTCTATACTAAGGCTGAGTTCGCATACTTACATTGCCCACTAGCACCAAGCAAGGCTACAGCTCAAATTACCATATTGAGGTCAAAAACATGTATGTGATTTCGCCTCTAGTGATCTTGAACAGAGACTCATAATATTCTAGCAACCATCTTACATCAGAGACACCATGGCAGATACAACGCTCACAACATCCATTCTCCCAATCTCCACACTGGAGGTAGGGAGCGATTATACCGCTGGCAACAACGAATTTATCTACTATGGCAGCCACGGAAAAGCCATTTTGATAGGTCTCGCAGCCACCGTTGCGATTCTCTTCTCCATCGTCTTATGCATGGCATGCTGCTGGCCGAAAGAAAAAAAGAAGAATGAGCGAGGAGGATACGTGACTACGACTTACTGGAATGGGACTGGAAACAAAGGGAGGTGCTGTTGAGTGTTGTGATGAAGCAAGTGTGGTAGGAATCTAGTAAGGTCAGGTGATTGATAAGGCAGTTGCAGTGGAAAAGATAGTTGAATTGGGCCGCTAAGGTCGTTAAGCCGTCAGCCTCGGTACGCGCCCCCTTACGGCGGTCATCGGAGCTACCGGCTGCTCCCCACCTTTTCAATGTAGGTGCTAGCACCACGTCACTCCTGTCTCATCTGCCAATAACAACCCTATACATGTCAAATCATTTGCAATCCATGTCTCACAAGTCACAATCCATCGGCAGCTTCAGGGCTTATAGTACACGCCAACAGCGAGCGGGAAAGAAAGAGCCTGTCAAGCGCCAAAGACCAACATTAGTTTGCGATCATTGCAAAGCCTCTAAACTCCGATGCGACAGGAACCGGCCCTGTAGTAGGTGTGTCAGGCGAGATGGCGGCACATCCTGCTCTTACAATGGATTGTCACGCGCACGTGGTCAGCCGGCCATTGAGGAAAGACTGCAACATCTTGAAGCTAAGGTCATTCAATTGCTGGATGCAACAGATGCGTCAGAGCCAGTACATAGCTCGAGATTGCCTTCCAACTCCACTGGTCAACAGGCCCATGTGTCCAGTGGTCGTGAGCTGGGGTTGCCGAAGAACCAATTTCCTACTGTCGTGGAAGAAGTTATGGAAAGCATCCACCAGCTGCGCTTGGAACTACCTGCGACGGTTGATGAGCCCGGCCTTGAAGAGTCGATCGCCGACGGAAACGACGTTGTCAGTAAGAGCATTCTCGGCTTACCAAGTGCATCCTCGCAAGGCGCCATCTTGTCACAATATATGCCATTGCAGAAGGACGCTGATCACCTTCTGGAAACCTACTTCGGAAGTGGCACGTTTGTGCAACCCTTCATTCATACAAGACAGTTCCAACGAGAATACCATACTTTTCAAGTTGAACACTTTCAAGCAGCCTCAGCATTTTGGCTGAGTACCCTTTTCTCTATCTTCTCAATCGCTGCGTTAGTTCACGAAGGAGCAGCAGGAGAGAAGACAGCGCAGACACCTAGCTGCGAGTTTTACAATGCTGCAGGAAAGCTTTTGGCGCTTGGCGATTATCATGAAACGCAGCGAGACGCTCCGGAAGCATTGTTACTGTACGCCCATTGCAAAAGCCTCAGAAGTCTGGATCCCAACCACGAATGTGGCGCCATCATCTGTATGGCTGTACGGCATGCATACGAACTAGGATACCATCGCGATCCCGATACCTTCGGCAGGTTCACAGTTTTCGAAGGCGAGATGAGAAGACGCTTCTGGGCTTGTTGCAAGCAGGTGGATATCATGGTGTCTTTCCAACTTGGGCTTCCCAATAACATTATCCTCGAAAATTGCGATACCAAGTCTCCTTCAAACTTACTGGACTCTGATTTCGACTTCGACACTCAAATTCTTCCCCAAGCTCGACCAGAGAGTGAGCCAACCCCAATTCTATGGTTCATTGTTAAAGATAGGTTGATGCCTGTATTCGCCAGAATATGTCAAGCCGCGCTGTCTTTGCGTGTCAAGAGTGAGATGGAAATCATGGAGTTGGAAACGGAGGCGAGAAAAGCATATGCGACAATCCCGAACATCCTACGATGGCGTTCAGTATCTGAATCCACCTCTGACCCACCCTTCTTGGTCATGTGTCGATTCTTTCTCGAGCTTCTGTTTTTGAAAAGCTTATGCATCCTGCACTTGAAGTACATGGTACGTGGCAGTACTCATAGCATTGTGCAATGCACCCAGGCCGCCAGTAGCATCGTAAGGAGTGTTGCCGACATTCACTGTGAAATTCGACCTGGAGGCCGTCTCCAAGCAGTAAGCTGGATGTTTAACAACTTCGTGATGACTGATTTCTTACTTGGCGGGAGCACTCTTTGTCTTTATATCAACTTGGATCGTCGAAGAAGTATCCCTCAGGGTTCGATGATGGTTACGTTGGAAGAAACCCTTTTGCTCCTCAAGACAGCTCACTCTATTTGCGTGGATAGATCCTTGTCCAGTATCGACGCGAGAAGATTGGGACGAGCGATAAATTTTACATTAGAATCAACAGACGTCAAGCAATCTGCTTTCACACAGCCAACACTAGGATCAGCAACAGGATGCCAGCCGCAAACAACACCGGAGACCATAGTACTTGGAATCCCAGACTGGCCTGTTGACTCCACTAATCACAATACATACTCAGAGGACCAGTTCACTTTCAGTACGCTCGATCCGTTCGACTTCATAAGCAACGGGTTGATAGATATCGAGCAATTCTGTGATACGACCACGTATGCTAATGATTTCAACATTACATGATGAGCTGGAGCGCAAAGCTGTGGCCCGTTTCAATTCGAATACACAGCCAAAACATCTGATGCTCTGGAGCTACCATGGCTGAACGTTATTCTTGCGCACCACCTTCCCGACATCCTCGTCCCGGCGACCTTCGACGACATCGCGAACGAGTTCCGCTCCAATCTTCGGATCAATTGCTCCCATCTTCTTCATAGCCTCGGGATCACCACCCAAACCTGTAGCTAGCATGCCAGGGCTGACTGCGAACACCTTGACGCCATCCTCCTTGAGCATTCGGGCCCATTCCAGCACCATCATATTCATACCAGTCTTGGCTGCTCGATACGCCGTGACTGCAAAGGATTCCTTGGGCCAGCCTTTGGGAGGGGAGCGGTTTATGGGCATCGCTAAGTTGTCGTGCTCTGTGAGGGTGCTTGTGCCACTGGTGATGAAGACCAGTCGTGGGTGAGACGATTTGAGAAGCAACGGAGCAAAGACTTCGGTCACTATATATGTACCAGTCACGTTGACGTCCCAAGATTTGTTCCACATGTCTCTTATTGTCATGTTGCCCTTGGGTACCTGCTGGTCGAATTGCGCTCCTGTGCGAAGTCAGTCTGGGTACAAGTCTATCGAGGTTTTCACATTCGTACCCGCATTGTTGAGAAGAACATCAATCTTGCCATGTTTTCTGGAGACTGTTTCGAACGCTTGAGCGATCGAAGCGTCATCCTGAAGGTCGATTTGGATTCCCTCAATGCTGTTCGTAGAGTTGGGGTACTCTTGTTTGATTTCGTCGATAGCAGCTGAAGCCTTGTTCGAGTCTCGAGCACCAAGCAAGATGTCGTATATGTTTGTTGATCTGTATAGAGCCTTCACGGTGTGAAGCCCGAGGCCGGTGTTGGCTCCAGTAATGAAGATAGTAGTTCGAGAGGCCATGGTTTCGATGCCGTTATTTTGATGAACTGTTGATCTGGCAGTGTCTTTACTCAAATACGGTATATGGCGTTTATATATCTGCGCAGGCTTGTGAGACTACTGACTGTCAAGACCCTGTCGGGTTCCTGGAGAGGCGACGCTAACCAGAAAAGGAAATCTCTATCGGCCGATAAGTTGTATCGCCGGAGCGTTGAGTTCCTAACGCCGGTGCCAGCGTTTAGACAGCTCGGTGCTATTCTCATTTCACGCCTTATGAGGAGGTAGTACCCGGCTAACGCAAAGATGGGTAAGTAGGATGTTGAGATAAATAAGGAAGGACGCGCCCGAGAAACTTGAAATATGCTGGATGCTGTAACGTGCACGGGAAGATGGCAAGCTACCGAGCTTGTAGAATTACTCAATACTAAGTGTGTATCCATCACCTACACTTAACACGTGATCATTCTACAGCTGTCTAAGACAGGTCTGTGGACGAGCTTTGCCAAGACCCCACTGAGCTCTGCCCTAGGTACTCTTGGTTAAGTTGCAATGTCCGAAAATGCACTTCGCAAACCGTAGATTTCCGACCTGGAATAAGTATGATGCACTCTGTCGCGACAAGTAGCATGTGACGGATTTTCCCGTGCCCTTTTGCCTTCAAGCAATAACATGTGGATGGTTTGGAGTTCCAAGGGTGCGACAAGAGGCTAGACATGTCAATAGCACCCTGTAGTTCGAGCCGATCCAGCGTGACACGATCAAGTTGATCCATGCCCTTCATTAGAACAAGTATGTTCTTCCAGGATGTTGCGCTCATACCAGTAGTCGTGACGCATGACAAACTTACATCTTCCAGAGTTGAACGATGACGAAGGAACATTCCGAGCAAATCGCGGCTATGGGCTTTACATCGGAAGAGATGCAGCGTTCGAAGACTTGCCCAAGAGGATTGCGCGAAGACTTTTCGCAATACAAAGTGCCCGAAGAAGAGATTGCGGCAGAAAAAGTGTTCGACCGCACGGGTGGGTTGTACCATCTCGGCTATCCATGTTAACAGTGGGGGAACTTGGTAGATCTTCATGTCGCTCATTGCGAAGTCGAACGTGAGGCTTCGTACACGGGGGGCCATGGCTGTCCAAGTTCTGTGACTGATGTCAAAGACCTTGCCATTAGATAGAAGGTTCGCTGCGGTGATCGTCAGATCAACAGTAAACTTGCCCAAGTCAACCGAGCTCAAGACATTGAAGAGGTTTTCCAGCATGTTGATCTCTGCGTAATACTCCATGAAGAGAAGACCGTCAAGGCTGAACTCCAAGATGGACTCTGAACCGTACGGAGCGGTGTCGGTCGTTAATTCGAGCTCATGTGCTCCAAGTTCGCGGAAGAGCGGCGTGGTACCCCTACTCCGGTTTATGATTTCAGCAAAGCGCTGCTCGTAGTAATTACCTACTGGACGAGGATTGATCTTGATGCTGTTCAGTGCCGGGAACTTTATAATGGCTTCTCGGAGATATCCGGTTCCAGCTCGAAAGTGGTTTTGGCGTTCAACTAATCTTTTCAGTGTATCTCCGTATCTTTGAAGCCAGCGACCATAACTACCTCGCTTGTTCCATCGAACAACCATTGCTGACTCTGAGTCTCTGCTGGTAACACCTTCACGCAGCGGTCTTGGAAGCTTGACTATCGGCCAAATTGGGCGGGCAGAATCCACGTAAATGTAGCTCTCAGGATGTGGATAACCGGTAGAAGGCTCCTCCCCTTGCTCCTTGATGTATTGAAGGTCCACTTCCAGATTCGTGTTCAATATCTCTGGGCCAAACTCCAGCTCTCGAACGTATCTATGAAGCTGCTCGTCTTCCGACAACCTCTTTAGGTCTTGCAGACTCTGTGGCATTAGGCTGAACTTGGAAGATGCGAAATGCCGTTGAAGGAATGCATCCCAGATTTTCCGATTTAGCGCTCGACTAGTGAGGCGGAGATTAGAAAGACCAAGGAAGTCAATGATGAACTCCTCTCCGTCTGAATATGAAGACCTCGAGTGGCATATAAGCGTCCAAAGCTCGATCGGTAGACCTTCGGCTGCAGCTTTTGGCTTCTTGGGAAGCGGCGACGATAACATCGAAATTGCGGAGAGCAAAGTGGCAGCAGGGGAAGGGACCTAGCAATGCATGAGCGGTGTATGACCTGGAAGAGTGTGTCGGTCTGTTTGTGATTGCTTTGTCGCAGACGAGTGATCAGTATGAGAGACAATAATATTTCTGTCCCATAGCACCGTCTAGAGCGTGACTACCAGAAAGTACCATAGACCGAAGCTAGAAAGATATGGCTTTTTGTCGCATATGGCGCGATGTCTGCGATAGCAGTACTCGAATGATTTTGATAGCCATGCTTACGCAATTCCCGAATCACATCTGCACTTATGGGTGACGAAATTTCTAGAAGATTACCGTACTTGCTGCACCGCACTAGGCAGACATCTTCTTCTTGAGCGTCGTCGAGCGCCGGCATCGTTGCAGTGACACCATCCGCAATAGCTAGAAATCGAATAAACCATGCGCGGCATATGTGACTGAGGAATAGATGCTACAGCATACTTGGACCTGCTCAGGCGAACAGATTTTGCCACGAAACAAATACTGTTCGTGCCCTTCCTCTGACATCGCATTCGGTCCGATCGTTGGTTAACAAGCCGACGCCAATAGGCCACGTGTTACTGGAAAGATGTGCGCGGCAGAGGATGTGGTAGGCTGTGTTTGTTGCATCAAGTTGTGAGGCATCCAGTTTGGTGGGGTGGCGGTTCTTCTAGCTCAACCTTCGTCAGATCTCCTCCAATTGGTCATTGAGCAGATCGCTCCACTTAAGTCGACGCGATCCCCAGCCTCTTGAATATCTGACATGTCGACCGAACCTTCCGCGATCAACGACACAGGAGCCCACCTGTGCTGGAGAAAGAACATCTGGTCATGATGTTAGCGCACGGAAACGCTATACCCGAACAGGACACTACCTAAGGTGAACACAGCGATCATGGCTGCAGTGCGAATAACTGATCTGAATGGGAAGCATGAGGTGAGCTCTAACAAGCTGCTGATGGTGTTCACACAGATTGACGCATGCGCAAACATGAAACATGTGACTGTATTACTCAGCTTCACGCAGCCCAGAAGGCTTCAAAGCGGGGAAACCTTAACCTCATGCCTTCTCATTGTCTTCTTCTAGCAACGCTTCATAACTTTCTACATATAAAGAACACCCTCGATGCGTTCATCTCAGCAATGCGACTCATCAACTGCAAGACCCTCGAGCTGGAGGAATTTGTTGGTAACTCCGTCCCAAAATACGCAATATTGTCCCACACATGGGGCCGCGAAGAGGTGTTGTTTTCGGACTTGCCCCTTCACCAAGCTTCAACGAGAACGAAAGCTGGATACTATAAGATCAAATGCACCTGCGAGCAAGCATTGCGCGACAGGCTAAACTTTGCATGGGTGGACACGTGCTGCATTAACAAGAGCTCCAGCGCAGAGCTTTCAGAGGCTATCAACTCCATGTTCAGATGGTACTTATCATCTTCTAAGTGCTACGCTTTTCTTGAGGATGTTTCCGCGATTAGTTTCGAAAAGAGTTTCTCCGATAGCCGTTGGTTCACCCGTGGCTGGACGCTGCAGGAATTGATCGCACCGACCGACGTGGTCTTCTATGATAAGAGTTGGGAAATGGTTGGAAGTCGGCGGAAGCTGGCACGTAAGATTTCAGAAATCACAAGAGTCGACTCAGAAGTATTAGGCAGTGGCATAATACAGTCGCCCTGGATGAACACCCTTGATGATTTTTGTGTAGCAAAGAAGATGTCGTGGGCGTCATACCGTGAAACCACTCGGCAAGAAGACCAGGCCTATTGCTTGATGGGGCTATTCAACATCAATATGCCCTTGCTGTACGGGGAGGGTAACAAGGCTTTTGTGCGTCTACAAGAGGAAATCATTAAGAAGAACAATGAAGATGACTCTATCCTAGCATGGGGCTTGGATACTAGGGAACCGATATCTTCTGTGAACAAGACATTTCCAGAATACACACCTCCTACGCTTGAGGGTGAGATGCTTGCAAAGTCGCCCTTGGATTTTAAGAACTGTGTAAATTTGGCTCGAGCGCCAGTTCCTGGCCCGTTATTGGCACTTGATAATGTTGGCATCAATATTCGACTTCCACTTGTTCTTATGCATATTTCCACGGTAGCGACAACGGCTGAGAAGTTTTGGATCGGCCTTCTCAGCTGTTCACTGCAGACGAACAAAAGCGCTTGTATGCTTGGCATTTTGCTCTCTCCCAAGGACTGGCGTGTGCAACAGACCTCTCCACGCTACATGGTACGCAGATCGATTCCTGAGGAGAAAGAATATCGAGAGACTGTACTGGTAACCACTCGAGATGCTCTACAGAGCACGGATTTCCAGGACATTATCATCGTCCCGAACATTCGGCAGGGCCCTACTGGTGCAAACTTGTACAACAAAACTTATCTGATTGATGAGACGAGAAACTTGTCGGCTGAGGGGATTCGCTTCCTCCATGCAACAGGATGGCACGGTACTGACCACCCACAATTTGGTGGTCGAATGCTCAAAATCAGGGAGACCCAGAATTGGCAGGCGGGTTCTCGAACATACACTCGCCTTTGGCATGACCCACCAATACATGTATTGTCATTAGCTTTCTCCGCCCGCAATACCCATCCGATGATAGCGTTCGTTGTTCACATTGAGATGAGTCTTAGTCTCGCGATGGTTTGCAATAATTCGTCAGAGTATGCAGACGAAGATATGCACAGAGTCTGGAACACACTGCGAGACAGAGCTTGGCAAACAAATCCGGATAGAATGATCTACACGGAAGATGATGGTCGACGCATCGAGATCTCTATAAACCTGAAGGAGAAAAGAACTATTCACCATTGGCGGATATTCGGCATCGAAATCGATGTCGTCAGTAAGTCTTCGCTCGAAAGCTCAGATGGTGAAGACCTGATGGATGTATGATCGCCGGATCATCAATATGGTCGCGTTGCGCAGCTGTGATATGCGAGATGGGTGGAACTCACTAGCATCTCGAACTGATATGGGTCATCAGGGCTGAATACTGCAAGAAAACGTGCAGTAAGATTATTCATGGTGTTTTAGCAAGCTTTCGCGGAGTAGTCTTAACAGCTCAGCGCCGCAGCAAAAGCCATAGCCAGAACCATCGTAACACTCGCAGCAATGGTCCCCGCTGCGCCCGTCTCTTTGGGCGCTCCAGCCCCTGATGTACCTGATGCACCAACCTTCTGCGTCGCATTATCTCCGTTCCTAGAACTTGTCATGTTTGGAGGCGCGGTCTGAGAGAATAGCAAACCCTGCACCGCCTGCAGCGCATCATACACTTCATTCAGATTCCCGTCACTAGCATCAGCAGCCTCCCACATGCCTTCGGTGGAATTTGCCCAATCTAGCGAGCACTGAACGTTGTAGAAATCTCCGCCACACGTGCCGGCAGCAGCTTGAGCGGAGACTTCGAGCTTTTTGGTGAGGGGTTCTGCAATGATGGGAGCGGCAACGACTGCGCGAGCATAAGAGCTTATGGCCATACCCTTGTAAGCGCGCATACTGACATCGCACTTTCCGGTCGTTTCGCATGCTATTTCGGTGAGGACGTCGTGTTGTTGGAAGAAGATGGCAGATGAGTTCACGAGGCCTTGGAGTGCGTCAGTCCATTTCTGCTTGCCGTTGGTCTGTTGGCGTATGTCAGTATGATGCCCGAGTAGACTGTACTAGGAAGTGCTTACGATGTTCTGCATGATAGCAGAGCCCTCTGTATAGGCGGCATGCAGGTTTGTCCACCGGAATCCGTTTATATCGCGACAATCGTCGGTGGCATCACCGCCGTCAAACACAGCATATTCGTCGTCGATAATACCAATGTCCTTTGCCCAAGTGAAAGACTTGTCAGCCCATTCGGAGTACGTTTCGTTGCCGGTAAATTTGGCCAAACGAGCAGCCAGGAGGAAAAAGTCACCGTTGGCAGCTCCATTTTTGTAATCGTATCCTGCCTGGAAAGTAAAGATAGTCCAGCGAAGACCACCGTTACAGCTCTTATCATCCCAGCGTAGCACCTGAGCATCGAACACTTGGGCAGCATATTCCACCCAGGATTGGTTTTCCGGCTTTGGAAAGTCTGATTCCGCGGCGGCCATTGCTGCAAGAGCCCATAAGCTTTGGTCATCGTTTGTAATTTGCGCGGTCTGATTATCGGGGAAGAAGGCAAGGCCAGGGTGGTCGCCAAGCTGTCCCTGAATGCCTTCAGATACAATAGAGTCATATTGCTTATCGCCAGTCAAATAAGAGTAGTCGATCAATGCGTTGAAGATCATTCCGCCTTCGTACCAGAAGTAGGGGTCTGGAAAGAGGCCGGGGATTCCATCTACAGAAAGGGAATCGTTGTAGAACTTAACGATTCCACCTGCAAGAGCCTGCGCGGCCAGTATGATAGAGTCTGTACACATTAGCATCGTAGTCGCGCAAGTGGAAAAGATCGTCATTACCCTTGTTCTGGACATCCAAGTCGAGTGCCGCGGTAGTACTAACAATGCATGACAAAGCGAGTGACAGCACACTGACGCGTGCGAACATTTTGAAAGACAGAACGAGTGTGATTGCGTAACGCAAGAGGAAAACAGAGTGGGAATGCAGCACTCTCAAGAACAAGAGACCGGAAAGCAGTTGACGATGTTTGCAGGCGTAGCATGACGCTAGTTATGTGGATCTCAGCCGCCTTACAGTGCCACCAATGGTTGTCTAACGGTTAGTTAGCGCAGAACGCCTGAGCCCAAAAAAGCTTGTTGCCATCTCGGATAGTAATTCAGGGGCGCTGCACCGGCCGCGCCGCCTAATACAGGCGTGAAGATGCCTGGCGATGCGTGTTGGAAGTGGCACGGTCCTATGGTCGTCAGGCGCATGCACCTCGTCTCGGAGCCAAGAGCTTGGGAAGATGGTAATTGACATTGGCAACTGCTCCTGGACTGGCTGTGCCATCTTTCGCTGCGCCTTCTCAAAGTCACGCAATTACCACAATTTGCTTACCGACCAATTCCCATCTTCGCGACTAGCGCCTCCGCGATATCGTGCGCAAATCCCTCATCATTAATCGCGCGCTCGTCTTCGGTAACTTCAATATTACCACCCTGGAGTTCCTCTCGTATCGCACTGAAGAGCGCAGCATCCGCCTGTTGGTCTTCAAAAGGCCCATCAGGGACAGCGATCATGCTGATACCACCCTTCGGTAACCAGACTTGAATTGCTCCGGGCTTCTTTGCACAATGCTTCAATTTCGTTGCAATAAATTTGCCAACTTGAGTTGCTTCGTCTACTGATGTCCTCATCAAGGTCACGACAGGATTGTGCTCATACAGCTTGCGATCTTTGTATCGTTCCGGCACTGTGCTTCTCGGACCAAAGTTTGTCATGTCGGTCGCGCCTACGGAGACGATATTTGGTATTCCGGCTTTTGCGGCGGCTTCGAGACGATGCTCACCAGCACTCATGACACCGCCGGTAATATGATCGCATATCTCGGTAGTGGTAAGATCGAGAACTGCATCCAGCCCACCTTCTTGGATGAGTCGTTCCATTGCTTTCCCGCCGTGACCGGTAGCATGAAAGACGTACGTCTCAATGTCGTAGTTGTCTTCGAGATGTTTTCGGATGAAGTCGACAGCTGGCGTGGTGACACCGAACATAGTAATACCAACACGTTTCTTTAGCAGCTGAGCTGCGTCTTGTTGGCGAGGTGCGTATGCGCGAGCCATTCCAGCTATGGCTGCTCCGGCATTGCTAAGCACATTGCGGAGCACTTGATTAAGGCCAGCCACATCTACAACGCTGTACATCAGGGTGATGTCGGTTTCCCCTACGATTGGCCCAGTATCGCCGCTTGCCACAGTTGACACGATCAGCTTTGGAAAGCCGATAGGGAGCGCAGTTCTCATCACTTCCGCTGCGAGCGACGTACCACCTGAACCTCCCGCGTTGATCGCGGCGTGTATCTTTCCTTCATCGAATAGCTTTTTGACAGCCTTGGTAGCGCAGCCAGCCATGGTCTTGATGACTTCTCCTCGAGGTAGCTTGCTCACATCTTTTGCATCTCCATGATCCTCCAGCAGTTGGTGTTGACTGATTGTGATGGCATCATACTCCTTGTGGCGCCGACCCACATCCATCAGCATCACGTCGACATTGTTCCGCTCTATTTCTTTACGAAGGAATAGCAACTCTTCCAACTTTGTATCGCAAGTACCAAGAAGAACAACACGGGGATTTGAAGACATAATGACGTGCTCACCAGGAGACAATGCGTTGATGGTAATATGAATATCGTGTAAAGACGTGGGTCGCAGACGTTCATGCCACTGTAATGTATCCCCCGCGCTTGCATTACGTCATCGTGCATACTTCAACAACCTTTCTCAGCATCATCGCTGTGACTTTAAGACAATATAATACCACATCCAATACCTGATCCGTTTACTCAAGGTCGATAGCATACCAAATTGACAGCATGTCACCCCCTACCGATCGCAAGAGCATATTGCAGAACCTCCGCTCGCAGATCGACAATGGCAAAATCATCGTTGGCGCAGGTGCAGGTATCGGATTGAGCGCAAAGTTCATCGAAGCTGGTGGTGGCGACTTGATCATTATATACAACAGTGGAAGATATCGAATGGCCGGCCGCGGCTCGCTAGCCGGCTTGATGCCGTACGGAAACGCTAACGATGTCGTGTTGGAAATGGTATGCGCGCTTCACTTGATGTTAACTTTGAAAATCTGTAGAAAGTGTCTAGTAGCTAACAATCTCAGGCTGGTGAAGTCCTTCCTATCGTCAAGTCCACGCCAGTACTAGCTGGTGTGTGCGCAACCGACCCTTTCCGGGATATGTCTCGCTTTTTGAAGCAGCTGAAAGACCTCGGTTTCGCCGGCATCCAGAATTTTCCTACCGTTGGTTTGATCGATGGAACATTCCGACAGAATCTCGAAGAAACAGGAATGTCGTATGATGCTGAAGTTGAAGTGATGAAGATGGCTCGCGAGATGGATCTCCTGACCACACCGTACGTGTTCAACGTAGAAGAAGCGAAGAAGATGGCAAACGCTGGGGCCGATATCTTGGTCGCCCATATGGGTCTCACAACGAGTGGAAGTATCGGTGCAAGCAGTGGGAAGAGCTTGGATGAATGCGTCAAACTGATCCAAGAGATTCGTGATGCGGCAACGAAAATTAAAGAAGACGTCATCATTCTGTGCCATGGAGGTCCAATCGCAAAGCCAGAGGATGCGGAGTATGTGATCAGCAAGACGAAGGGTGTGCATGGCTTTTATGGTGCAAGCTCAATGGAACGCTTGCCAGTCGAGGACGCGATAACGAACATTACGAAGACATTCAAGGGTCTGAAGCCTGGATCATCGGTGTAGTTTAGCAGCGAAGAAACACATCGGATGCTATTGTTATGAGGCGCTCGCAAACTTCGAGTGCCATGGTGTAGTACAGTGAGTCCAGAATTCTTTATGGTTACAAAGTTTAAACATAGTTCCATCTCTACAATGTGTAGCGGAAGTCGGGATGGCGATCGCCAAGCTTCCCAGAATCGATCTCTCGAATCCTCTCTTCGATGGACATGACTTCTCTCTTCTTGTTGATCCCGCGCAAAGTAAAGTACATCAGAGCGTAACCGCATGCCGCGATTGTGATAGTTGTAATCGAGATAGCGTGACCGATTACGTAGCGGCCATCGTTATTCGTGATACGGTAAATCTGCCCAGCCATGATGCCAGCAGAATTACCAATGGTTTGCTGTAGACCGATGGCGGTGGCGCGTTTGAAGTATCCGGCATTGCTGTTAATCACCCAGGTAACGTTCAGGCCCACGACACAGTAGATGCCAGTAGCAGTGACAAAAGTCGCGAAGTATAGCACCCCGGTCGATGACATAGAGACACCAAGCATCATGGCGTAACCGATCGATGTAACCAATGCCAAAGGAACCATAAAGAATGCTCGGCGATTGACATAGTCGGAGCAAAAGGCGATAAAGAGGTATACAACTGAGGCCCAGATGTACACAGGTACGGTGAGAAGTTGAGTGCGAATGCTGGAGTATCCGAAGCCACGTATAATCACCGGGAGAAACGTTGAGAAGCCGAATGAACAAGTATTGGCGCAGAATTGGCATACAGCGCTGAGCCATACCTTCGGATCGCGGAAAGCAAGCTTTACTTCGGACTTGTCCAAAGCGTCCGATGTCATGGACTTGCCCTGGTAAAGTCGTTCGTTCTCGTGTCGAGCGCGGAGCAGAGCTTTCTCGTCTTCATTGAGCCACCATGCAGTCTCGAAGTTGTCAGGTAGCAGAAAGATTGTGGCGATACCGACGACCATAGAGATGATTCCTTCAACGAGAAACAGCCATCTCCAGCCCGCAAGTCCTTTTGCGCCATGCAGGTTTGTCAGACCGTATGCTAGTAGTCCACCAAAGGCCCCACTTAGTGCAGATGCAACAAAAAGGTAGGAAACCCTTCGAGCTTGCTCTAGCGGCTTGTAGTACATGCTCAGATACAAGGTCAGGCATGGGAACAGGCCGGACTCGAAGACACCGAGGAGTAGGCGTGTAGCTATGAGAGAGGCATAGTTCTCAATGAAAGCTGCTCCAATAATGACCGCGCTCCATCCGATGATGAAGGTGGGGATAAGGCGCGATGGTCGCAGCTTCTTCAACAAGATAGAGGCTGGAACCTCGAAGGCAATGTAGGTGACGTAGAAAAGTGTTACAGCGACATTGAGACGGTTGCCAGTGAGCCCTAGGTCTTCATTCATACCTGCGATAGCAGCATTTCCGATATTGGATCGGTCGAGGTAGGCGACCTGAAGCATGCTTGTTAGACAGTGGAGTATTTGTAAAATTGAATTTAACATACCAGAAACACCAGGACCATCATGGGAGACAATATCAGATCCAGTTTGCGGATAAGCTATCCATCCAGGTCAGCTTGTGACACCCAGTCATGTGTGCTGCACCTACCCTCTTCTCCGCAACTGGATCGATATGAATCTCTTCGCTAGCACCAATCTGTGTATCCTTTTCATGTATTGAGCCATCGAGGGCTTTATCATCCTGGTTCGGATGCGACATGTTGCGGGTGATGTTTCCTGGCGATTGATTGAATGAAAAACTCACGCTGTGGACTAGCGATCGCACCCAAAGGCATCTGCCATGATGAATACCTTATAGCATGCATGTTGGTATGTAATGGTATCTATTGCCGATCTGTGCCTTGTCAATTGTCCGACGCGGGGAGATAGCGAGCCCTGCCAAAGTGGGCGCGATATGCAGCGAAGGATGCACTAGTACCCCAGGCAAGCATTGGCAGACGATTGACAGAGATACCCGTCGGCTAAATCATGAGTATCTTCGGAAATCATCAACATGATGGAATCGCGATGCGAGAGCGAGGTCAACAGAGGTGATGGAGGTTTGTTGGCCAAAAAGAGGAAGAGAGGTCGACAAGCTAAGAGCTGCGTCGCGTGTCATCGGCGGAAGCAGAAGGTGCGTGTGACGTAATCAGCTACCTGCGAGTTCGCGTCTGCGATAACGCGTAAGGTATCCAACAAGACACAAACCTGCAGACCTTCGCAGCACGCAGGGTGACATGATCTTTACGGCCAGACTGCATCGGCCAGACAGTGGCTGACAATGTTCGCAGTGCGACGGAGAGTTGCCATGCTTCAATTGCAGCAGACGCGACGTCGCGTCGAGCTGCACGTACAGCGAAGAGGCTGAGGCTCGCCGCCAGCAGACCTCACAAGTTCCCACCGCTCCTCTAGGCGATGAAACGTCAGGTAGCGTCACGGGTATGTCACTACCGCCACAACGTGTCGCACAGCAGAGCGCGAATGTCCCTGCGATACTCTCATTGCGCAAACTCTGGCTAACATACCACGAAGATACACATACTACGGCCACGCACAGTAGAACCTCACCTGAACCCAGAGATGCACAAGTGGGCAACCTCTTCCGCAGCCGAGACGCGCCCTCCTTCTTTGGCTCATCATATTTCGGACCGCAGGCGGCGGCAAAAATAATCGAGGAGCCCGCACCGGACCTCTCATCTGGAATTCGCCATGCAGCCGCTTCGGCGCAGTCTTTCCGAGATGTCGGCGGTCCCTTCTCGCAGATATGGGATCTGCTGGGCTTACTGCCTCGCAATAAAGCCAGTGTCGACCGCCTGGTACATGTTTTCCTTACCGAGCTGAACTGGACCATAGACGCTATTCATCCTCAATCCTTCAAACTGAAATACGATGAGTTTTGGGAACGCAAATTCGGCTTTGATGACTACGCATCTATCGATCTCAGGTGGTTGGCATTACTGTTTATCGTCCTTGCGTACGGTGTCTTCCTTGACTGTCCCCACCCAAAGAACGGCGAAGTGCAACGTGATCTCCAAGAGACATCATTACGATTCTACTGGGCTGCGAGACGCGCTATAGTCATTGCACCAACGTTCTACGGAGAGTCGACAGACCTCGTCCGTGCTGGTGTCTTGGTCACACGTTACTTGATTCATTTGCGAAGGGTACCCGAAGCTTGGCTCACAACAAGTTTCGCAATGCGCATGGCTCAAGCGCAAGGTATGCATATCGATGGCGAGCGTTGGCGTCTCCCCCGTAAAGAGACTGAAACACGAAGGCGCCTGTGGAGTCATCTTTATACTTTGGATAAGACTATCGCTCTCGCCATCGGCCGCCCATTCGCCATTGTTGACCAGCAGTGTTTAGTCAAAAGAGCTACCAATGTCTGGTTGGATGATCAACCTGATGAGGCCGCTTCTGCCATCCCAGAGCTTCCGATCTCTTCGCCTACCTTGAGCGTCTACAACTTCCTCGCGCACGACTTGGCAAAGATCATCGGCGACATTCAAGATCGCTGCTTTGGCCTCTTCACCGTTTCTTACGACACGGTCATTTCGCTGGACCACGAGATTGTTACATGGGAAGCGAAGCTACCCGAATACTATCACTTGAAGAACCCAGATACTTCTATGGATCATGTACATCCGTTTTTGTACTGGAACCGCTTACATCTCCATTCCATGTACCATTTCGCCCGTGTCACTCTTCACCGACCGTATCTACTACGTCAAAGTATCACCAATCGCTTCAGGCATAGTCATGATGCATGCATTTCGTCGGCATGCGCTGACCTCGCAATGCGCATCGATTACTTTCAACAACCACTGAACGACCGCCTGAAGTGGACTTTGGGTCCTCACCAACTCTTCAACAGTGCCTTAGTGCTCGGTATCATTGCTGTCAAGGATCCACACTCGCCCAAATGCCGTGCGATATTAGAAGACCTTACTGCGTACTGTGATATGCAGAGAGCTGACATTTGGCTCAACGAGTTCGCGCTAGCTGAGGTCAAGATCATCGAGCTCTGCATCAAGAAAGCGGACCAGTTCCGCACTAGCCGTACTGAAACACGTCCTAATACAGCGAATGATGCTTCGGCTACTGCGCATGTTGCTAACAATATCGACTTGACATCGCCAAACACTGAAGATAGCTCAGCAACAGTACCCAGCTTACCAGCAGTAAGTGCAAGTAGGCCCTTCCAATGGCATGCACCTCCATGGGCAGACCCGTCTTTGACACTGTTTGAGCCTACTGATTTGCAACACTGGGAGCACGTGCTGGACAACATCACACAAGAGCAAATACTATTTGGTTTCCAATAGGATACCGAATCACAAATAAATTGGCGTGTCCCCTACAGGTTGAAGAGTGGTGTTGACATTCATCATAGCTACTAGAAGCTCCATCATCAAATCTTCACCATAACTCGATCTCGCTTGAATATCATCGCGGAATTATGTTTATTCGCTGTCAGCACCTTTTTTAGGCTTTCTCATACACGACTGGCGTCACCAGGCTTCCCATACCATGACTCATCACGATTCTCAGATCATCGCCCTGTTTGAGCCATACCTTTGGTACTTTGCTGACGCCAATACCATGCGGTGTGCCCGTCATGATCACGGTACCTGGCTCCAATGTTGTCCCTTGACTTAGGTACGCAACGATCTCACGTATGCTGAAGATCATATCATTCCCCAACGAGTATTGCATCGTCTCGCCATTCAGTACAGTCTTGAGCTCGATGTCGCCCGGATTCGATATTGAAGATGCGGATACGAGACAGGGCCCGAGCGGTGCGAAGCCATCGAAACCTTTTCCAAAACTCCATTGCGCACCGTTGAATTGGTGGACTCGCGCTGTCACGTCATTCGAACATGTGTAACCCAGCACGTAGTCCATAGCATCTTCTGTGCTCACATTCCTTGCCGATCTTCCAATGATTACGGCGAGTTCGGCTTCGTAGTCTGCCTGCCCATCGGTCGCTTGACGCGGGATGACCAATGGCGCATTAGGTGCACCCAGACAGGTTGCCGGCTTGAAGAAAAGGGTTGGGTGGTTTGGGAGATCCAGATTCATCTCTTTGGCATGTTTGCGATAGTTGAGGCCTATACAGCGAATAGTACCGACTTCGGTTCTTGACAGTGGTGGCAGCAGTCGTGATACTGTCGCGATCGCTGATGTTGGCTGCGCATCTACGGAGAGTACCGATGAACCGGTGAAAACACGTACTCCGACTTCTGATCCGGCTGCGAGGGCTGCGCCGACTGAAACTTATTAGCGAATGGCCTTTGGTGAAGACGAGGTGTTAGCATACCATCCAGTCCTGTGTCGAGCGGCTCGCCGATATGCTCAACACCGTCCTCGGCTGCCACAAAGCGCACCAAGCGACTCCAAGTCTACACGATAAAATCAGTAAGCGCTATGTAACCCTTTACATCAATCACATACCGTCTTCATTCCACTTGCGATATCTATCGAGCCCATGTTTGTGTGGAGTCTTGTAGAACACGAAAACAAGCTACGAAAGCGTGTATAATCAGGGTCCTGTGCCTACATCTCGGATACTTATTCCCTTCCAGTTCGCAGTATCATGGTTGATCTTATTGCCACGGCATGTATTGCCGTTGCTTATCGATCGGGAATTGTTAGACAGGCCGACACCCCTGCTCGGAGTGGGTCGATAGGACGTTTCCCCGCCAGTCCAAGTGCGTAACGTCGGATAACGTTATCTCAAGTCCACGGGTATCGCTATGGTCGCTGAACAATACGTCAAAAGCACCGTATCTTTGTTGGAATCCATGTAGACCATGGGTGAAATATTCACGAGAAGCTCGAGTCATTACATCGCACACTCGGCAGGACCATTACTTGAGCATATCAGGGTCGCCTTTCCCGAAATACAAAATTGACATTATATATCATATGTTGCGAAGCTACGCTATTCGAGTACGAAACCGCGTTTCCCTCTGCTCGAAACTCTGATCCATGCCTTCTCAGTAATCGAAGTGGCGTCCCCAAGGGCTCTTGTATCTCCTTCTCCTTCATTCTAGCGGTCGCCTTCGAGTTCTCTCTTCCTGGACGCTCTCATGGTGCGCGATTGTAGGTCTACTGGTACTGTTCGCGCTGGACCCCCATAATCTCTGGGTTGCCTACATGAGCCATTCTGCCGTAATCCGCCATCGACCGCGAATTGAAGTAGTTGATGCTTCGCTCTCCCGGAGGCACATTCGCCAGACTGGTGTCGATCGGCGGAAACTTGCTGCGGCGACCTAGAGCCTCATTAACTCGACCAGGAGTCGGCGCCTCGGCTGCCATACTGTCCGGCGAACCAGGGGCTGATCCTTGAGTTAGGAATGAGAATTGTACGGGTCTCTGCAGCCACTCATCCGGTCGCTTTTGTACTTGAGCCATATATCTGGACATTGGATTACGGCTCCTTGGCGGTGATTGCGATGGCTTTGTAGAAGGCATGCCAGCTAGGTTTTGCGGCTTGCGTAGCACGGTATTAGTCCGTTTCCCGAAGTTCAAAGGCTGAGGCCTGAGACCACGATCGGATAGAGTCGAACCGGCAGTATCTTGAATAATACTACCATCGTTTGAAAAACTTGTCAAATCCGACTGCCGATCGCTAGGCGGAGTCACTGCATCTCCATTCACATCCAAGATCATCGACTCATCCCATGGAGGCGGCCGCGTTGTCATCTGCTGAGTTGTTGTCGATAGTGGGGATGGCGCTGTCGATCGCTGTAACAAGGGCATTCTAGGTGCGATAACGCCAACAGTCTGCGACATCGGGTGTTCTGAACTTGGAGATCCTCCGGCCTCGGGCGTGTTCAGATTCGAGCGACTTACGTCAGGGTTTGTGACAAACCATTGTTGTGTTTGCGGTAACGGAGCGATGCTGCCAACGTCATTCTGGACTTCGGGAACAGAGGCTCGTTCAAAATCGCCAATCTCGTTGACTGTAGCATACTCAATCCTTGGAGAGTCGACCTTGAATCTCTTTCCTTTCCTCCTCAAGATCGCTGCCCGCTCCTCCCCTCGAGACCACAGTTCACTTTGGGTTGCACTCCTCGCCAGATTCTTCGCCGCACTCTTCACTTCTGCTATGGTTTTGAAGCCGATTGTTGCCTCTTTCATACCATTGGCAATGTTTCCGCCATCTCTAGTTGGCACATGCTGAGCTAGGGACAAAGATGACGTGGTATTTTCCGGAACTTTGTAGTTGTTGATAGTCACAGGACCATTACCATTGATATGATAATGTATCGAGAGTTGCTGTGGATGCGACGAAGCTACGGCTGCCGATACTACCGCATCGGCAGCGACTTTTGGTGGTCGACTTACAGTAGCAACGGGGGCTAGAGGCCGAGAATTTGCAACAGGCTTACGCGCAACGCTCTCACGCGATGTTTGAGACGAGGGCGGCTGACCAACAGACGATGCTCTACTCGGCAGTGAATAGAGCGAGAAGGACGTGGATGATCGAGATTCTTGGGCTTCTCGCTGTTGACTTCCATGGTACTCATTTCGCCAGGAGTCCGATAGAGCACGCTGCGGTTGTGCATGGAGTTGGGGCGATAGCGATTCTCGAGTTGTGATGAACGTGTCTCCAGTAGACACTGTAGCCGATCGATTCGGACTGTCGTTCGCTTGTGATGGTGGTGGATATGTGCCAGAGAGTCGCTCGCTGGATCTTCTGGTGCTTAAAGGGCGTCTTATGATCATCCTCTTCCCATATAGCATGCCAGGAAGCGATCCTGCCTCACTATGAGGTGCTGTACTGCCCGCATAAGACGAAACATATGCACCTGGTAATAATGGGGTACTACAGTTCGATTTCGGTCTACCCACCGCACCACGTGCTGCCGAGCTTGCCTGAGAAGGCGATGCTGGGAATGCGCCTGGGTATACCAAGTGGTTTTCGCTGATTCGCGAATCGCTCGGGGTACTGCGAGATACTTTGAGTAATTCCACTCTCCGTCCAGGGTTCTCTTCTTCCGTACGATACAATAGTGAACCCGATGAAGGCACTGATAGAACAGAGGGACCGATCCTGACTGGAGGCGAAGATAAAGTACCCGCAGTTGCTGGATGCGGAGATTTTACACTGGGTCTGCCGCCGTCTACAGTGAGGGTGGCCGGAAGAACAGCAGCGTCACTGTGTCGAAGCTCCTTTTCCTGACTTAGCAGTATACTAAGCCGCATATGCTCCTCTTCGGTCAAGTCGTTGATAGTATACTTTGCCAGGCAACGGGTAAGCTCTCCGGCCTTTCGTTTCTGCTCACACTTCACGGTCAGTTCGCTTTCAACGATGGCCTTGTCGATAGCCTCCTTTTGCTCTTGCTCAAGAAGCGTAGCTGTCACCAGGCTATCTAGAACGGCCTGCTCCAACTGTTCGCGCTCGGCTCGTTCAGCTCGGGCACGTTCGTCCACGCGAGACTCCAACTTTGCCTTCTGAAATTCTGCCTCTTCTGCTTGATTTGACTCTACTTGACTGACGGAAAGTGCAAGGCGGGTCTCCTCATCTTCTTTTGCGCGCTGACGTTCGACTTCAGAATTCGCAAAACGCCGTAAATCCTCGTTTTCAGCGGTATCTCGACTCCGCTGAAGGACCTCATCCCATCTCCGGTGAAGATCCATAGCCACATCCTCCGCAATCCATTGTAGATCTTCCGGCTGGTAGTCGCCATCGAATTCCATCGTCGAACGATATCCGACTTGTGCGATGCAGGCGAGTTCAGTTGGGTCAGCTGGAACGGTCCAGTCTGGCAAATGGATATTCGAGAACAAAATATGCTATGAGACAATGATGTAGAGTGTTGGAAGGTCGAGCGGTCGAGCTGGCAAGTTTGGGAAGACGTCGGGTGTTGGTGGAGATCGTGGTGGAGAGTGGCCGTCATGCCTGTGGTGTGCGCGGAGTTGGGCTAGTCATCGGTCGACTTACACTGGTAGCATCGCTGCTCACGTGCAGCTCCGAAAGGGGGAGTTCTGACATAATTTACCTACCCTCATTTCTTTCCCGAAAGGCTGCAATGAGAACCACTAGCGTAAATTGGTCACAGCGCTTCTTGGGAGTTGACATATAGAGCTCCACTAGATGAGTAGGCTGAATGCTGCGCCCGCCATAGAGTAATGTCACATATACAATGGCGCCAAGATGCACTGACTTATCGAATTGTGAAGAAAGATGGGTAACATACATTGCGTGAGACGTCGCCTTCTTTTATCAGAAGGTTTGCGTACCGATAGGCTTGTCGCTCTTTTTGTTCGTTTTCTTCTTTGACGCCACGAGTATGGTTTGCTCCAGCAAATACACATTGTCTCATTGGCGCGTCCACTCGCGCCTCTGCTGTGTCTAGGCATCTTCTCCCGCAGAGAATGATATGGGCAACATATAGACTGAGTATTCGTGAATGTGCGTAATGCATCGCTACAGTCCACATCCAGTAGTCAACACATCGACAACCTGTTTCCGAAACTCAACCATGCCTTCAGTCGGGTCATCATAATGCCAAGTGAGGCATTTGAGTACGACCTGCGCGTAGGCTTTTCCCATCTCTCTCTCGATGTCGATACTGTTCGCCCAATCTAGTGTTGCATTGTGCACACGATTAAAGAGATCTTGCTGCTGCGCTATATCAAAGATGGGAAACTTTTCTATACGGCGCGCGAAGACTTTCGCCATCGTTCGCCATAGCCCAAGCTCGAGAAGTACCACGCCAAGAGAGTAGATCTCATGTTCATTGGAATATTCAGACGATGGTCGGCCGAAGCGGTCGTGATGTCGGTATAGATTCGGCTCCAATGCGAAGTGCGTAGCGTCGAGAGGCTGGAGCACGCCCCAACCAACGAAGAAGGGGGACAACTCGAGGTCGTTCAAGGACCGTGGCATCATAGCTATACTACGCGACTGTACATTTCCGTGTACCCAACCAGAAGCGTGCGACTCAAGTAGTGTACTCGTAAGCGCTCTCGCTATTAGAAAACGGCTTCCTATCGAGGGTCTTGCGGTTGGACCCTTCGAGATCATGTCATGCAAAGTCGGTGGATTCGATGCCCAAGGATGACTTTGTGGTGCTCGGTAGATAATCAAACTCCTCGTATTCAGTGGATCATCGATGAAACCCATGCAGCTGAGGGTGTGCAGCTGATAGCCGTCTTGGGCATCGCTCTTGACCGATACATCAGTTTGATGAGGAGCCTGTAACAGCCACGTCAGATGACACATGTATTCAGCGGGCGTCTCGCTATCGGATCTAGGCTCAACCAGCACGTCCACCTCCTCACCTCCATCGTCATATATCGTCTTGATGAGGCTGTGTGATGGTTGTTCGGTGCTTATCGGGTCCCTCAGTGCGCCAACAAGCGCATTGTAATCATTCGAAGGCTCTGCACCCGCTCGGTGCTGGCGTTCGAGTTGTTCTGCTACGCCAAGGATGGCAGCTTGTCTCGTGCGACCGAACCCTGGATCTGGCGGACCGATACCAAGGAAGACGATTTCCAAAGTTTGTCGAAGCCGATGAGTCCATTGCAAGCAGTTTAAGGTGAGCGTGGCCATCTCCTCTTCTCCGAACAACGCCTTGTACAGCCCAGGTCGCGCCTTTTCGCGCCATAGTTGCGAACGCTCTTTCATCTCCTCTCTCCAGCCTCTCTGCTCATATTGAGCGTCCAACGATGCGGCGCGACCGCGCTTCAGATCTTCGATGCTTCTCTGACCTGCTCCAGGTATAGGGCTTTTGCCTATGTACCTCCATGCCTCTCGATGCGCAGCTAGCGACTTATTTAGCGAGTATAGAGAATACTCTACATCACTCGTCAAGGTACGATGCACTCGACTGTCGCGCAAGATTCCGGTCAGCTCACTAAAACAAACGTTCGAAAAGACATCCAAGAAGACGAGTGTTTCATTCAAGAAGTTTGTTGTGTGTGGTACGCTGCTTGCGTCTTTCGTAACATCGCGAATGAAGATCAGAGTTGCGCAAATGACTATGGCAGTGTTAGCATCCCATTTTGCGGTCGTGTGTTCTTTGTTTAATGTTTGAGTTCCGCAGGTAAAAAATAGCTTTCTGGTCCAGCAATGATTCGCACCGGGTCATGAAGTGCATCAGACTCGGAGGATAGCGGAGTTTTCATCGGATGTTGCAAGCGACTATCTACCAGAATACGTACGATGAATGAGCTCGAGGGATGCGTTGACATGATCCATGGTGTCGCAAGCTTTCCAGGAGTGGTAGACCTCAATACGCAGTCAATAGAACACGATGCAATTGCGGAAAGTAATGTGGGAAGTGCATTAGCGGCGGAAGCTGTCAAGATGGTGAGCAAACGGCAATGCGGCGTGCCATGGTTGCGCTAAGCCACCACATCGGCGTGATGTTCCAGCTAAATTTAAGTTGCCCCGCCACATTGCCGACATGAAGGGGTTGGATCATGACACAGACGAATTACTGACGCGACTCGATGCAAAAAAGAGAGTTTGATGGTAGAGTGGTTGGAAAGTGGGAAGTCTGGCGGCTTTCCAAGGTCGGGGCTCGAAATTACATGTAACGTCATTGTCCGTGCACAGCTCAAAAGACGCTAGCTGCCGAAGCAAGCATGTGGACCGAACTCGCTGTTCGTCTTGAGTTTCTCGCAGTCTCTTCTGTACGATAACGTACAATCTGAATAACGCGTTATAACCGATTACTAAGTTGTGAGCGCTGTATCATCTGAGATGGCCTGAAGAAACATGATACGACAAGGCGAAAATGTTGCGTCCTCTACCGTGTCCCACACAGCGTTGGTCTCCGGCACTTGGTCGGCTAGGCTTTCTTCCCTGGACGCCTACATCTAAGCTTTCGCAATCAGCTTCTCCCATCAAAACCACCAATTTTATCGAGGCTAGCTTTCGTACCACCGTCAATGACATATACCTAGAGGCGATCAGGGATGTACAATATTGAGGAACTCTCGAGGCAGAAATTCTGTGTCTAGCACGAGATCGGATCGCGAATAGGCTCTATGTAGTACGTTCTGAGGCAAGAGAAGGTGAAGGGTAGTAAACAAGGGACGTGTATGAGTAACAGTCAAGACTCGAGTCAGCAATGGATTATAAGATCTTTATCAAAAACCAGTCATGTCGTGATGTGTTGATTGCTGGGGTCAACAGACGGGTGGGTCTATGGCGTCATGCGCTAAGATCGAATTCGAGACGTGACGCGAGCTGTCGGCATGCTGCAATAGCTCTGCAACCACCATGCCATCGACCACGCCCGTAGCTGCAACAGTTGTCATCTGCAAGACTTTGCAGAGATACAAGAAGAGTGTTCAAACTCAACAGGAACTCGCCTTCGACGATGAACCCGCCACGCGATAGCCAACAACCCAATATCTCCTTTCCACCCATGTCGACCCGCTGCGAACGCTTGCATGCATCCTATCAGAACACCGGCCTGCGTACATACACAATACGTAAGCCTAATGAGGTTTTGCGCCTCCGGGTGGTGGCAGCTTGCTGGCAATACGCTTGTCCTGCTCTTCCTTTGGCAACGTATCCCATTCAGCGACGTTCTTGTCCTTCGCGATATCAGCACAGATCTTGGTGTTATAATTTGGTTGCTGTTTGACTTACCCATTCTGCTACACACTCTGGCTTCCAATTACACTGTTCGACCTCGCCGTACATGGGGTGATTGCGTCGTGGATGAAGCGTTGGCCATCCCGAAGCATGATAGTGGTGCTTCACCAACGCACCCCTCGAGTCATGATTCCCGGAATCCGAGTGTCCTTGGCCGGCTGCAAAGGCTTCCACGTTCAAGACTAGGATTCCGTTGACCAGCCTCGACTCTGCCAAATTGTGGAAAAGATCCCAGGTAACCGGCTTCCCTTGGTTCTGTGCTGTCATCTGCTCCAGCACAGCCTTGGTAAATGCCGAAGGGCCCGTCCCGCTAATGACTTCGTCAAAGTCCAGGTGTAGTTGCGAGATCTCAACCTCCTTTTCGTGCGACAGCTCGTGTAACCAGACTTGTATGTTCTCGATGAGCCTCATCATCACAGGCAGTCTTGGCTTGGCGGCGAACGTCCACTGACAAAAGGATTTACACTTTGACCCCAAAATTTCGTGGTCAGCGAACGTTGGCTCATCAATCTCCACGCCGATTATCATGTCGACATCTTGCTCGTTGTACCGCTCAGGTATGAATCTGCTGATGGGACGAAGGCATTCTACGTCTATGTCGGCATACACGCCGCCCTCGGCGTACATGACGAGGTAGCGGAGCAAATCAGCCTTGATAATTGTTATGTTGAGCTCTCGGTAGAGGTCGACAAGGTCCGGTCTATTGATACCATGTGCACCGTAGTGCCATTCGAGGTACTCATTTGCGTTGTCGTCGGTCAAAACCTCGTACCGATATTGAGGGTTCTTTGCTGGCCTGAAAGGTGCGCGCACGAAGTCAATATACGTCTCACATGCAGTTCATAGAGGCGATTTCTTACCAGGTCTTCGCTGAGTCGGAGTCGCGCTTCTCGAAACCTAGGGGACCAACCTTCCATGTTTGCCAGATCTTCCTAGGAATGACTGCACCGTTCAGTTGCAGCGGTTGCTGGTACTTGAGCTCGCGTCTGTACTTTGAAGCAGCCCGGATGGGTGTAGTAAAAAAGTGCGTATTGGCGAAGAACAAGAATATGAAGAGAAGGGCAAGATACGCAGGCAAGACCCTTCGAACTTGACTTGTGAGCTTGCCTGAGAAATGCGATGCAATTGGGGAACGGGGAGGCATTGCGATATCAAGGTGAAGCTTGGGCGGAGGTTGCCTAGGTCGTGTGCGCATGCTGGGTTATTACAACGACCCAGGCCACTACGGCGACCCGACCCTCTCGAAGTCTATGAGGGATTAGCTCGTCTTGACTCTTCTAAGAGCCTCCTGTCATCTTCGCAAGCGGCCATTGCGCCCACCAATCCCCGTTCAACTATCATCCTCGGTACGTCGGTACAAATGGTTGAGACAGGGCCTGCCTCGTGGCGGAAGCTCGATAGCGCATGTGCGTTGCATGCCTAAGAGCTCATCTGCATCGTTGCGGCGAGGATGTTAGGTTAAGATGCCTAGGCTAAAGCTTCTCTAGACGATCCCTGCAAGTTGGTCGGCGGTTTCGACATAATCGGCACCATTCCCACTCAAAGCCCCGCACCAGTTATCGTCTGTCAGGGACGACCCAATAGGACTATTTACCAAACCGTAACTGATGAGCGCTATTGCGGGTCAATCTAGTCCATTGTCGGAAGTTCCTGCGGTATGCTATCAAAATCACCAACACCGTACCCCGCCTGCATGGGCCGTTCGACCTGGATGAGTGCTTTGTTGCATCTGAAAAGCTCTACACATGTGCTGCCTCGGTTGAGATCAGCTACGTGTACGATCATTTTGAGAAAATTGTGTTTCCTCCGGCCTAGCACAACCTCCGCGGTAACCGCTATCATTTTGCGTCCTCAGACCCTCACCACCCTGTCCAGTCGAGGTCGAATCCATCACGATCACTGCTACAGCTTCAATATCAGCCATGCCAACCACACATGGGGGACTCTTGGATCATGGCCGACTCGACGACGTCAAATTGTCACCAACGATATGGAAACCAGTCCGAACAGCAAGATGGAGTCTTAACATCGTGCGCCCGGAATTCTTGAGCTTACGCTCAAACACCAAGAGCAGCTCAATCAGACCGACAGCGTGGTTAGACGGTCTGAGGGGATTTGCAGCGTTCTTGGTATATCTGCATCACAATCAACTGTGGTCCCACGGTGGCAAAGGGAATCTGGTCTTCGAAAACTCGTTCGGCTACGAGGGAAGATACTACTCCGCAGCTTTCCCTTTCGTACGGCTCTTCTTCTCTGGTGGCCACTTCGCCGTCGCCATCTTCTTCGTCATCTCAGGATATGTCCTCTCGCTCAAAAGCCTGAGACTCATACAGGAGGGAAAACCATCAAGCGCATCAGAAACGGTCGGTTCCGCTCTTTTCCGTCGCTGGCTTCGACTTTACATTCCTGTCATCATTGTCACGTTTGCCTGGACGTCATTCCGACACTGGAGTAAACTGTCACTTGACATGCACGAGATGAAATCCACATTCCGCGAAGACGTCATTGTCTGGTACCAAACCCTCAAAAACTACAGCTTCGTATTCTCTACAAACATCTATGAGTTCACGGAAGCGTATCATCCTCATACCTGGTCAATACCTATCGAATTCAAAGGATCCATTGTCGTCTACACTACACTTTCTGCACTTTCGCGGTGCACACGGAACGCTCGTTTATGGTGCGAGGTGGCTTTGATCACATACTTTCTCTATGTGGTAGACGGCTTCTACGCAGCATTGTTCATGTCCGGGGTATTGCTCTGTGACCTTGAATTACTGGCCCAGCGGGACGAACTCCCGCGCTTTCTTAGTGCGCTGGCCGGATTCAAGGAGCTCATATTTTTCCACTTGTTCATCGCCGCACTTTACCTCGGCGGAGTACCGGCATTCGATGCGCCAGAAATCGATCGCACCGTTCTCATCTCCAGGTCGCCTGGATGGGTCTGGCTGTCACATCTCAAGCCCCAAGCTGTCTTCGACGCAAAGTGGTTCTACCTCTTCTGGGCTGCATCCTTCGCAGTAGCCTCGATCCCACGCCTGCCATGGCTCAAGCGCTTCTTCGAGACTGGTTTCTGCCAGTACCTTGCGCGCATCTCGTTTGCGCTATACCTAGTCCACGGGCTTGTAATATGGACCCTGGGAGACCGACTTTACGCCGCGGTTGGGCTCTCAAGGCCATTTCACAAGGACGGTATACCAGGATGGGTCGACAAGTTCCCGCTCCCCAAGAAAGGGCCTATGGGTCTTGAGGTTGCATTCTGGCTACCACAGCTGATCATTCTTCCCCTTACACTCTACGCTGCCGAGGTTGTTACGAAACTAGTCGATGAGCCCAGCGTCACATTAGCCAATTGGCTTTACAAGTGTACGGTCCGGCCACAAGTAACCCCGCCGAAGCACCAGCGCAGCTACTCTGTACGATAGAAATTTAATCAGTCTTGCGTTGAAGTTTTTTTCTGCGTCATCGCCTTGCATTGGACCACATGCACGCTTGCGTGCTCATCTCTTACTCGGCTTCATGTGATTTTACCCGCTCAGGGAATTCCCGTCACAACACTACTGCAGGTGCGGACAGGGTAAGGTGCATTATCATGGAGGCACAATATCTATTGGTTGTTCCGAATTGGAGCTTGCTCCGACACCGCGCCCCATGGGGTAATCTCTGGGCGCCTGGGCATTGAACGTTGGTCTTTGCGCGCCTGCAGATCGTTGTTAGCGGCAGCACCCGAAATTGGCGACAACGCCGCGTGATTATCTGAAGCCTTGCTCTCATCAGTGTTGAGGCGATGATCAGGTCATCGGCTTTGTTACCATTATTCAAGTAACACCTCCTCCCTATCCCGTCGTCGGCTTAATTATGACGTGGGTGTGTGCCCGAGCATTTCGACTATGGGTGCATGTGATATCCGCCCCTTCAAGGATTGACTAAAGGTTTGTCGCCAAATCTGCGTTGTGTCTCCGTACACATCATGCGACGCCGACATAATATTACTTTAGCAACACTTGCTTGTCTCGGAACGGTATACCTCGTTGCACAACACCGACACGAATTCAAAACCACGCCAGGGGGTGCACGCATCAGCGGAATTGAGATATTGCCGTCTGACAGGCTCACCTCCTCCCACCAAAACGATGGCTTCGTTATTCTGAAGGATGAAGTATCAAGCCAAGCAATACCAGAAGATGTTAGGTCGCCGCTAAAGGAAATCGCCGCTTCCGCTATTGGAGAGCCTAGTCTAGACCTCCAGCCGAGACCTTCCTTCGAGGAAGTCTCACAGTCATCAAGAACAGACAGCGAACCCGAGACGAAATATCCTTTCCAAGACGATTTACAGCTTGACCTACCTACCACCGTGCTTCAACGGTACTCGACACAAACGCCTCACAGTTACGACCTCGGCACCCCTGGAAGCTATGCGTACGCAACATTTCTTGCTACTCTTAACCCCTCTCTTAAAGATCCCTACTTTCTCGCTATTCATTCGCTTATCTATCGGATACTCTGGTCTTCCCAAACACGCAGCCAAAAATACCCGCTCATCGTTTATGTGGCCGAATATGTAACAGACGAGCAGCGTGCGCTCCTTAAAGGAGCCGGTGCACTAGTACGCGAGCTCTCACCTCTTCAATGGGAATGCAACGTCTCTGGCGTGCAAGACCGATGGAAGGATCTCTTTGCCAAGCTCAATATGTGGAAAGAGACGGAGTTTGAGCGCATACTGTTTTTGGATGCTGATGCGTTTCCGTTGGCGAATATTGATGAGATGTTCGACCTCGCGCCTAAGCAAGATTGCATACCGGAGAAATTGCATCTCGATGACTTCCTACCCGACGGGCCAGTTTGCGAGCCTTACATCTTCGCTGGCGTCGCGCAAGATATCTTCAATGCGACATATCCTAACGTCAACGTCGGGTCAATGGTCTTCACACCCTCCTTGCGCATGCATGCACGACTTGTGCAGAACTATGTCAAGACCGATAATTACGATTGCTTAATGGCTGAGCAGGCGTTCTTAAACTGGCAGTTTGGTCCGGAGAGCGCATATCCAGTGACAAAGCTGGATAGACAATGGGGTGGATTCTTTCCCACGGAGGACGAGGGCGATGGAAAACTGAAGATTGTCCATGAGAAGCTCTGGGTTATGAAGGAGGGATGGATGAAACAGGAATGGGAGAAGGGCTGGAACGAGATGAATGAGTTCTATGAGAGCGCTGAATTTGCCAAAGCGAGAGAGGAAGATGGTATGGTTTCTGGAAGCGATTAGGGTGCTTATTACTGTCACAGTCTTCTGTACTGCTTGATTGCCATCCTCAGAGTGTTTTCTTTTGCGTGTATTCCAGACCATCTGGGCGAGATTTATGTGGACAAGCGAGACGAGAGAAAGGAACATAATTATATAGTTGTGTTGGCATGCATAGCAACGAGAGGGTGTTTCTGGAATGGCGTACCATTTATGGTCTTCATTCCAGAAAGGTTTAGACAACTATGGCCATGGTTTTGGTATCTTCAAGAAAGCATAGCATTATCGGATGAGGTTTGCTGTCCACGTTACTCATACTATACACGAAGCACCGTCTACGCACTGGCCTCTGCAGTGCTCTGCCTTTCGGCTATACTTCCACCCTTCCAACTTCCCTTTGGATCGACCTTGTTCTGCACCCTACTTTCGTCACCTTCCTTACCCCAGCCACCGCCGCCAGGTGTATGGATGATGATCCTCTCACCCGGCCGCATAGCTGCCGTATTCTTAGCACCCATGTTGATATATCTGTACTCCACGTCTTCTTTCGCTCTTGCAGCGTCCTTCTTCTGGGCCGCTTCTACTGCATCAGAAGTCCTAGGCGCATGTGTAGTGTCCTCCAGAGGTTCTGTGGGGCGCTTGGAGTCCGAGTTCTGGTCAATAGCCTTTTTGTCTACTTTCTTGACCCAGATGTTCAAGCCACATGCTGCGTCGCCTCCTCCTTCCATGCCGTAGGGATGGTATACTCTTCGCTCGCTAAGAATGCTAACTTGGACGGGGATGCGGAACTCGATGTCGCGAATCACACCCTCACCACCAACGTGCATGCCCTTACCGGCACTATCTTGTCGTAGCGAGAACTCACGGAGCAGAACAGGATACCTTCGCTCGAAGACCTCAGAGTCGGTGATGCGGGTGTTGGTCATATGTGTATGCACACCGTTTGTGCCATTCCATGTTGAGCCAGCGCCAGATCCTCCTGCAATTGTTTCATAGTACCCGAAACCTTTCGTCTCTTTGCGTTCGCCGCTCTTATCGCCTTCTCCATATGTTGTACCGCCAAAGCCGAAAGTGAGGTTGTTGCAATCACCCTGACTCGCAGCGCAGGCCTTGAACGCCTTGAGAACTACGTCGGTAACACGCTGACTTGTCAAAACGTTGCCGCCCACAACAGCTGCGTTGTCGGATGGTGAGAGGAAGGACTTCTTGGGAATGAGGACATGGATCGGTTTGAGGCAACCTTGGTTCAACGGGATGTCCTCGCTGATAAGACAGCGCAGACAGTAGATGATAGCAGAGTAGGTAACGGCTTCTGGCGCATTAATGTTTCCGTAGACTTCAGGGCCTGTGCCGGAAAAGTCGAATACGGCCTCACCCTTCTCAGGATCGATCGATACCTTGAGCCGGATAGGGCTTCCATCATCCATGAAATCCTCTGCGCTAAGATCCTGGCCTTCAAAACGCTTGTAGACGTCTTTGAGTAGAGCACGAACAGATTGCTCTGCGTTGGCTTGGATGTTGGTCATGTAGAACTTGACAACTCGCTCGCCATAGTCCGACATTAGTGTGCTGATTAGGTTGATACCTTTTTGATTGGCGGCGACTTGTGCCTTCAGATCGTTGATGTTGTCACTGAGGCATCGTGTACCAGAGCAACCAGGATACTGACCTGGTTCGTCCAGAAGAAGCTCAGTGATGCGCTTCTCGTTGAAGTGCCCTTCGGATACTAGTTTCTCAGATTTGATAGCCGCACCTTCTTGGTAAAGCTCTTTTGATGCAGGAGGCATAGAGCCGGGGAGTATGCCTCCAATGTCGGCATGATGCGCGCGTGAAGCGACGTAGAAGATGATATTGTCACCACTAAAGGCGGGCGTGATTACAGTGATATCTGGCAGATGAGTGCCGCCGAACATAGGGTGGTTCGAGACGAGGACGTCACCCTTCTTGAGTTTGCCCTTCCAGATGGCGGCTTGTTTGCGAACACAAGTTGACATGCTACCGAGATGTACCGGTAGATGAGGGGCTTCACTATCATTAGCCGGGTTCGGTCACTTTAACAATCGACGTACCGTTGGCGACAAGTCCACCATTCTCGTCAAACAGCGCGCAGGAGTAATCCAGCCGTTCCTTGACGTTAGTGGAAACACTAGTTTTCTGGAGTGCGCGGCCCATCTGCTCAGCAATGGCCATGAATCGATGCGCAAAGATGCTGAGCAGGATTGGGTCGACCTCTTTCGTACCAACCTCCTTCTCTTGGTCTTCAGTCTCACCAATGTTTATCACCACGTGGGTATTGATGACAAGCGCAGTAGCGCCAGGTGTCACAACGATAGTCTGCGTACCATCCGCGATAATTGCTGGCCCCTTCAATCGATCGCCAACTTCCAAATCCTCGAGCTTGTAGACTGAAGTGTCTTGTCGGCCACCCTCAAAGAATACCTTGCGAGTGTCGTAGCGCTTCGTGTCGCCTGAGATATCTTTTGGCTTGATCTCTTTGAGTTGCTGATCTACGCTCTTTTCGAGACCTTCAAATGTCTTGCCGATGCCACGAGCTCGCACATCATCTACAATGATATCGCGATCAGGTAAAGTGAAGCCGAATTCTTGTTCATGCTGCTTGACGAAAGCCTTGCCAAACGCCCATTCATCTCCATCGTATTCTTGCTGTGCCTCCTCCTTAGTCGGCTTGATAATCATGAGGGCGGATTCTGTTCCTCGATATCTTAGATTGAGGTACTCCTCGAAGTGGACATGCTCCTCGTCAAAGCCCTGATCTCTGAGCGTACTTGTCGACTTGCTCTTCAAATCTGCCATCTTGTTTTGCAAGTACTCTCTTGTTTCCTTCTTGTCCGACCATACGGTAGACTCTGGTTCTTGCCTCTCATCAACAACGTCGGCAAGCGCCATACCATATGCAGAAAGAACCGACGAGTAGCGATGGATCAGAATCTGCGAGATGCCAAGAGCTTCGGCGATGGCCACCGCGTGCTGACCACCAGCACCACCAAACGTCGCGAGTCGGTGCTTACTTGTGTCGTGTCCACGGGCTTCGGTCAGACTGCGAATAGGTCGTGTCATGGTTTCATTCGCAATCTTGATGAAACCGTTCGCGATATCGTCCAGCGACATTTCTTTCTCCTTGTTGCCGCCTGCGACCTCTTTATTGATCTGCTCCGCCAGCTCCTTGAACAACTTCTCGCTCGCCTGCGCATCGAGCCCCTCGTCTTCGTTCTTACCGAAAATCTTAGGAAAGAAGTCTGGTAACAAGCGTCCAAGGAACAGATTCGCGTCTGTGATTGTCAACGGACCGCCCTTGCGATAACAAGCTGGACCTGGATGTGCGCTCGCAGACTCCGGGCCAACAACAAAAAGTCCATTTCTCCAGAACAGACGCGATCCACCACCAGCAGCAACAGTATTAATATCGAGTTGTGGTGATTGGATGGTGACACCGGCTGTCGTAGTTTCAAAGACATGATCGTAGCGTCCAGCGCCGTATCTGCTCACGTCGGTACTAGTGCCGCCCATGTCGAATCCAATGACAGGAATCTTGGTTTTCGGATCGTACGATGTGAGCGCATAACCAACAACACCTCCGGCAGGACCTGAAAGGATAGCTTTCAGGCCTGAGAAGATGTCGACGTCAACCAGGCCTCCATCTGACTGCATGAACTCGCAGCGTGCGCCTTTTGATCCTTCCTCGCGTTTCACGCTCTTAGTGCCAAGGCCGCCCTCGAAGCCTTTGGAAAAGCCATCGATATACTTTCGTATCGCAGGGGTGAGATATGCGTCTGCGCAGGCCGAAGTGGCTCGTGGGACCAGCTTGATCATAGGCATGAGCTCGTGACTCAAACTGACATGCTCAAAGCCAATCTCCTTCGCGATCTTTCCCACCAACGCCTCGTGCTTTGGGTATGTGTATCCATGCATCAAACATACCGCAATGCTCTTCAGTCCACCATCGTAGACCTCCTGCAACTGCCTTCTTATCGCCTCTTCCTGGGGCCGTTGTAGGATGCGCACCGTCTCACCAGACAAGCCCTTCACCAAGTCAGCATTGTCGCCAGCCTCTTCTATGCTCTTGGCCTGTGTTTGGTTCCTTTCTGGATCTTCGGCGTAGTCTTCTAATGTGACGCGCTCATCGATCTCGACAACCTTCTTGTACAGCACCTCAGGCTTCCGGATGTCGAGCGCGAAGATGTTGGGCCGACTCTGGTTTCCAATCTCAAGACAATCCTTGAAGCCCTTTGTGACGACCATGGCAATGTCTTCGCCCTTTCTCTCTAGAAGCGCGTTGGTCGCGACCGTGGTGCCCATGCGTATGCTCTCGATCTTGGACGTGTCGAGCGGCTGTCCACGGGGAATCTCGGTTCCAGTGAATTTGGAGAGGAGGCGGCGGATGCCTTCGAGCGGCGCGTCATCGTAGTTGGAGGGGTCGACGGAGAGCAGCTTGATGAGGATGTCGTCCTCCATCTTGCCGGTGCCAGGATTGCCTACGCAGTCGGTGAAAGTACCGCCACGCTGCACTGTCAGCTATCGCCATGCGTGTATGTTTTGGTGGCATACATCAATCGCGATGCGGATGCCCCGCTCACTAATCTTTGGAGTCGCCATGTTGATGGGGGCTGGTGAAGCTCAAGGTGCTATGGCAGAGCTTCAGGAGGATAAAAGCATCGGCAGACGCCAGAGGAAACCTCAGAGTGAGCAACAAGTGAAGTGAGGTTTGTACGTGACATGATGCAAGCCACACGCGACTGCATGCACCACCCACGAGAATCGAAAGTGGGGTAATCTTCCCGTTGCTGCCCCGCGACATCGGGGCCCTTTTGTCATCCATCTCATCTGCGTCACCTAAACTCCGCGGCTTTCGCTGCCTTAGGCTTAGTGCGCTTGGTCATCATCCGACCACCTATACGGCTGCTCCCGTCAAACCACAATCGGAGCGTCGTCAACCTTCTCTGCCGTGAGAGCAAGGTTCGCGTGGCTGCGACGTCCTTGGATACCGCATTGTCGTGATAAGAAGTGGGACAAAACAGCGACACCCATCGCGTCTTGGTCACGAATTCGCGTGTAGCGCGTCTGCGTTCCGAAAGATTACCTTGCCTTTGATCCCATCGTCCACCCGGCTCAGTCAAACGGCTGTATCCGTAGCCGGCTTCGATAGCATTCATCGGGAGTAAGAAAATCCAGAAATGAGGAGCGCCTCGAAAAGTCAGCAATGTGGACGCCGCGAGCTCGAAGTCATGGCTGACAAGCTTGCGGGCAACATGATCAAGGCCTCAAGCCAGGAAGGCTGGAGAGCGCCGGGAATTAAATACTACAAAGTTCATGGTCAGCCACACGCGTTCGAAGGTTTCCCCACCAAGGATGTTGAAGCAGAGAAGGCAAGAGTAGCAGCGGCAGATGCTATGCTCAGCAAGATATCAGACTGGCTAACAGACACTTTTTCCAACGCCCACAGCGGCTAGCATGTATGGGGTCGAAGCACTGGATCTCGCGAGGGTTTTCGAAGCCTATCGATCTATCTCGTTCAAGGAAAAAACCTAAAAGAACCACCAAGCTTGTTTGATGTCCCATGTCTCAACGAAAATGGAGTTCTCTAGCAACTCGGTTAAGTTGCCTTCTGCCCAGAGCCTCGATATTCCTGGGCAGCAAAAAGTCAAAAAAAACATACAACAGCGGGGATTCGCTAGTGGTCACCCACCTAACTACTAATCCGCCGGTACACTGCTTGTATATGGCTGAGCGGACGGGAAGCCTAATTTTCAGTGTCCTATGGTCGTATGTGCAAGTTCAGGTAGTTTTGCAGATTATAAAGGTGCAGCGCAATAACAAAGGTGTCTGAACGGGCGTGAATCAGGCTACTTGGTACGCTCCGGCAGACTCTGGGGTGGTCGTGGTCGTTGGCATCGGTCCTATTGCTAAATGGTGGTGTGATGGTTGTTGGGCAGAAATGCGTTCTGCAAGAGGTGCTTGGTCGCTTCATGCCTTCAACATACCTAGAGCCTGGATTCCATTCATATTGCCATGAAAAGGTCCAAGGTCATCGACAAGCAACACACATCTTGTACAACACCAAAACAGTATCTGACGATACATACGTACCTTGATCGCTAGATGGCTAGCACTCCGCCTGCAGGTAGGGTAATGCAGTCAGCTTACATAGGTAGTGGCCGTTGATGACAGGAACCTGGCGATGTACGGGTCGAAACCAACATATATGGGTACATGTCTTAAGCGGAACGCGTTTTCGCAAGTCTGTATGGAAGCCGAGGTTATGGAGAGCGCGATGGCTGTTGGCACTGGTGGGGTGGACACGTTTCAACCTTCCCACGATGGACAGAAATGTACTGCGAAGATATCAACCCGCCCCAACAAGTCCGTCCAGTCTATTTTAATGTCTTACGGCAAAGCTTACGCTGAAAAGTCGCGGTTTGCAACTCTCATCGCCCACACGGCGTCTCATCTCCGCGCTTTGCCTAAATCCAAGACAGCTAGCGTCATGACATCACCGCACATGTCGCCTCCACTTTGGCTGGCGCGGCTCACATCCGCATCGTGAAAGCAGCGGTCAGTGAACTGCGCCCATGCCCATTCCACTGATTGCGCGACATTTGGCGCAATCAGGTGCCGTAAATTTCCATGCAAGGGTGATCTTGGGGCTCGGACACCGTTTGGGGCCGCGACTCGCGCATGTTACAGGTTGCGGGTGGACAGAATGCGTCATTGAGGGCGCGCAGAGGGGTGATGGGTTTATTCTCCGCGCTTTTCTTTTCTTACCCTACTCTTCCGTAATATCAGTATTTGAAAACGCGGCTGCTTTTGCTAGATCAAAGTCAAGAGTGGGAAGTTATCATCCTCGAACTTGCTCCAGAGTAAGCAATCTTCTCGGCACTTTCCACGATTCACATCCCGGAACGACGTGTGAGCGTAGTTGCTCACCACCACCACCAACGCGAAAATGAACTATGCATCATGGATCGAAGAGAAGAAACTCAAGGTAAACATATGACGAATCTACATGTAATATACAAGCTCACACAGTTGACTCAGAAAACCTTCATCGTGGCCACATTGGCGTCTACTCTCGTCGGCACATTCACGGCGTCTATGGGGCTATGGGAACGCGTCGCAGATAGGCGCGAACAGCACCGACAGAAACAACGCGACTCAAAGCAAGATGGCGAGATCAAGGAGCTGAAGCAGCAGTTCGAAGATGCACAGAAGAAAGCCGAGGGCAGACAACAGGAGATTGATCGGCTGAAGAACGGTGGGGGAGGCGGGCAGTGGGGAGGGCGCGACGATGTAGGAAACAACTTTCAGAGAGACGGCATGATGATTCAGAGGATGTATGACCAAGGCTATGGTAGAATGGGCAGCCGGTTTGCGCAAGGCGATGGTAGGTACTCTGAGTACGACAGCAAGTACAATACTGACTCTCCTCACAGCCATCGTCGAGAACCAACTGCAAGCGCAGATCATACAGCTTCAACAAACTGTCATTAACGTCTTGCAAGACGCCCTCTACAACGACCGCCAGTTGACTCGCGCCGACATGGCCAAGCTCATCGCCGCCTCGAACCAAGCCCGAGAAGGCTCCATGGTAGCCCTACAAGAAGCACAACAGCGTCTGGGAGGCTCACAAGCAGGCGGCGGCGAATTCCGTCCCGCATCGCCTGCGCGCTCCTTGGTCCCTTCGCAACGCGCACCTAGTGCGATAATGGATGTCGGGGAGCAACTCTTCTGCCGCTACGCTCTCGACTTACAGCATATGCCCGGCAAGCCCCTAGCATCTACATTTGCACCTGGAGGTAGCTGCGCATGCCCCGCGTGCGGCGTTGTTCTTGATGTCACCAGCGAAGACTTCTGGATGATCGGGAAGCGAACACCCATTACCATGTACGACAAGACGACCGGATACGAAACTGATATCATGGAGACACGCGAATTCCGTCTTGCCCAGCGCTTCGTTCTCAAATGCCATACCCCGGATGGCGAGTACGCGTGCACAATCTGTAGTAGGGGCAGAGACGTAGATGCGATCTGCCGAACGGTAGACAGCTTAGTGAAGCATGTAGGGACATACCATGATGTGGGCGAGCTAGAGGGAGAAATTGACCTACGAGAGGCCAAGGTCGAGACAACGAGAATGAGCCTTCCTGCTGCGCCACGAGCACCGAGTCCACCAAGAAGCGTGCTGAGAGAAGAGGTGATCTATCGATGAAGAAATGGCGATGACGACAGTGTCAATGCGTTTGAGGGGCTGTTTCTTGTGTCACAGCGAGGCGTTTGGATCGCGATTATACCTTTTTGGGGTGGGAGGCTTGCATGGGCGCATGTTACGATTTTTTCTTTCCATGATGTATGAGTAAACGATATAACGAGACCAACCTATTCAACCAGTAGTATACGATTCTCTGAGTTACAGTGCATTTCTTTCCCTTGTAAATCCTTTAGCGGGTGTGCATGTACGGAAGCATGTTCAGCGAAGTCCCAGGCAGATATCGAGATTAAGCAGCTGTGGTATCTGGCCTAGCACCCGGCTGACCACCATACCCAGGAATCTAAATTTCAGCCTCACACTAGGTGTTGATCACAAAGCTTGTCTAAACGTCAATTGCCACAAAAACGAGGCTCTGTGTTGGGATGAGGCCGTCTGTTCCGAGCAGGGATAGTGGTCTGTGCGTTACAGTACATGAATACGTCATTAGGGTGCTGCAGCTTGAGGTGTAAGGTGTCCACAGCTACCTAGGTACAGGCAGTGACACCACACCTATACCTCAACACCCGATTGTTGTTTCTAACTCAATTGTTTTCGAATGCATGTTGTGCTCTTACGGTCTTGTTTGCTACATCGTTATGGCCAATCTTCCGCTCTGAGCTGCGTTCAGCTGAGGCACCCTCATCTCCATCGCGCCAGTGGACCATTCCATCAAGCGCTATGTGACCATATGCTTACAACTACATAAGCTCGACCTGGTATTAGCATGCGATCAAATCGAGTTTGGACCTCGGAAATCATCCTCAGGAGGTCTTGAATACCTGGCCGATACCACTACCGGTTATGAGCCCCCTACCACAAGACCCGTGGACAGCAAACGGAGTCAAAGCGTAGAAGCTCAGCAACAGTATCTTACTTCCACAGTGTTGGTATAAGAACATCCTACTCAGAAAGCCTAATGCGTAGTTGGTCGCTACATTGATGCGCGCGCGACTACCCCTGATACTGCGATTGGGGTCCATTCGATAAGCGGCCTACCATGCGAAACATCATAATGGCACATCAAAAGGCAGAAGGGTATTGGTGCGAACGATCTTGATTAACGGCTCCCGCAGGTCTTGAACATGAAGTTCGCCGATCTCGTCGCCGCCCCCGGCCCCACACAACCGTAGGAAATTTTCTTCGTCAACCACCAAACCACACCTCAGCAAAGTGGATGAAAGGGCAATTGGTTTTCTCAGGCCTAGATGCTGCACTCCAAACATTCATACCGTGGATAATACTGTTGTATTTCGTCCGTCTTCCATCAATCAATAGCATCGCCCGGCTAGCTCAATCGGTAGAGCGTGAGACTCTTAGCTTTCACGTCCTAACAAGACTCGATTGGTTATCTCAAGGTTGTGGGTTCGACCCCCACGTCGGGCTCATTGTTTTTGTGCTTCTGTTGACCATGCCGTCGTCGTGGTTGAGGTGGTGGTTGACTTTGGAGCAAGTTTTTTTTTACTAAGCATTCCTCCCACCCCTATACTATCCACTAGACCTTGTGCTTGAGGATAGTGTATACCCTATCATGTTTGCATCATGCTGCTATCATCATCTTTAATGTCAGTGTCTGCATGTTTGATCAGGAGATCTTCCGGAAGAATTACACACTAACTATACAACAAGTAGGACAGAGACTACAGAGCAAGGTATTGCTATTAGAGACACTACGGATAGTGACAGAGCGTTTGTACCACTCTGATATGCTGACTATGTCAAAGATCACATTGAATGTCATGATTAGTGGCCGTCGTAGGGAAGTTGACGAACATCGTTAGTGTTCCTGACAGAGCTAGGCACCCCTACAACTCCTATCATGTCCAGTCCTTGGAGATGACCTTCCTTTGGTTGAGCCCTTGTTCTTCCATTCTCCCCTTTTCGACTTTGGAGCCTTTGATGACCTCTGGTCTTCATCCATTATGATGTAGCCATATTCCGTGGTTTCAGCTCGTACATTCAGGTACGGCATGCTGTTGGTGGAATGTTCATGCCTCGGATTCCGGTTTCTAAGGTTTATGCCAGCACATCACCCCTTGACTCGTCACACTGCCTTCCAAGATGACTGTAAACCTTGCTTTGCAGCCGAAACTGACACGTCAACTTCCTTCTTGACTGTGATATCCAAACCACGGCCGCTGTGATCACTATTTTGAGTTGGTGCCCGAGTTGCATAACCAGCGTCTTGCTGTGTTCCAACGATCCTCTCCTGGCTCTCATTTCCTTGCGCCGTATGGAGCACGCTAATGTTATACGGGTCCTTTGGCTTGCGGAATCCCAGACGCGACGCCTTTGATCCGTCGCCTCCACTGCCAGATAGCTCGTGGGACTCATAGCCGTGTGATGGCTTGTTCGATGGGTACGAGTTGGAGCTGTCGTAGTTGCCACTCCAGAACCGGCGGGTAAAAAGAGGACGAATGATGGTGGCTTGACCGATGATGATTGCGACAATATCTTCTCGACAAGACCAGATGGCCGCTGTTTGGCCTTGCTGAAGCTGAAATAACTGTTAGCGGGAAACTGGACCTTTTGCTCGTTAGACACTTACCGCCATGACGAAATAAACCCGCAAGATTGCTGCTATCATGATGAACATAGCGCCGGAGAACATAATCATCAATCCAATCTTGCGGCCCCACGAGATTTTGAGTGGGATGATGATGGGGATGGGGATGAGCATGATGCATACATCCGTCAACAGATTTAGCACCAATATGGTTACCAAAAATGCCGGACTCTGCGGCATGCAGTATTCTGGTAAGTTTAGTCAGTTTCAACATCGCTCTGAAGTGGTGAAGCGTTACTCACTGCCTGGGTCCGGAAGAATCTGCCATATCTTGTGAAAAGGGCGACATGCTGAGCCGAGCAAAATCCAGATAGAGATGCCGGTTACGCCGACGAACACCATGGTGGGGACGATGAACATCTTCACCCATACTACACTGACCACTCGTCTGTAGAGAAACAACATGTTCAACTTCAGAGTCCAGATCAAGCCGATGTAGGTGAACCAACCAACCATGAACCACTGGCTGCCTCTTTGGCGTGCAGCCGCTTGCTCAGGGGTGAACGACAGTCGTTCTTGCATCGTGAGATGCGACGTGTCGCCGGTTCCTCCTACGATGTGAGCAGCTACCGTCATGCCTGTGTAACATGCCTGCGAATGTTAGTGCTTCTTCGCAAGTTCTCTTTGGTTGGATCATTCGACTTACCCACGCAAAGAAAATCAGGTAGTCGTCCGGATGCCAACCAGCGATACCGACCATCCTCGTGCGCGAGAAAACTCTCAGCATAATAGCGATGCTTCCAAACCCGTATAGAGTCCATGTCTCGATGAGAGCCTGTTCCAGTGGGCTCACCGCCATGATTCTGGTATGTAGGAGAACAGCGAAGCTTCGCCAATAACGAAACAAGTATATTGAAACCCAACAATCAAGAAATATTACACCACGTTACAGTGGCACATGAAAGAATAGATTGCGAGGTGTACGTGCAAATGTCCTCAAACGGATGTTCCCGAACAATGCTTTTGAACCTCTTTGCAGCTCGAAGTACACGTGCATGCCTCAGCCAAACAACGTCGCAACACAAGGACCAGTAACCAGCTTTCGGTGCCTGAAGTCTTGCAACACCGACCACTGAGCACTTTGACCACGCTCAAGGCGTTGACCCGGTGGCCCCGATCCATGTCTTCCGCGCCCCTCTCAAAAGAAATCCTGTCCCGCAATAGCCCCATCCAGTACGGTTCCCCCAGTTGCAGCCACACAGGTCCTTGAATAAGAGCCGTTGCACTGCCGTAGTGCCCGGAACCACTCCCTGACTTGTTACTTGTGCAAGAACTGGCGAGGCTGCGTCAGTGACGTCGGGCCTTCTGTACGAACCTACCGCACTTCCGATATCCCTGATATACCCACATCTCCACCCACTCGAGACTTTAAGACCCTCGAATTATCCTCGGATAAATGACTCCGCGAGTATACACATCGTTCTTCACGTATAGACCAGGAAATCGATCCTAGACTTACGGTCATACTCGCGGGCCGTCATCGGATGCGTCTTGAACCCGAATGGTCTGGAGTAAATACATTCAGTAAGATCTGCCAACTTGTAACACACAGTGGGAACGTCTCCTTCAATAAACGACATGATCACAGAATGAAGCTTTGCAAGTTATCTAGCGCCCGCGTCGCCTTTCCAAAATAACACAAACGGTTTGGTTGCCCCAGCAAAAGGCCCGAACCTTCCGCCCATGCATGCGACGCTGCAGGGCTTCGAATCCTTTGCATGCATTTGTGCAATCAGGCATCCACTCTACGAGCCCAACCCCGCGCCATCAAAAGCAGGTACGGCGAGCGCATTCTGTTTGCGTTCAGGCAATCTTCACGATATCGTACGGGCTACGTTCAATGAATTCGGGGCTCAGCCAGTTTATAGTTTCGCTAGACAAACTGCCGTTAACTAACAAACGGACGAGCCGTACCGCGCTGAGTCGCGGGGGGCCTAGGTTAAAGCGGGTGGGGCTTGCTGTACTACTTTCTCTGACCATTCTGATTCGGGACTCACAACAAGGATTCATCCAGGTATCCCCCTAATCAACGATAATCAAAACGTGAATGGTAGTTTGTTCGCGCGTAGTGAGCCGTGCACCAACGTCCGACGATTGACAGCTCAAAGAGTTAAGGTACGCGAGAAGCCCTGGATTCTTAGGTCCAAGCAATCCTCTCCTCCCCACTCATACGGTGTCCTCCCTGTCTGCTTCTCTTCGGCTACGTCTGCAGTGATACTGACTGCATATCTCCTCATAATCTATCTCAACCAGTGCGTCGGGAGGCGAAATCATAACACAACATGGGTTCTATTGATGATCTCAAGAACTTGTCGTTGAACGGCAGATCTAACGGCGCCAATGGCACCAACGGTACTCAGGTAAAAGAACTCGATGCCTTGGTCGTTGGCGCAGGTTTCGGCGGCGTCTACCAACTGAAGGTTATCCGCGATGCAGGTTACAGTGTCAAACTGGTCGAGCATGGATCAGACTACGGAGGCGTGTGGTACTGGAACCGGTATCCCGGCGCACGTGTCGACAGCGCTATTCCCCACTACGAATTCTCCGATCCAGCACTGTGGAAAGACTGGACATGGAAGCAGCGCTTCCCAGGTAGCGAGGAACTCCGGGCTTACTTCAGCCACGTGGCCAAGGTATGGGACTTGAGGAAGGACACACAATTTAACACCTTCGTCTCGTCTGCGAGATGGAGTGATGACGAAGCGAAGTGGACTGTGAAGACAAAGGCTGGCGAAACGTACAGAGTGAAGTTCCTGTTGTTGAACACCGGCTTCGCGGCGAAGCGATACATCCCCGACTGGAAAGGCCTTGACTCTTTCAAAGGTTTGTACGTATTGATCTTACTGTAAGCCTCACTGACTCCGTCCAGGAACACTTCTGCACCCATCATATTGGCCTCATGAAGAGCTTAACCTTCGTGGCAAAAAGGTGGCCGTTGTCGGCACAGGGTCCACTGGCATCCAGCTGGCCCAAGAGCTGAGCGATGTTGCTGGCCATCTTACTGTCTTCCAGCGGACGCCGAACATGTCGTTACCGATGGGTCAAGTCGACTATGACCTTCCCAAACAGGCTCTTCCCAAGCCAGAATATCCCAAACTCTTTGCTGAACGCCCAGATAGCTTCTCAGGTTTCTCCTTCAACTTCCTCCCTAAGTCGACCTTTGATGATACACCAGAACAACGACTGAAGACGTATGAAGAGCTCTGGAACGAGGGCGACTTCAAGTTTTGGCTCGCAACGTACTATGATATGCTCTTCACCAAAGAAGCCAACCGAGAGGCATACAACTTCTGGCGCGACAAGACACGAGCGAAGATCAATGACACCAAGGTCGCAGATATCCTAGCGCCCATGGAGCAACCATATGCCTTTGGTTGCAAGCGTATCTCCCTGGAGAACAAGTATTTTGAAATGTACAACAAGCCCAACGTCTCACTTATCGACATTAGTGAAAAGGGCACACCGATCCAAGAGATTACCGAGAAAGGTATCAGGACCGCGGACAAGGAACATGAGTTCGACTACATCATCAGCGCGACCGGATACGACGCTATCACCGGGGGTCTGAAACAGATCGACATCCGCGGCCCGTCAGGCGAGAGCTTGAGCGAGCATTGGAAGGACGGCGCAAAGACATATCTAGGTATGTCGGTGGCGGGCTTCCCCAACATGTTCTTCACATACGGGCCGCAGGCTCCGACTGCCCTGTGCAATGGCCCCACGTGCGCTGAGCTCCAGGGCAACTGGATCTTGCAGACGATGAACCATATGAAGGAGAAGTCGCTGCGTAAAGTAGTAGCGCAGAAGGAGAGCGAGGATCAGTGGAAGGAGCTCATTTGGAAGCTTGCTAACGCGTCGCTGCTGCCCAGCGTAGATTCGGTAAGTCTTGTGATGGCGTTCGGTCGAGAAAGATGTAATGCACTGACGTAGCGACAGTGGTATATGGGTACCAACATTCCTGGAAAGGCTCGAGAGCCATTGATCTACCTCGGTGGTGTGCCAACTTACTACAAGACGATCAAGGAGACAGCAGCGAATGGGTACACTGGTTTCGATCTGTCGTGAAATATGATGATGCGTGCTTGGCGAATTCAGGAGGTGGCTGGGGATTGGGACACGTTAAGGGTCGTGCATCAGGAGCGATAGCATGAACTAACAGAGCTCTGCGCGTTTTGAGCATTGATGTTAGAGAATGAGATACAGTTATTCTTGTGACGCTACACGACGTATCGTGCGCAATGGCTGATTGTAAATTCCGATAATGACGGCGTGGCGTTGAATGCTCGTGGTCGGGGAAGGAGCGGCGCGCTGTGCGTTGATGCCGGCCGGCCGCTCGCTTCCAGGCCCCTCATTTCTTCACATAAAATGACCTCAATGAACATCAGTAGAGGTATAGGGGGACGACGCCTAGACTGTCAATCTTCCAAATGATAGAAGCCCCGGTTTCCTTTGCTGGACGCGTAGTCGCGACCTAGTACAACGCGCTTGGACCAGAATTTCCCAGCTTCGCGATTATCGGATCGTGTGCAGGTGTCATCACGCAGATCATCCAACTTTCCGCCGACATTGCGCGTCCAACCAGCAGTCTCTACAATCACCGCACATCGATAATGTTATTGTCTTTCTGTCGACTCACTTCTACGCCAATGTCACGTATGGGCCCGCATCCAGGTGGTAACGCTTGGTCAGAGAACTTACTATCATAAACTGAAGAACATTTCTCTACGCGCAACCACTCAACTTGCAAGACGTTCGCTTCCTGGATACTCTCTTTCCAGTTCTGGATTGATTTGCGAGTTGGGTCTAAAGGTGAGGCTAAATATTCTCCCATTCATCAGAAGTCCACGAAGAGTATAAAGTGGCCGGACTAGCGATTTGTTTCATGATCGAAGCCTGAGGTGGGATCTGTAGAAGATCCTCTGGACGTAAAGCGCCCTCTCGACGAGGAGGTAACTCGAAGCTAGCATAACTTCGGATGGAAATCTCATCACCCACTTTGGCCTCTTCAATCTTCACCTCCGACTCTACATCGGAACTGTCTGTCGCAGTGCTACTTGCAGGACATTTGGACCGGAGCGAGGGAAGGGATGAACCAACTCTAGAGCAGGTGTGCTCAATCCGACGTAGCAATGGTCGGAGAAGGGGAAGATTGGCGCCCACTACCGCTAACGAGCTTTCGATCATGCTCCATGCAAAGACCGGAGTTGTAAAGTCTAGACCACAGTCAGTCAAGTTTCTCACATCAGCGTCGGTTCTGGGTCTCGCCTACAAGTTATATCATCAAAGTTGTACATGACGTTTCGGCCAACCTCGATGAAGGTGACGAAACGTGCGATTCCGGCACCGCATACCCTAGGTCCTATCAGCAGTGTTCTGATAATCATATAGCGAGAAAGCTCACACTGCACCAAGTAAGAGGATACGTGCTGCCGCGGTGCGGGTCTTCCAATGCATCTGGAGTTGATAGATGACTGGGATTGGTGAGACCAAGATAGCGATATCTGTGATAAACCCGCTGATCGAAACAGCGTAGTAAAAAGGCAGCGGCTCGACACATTCGACCCGAGCGTATTCGAAAGTTGTCCAGAGCGTTCTGGGGTCTCGGCACTGGAGAAGAATCACAAAGAACAACGACACCGCCCAGGCCACAATGACGACGATGAGGATGTTGTTAACGAATAAGAAGCGCGGATACACGTAAAAGACTCGACGGTAGAAGCACAGGACGGACGTCTTGCTGAAGCCCAGAGAAACTAAGGCAAGGAGTTGCAAGGTATAGTTTGCCTACAGTTGTCAGCGGCGAACCTTTTCCATTGGTGGGAGTTTCCACCTTCTCGTATACCTCTAGTTGCTTGGTGTATACTGGACCATCAGGCCCTATTATGTTGGTTTGATGCTGCGCCATCTCCCCAAACTCTGTACCTACAGGCTTTTCAGTTACGGCAGACGTCTGATAGTATGCACACAAACCGATAACCTCAGTCACCGCCATTCCTACAATGCAGATCTGTACAGCTATCAGATGTTCCATCGTTTTTCGAGTCAACAATCTGGCTTACTTACCAAAGCGGGAATTATAAGCGCATCATCGGCTCCGACCCGGTTTCCCGATTTCGTATGCGCCCAAAATCTCAACGCCACAGAGACGAGAGCGAGGGACATTAGTGCCAGCGACAAGGCGATGAACTTAGCAGGGCTCCACGCCATGCAGATGCAACGTCATGCAAGAGCAGGTTGGCTCTCGCTTAGGTGTTAGAGAGGCACGGTCTCACAACCATGTGGCTATGGGGCACTGTAAAATAGTAGTTCTGGTTATCCAAAGGACAGAATATTCCGATAAAGCTGCATCGATGTCGTGTAACAAGTTACCACATTGCAAAGCAGCTAGAGCAGGTACCTAGGTATCTATGGTAATTTCGCCCACGCCGCACCCAAGCTGCTACGCCTCGTGCAGCCGAGGCGAAGGGATGGCTATCTCCTGTCGGGATGGTCCGCGGAGTATCCGAGATGTGTTCCGCAAGACGCCGCTTTAACGCTAACACTTCCTGAACGCTGCCAGGTGACGATTCGCAATTATGTGGACCTCTAGCAAAATACTCTATCCATATATACAGTAGTCAAAAGGCTGTCTTGAAGCCTCTGTGCTTCAAAGCACGAAACATCAATGTCGCAGTTTAACAAAGAGATTGAGGACACCGGATCGGTGTACGCGCTCTCCGATGATGAAAGTACACCATTTCGCAGGAGGACTGGCCGCCGAAAGAACATATCTATGCGATTAGTAGCTATTGTCTGCGTGCTTGCCTACCTTATTCTAGGGGCCATCTACGTTGAACTACGAGTTCGCTATGGGCGTTTGGAAGCCGGAATTCGCTCAGCAAGACCTGAGCTTTTCCCCGGTATGCTTCCCAGCACTCATTGTTGTATCATATACTAAAAACACTGGGCAGCTATGGAGAAATCAGGAGCTTTTCGTCAGGATAGCCGTGTCTTTCCTCTGACGGTAGCGGGTACGCCTTTCGCAGGCTTTCCAAGCCCAGAACTCGACCAAGCCTGGCACGGGCTGCTCGAGGGTACGTACATTCTCTTGACTCTCCGAACACACACTACCAGGATCTAACAACCTTTTGAAGGGACGGTCATTAAAGTTTCGGAAGAAGACCTGGCATACTATAATGTCACATCTCTGCCGTTAGCTGATGGCTCCGGTTACGCATCGGAGATATTCATGACTCATGAACTTCATTACTTAGTACGTATACGACTTCAGACGTTTATTGAGCAATAATCTCACTGGATTTAGAAAAAGATACGTCAGTGGGTATACAAAGAGACGTATTTCGTAGATGTGCAGGGTCTCGCTCGCAGTGAGTTGGAGCGGCACGTCAGTAAGTTCACCCCGAGCTGTCTGCCCTGGCTTAATTTGACTGATCGTCTTCAAGATCATTGCATTGAGACTTTACGCCAAAGCATCATGTGCAGAGGTGATGTTTCGTTGGGTACATACACGTACCTTTCTGGTGATGGTAACGATGTGACAGCCCGGAGCTGGGCCTCACATCAATGCGTCGACTTCGACGCATTGATGAAATGGACCAAATCTCGCGCTATTGACATCTTCGCCGAAGGGGTTTTAGTCAAATCCGAGGATGTTGGCTCTGAACACATCACGGAAAGGACGAAACCACATGAATAACGTCATATCATATGAAGTATCCAATACAACAATTCTATACTCCATCTCCTTCATCGACAAAGTTCTGTGCGAGATCATGGTTGTGCAGCGCTTCCTTCCTTGTGATTCCCCATTCATTTGACCAATCACTTAACTCCTCGAAGTTTCTGCAGGTCCTCTCAGTTTGCCACCCAGAGATACCTCGTGCAGTATAGTTCATCATCTCTAGGTTTGAGTCTGCAAGACATATGAGGGACTGTCGGAGGTACTCGAAGCAATGGCGGACATGGTGATGACTTGTGCGATGATTCTTTTCGCGAGACTCGTCTCCCATTTCTGCCAGTTTTCCGTCTACAGAAGCCCAGAACGCCTGCCGAAGCATGTTCTGGCAGACTGTCAGCTCTTGGGTAGATCCAAAAGAATAGAACGAGGGTTTACCAAGCAATGTAGCTCGTGGAAGACGGCGATACTGGCTACATCTGGTGCAAGCTCAGGGTGCTGTACGAAGCCCAACTTCTCTGGGAACAAGGACGCCCAGGCTGCATCGCTCTCTTCATTTGGACGTTGTGGAAATGTTTTGTTGAATTGCATGTAGTAATGCACGTCACCAGCGGGTACTGTATGAGCGTGAGTTATGAATTTGTATTGTAGACCATGTGAAACCAACGTATCGTGGTGGCTGTAGCAGCGTAAGAATGTTGCAACCCAAATGAATAACCAAGACCGAGCGCCGCAAGTACGCTCAAAACGATCACGGAGCCTTGAACAGTCTTTTGCAATCTGGATTTGGGTTTTGCTTCGGCTGGATGAACACCAATATCAAGTTCGGAGGAAGAGATGGGCAGGTAGCCTTCGGATTTGGCCATCTTGTTAGATTGTCAGTATCGAAACCACGCAAATGATGCATGTAGTTGCATATGAATCAATCCAGGAAATGCCTCGTAACGAATGCTATCATCTACTATCGCCTCTTGCGCAAGTTGTCCTCCTGCACGTTATCGTACATAAAAGCAGCAAGCACAAGACCGGTGCGCTGTCCGGATTGGAGGATCAGGATTCTGTAAGGGGTTTCCCGAATCGTCGGATTCGGCGACTGTTAGATGCAAACCGTTGGTCAGCACTGGAGGCGGATGCGATTGACGGCCCATGCGAGCGCCGCTGAGCCAGGAGCAGGGTTCGGCTGTTACTTTATTGGACCATTCCTAATCATGGTCGTCTAGCGCCAAAAGCCACCATTGCGGCACAGCAACCTCATCATCAGTATAGACAGGTCGTCAGCGCAGCGACTCAGCCTTCGAGTCAGAACGAAGGATCAGTCGCAGTAGCTCGTTGACGTGTACAATGTAATGTAATGCAGTACAAAGCAAAGGAAGATGATTCTTATCGAATATTCATGACCATGCTTCAGCTTCAACAGATGCATGAGTATAGAAGCCCAGTACATGGCACCCCAGCCAGCACTTTCCAATCCAGAATTTGGCAAAGCATTCGAATCTCTCCACTTCGTACCACTACAACTATGCATTTCTCTACTCTTATTTTCGCCAGCCTGGCAGCTTGCGCCTTCTACGTCAGTGCTCTGCCCGTCGAACCCAAGCGCGGTGAGTTGTGATAATGATTCGGGACACTGTTCATGCTAATCTAGTAATAGATGCTGCTGCTGTCTCTGTAGCGGAGACGGCACCGGGGTTCAAGCCTGTTATCGTATGGGAACACACTACTAGCGATGACGATGACGGCATGGTGTACCAATGGCGTAGGAAGGAATGACAGTCGAAAGCAGACAGAAAGGCAGACGACAGTGATGAACTTGAAGGCAGGAATCTGACAGGGCGATTCGTCGACTATTCTGTACGCAGGACATGATTTGAATGAGACTACGACTTGCTTTGAAGCAGATGGACGTGCAAGTCGTGTTTGTTCCCATGCGTGAAGAGAATCTTAATAATGTTATGGAATAGAGTGAGAGATGACTGTATCCAAATGACCTGAAAGTCAATCGTGATGTGTGTATGGGCGATCTGACGATAGCGTGCTCCACAAGTGTCTGGGTGTGTGTTGCGTGATGTTGGTTTGAAGGAATGCGGAGCTTCGAGACGGAAAACGGAAAGTGGGGAGCACGGAGGGCAGCAATTCCGCTCTTCTATTGGCTCATCGCACTTTGCGACACGCTTTACCTGGCTCCCGACTCAGTTCCTCACTATCTAAGCGCCTTAAATAAAGTGAACAAAAACACTTATCATGTGTATGATGCTCCAGTAAAGAATGGGATCGTCTTCAATGCCGCAGCTGATGTCAAAAGGATAATAGGCACATGGGCATCCTTCGTTTCATGCAAGAGAAAGGGCAACACTAAACTACCATACCTAGTAAGGTAGTCTCATGCATGCACCATGCAGCTCTCCGTCTAAAGTCTGCCACCATGTTCATCGCGCATGCCACTCGCTGTGCCGCGGAGCCTTTTATACGCTGGGCTCCCCTCAACCATCCATTGTTCGTAGTCCCTAGGCAACATGGAACAAGAGACACTACTACCACTTCACAAAGGGTCTCCTCAAGAACAATGCGACGATTTTCATTTCGAACACGAAGCATCAACATGCGAGCCTTTTGATAAAAAGAGTAGAGGAAAAGCGAGAACACCAAGTCCCTGCACATGCATATGTCTCTGCATCGTTAGTCTACTCTTTGGCTTCGGTGGCAGCTGGTTGTTCTCGAGAAGAGTATTGGAAGACAAGACCACGACGGTTGATAACACATGCACCAAACCAGCCATACGACGCGAGTGGCGAAGTCTGAGCGAATTCGAGAGGCATGCGTATACGAATGCTGTACTTTGTCTACGAACAAAGCCTTCGAGAATCGGGATGAACCATACCCTCTGGGATGACTTTCCATACGTACACTTCCAGTCTAACGATGACAGTAAGTACAGAATGTCGAGTCAGAGTCACTCTATAACTGACACGTATCATTAGTCCACTTTGCGGCATCATTTCTCACTTGGCACCGTTACATCATCCATATATATCATCAAGCGTTGGTGACAGAGTGTGGTTATAAAGGAGAGCTTCCGTGAGTACAAATGTTTGAGCTACGTATCGTTACCAACTTTATCCAGGTACTGGGACTGGACGCTCGACTGGCAAAACCTCTCTGCTGCACCAGTCTGGGATCTCGACCATGGCTTTTCCGGCAACGGCCGCGAAAGCGCGGAACCCAGCGCCTTCTTTCCATGTTCGCATTGTATTAAAGACGGTACATTCGCTAATGTCAATGTTTCACTCGCTGGTGCTACATACGCGCCTCACTGTCTGACTCGCGACTTCGGCTCATTTAAGCATGAACCCGTTGCGAGCCTATCGCAGCACCTTCGGCCGAGCGCTATTGAGGCTCTTATGGAAGAAGACGACTACTATGAATTTCTTGTCAAATTTGAAGATGGCACGCATATCGCGATACCGAAGTTTATTATGGGGGATTTTCGATTGTTCACCTCGCCTAATGGTAGGTGCTTCCAATTCTTCTTGACCGTTTTGTTCACGTTCCTGGAAATGGAGAACAGTTTCGCTAATACATTGGTAGATCCAATATTCTTCCTCCATCATGGGCAAATTGACAGGATTTGGTGGCGGTGGCAGCAACATGATTTACAACGACGACAATACAAGTACACAGGCAGCTTTAAGCTCAGGTCCAAAGAGCAAGTAAGTGTCGATGATATTGTCTCGATTGGAGGTCTGGCGCCGGATATCAAGGCTTCAGAACTTTTGAATGTACGATCGGGTATATTTTGCTATACATACTAGAACAAAAGGCGACTGTGTCAGTCAAGCCTGCAATTAATTGATTCCTCACACCTGCATCGTTGCAGCAGCTTTCAAATCGCGACTGCTAGCTCCAACATGCATCTTGTACTCCCCCTTCACAACCGCCCACTCTTGCGCAACGACATCCCATACACTCAGATCCCTCCTGCGAAGCTGAAATTGCACTTTCTCGGTCTGACCAGGCTTGACCGTGACCTTCTGGAAGCCGCGCAGTTGTTTGACTGGCTCATCAGCTGCAGCAGGGAACTCGACATACAGTTGCGCGACTTCCGCCCCGGCGACACGGCCCGTGTTGGTAATGGTGGTGCTTACAGTGGCAACGAGATCCCAGAGATCTTCACGGCCGCCAACAGCGAGTGCACCAGATGCGTAGGTCTCGGATAACTTCTCGGTGTCCGAAGTGACGGTGATGTTAGATGCGTACTCGAAAGTGGTATAGCTCAATCCAAACCCGAATTCGTAACCGACTGTCTTGTTCTGCTGATCAAAGTACTTGTAGTCGATGAAGTTGCCTTCGGTAAAGTCAATCTCGGAAGCTTCGCTGATCTGGAAATTGGAGTCGTAATCAGACTCGTTCTTGGCGAGCGTGTGCACAAGCTTGCCGGAAGGGTTGACGTCGCCAAACAATACTTCGTTGATCGCATGACCGGAAGATTGACCGAGCGGGCCACCGTATAGGATCGCGGTAACATTCTCATGGTCGTTCCACTGGGAAAGTAGGCGCGGACCGACAGTATTGACAACCACGATAGTGTTGTTGCAGTTGTCCGCCACATAGTTGACTAGATGATCTTGCTCCGCATTTGCAAGCTCACTCCTGTCACCTCCTTCACCAGCCCAAGCGTTGATGAAGACGATGCAGGCATCAGAGCCGTCCGCCATACCAAGAGTGGTTTCCTGAATCTCCGTACCAGCACCATCGCTGATTATCATACCTCCACCTGAGCTCTCAACGACTGTGTTGTTCAACCACCACTTGAGCATGAAACCATCTGATTCGGCTCGTTCGTTGAAAGCCTGGAAAGGAGTGACCAGAAACGCGTTCGAAGACATTGCACTACCACCATTCTGGGTCATGTGTCCCTCCATGGTATCGGCCACACCAGACTGAACGGTGAGAGCAGTGTTTGGTCCGACGTTGCGTGGAGCGGCATGACTGCCAAAGATGGATATGACACGCTGAGCTTTGGTAAGTGGAAGAGCACCATCAGTGTTCTTCAAAAGCACCAATGATTCTGCCGCATATTTGCGTGCCAATTCGCCATGTTTGCCACGCACATCGACACGATCTGTATAGCCTGCATGTGTCGGGTAGTTGATGTTTTGCTCTTGGCGAAAATAACCGATGAGGTTACGGATGACCATATCGTTTAGACGATCTTCGGTGAAGGTCCCATTGGCTATTCCAGCAATGAGAGTGGCATTACTCCAGTAGGACGAAGAACCGTAATCAAGCCCGGCATTTGCGGAGTCAACACCTGTTTTCTGAGCGCCTGCATCTGGGTTGACAAAGCCAGGGAAGCCCATCTCAGTTTTGAGAAGCCTTGAAAGTGTGTCCTGGTTCTCGCATCCGTAAGTGCCGTTGATACGGTTCATTGCGCACATGACAGCACCAACACCGTTCTTGACTGTATCGTAAAATGGTGCGAGGTAGGTCTCGTGGAGAGCTTTGTCGTCGACTACAACACTATAGGCTTCGGAGGAAGCTGCCGTGGAGTTGTCCGCGAGGTCCTGGCGACGTCGCATACCGGGGGGTGCGCCACCAGCGTCACCATCCGTGGAGTTGCCTCCGGGGCCACCAACGCCTCCAGCCATTCCACCTCCCATACTGTTCGAGCCTTGACGATTGGTCTCCTGCTCATTCAGTACGTAGTGCTTCGCACCAGGAATAACACCACTAGCCAACATTCCTTTGGCTAATGCGCCGCCCATAATGCCAGAGAAATAAGAGTCAGGGCCATAACTTTCACCGCCTCGTCCATCCCAGGGCGAACGTCCAAGAGGCTGTACAGTGGGAGCATAACCGACATTGACTCCCTTTCCCTTGAATTCTGCCCCCAACGCTTGACCTTGGCCCTCGAGTATGGCTTTGTCCCAGGTCATGGCCATTGCAATGCCTGCTGGCCAAGCGGTAACATAGTAGTAATTGATGGGGTTGGCGGATGAATCGAGGATCTCAAGACCGGAGAAGTTGCCAGCACTACCTCCGGTGATTATGGAGAGCTTATCGGAGGAACTGAGGGTATCAACGAATGCGGAAGCCTTATCGTAGGCGCTCTGCCAGCTACCGAGCTTGACTGGAGCACATCATCAGTAGATATTGAGGATAGTTGGAGGGGCACGTACTGGTACCAGAGCTAAGTCTAGCTTCAGTGTAGTTCGAAGAGACGGCAGCTTCAGCAGCACCGAAAAAGATAGCAGCAAGAAGCCAAAGATCGATCTTCATGGTCATGGTAAGGTGTTTTCCCGTGTTTTGAGCGATACAAGGTGTTCAAAACCAAGATTGAAGAACAGAGGGATGAGAAAAAGAGAGTATGGCAATAAGCGAATGTAAGAGACGAGCGAATGATTGGCAATGTGGTAGGAAAGGCTCAAGAACTGAGCGCCGTCTACGATCTTAAGCAACATCGTCAAATTTGCATCGCAACTGTAGGACAAGCTTCATGGCGCATTCACGCTTTCCGGCTAAAGGCTTATCAACGTGCTGACGAGTGCTGCGACAGCTTGGCTAGGTTTTCCGTGCATTGCGGAGTATCTGATACCGAAAAAGCTAGTCGACTAGGACGAGGCCTTTCCAGGTCCCATAATGGCAGGGCATCTCTAAATTGATGCCTCGATGTTGTTGGATTAGCGTTGTGGCGCCGCGTATGCATCGTTGCGAATGCTTGGCCCGTGCTCAGATGAAGACTAAGGCTAGTATCGCTCACCAATCACGGATGACATTCAACACCAGGACCTCGTCATCACTGGATGAGCAATTACGTGGTGACGGACGGGGTTCTCAGAATTCCATGCGGCATTGGCGATATGGGAGTTGCTAGTTGTTGAGCGGAAGTGCCAAGATCGCGGTGTACATTAGATACCATCTGATGTATAGTCAGGAAAACACGAGAAGCTGGGACGCGCTTGTAGAACGCCAGACATACCTTTACGCGTTTAAACATGCGTTCTCTAATGGGCAGAGACGAATGTCGGGCTTGCGTATCGCGGGCAAGAAGACACGCACGAGGGTCGCGAGCCCAGCCTCCACTCCCCATGCCAGACCTGATCTAGACGTGGCAATGTCCGCCGTAACTTACATGGCGTTGTCGTGAATCATGCCCCTAAGCGCAGTGACGCGGATTAGAGAAAATTCGCAAGTTCAGGGTCCACAGGCACAAAAGCGACCAGAAATATAGAAGAACATGTTTCGGTTGATGGTTCTAATGGTAACATATTCGAAACTAACGCTTTTGCGCATGAGGATGAAGTGAGATGTTGGTGTTCTCGCGGTCAAAGCCGATGAATGTGCGCACGTACCAACGTTGACGTCAAATCGCTTAGCTGTGCGGAACCCAAATCGAGTCCTCAGGTTTGACACACTTCCTGCAACCATATCACAGCTTTTTCTAGACTTGCTCCCGACAAACCTGCTCCTGACTCTCAGATACCTCTTTCCTATCCTTGAGCCTCACCCATCTCCCCAAGTCTTGTGATGGTCTCCTCAGCGATTCATAGCGATGACCGTCAATGAGGATGTCGTCTTGACCCTGAAGGTGTAGATACCAGTAGAGAACTCCGACGAACAAGCCGCCACCCACAATGTTTCCAAGCAGCGCAGGGGCGATGCCTTTCCCGATGTACATGCCAATGGTGATATCGGGTGAGCCATGGAAGATGGCGTTGGGTATCAGGAACATGTTGGCCACAACGTGATCTGGTACACACAGTCAGCTTATTTCTGAGCGTAGGTACAAAGGTGCAGTACTTACCGAAGCCTAATGATACGAATGCAAACGTCGGCCACCATATGCCCACCACCTTGGACACGTAGTCCCGACCGGAACACCCAAGGAAGCATGCTAGACACACCAACCAATTCGCGCCGATGCCTTTCAGGAAGATTTGGTACCACTCTGGTTCAACTTGCTTCTTGTAAGCGAAGTGCAACGACTCTTCTCGATATAACTTTCCATCGAATAGTCCACCGTCTACATCAAGTCAGCCTCGCATCTCCCAAATAACGGTTACTATCGGAGACTTACACCCAACGATGACACAACACACAAATAAACTTCCCGCAAGGTTTCCAAAGAAGGTCACAACCCAGTGTCTCAACATCCGCCATATGCTGAGTCGTCTGTGCAGTGCTGCAACAGTTGTGTACATGAAGCTGCCTGTACACAGGTCGCTTCCTGTCATCTGCACAATGACCAAGCCGTATGGAAACACGAGCGCCGCAATTGTCTTGAGGAGACCTGGTGCATTCTCCTGATACCACGGTGCCGTGTTGGTTGAAATGAGCGTTGCGCATGCGAAGGACAGTATCATGCCAGCCGAGCAGGCACTGAGAAAGCTCTTGTCGATACGCATGTACGCCTTCTTGACGCCCATGCGCGAGACGAGCTCGAAGGACTCTTGTGGAGTGTATGCATTGTTCGGTGACTGGTGCATGCTGTAAGCTTGTTGTTGAGTTGGTATCGATGAAAGAGTCGTTGGGACAGCATTAATAGGGGTTGCTGTCCCAGAGGAAGGGGTCGATTGCAGATGCATTGGCAAGAGGGTATGAGGCAGTACATGTCTTGGTGATGTTGATCTGTGGGCCATATTTGTTGTCGTGGCTGAGGTGATTCGTAAGGAGACGCACGACGAAGCTGCGCAGCAGGACCGAAGCAAAGAGATCAAAGTTTCAACACCGACGATCAAATGGAAGTCTCCATCGAATTAAATACAGTAAGTACCACAAGACTGTTCTGTTTCAACTTTCCGACATGTACCCGCGCGATCCCCAGCACATCTCCGAAAACCGAACTACCTACGGATATTCTGTCTTTCAATTTCGTCGCGCCCAAGAAGGAAACTATCGGGCATACCCCCGACTAAGCAACAATGTGTTGCGGCTCTTTCTCGCGCTTCGTTGCGCCCAGGCAGCTTGGCGAGGAACTTTTCGGCCTCATTGACGCTGGTTGAACCGCCAAGGGCTTGGGCCGAGTCGCAAGCGTGCGGTACCGCATTCCATAATTGGAACTTTTTCTCATCGTCGCGATAAGAAACTGTGGTGTTGTTTTCGATTTTGGGACATGGCCAAGAGACTGCGCATACTCTGAATGTACAGAACCGGCGTGGCTGTACGGTACACGACACTCTATGGGCGGGTGCAGCGAGGTAAAGTAATCACCCTCTTCTCGACTGTCTTTTCACATGTCTATCATAGAAAGGCCGTATAATCACGTTACACTCTTTCTAGCGGACCAAGGGTGCTAGGTACAACGTAAGCAGCAGTTCATAGAGGAGTGGTACGTGTGGCACGAAGCTCGATTCCATGAACTTCTCCAGTTGTAGCAGATGGTTCGCGAATCGCATGCCATGTGTAAATGACAGTGTCCCCTTAGTTGCGCGAATTTATGGCGACAAGACCCTGACTACAATGGACCCAAAGCATAAGGGTCCGTCATAGATTTCCGCCTTCTCCTGCGGGCCATACATCTTACCAAAGTCAAGGTATGCCAATGCTGACTTCTTTCACCGTTCTGTAGTTTGAGGTCCTGCAGTGGTTTCCGTCATCTTGAGATTGCGTCTGGTCAAACCTATCAACGGTCGTTTCTCTTAGGCATTAAATTGACCGACTTCCAAGAATTGCTAAGAGTGCTGATGCACGGATCTGAGACATCTTTCGGTATCTTGAAAGTGGCTGCGCATGCTGTTGGCATGAAAAGTAACAAGCATCGAGACGAACTAAGACAACCGCACGTAAGTTGTAGAAAGTGTTGATGACGATGTGCGAAGAGGAGCATGGGATCAGCATGGACCATGGCGTTATCGATAAGAGTTAGCGCGAGCTTTACGCGTTCTGAGACGCGCCTCCATCAATTAACGGAAGGCGCGCCCAATCATCTCAGCTTTCACTCTTTCCCTTCACATCACAACCTCACGTCGGTCCTCACAGCATATCGACATGGCATCCCGACCAGAAATCAAAGAGGAGGACGAGTCAGGCTTCTGCAAGTTCTTCCGCAACTTGCCTGACAAAGATGACGAGACGGTGCGCATCTTCGACCGGGGTGACTACTACAGCGCCCATGGCGAAGATGCCAAGTTCATTGCAAACACAGTAAGGGCACATAGCTCAATTGGGGACGAATCACGATACTGACACGTATCCAAGGTTTACAAAACTACAGCCGTCATCCGTAAGCTGGGACGGGAACCGGGCCTGGAATCGGTTACCATGACCATCACCGTTTTCCGCAACTTCCTCCGCGACGCACTCTTCAGACTCAGCAAACGTATCGAGATATGGCAATCTACAGGCAAGCGGATGGACTGGAAGGTGGTCAAGCAGGCCTCACCCGGTAATCTGCAGGACCTAGAAGACGAACTGGGTGGTCAAATCGAGAATGCACCAATAATATTAGCGGTCAAAGTGTCAGCAAAAGCATCAGAAGCGCGCAATGTGGGCGTGTGCTTCGCAGACGCAAGTGTACGAGAGCTTGGCGTCACAGAGTTCCTCGACAACGACCTCTACTCCAACTTCGAATCGCTTCTGATTCAGCTGGGCGTAAAAGAGTGCCTGATACAGGTCGATACATCTAAGAAGGATGTGGAGCTGGGCAAACTTCGGACCATCGCCGACAACTGCGGTTGTGCGGTAGCAGAGCGGTCGGCGACGGACTTTGGCACAAAGGACATCGAACAGGATCTCCCGCGGCTACTGAAGGACGAACGGGCAGCTGGCTCGTTGCCATTGACAGACCTAAAGCTAGCTATGGGCTCGGCTGCATGCTTGATCCGGTACCTAGGAGTCATGTCAGACTCTTCAAACTTCGGACAATACCAACTCTACCAACACGACCTCTCACAATACATGAAGCTCGATGCTGCGGCGCTGAAAGCACTCAACCTCATGCCTGGACCACGAGACGGCGCAAAGAACATGAGCTTGTACGGGCTACTCAACCACTGCAAGACACCTACTGGTAGCCGACTACTAGCACAATGGCTGAAGCAGCCTCTGATGAATGTCAAGGACATCGAGCGACGGCAGCAGCTGGTTGAGGCCTTCGTCAACGACACTGAGCTGAGACAGACGATGCAAGAAGAACACTTACGTTCAATACCAGATCTGTACCGACTTGCAAAGAAGTTTCAACGCAAGGCCGCAAACTTGGAAGATGTTGTGCGAGCATATCAAGTCGTCATCCGGTTACCAGGCTTTCTCAGCTCCCTTGAAGCGGTCATGGACGAGCAGTACAAGGAGCCGCTCGATGCGGAGTACACAGATAAGCTCCGCCAATACATGACAGCATTCGCAGGACTACAAGACATGGTGGAGACGACAGTGGATCTCGAAGCGCTCGACAACCACGAGTTTATCATCAAACCTGAGTTCGATGAATCGTTGAAGACTATCCGGAAGCGTCTGGATAAGCTCAAGCGCGACATGGAGTCAGAGCATATGCGTGTGGGCGATGACCTCAATCAAGACACTGATAAGAAGCTTTTTCTGGAAAACCACAAGGTCAATGGCTGGTGCTTCCGACTGACTCGTAACGAAGCCGGCTGTATCAGACAAAAGAAGCAATACCAGGAGATCTCGACACAGAAGAACGGTGTCTACTTCACCACCAACACACTACAGGAAAAGCGAAGAGAGTTCGACCAACTCTCCGAAAATTACAACCGCACTCAATCCGGTCTCGTCAATGAAGTCGTCTCAGTAGCATCATCCTACGTCCCCGTCGTCGAGAAACTTGCCGCCGTGCTCGCACACCTCGATGTCATCGTCTCCTTCGCCCACGTCTCTGTTCACGCACCAACCTCCTACGTCAGACCCACAATGCACGCGCGCGGCACTGGCAACACCGTACTGAAAGAGGCACGCCACCCTTGCATGGAGCAGCAAGACGACATATCCTTCATTACAAATGATGTCTCACTCGTACGCGACTCCAGCGAATTCCTGATCATCACTGGTCCCAACATGGGTGGAAAGTCTACATATATCCGCCAGATTGGCGTCATCGCTCTCATGGCACAGATCGGCTGTTTCGTCCCATGTTCAGAAGCTGAGTTGACCATCTTTGACTGTATACTTGCCCGTGTCGGTGCAAGCGACAGCCAGATCAAGGGTGTGTCAACCTTCATGGCCGAGATGTTGGAAACAGCAAACATTCTCAAATCTGCAACAAAAGAGTCGCTCATCATCATCGACGAGCTTGGTCGCGGAACAAGTACGTACGATGGTTTTGGTCTTGCCTGGGCGATTTCCGAATACATCGTGAAGGAAATTGGTGCTTTCGCGTTGTTCGCCACGCATTTCCATGAGTTGACCGCGCTAGTGGACACATATCCACAGGTGCAGAATCTACACGTCGTAGCCCACATCTCAGAAGGCACTGCTCCTGCCAATGGTGATGCAGATGCTGACGTCGACATGGACGCCGCCGCTGTGCAGAAGAAACGCGAAGTTACTCTCCTATACAAAGTCGAACCTGGCTTCTCAGATCAGTCTTTCGGTATCCACGTCGCAGAACTCGTCCGTTTCCCACAAAAGGTCATTAACATGGCGAAGCGGAAAGCAGATGAACTAGAGGATTTTGCAGGTAAACATGAGGAAGGTTACGTGCAAGCGAGTAAGGAGGAGGTGGAGGACGGAAGTCGCATGCTGAAAGAAGTATTGGCGAAGTGGAAGGAAGAGGTACAGAGCAAGGGGCTAACGAAGAAGCAACAAGTAGAGAGGATGAGGGAGCTGGTCAAGGAAAACCCGAAGCTCATGGCGAATGGGTTCTTCAAGGGCATTCAGGCCTTGTGAGTGGCAGGTACATACCTGACCGGCGTTTCGGCATGTAACAACGTTCTTGCACCCAACCTACGGAAGGTTGATCATAACGGTACTTCAATAGTGAGCGCATTTGCACGATACCAGTAATTCATACGTATAACATATTATCGAGGTTCCAGGAACATGTGGTTTTCATGATATTGCATGCTCTTCTGTAAATGATTGTTGTGAAGAGTAAAAGCTAGAGACTTGATGAATTAATGCTATGCGCTTTTTCTCATCCCCAAGCGCATGGCCATGATGGTGTATCATATTACTTGCCTCCAGTACAGACTGCCTGCACCCGGAGGCGCGCATCCCGATGCGGCAGTCCTGAGCAAGATGTGAAGAGCACTGGATTGTAACTCAGCCAGGCTCGATCAAAAAGAACCAAATTCTCTTCTCTATTTGTTTCATCGCTTCAGCTCAGCAAACCGCTTAGCAAGCTCATCCACATCCGGGATTCTGCCTAGCCCATCCTCCTTCTTTGCCGGCTTCTTCGTATTCGCCTCGCTCTTTGCTACCTTGGCCGCCGCACTTCCTGGTAACTTCAACCTAGGCGCTACATTATCGGTACTAGGACTCGGCGGTACGACGCGCAGCGGACTTTGTGGTCCCAGCTTCTTGGGTGTCGAGGCTTTTGCCAGCGCTTCCCTTTCCTCTGCCTTCTTGCTTGTACTGGGGTCTGCGTCGTCGGCTGGTAAAGGTTCTTCGAGCTCCGCCTTTTCGCCTACACCACCTGATGGCTCATCGTCGTCGTCATCTTCTTCATCTTCACTCTTGGCTGTGCCATACGGTACTCCGTAGAATCTTGCAATCTCCGTCATGTATGCCTCGACCAGCTCCTCCTTCGGTGTCTCAACCTTTAGCTTCTTCATGACCCTCTCTGCCACGCCTTCTCCTTCCATACTGGCCACTGCAACATCCTTTCCGAACTTGTCTACTAACAGCGCCCTGACGGTGTGTAGTTCCTTGATCTCGGTTCGTGGTGCGGCGTATATTATGCTGCGGACGGCTTCTTCTAGGGCTGGGTCGAGGAGTGTCGACGTGGAAGCGGATGAGGTGGTGTTTGAGGAGGACACTTGCGATTCGAGCAACTGTGAGCGCGCGAGTAGAAGCTCGCAGTAGAGTTCGAGGATCTCGTGTAGCTCGGTGGTGATGTCGGTACGGATTATGTTCTCTACGCGTATGCGCGCCGACTGTACTTTGCCAACCTGTAAAAAGGTCAACACAAGTGACACGGGGCAGGATACTACGATATCTGGGAATGCGCTGTTGCCTTGCGTTCACGCGACGAAATGCGCATCGGACCAAGATAAGATGACAACGTACCTCAATCAATTGCGCCATTTCTCTTCTTTGCTGTTTTACTTTTGCGCTATCCTTCTGCTGCACCATACGTAGCCGCGATATCGACAGCTTGAGCTGCACCTTGAGCTTGTTCTGCCCCGCATTAGGTTCCTGGCGCGATAGTGGATTCCTTGGTGGATGTGGAAGGGACGTACGACTAATGACATTGCGGGCGCCATCTTGTTCTGTTCAGTGCGAAAACCGGGTATCTGGCGATTGGGTGGACGGCGTGGTGGTTTGTTGTGCAGGCGTCTGGTGTAGGTTGAAGCTAGTGGTCGGGCTGGAAGCTGGAGGCGGGACACGCGTAGGCATGTCTTGGTGGGGTTCATCGGTTGTGGCGGTGGCGGTGCAATAGAGGCGGCCCGTTCCCCCGATCAAGTCATCCACCTCATCATCCCCACTAACATGACTACAGCATCTTCACTCAGAGAAAGGCCGGTGGCCTACGAGACGTCCAGCCTTCGCAAGTGTCAGTGCCTCACATCTCGTATTCATCATCTCGCAGATCGTAAGACTAAACAACGTTACAATCTGTGTCTCCATCTCAAGCAATCCGACGAAGCGGAGCACTCACTTACCGCGTTGATGATTTCAAGATGCCTTCTCTCAGTTCACTATTGCCAGCCTGTTTGTGGTGGCGCAATCATGCATGTCCGCGACCTTTCGCACAGCCGCGTTGTGCTTACTCTGCCTACTGACTGCCCTTAACATTCGATCGCTGCTCCAATGTTTAAACCCCACTTCCTTCACTCTCGTTCTCAGCGTGTGTTATATGTTGTAATCTCGATTGTACACGTTCGAGATATATTTATCCTTTGATCGTCCGTTTACGATGCGGCTCTTACGCCTGGAGCCTGACGGTACCTTCAGCCTTAACGAGTACCTTGGGATAGATATACCCCCGTATGCGATCCTTTCACACACCTGGGGCACCGATGGAGAAGAAGTCACCTATAAAGATTTGATGGAGGGCAACGCAGAGTTAAGAGGAGGTTATAACAAGCTCAGTTTCTGTGCAGACAAGGCTGTGGTTGATGGTCTAGATTACTTCTGGGTTGACACTTGTTGCATAGACAAGACGAGCAGCGCGGAGCTTACAGAAGCCATCAACTCGATGTCCCGATGGTATCGAGATGCACGGTAAGAATTTCAAGATTGCCTCGTTCGTGGCACATTCTGAGCATAAGACTAACGAGTGTTGGGAGAGAAAGCATTTGTTACGTCTTCCTCGCAGACGTTTGGTCTTCGCGGAATGGATTAGCTAATCAGCATTGGAAGTCAGATTTTCAAAAGAGTAGATGGTTCACTCGCGGCTGGACTCTCCAGGAGTTGCTTTGTCCGATAACAGTCGAATTCTTCTCTGCGGATTGGAACATGCTCGGGAACAAAGGATCTCTTTCGCAACAGATCAACCTTGCCACCGGCATACCTACAGAGATATTCTGGAAGAAAAGGTCTTTCCTCTCGTACAGCGTTGACGACCGAATGTCCTGGGCACGAAAGCGGCAAACTAAGCGTGAAGAAGACGCAGCATATTGTCTCTTTGGCATCTTTGATATCCAGTTGCCAGTATTGTATGGAGAGGGGAAGAAGAAGGTTTTGATTCGGCTACGGAAAGCTATCCATGAGTCAATGGGTAACCCACCTCCGCCACCCCCGCCACCTCCACCACCACATCCGCCCTTCTTCCAACATCAGCTACCACCACCGCCGCCCCCGCCGCTCCAAAAACTGTCAGATATGCGCTCGTATATAGAGACGCAACCATCGTTCCGTGTACCATCTAGCAAATTGTAAAAACTACTCCGATATTTCTGATACCATTACGGTATGAATCTGAAATCCAGAACGATCTCTAGCAGATTTGGCGAGCCTGTTAGCTCTGAACTATCGAGCAGCTTGACTAGAGTTTATTTTTTAAGCAGGCGAGCGATGGAGATAAACAGCAACATCCTGTCACATGGCCAAATTTGCCTGACCGAGGCATAGTTGACCAACGTGGGGAGAGGGCTGAACATCTAATTTGAGCCGATTTGATATCGCATGTCGATTTTCCAATCAAGATCGAAGGTTCTGTTCCTGAGTCTGCTTTTCTTAATCTGTATAGGATATTTGTGGATTGTGCATGTAGTAAAAGCACAAAGCGGAGTGGTTTCACTTCCCTCTGGTTCATCCAAAAGCGGCGCACATGCACAGCAGTGGGGAAATTAGATTGGACGAATACGGTGTATTTTCAAATCTCAAGTATGAAGTAAGGGATCGGCATGTAAGCCAGCCTGATTAAACGAAGTTTCAGGCTGACCATGCAGCCACCTAGGCTTAATGAGTTGCGCCACCAGCATACAACTCCAATCACAGAAACCACTGCTATCACCATGCATAACAGCAGCATGTTGCCAAGACATCTCTTTGGGGGCCGTCTCACGACGCACAACTCACATCCTGCTTACCTCGCGCTATCTAGTCCCTTTGTCTGCTTACTTCTCCTTCTCTGCCCAACGAACTCACCCCGATACTCTTGTCAGACGAGTCAATTGGGCACGCGCATGTTTTTGCCCACATCAACGCCATGGCTCCATCATGGCGCATACTGAGTAGCTTTACGTTCAGCCTTGCAGCTCTCTTCATCGTACAGCCTTGTCTCGTAGGTGCGCAATGCGACATCCCGCCTCTTACGCTTACCTGGGCCAACCTGAGCGTCACGCAAGACGGTCTTGGTGTCGCGCGTGGTATCGAACTTGGAATTGGAACTCCACACCAGATCTTCGCTTTCCGGCCGTCGACTACGCTCAACAACACGCGCATTAATAATGTTGTTAACTGCGGTTCTGCGACCAACGACAGCTGTATTGGAGGTCTCGGCGGTGCTTTCGACTCGACTAAGTCGACATCATATGCTGTATCGATTAAGAGCCAATGGAATGGTAGCCAGATTGATGATGAAGACGACACAGGAGGCTATGTCTACTTTAACGATGATGTCGCGTTTCAAGAAAATGGTCATGTTGATGGATTTCCGTTGGTGATGGATAGCGAGGTATGGGGAGGTAAGAATTCCATGAATGCGCCTTGTCCAATCTGACTTGCGGACAAGTGACACTGACTTAGTATACAGGTATACAGTCCGGTCTGCCACTCGGCACGAACTCGTCATTCCTTCGCGCGGCGGTCGCAGGTGGTGTCGCGCCATCACAAGTCTTCGGTCTTTGGAGCGGCAGCAGAGGCATCGATCCACATGACGGTCTGCTCGTTGTAGGTGGATATGATCGCGCGCGGGTCGATCCAGCGTCGAACTTCACCACTTTCCCAATTGGCGAATGGAGTCTTGAACGAGCTTGTCCTTTACAGGTCACAGTCACGAATCTGACGTATCAGGACCGGCCACTCATACCAGATGGTAGCGATGAGCTGATCGCATGTATTGAGCCGTCGACACAACGTTTCGTGTTCCCTCCGGCGATTGCGCAGGCGTTCGGCGTATATACTGGGCAAAATGAGACTGCGTATCCGGGTAAGATGCATTATAATGTGTCGAACCGCCCCATGGGCGACCTCGTTGTGACACTGGCAGGTGGCTACCAGTCAACCATACCCAATAAGGAGTTGTTCGCGCCACTACGTGGGTCTGATCAGTACGGTCGTTATGCCATCACCAACGACAGCACGCTCGAAGCCTCGATATCGGATACCCGAGCAAGCGACCCAGGGGATGTGGATAGTACTCTTGGAGGCCTCTTCTTAACTTTTAACTACCTTCTTGTAGACTACGCCAAGAGCGAGTTCCAACTCGCTCCAGCTGTCGCAGCCGACGCGAAAGACGTGTCGCCGGACCCTACGGTGATCTGCACGCCTACCAACACGACGCCGGCGAGTCCTACCCCAACACCTGAGAAGTCCACGAATACAGGTGCCATAGCAGGCGGTGTGGTTGGAGGTGTTGCGGGACTTGCTCTGCTTGGTACGATCGGCTTTCTGTTATTCAGGCGGAATCGCCGCGCTAAGGAGGGTCCTCCCGTCAGCGAGATCGACGGGCAGCCACATTCACCTGTGCAACAAGTGTCGCGACAGCCGTCGGAGATGATGACGCATGAAGCTGCACCCGTGCACGAAATGCCTGCGACTCGATACCCGAGTTTTCGAAAACCTGAAAGCAGAGGATGGCGTTAGGATACGCGTCAAAGAGGAATGCTGAAGACTGGTAGATTCGCTTCCCTTATGCTATGACGGAGTTTTGTACTAAAACTTTAGGCGCTACGCTAAGTAATGCATTATTAGTTCGACTTCCCTTTCGCAACTCCCTCATCTTTCTCCAATCGCTACCCAGTAGGCTATGATAACAGTTTCGCTCGCATGGTAGGTTCATATACTGGAACATCCATAGGCACAACTTCCTCGTCGCGACAACAACTCACTTCTGCCCACCGTAACCAACCAGCGTACGTTCCATCTCTACAGTCGCTGCCAGGATGCTTCCTCCAAAGCATGCCCAACGTATCACCACCAAAAAGCTTTGCCGAGAACCCGTGTCCAAGTTTGAGACACCAGCTATCAGCCACCAACTTCTCTACGATACGCCTTGCAAATGCTTGATCGTCGGTCTCAACCTCACCTGGCTTGGGTAATGGAAGACTGAGAAGATCGAATTGTCGTTGTCCGCTCCAGCTCGTCATCTGCTCGTGTGCGAAAGCGCCGTCCATCATGCTCAACAGCCAGCACTTTTCTCTGACGTACTTTGGTCCATCCCAGCCATCTCCTTCATCAACCCAACCTTGCGCCGATCGCATGCACTGAATCTGGACTGCGTAGTCGGTCATCGCTTCGTCGTTGATGACCATCTTTTCTTGGCCTTCTTCTTCTACAATAACTTCTTGTGGCACACGCATAAGAGGGACATGTGACACCATTGGGTGGGTGTGCGCATCAGTCGTGTTTGTCTTGCCTTTCCAGACCTGAAGTAGGATATGATGTGCGCGTTGTACGAGCGGGTTATTCGCACCACACATAAGCGCAAAATTTACGATCTGCAGATCCGACCCCATTGTGAAACCGGCGAAATCGTATGGGGAGTCCGGGTTGACAATGTGTTTAGTCCATAGCTGGTCCAGGTCCCCAAATTGCAGAATCCCGACATCGAGATATACGCCACCGTACTTCAGCAGGAGTGGATACCGGATGAGATCTGAGGTGTGTTGTGCAGCATAGTGTCCGTTCAGGGTGCCGCGCGTGAACGCTGCTGGTACCACTAAAGGCGACTCGGTATCGATGTAATTAGCTACATTGAGTGAAGAATCCGGCACGACGTCAAGTACGTAGATGGTCCATCCTAGTGGTGAGAAGCGACGGTACCAAGCGATGACATTGCGTAGGAGATTGGGAGGTAAGTTATGAATACCAGAGTTCCAAAATGCGAATATAGATTTAGAGCCTAAACCAGGAGGTTTTGGTGAAGTCAGCGCTTCTGGTAGAGGTCCATCTGTTGATATGGTAGGTAGAACTTCGTATTGAAGTGCTGAGGTTCCCGGTATCTGTGGGTACTCCATAATTTGGCTCAATTGCTGACAGGAATCCGTGGTTTGGGAGAAAATCCGGTGCTGAGAGAAGACTTTGTATGGTACAACATACACACAGCTTACGTGATATTCAGCTTCACGGTAGTCAACTCACTATGAACATCCAATAGTCATTTCGACTCATTCGCGCTAGTAACTCGCGTGACGTCACTACGCGAATCAGCCTCACCAGCCACCTGGGAGGCATTGAAGTGACATCCCGCAACCCTTTTTACCATTCTCTACTTGTGAGAAAGGGTTATCAACAGAATATAACCTTGTTCTTCCCTATCTAGTTATCATGTACCAAGATGAGTCAACAAACCTTTACAGCTAAGTCGCAGCCAAGCTGTCAACGTGCATCGCGTTAACATGATCACCGTTTCTGATAGGATACAAATGGAAGAAACCCTGGACTCTCGGATTCTATCTAGAAAGCTACCGCACTATTGAGATTAAGCTCAAAGTGCTTTTCGCAAGGGCTACCGCACATTATTTCGTGAGGGATTGTGGATCCGGTTGCTGATAGGCTATTCGCACACGAAGTCTTGAGCGGTATACTCCGAAGGATTGCCTTTGAACACAGCTTTCTTTGGATACAAACAAAGCAGACGCTCTTTGTCTTCCGCGTTCCGGGTAGTAAGTGTCTCAGGTGCAATGCCTTTCTCAACCCAATCAACTAAAGCTTGGAATGTCTCATGTGGAGAACCGCCTTGTCCATCTATGCAGTGACGCGCGCCTGGTGCTTCAAAATAGCGGTAGTAATCTCTTAACTCAGGATCGAGAACAGATACCCGGTCGAAGTAATCGCGCGTTCCTCCGTATGGTATTGCCCCATCTGCCTTCACAAGAAATGTCAGTCGTTTGTATAGTCCAGACGTTTGAACAGTACTTACCAGTCCATGCCATGTAAGAAGCTTCCCTCCTGATCTTCGAAGCCCGCTAAGATCCGGAAAATCAGTATTAATGATAGATTTGTACTCCCGCTCTCCTGCTACGAAATCTTCCACCCACTCAGCGCGGGTCATATTGTTCAAATTGTAGTCCGGGTTTTTTTCGATAAAATACTTGATCCAATCCGTAAACAGTGTAGCTCTCAGGGGCGTACAGGTGCCGTTGTTGCAGGTGCTGCCGATGATTTCGGGACCAGGAGCTTCTAGTGAACCGCCGTTTACCTCATAGCCTGCTGGGTACCAAAGAAAGGACCCATTTTGCGTACGAGGCCCCTCCCAAACCGCTTCCATAATTATGGCAGCATTAGCCGATATAGTCGAAGGCCCACCAGTTGCACTGCAGTTAACTGCGGATCCAACCAGCGTTCGTGGATCGATGTAGCACTTGTCTGGATCCGAGATCAACCCGTCAATCAACCCGTCAAGACCATCGCAAGCCGCTATAGCAGCTTTCTCAAGAGCTTCAAACTCGCAGGGGTGCGGAAAACCAGTCGCGTTGAGTTCGTAGAACACTTGATGAGGGTACGTTCCGGCAAAGAAGAATGGACTCCAATTGATGGCGGGCGCGGCTGCTGCGATTCCATCAAAAACGTCTGGAAATCTTTGTGCGAAAAGATAACCCTGTCTACCGCCTTGAGAGCAGCCATCCCAGTACGAATACGTAGGGGGAGAGTGGTAGAAAGTCTTGATAATGCTTTTTGCAATCAATGCACCGTCGATAAGTCCGTTAAATGCGAAATCCTGGAGTGCGTTATAGTCGACGTTGCCAGGGCTAGTGAGAGCCCATTCTGCTACAGAAGATCCATTCTCATGTTCTACTCCGCCATCGACGGTCGCACTTGCGTAGCCTCCAGTCACTTGACTAAACGTGGGTATACGAAGTTAGTAAACGTCTCATATGCGATCCGTACATAGGCAAAACTGACCCGTACATGTTGGCGAACGATGAACTGAATCCCGCAGACCAACCCCCACCACCAGCCATTGTGAAACGACCATTCCAGTCAGGATCCAGAGGAAGCCATATTTGAGTACGTAGCGTGTCATTTTTTCCGGGGTGCGTATGAGTAACTGTAACGTTACAAAAGTCGACCTTAATATCGGTGGGAAGTGGGCCGTGATTTGGCCAATACGAAGTAACACCGTCAGGGACATAGTCCAATGCTAAGTGAGCTTCAAGTCCGATGATGCTGGCACCAAAAATCTCGGGAGTTGGAATGGATTGTGTTGTGCAGTTGCTGGCTCCTGGAGATAAAGCCATGATAGCAGATATACGCAATGAGAACAAGCTCGAATACAGCAAATGATGTTGTCTCATTCTCCAATGCACTTTGCTCTTGGTATAAATGTGTAAGTACTATTTGCACTACACTCGCGCACGAAATTTCGCGGACTTGCCGTCATCGGAGAGAGATCAACAAAGACGGACCTCGGCAACAATAGGCCGGCCGCGTTCGAGTATCTAGAGCAATAAGCGTCAGTACGATGGTAGTTCATTTCGGCACACGGAAAATGCTCCTCATCTTTGGAATATTGGAGACCTCTCTAGAGTCTGAAACTCTGTGACGTAATGGTGTCGAGGTCTTGTTGATCAGATAGCATTTAGTATGTTCTCGGCAAGACCTAGCTAGTTGCCTGTAGTGGTTACATGCCTAAGAAAGATGACATCTGTAAAAGAGCATGATTGAAGGGGGTTTGATAGCATTTTGCTGATGGGTTGGGCGACAATGGCTATTCTGTGCTGTTCTACGGCCTTAGTTTGTTATGGCCAGGCGTTAAGGTGGTTGACTGCGTGGCACGCACGTGAACACAGAAGATCTTCAAGACTAGATACTAATCCAGTTGGACGGGCTCGACAACCCTAGAGTTCGAAGTACCGGAGCTTCGCCCACGTACCTGAAACTTGCCTCAACGCTAAAAGTGAACCTTCATATTGCTTCTTCTGGCTGATCCGAGGAAGGGTATAACCTTGGAACTTTCTCGTGTCGGGCTCACTGTGGGTGCCATTTCGCGTCGAAATCAAACCCCAGTCATGGTCATACGAACAGTAACGAGGGTCTTACCCTGCTCAGTGACCACAGCAGTGTGTCCAGGTTTTGAGCGCCACCCTCGGGTTTGAACACTTGGCACCCGGGGCACGGCCTTGGCATGTCCTTAGTAACCCTCCTCTACTCCTCATTGATGGCTTGGCTCAGTAGCTTCTACATGGAGATCGGATATCTATAAGACTTTGTTGTCAAACGACTTGCTGTGCGCTGTTAGTGGAACTGTACCATACCTTGAAGGCCTCTTCCATCCAGCTCTTCCAATTCACTCGCCACGAAGCTCAAATTCATCGAAAATGGAGAATACAGATATCAAATCACGTTCTATCGATATGACGCAGATAGAGAAGATTGAAGTTGCAGAACCGCCGGACCAAACCATCGCTTTCACGACGATGGAGACGAGGCGCCTCCTCCGGAAGTTGGATATCGCTATCCTTCCTCTAGTCTCTACGATGTATCTGCTTTCGTTTCTCGATCGATCGAACATCGGAAATGCTAGACTAGCCGGCCTTGAGCAAGATTTAGGGATGACTGGATGGGATTATGCTGTGAGTGAACTCCACTATCCTTCCATGGTCTTGCAGTTCAAGGAATTAACTCATACACATGCGAAACGATAGACTGCAGTTTCAGTCTTCTTCCCTTTCTACATCATCTCCGAGGTACCGTCCAATCTCGCCATGAAAAAGTTCCGGCCGTCGATCTGGATCCCCTCAATCATGGTTGCTTGGGGCATAGTCATGACCCTCATGGGCCTAGTGCACAACTTTGGAGGTCTGTTGGCTGCACGTATGGCCCTTGGTCTTGCTGAAGGTGGCTTGTTCCCTGGTGTTGCTTATTAGTGGGTACCAATAATGTCTTGCTGTTTCGGTTTTTGCTAACAAACCATAGCATCACCTTATGGTACCGTCGTCATGAATGCGGTTCCAGAATTGCGATCTTCTTCTCCGCCGCAACTGCTGCAGGTGCCTTTGGAGGCCTCCTTGCGCGTGGCATTATGGAAATGGATGGGATCGCTGGGCTCAATGGTTGGGCATGGATCTTCATCCTTGAGGGTATCCTGACTGTCATAGTTGGTGAGAGCGAATTCTCTTCGTCGATATCTCTAAGTTTGACATATTCGCTGACTGATATTAGCCGGAATCTCTTACAAATATCTACATGATTACCCCGATACCGCTAAGTTTCTTACCGAGAAGGAAAAGACTGAAGTTATACGACGCCTGAAAGATGACAGCACGGCTCTGTCGAACGAATTCCGCACTCAATTCATAAAGGATGCCTTTACCGACTGGAGGATTCTTGTGCATTGTCTCATCACCTTCACCAACTTTTTACCGCTCTATTCCATCTCGATCTTTCTGCCAACCATAATTCGGGGTATGGGGTACACAAATGAGACTGCTCAGCTGCTTACAGTACCGCCTTATTTCCTTGCGTGTCTTGGCACTGTTGGCATTGGCTTTGCTGCCGACAGACTCAGAATACGTGGCCTATTCGTCATCGGACTTGCTACACTCGCGTAAGTCTCCCACCGGGAAAGCGACCATGATCGTCCTGTACTCCACATCGTAGCGAAATTAACTTAGTGACAGCATCGTCGGATTCATCATTCTCCTTACTGTGGATACAAACGGTGTCAAATACTTCGCTTGTTTCCTAGTATTGCTAGGAATCTATCCAAACGTGCCACAGATTACCTCTTGGAACAGTAACAACGTTGGCGGATCTGTAAAACGAGGTGTAGCCATTGCTATGCAGATCGGAACGGTGGGTCTATTCCTTGTTGACTGTTTATCCTTTACTGATGATGTACTAGGGCAACATGGGTGGCGCAGTCTCAGGGTTCATCTTCCAGGCCCGCGATGCCCCTCATTACCATACTGGCCATGGCATCCTCCTCGCGTTGTGTTGTTTGACTGTGTTGCTGGCTTCGTTCATGACGTGGTATTTGCGGAGAGAAAACAGCATAAGGGATTCCAAACATAAGCCTCCTCAGGAGTACACACTCTGTGAACAAGAAGCGGAGGCAGACAAAGGTGATAATGCCTCTTTCTTCCGATACACCGTCTAAGATTACTGTAACTACAATCCAAGACATCTTCGAAGCACAAATGCTTCAATGTTATGGCAGTCGCACAACAATCTACTTTAGTTCCAAAAAGAGAATGACAAATCCCACACATGAGTGAGAGAGATGCTCTTCACATAACGCATGTGTGTCCATATCGCGGCTCGTTGAGATGAACATGGGTGATATTTTTACTCCACATAAGGGGAACATTGATCTACAGTTTATTCTTGAATTTGCGTTTCTCTTGCTGCTCAACCTTGAACTGCTGGACTGCCTTCATGTATTCCACCGAACCAAATCTTTCTTGCTGAGTAACCTGACACTCGCGATCATTCGCATCAAGTAGCTGTTGAAGTACGGGTTGCTTCAAGAGTATCTTTGTAGTTCGAAGTGCTCCAGAAGGAGATTGCGCGACCCGGCGTGCGATTTCAATTACATTGTCAAGAAACCTTTCTTTGGGCAAAATCTTTGTGACAAGATGCAGCTTCTCTGCCTCCTCGGCTGAGATGGGTTCTCCAGCTAGACATAGTGCTGAGGCTTTCTGATGACCCATAAGCCGCGGAAACGTAAAGCTCGATGCTCCCTCTGTAGTCATTCCCCACTTGACAAACGGTGTAAAGAAGTATGCGTCAGGGACGCAATATACAAGATCGAAGAGAGCGAGACTGCTCACGCCATAGCCTGCGGCTGGGCCATTGACAGCGGCTATCAGGATCTTCTCGGTAGAAATGAACATCTTCGTTAACTGATGGAAGTCTGAGCCAAGAGCGAACGACATAGGAGCCTTCGTGTCCGTCAATTCCATACCGGTGCAGAAGAACTTGCCTTCTCCCGTCAGAAGAATGACTTGAACTTCGGGCTGACTATCTGCCCACCGCAGGGCAGATAAACTGTCCGCTAAGAGCCTGGGATGCAGAGAGTTCCCCGACTTGGGCCGGTCATATTTGATGATGGCAATTCGACCCGCCTCTTGTAGTTCAACTTTGACATAGCTGTATGAAGGTGGCGCCATGTCGGTTCGGTTGTGTATATTCCTCCTGGCTATTGTCTGGCAGATTTTGAAGAGAAGTACAAATGACCCGATAGCCAGAACAGGCGACTCAGCTTGAAGTATGTGACTTTTGTGTGTACGAACTAATGAAGTATGGCTCTTGCAGCGCTACAAGATGCTCCTATAGCGCCCTGTACTCGACGCGAATTATACCTAGGTAGTCTTATCTCGGACAGAATCTATGTTCCTTGAGCATTAGAGCACTCCCCCTCATTATTCACAAGAGACTAACTTTGTCAGTCGCAGGGTAGCTGACGTCTGACTTGAAGCCGTCCACGGACACACCTCGGGCCGCGCCAAGCCCGTCCCCACATAGCCGCATTTCGAGGCTCCGTTACCCCGCAAAACTTTATCTGAACTCGGGTTAGGTCTCCAAACCCGAGGCTGCATAGACCTGTCCCGTCTAGGGTGATGCATCGGGAATGCCGTGCTACTCCCGCCAGCCAGCCGGGTATGTAGCGCGTGTGTCCAGTTATCTTTTGAGACTATGTTGTTCAGCTTCACCAGTCTTGGATTGTCGAAATCATATACCTTCAAACAGATTTCTGTATCATTGTACCCATGGCGACACTTGATTTGAAGCCTAGCGAGATGCCGCACAAATTCAACTTTGCGGTTGATGTAATCGACAAATGGGCAGATCAACGGGACGATTTGCAGGCCATGCACTGGGTATCGCAAGACGAATCAAACACCAGGCACATGACCTTCAAGTACTTTTCCAGGCAATCCCATAGAATTGCTATCCTCCTTGATCAATTAGGGTTCGGGAAAGGGGATACTATGACGATGGTTCTCCCAAGAGTGCCTGCATGGTTAGTATGCTATCTATGCGTCTACAAGAAATTCGACTGACCATCTGAAGGTGGGAGGTCGCGCTTGCGGCCATCCGCAGCGGAATCATTCTATCGCCAGGGCCGAATCTCCTGACTGAGAAGGAGATTCAATATCGGTGCAATAAAACCAAATCGAGACTGTTTGTCGGCGACGAAACGAGCGTGTCGAAGTTTCTTGCCGTGCGTCAACATTGTCCGACAGTCAAGCATATCATACGAGTCGGGGATGGTACTAGGAGTCAAGACGTTTCTTCTCTGTATGCCGCACTAGAAGATATCGAGACTCATGCCAGATTCGACTCGTTGTACCAAGAATGGAGCAGTCCAGCCATGATCTATTTCACTTCTGGAACGTCTGGTCACCCGAAAATGGTAAGGCATAACCAGGTTATGCTCTCTCTAGGTAAGGTTCCAAGCACTTCGCATCTGGGTAAGTTACTAAATAGAGTAGCAAGAGGAATCGCGTTCGGACAATGGTATCAGCTGGCTCCAGGCAAAGTCCTTTGGAACACTGCGGACCAAGGTTTGTCAAATCGTTCACCAGAGAAGTTCAGAACGACATCGTTGACCCGCTGGCAGGTTGGGCAAAGGCTGCATGGTCTTTCTTCGGAGCTTGGAACTCTGGCGCAACGCTCTTCGTGCACGATGATCGTGGAGCGTTCAGTGCAAAGCGCACCGTGGATATACTGTGCCGGTACCCGATAACTACCCTATGCGCCGCTCCGCTCATCTTTAGACAACTCGTGTCACCCGAACTAGAAGATCATTTCAAGCGAAATCCTCCCGCTGCGCTAGCTCATTGTACAACGGCTGGAGAAGCGCTGAACGCTATAGTCACCCAGCGATGGCGTCAACTTACCGGTCTCGACATCTACGAAGGATATGGCCAAACAGAAACCGCATTGTTATGTGCCAATCTGAAAGGCTCCACGATCCGCCCAGGCTCCATGGGGAAACCAGCACCTGGAGTACCTCTCCACATCATAACGGCAACCGGAGCTGAGGCTGCTCATAACGAGGAAGGAGATATAGCAGTGCTGTTGAGTGACCGGAAGGGCAGCAGTAACTTCTTCGGTATCTTCGATGGCTATGTGCAGGAAGATAATACGTGCACCCGTAATGAAAGAACCGTTACGGTGGATGGGGAAGTCAAGTCCTACTACCTAACCGGTGACAGAGCAACTCGTGATCAAGATGGTTACTTCTGGTTTGTGGGGCGAGCGGATGATGTTATCAACTCCTCTGGATACCGAATAGGTATGCTCGAGCCCCAACGCTTTGAGTCTTTGTTTCCTGACAACTTCCTAGGTCCTTTCGAAGTAGAATCCACGCTCAAGCTACACCCTGCCGTCGCAGAAGCTGCCGTCATATCCTCGCCAGATCCAGGAAGAGGAGAAGTCGTGAAGGCATTTGTCGTTCGTACGAGAGAGTACGAGAATGCTCCACCTCAAGAACTTGAACAGGAGCTGCAAACGTTCTGCAAGAAGAACGCAGCACCATACAAATATCCACGAAAACTGGAGTTCGTAGAAGGCAGTTTCCTTCCTAGAACTACGAGCGGCAAGATTCAACGGGCCTTGCTAAGGAAATTAGAATGGCGAAAGGAAGCAGGCTCGAAACTCTAATCACCTGTCAGCCTGTACCTTGACTATATTCTGTTTCCGACAACTCCATGTTTACGCTCGATGTCCGCTCTTTGTTCACTTTGCTACCTCAAAGCAGTAGCTTATTTTCCATTGAGGCCGTCCAGACACCTTCATATATGTAAAACTCGATGAAGAGTAAAATGTTCTGTACAGCACTACAAGCGCCACGCATAATTCGTGCCGCTGATGTTCTGCTCATTCTCGCCGTGATCTCTGAGAGCAAATGAAAAATTGTCGATCATAGTCCCGGTGTTTGTAGGACCAAAGATTTGAGGTAGAATCCCGTCAATGTGGCCACTATAGCCGTCAAGATCCAATTTGGGACTTGGTTCTCGCTCAATTATGAGATCCTCAGACTCAATGTTTGTTGCAGCCGTATCGGTAGAGCTTAAAGCCTTGGTCGTGGACAGTGTGCCGTAATCACAGAGTGCGTATAGTTGATCGATGTCGGCAACTTCGAGCGGGACACTTTGGAGGGAAGGATCGATCAAGTCAGAACAACGTATCGAGTCAACAGCGAACTGAGTGAGCTTTGCAATCTGCGGATATCATCTTGTTAGCTAACGATAGAGCTATACCCAATATTCACATACCATGCGCCCTGACGTCTTCCAAAATCTGGTTTTTCCGCTGATGTGCATTATACTGCTTTGTAAAGCTTCCACGGATTGTATGCGAGTAAGGCAATCTAGCGAGTGCTGGAACAAACAGTGTATTGAGCCTGCTACAGTGGAAGCATAGCTCAAAAACGTTGCTGACACTTTGTATTGCGCGCGGGCCGCGTTCTCCAAAGTGCGTGTGAGTTCCTGAGCGTGTGTGAAGCAGCTGACGATTGTGCGAGACAAAAAACCGGCGGGTATCTTGAATTGAGTCCTCTCGAGTCGACGCCTTATCAGAAACGGATGCTGAAGCAAGCAGTAGCAAAGATGATACAGGACATAAGTCAAGATGGTGGACTCGGTGATCGGCACGTTGGGCTCGGACTGACGAAGAGGTGCGTTCAGAATCGTCGCCTGTATGTCCCCATAGCAGTCAAAGAGCGTCTCGAACTGGGCGAGCTGAGAGCAAATGGTTTGGTACTCGGATATGTGGTCCCACGGCGCCTTCCGATCGCCAGTAATGTCTCGTTGGAAAGTGTAGTTGGCCACTTGGCTCAAGAGAGAAGCGACAACAACAGTTGGTGCGAGTGTCTCCATGTGATCGACTCTGAAGTCGACAAAACGCAGAAACTCTTCCAAACTTACCACTTGCTGCGGTGTGGATGTTCGGAAGTTTTCGTCACTGCAGGGTAGCTGAATACGAATTGACTGGTCCTGGAACAAGGACGGTCTATGTCTGCCACAAGTGGCCAGCTTATCTAAAAGGTAGATCGACCATAACGTGCGACGACGTTCCTCTTGAGCGGAGAAGGGCAATTCAGTGGGCGGTTCAGTCATCATGTGCATAGCCTGTGCAACATTGACAGCTACACCAATTTTGATCCATGCAGTTCTATGTTTACACTCTGAAGCAGTCAGCCTTGCCTTTGTCTGTGGACAAAGAGCAGAAATACCTGTGAAGTCGTACAGCGCGAGTAAAGTCGCCGCTTGAACCACATAGTGGTCTAAAACCTCATCAGAGTCAAAGATCCGCCTGAAAGTCTCTTTCCACGCTGCGGACGCGTGCGCCGCAGCTGTGCGATCTTTGTCGGCAAAGAATGGATCATCTGAAAAGCGTATCGCTATTCCTAGTACAGCTCGTACAAGGTAGTTCGGCAGCCTACCACTGCGTAGCTGTTGCTGAAATGTCTGTTTATGAAAGAAGCAGTATGGCTGACCGTGCCAATGATGAAAAAATAACTCGATAGTTGATGATAAGATGTGAGATGGAGGCATCTGCGGTTCGAGACTATGAGCATTGATCGACGCATCGTTTATATTGGAAGTTGGAAGCTGCTGCCTGCCTGTGAAAGTTGAAGTAGTTGCTGCGTCGATACTGCGCAAAGAGTTTAGCATACAACCTGAAAAATGCTTAGCAATGAGGGTACGGTACCTTTCAAGCATGGAACTGAAATCGGATTGGGGGTCGCCGCTCATATCCAATGAAGTCAAACCTTTCTATGAAGCTGTCAATATACGACCTTCAAAGTAGGACGAGAAGGAAATACGTTATTGGGGTTCATGTCTTGAGGATGGTTTGACGTTGGGCGGCTGTCTTGGGTCGTTGTCCATCTGCGGCTGCGGTAGACGCATTTCTGAAGCAACCGAGCGCAGAAGCTGCATGAAGGCTGCTCGCCATCACATTTGACTTTCTTTCGTCTATGTCGCTATATTCAGTCGCCACGACTTGTAGTTTGTGATCGTTTGCGAACCCGATATGTTGGACGCGCATGTGGTTACGCAGAGTAATGGGCGAGAGCTTACCGGCAATTCAGGCAAGCCTGGCGAGACCGACGGCTATTTCGGGGTTCCGCGCCTTGATCGTCCATCAAAGAAGGCAGTGGGTCTCCAAAAAGGATGAATGTGTGATCGAACAAGAGGAACGTTAGCAGACGGTGATGGTGAGGCCAAGGCGAGCTCTCTTGACACTAAACATAGCGCCATTTCAACCCCGCACTGGGGTGCCGTGTCGTACCGCTCTTCAGCGACTCGTTCCCTCGTTCCCACATGAAGCCCTCTCTTGATTCTGATCTGCAAGGGAGAATAAGATGACTAAGTAGCGAACAGTAGTACCACAACGTCAGTGAAGCAACAAACAAGACGTCGAAAACTAAAGAAAGCAAGAGACAATCGAGCGCGGCAGTATGCCAGGATTTCGGAGAAAACGGGGCTTGTCTGTATTCACGATCATCATTCACACAGTGCGCTGCGATGGCCGTTTACCGCCAAGGGCGCGCAACCAACATATTAGGCCTGACCAGTGATACCTAAATACTGCCTCCTCTATACCATAATCTTCTATGGTGATACTGTTAGCATGCAGCAAAAACAGAGATCCGCGCTCTCTCCACTTCCTGATATCACCCGTAACCCTTCCGCACCACTGCATCCTGCACACCATCCTTCTCCACCAATTTCCGCTCCAGAATTCCTCATCATTGGTCTTTTTGCGTTACGTCTCACAAAGCGCCTGGTTGTGAGCCTGGATTATTACCCAGGTCAAGATGCCGACATTATCTGGCTTATCAACTTCCTCGCGCCTTACCCCAACGATTATAAACTAGCGAAGATCTCAGACAGTCGAAGAGATGACTATCTAGCGATGTACCAGAACATAGTCTCGCGAATGAAGAAGCAACCAAAGTACCCCGTTCGCTTCATGCAGATGAACCCGGATCCATCGATGCAGCAGGCACGGCGAGGGCGCGAGATGGAACGGCCGAGGGTGATGACTGATGGTGAGTAAAATGGCGAAACGATCATATGCAGGAGCTCAAATTGAACAGCGGAAAGATTGGACATCATTGAATTCTGCGATGCGGCAGCCGAATGGGGATCCATACTTCCGATTCCAGTGCATGAAGCGGAGAGGATGGTGGAATTGGCGGACCGGAGGAAGATCGCAGATGTCGACGAACCTTATCGGCAGCAATCGCGCTATAGTCTTCGGGAGGAGTCGCACGGTCAAAGGCAGTCACGTTTCATCGACAGGGAGGATGTGCGAGATCAGAGGCAATCGCAATTCGCGCCTAGTTCCTTACCGCGCGATATGGGAAGGTCACTCCAAGAACCAAGGCAACCAGAACGCGAGGACAGATATCGGCTACATAATGCTGGAACGTGGCGTGGCGACGAGTACTTAGTTTCGGAAGAGAGGCAACTCGCGGAAGACAGGCGAGGGAGACGTCGCGTATCTTTTTCGAATGAAGAGTGATATCTTGACGTAAGAGGCATGCTGAAGACTGGTTTGGAAGGTCAAGTTATAACAGATTCGAATAAGAATGAAAAGACCTCGACGAATGGTCGGTCAATGTATCGAGCATCAAGCAGCCATTCTTAATGTAATTTGAATGCATGCTACTCGAATTGTATTGTGGCAAAAGCATGATGTATCTTCGCAGTATTTAATGACGGAAGCAATAATTGCTTTGATGTAATCCAATGCGTCTCGATACCACCCGAACTAGTTTCTGATCTTTTTATACGTCTTCTGATTGCCTAAGCTCTATGCTTGCTTGTAATGTGAATTCGATTCTGCTTCGCTGTGCACATCTTCCAGTACTGATTCAGCCACGCTCGCGCCTTCGTCGTAATCGCAAAAGTAACGATTAAAACAGGCAGCGCCGTAACCCAGAAGATCCACCCTTTCGTCTTCCCAGGCAAGAACTTGTCGTCCATGGAGAAGATTGCTGCAATAGTCGAAAGCGGTATGAACAGCATCGTCAGGTTGGTAATGTGAGCAAGATTGGAAGCATTCTGGTTGGCAGCTTGTGCTTCTTGCATGGTGGTGAACTGCATGTAGGACTGCAAGAACGCATCTGCAATGCCGATGATCTTGCCGCAGTGGTCTTGTACCGAAAGCCACCCGTCTCGCTCCCATTGCAGTTCGTCAGAACTACCGGGGCGGTATAAGCCCAAAGCTTCAAGGTTTTCCTTCAGTTCGATGAGCAAAATGCCCATAACAAACTTTACGTCGACAATGAAACCAAAGACCTCGTGCTGCCAGTTGCCCAATACTCCTTGGTCAAAATTCCGAAGATAGTACCATCGATTGACATGTGACTTTGCTGCAAGGGGATCTGTCTGCAGTCGTAGCAGAGTTAGGATTCGCCTTCGGACATACGAAAGAGACGAGCAAATCGCGAGTTTGCGAGCGGTGTCGGTGCATGTACGTGGACCAATCGTTCCGGATGGCGTGTTTTGCTGGATTGCGACTATGTCGTCAAACATAGAAGTATACTGTGGGCGCTGCTCTCCTTCATCCCAGTCGTCCGGGTTCGACGGTAATATTGTGAAGTCATGGAAGTCGGGATCCAGTGAATGCAATCGGGAGTACGCGTAATCTTCCGAACAGTAGTCAACTTCAAGCATGACATTCTCCGAGAGAGATTTGACCAATTCACCAACTGGTGGATCTACTATAAGAACCGCTACCCAGAGAGGTCAGTGGCGTCGAACAGAGCTGAGGGTTGAATCTTACAATCCCATGAACCATCTTCCCTGGCACCAGATGTCCAGAACGACAAAGCATGGTAGCTCTTAGGCTGGTCGATGATCGGCCCTTTTGGGTCATAGCATTGTATATGACGGTCGATGTTGAAGTCGCATTTAAAAGTATGTCCATGAATCGCGGGATCAGCATCAATGCGAATCGGTTGTGTAGAAGGATACCTTATGACGAAATTGTTTTCGGAGTAGCGACGGAAAGGTTTGCGGTGATTGAATGAAGGAGCTGCGGGATCAGCCCAGTGGGCGCCGAAAACACTTGGAGGAATGCGTAGGTGTGAGCCGAGAACTTGAACGTAATTCACAGGCAGATCTTCAAGTATGAATAGTCTTCGCCAAGGATGCGTCGGTTTCGCATCAGCGGTCTCATCAAGATAGCATTGCAGCTCTCGGGAACTCTTGAACATTCTCGGCGGCATTGACACCTCGTCCAAATACTCGATGACTGCCACTCTGCCCATCTCACGTTGGTACAGGGATTGCGCGTGTAAGTTCTGAACAAAATCCGGAAATAGCCAATATAGCTGCGAGCTCAACAATGCGAGGTAGGCCTCGCAAGCACCATGTTGAAGCAATGTCGCTGGCCTACCGTTCCGAGCAAGGGATGGGATCTGAAAGTCGTGCATGATTTTGAACGAGGAAAACAGTCGCAAGATCGATCATGTTGCCCGTCGTTGATAATGATCATACCGCCCCATGCTTGTACGTCAGCCCCGGGCGGAGATCCAGGTATGTTGAGTGGTTAGAGTAAGCTTATTAGACAATAGGAAAGCGTGGTTGGCTTTACCCGGTGATATTGCTGCGAAAAGTGTGCCAGGGCAGCCCCTAGCACTGGTGATGCATGGATTTCATCCACCCTTGAATGGGAGAGCGCGACCCTCACAGCCACTCCAAGGAGATTGACGAAAGAGCTCATTCCCCATGTTTGCTCACACTTCCAATGGCCATATTAGCCAGCCTGCGATGTTTAGTTTTAAACACCACTCCCCTCCAGAGCTGTGGCAGATGTGAAAAAATGAGAGCATCTTGTATGCAGCGTATAACCGGTCTATATCCGCGACTTCTCCGCGTGTGCAAGATACGATGTAATCGTCGTCCCCCTAACGCCGAGCCATGCAATCGTCAATCGTATCATGCAACCTTTTACTGTGTCGCACACTGAGGGCCCTCTGCCTCCTCATCATCGTCTTCCCACTCGGCGCCTCCAGCACGTGGGTCACCGCTACCAGCGCCGTACTCTTCCATGTCAGCATCCCACTCAACGTCTACTTCCTCCTCTTCTTCATGCTTCTCCTCGCTCTTTTCGTCCTTGGGTAGTGCGTCACGGAGCTTCTGTACTGCGGCGTCGTTCTTCAACCATCCATCCTCTGGGAACTCAACATCAACAACTAGGTAGAGATCACCCCTCGCGTCGCTGCGCTTCATGGGCATACCCTCTCCTTCGATCTTGAGGATCTGTCCTGGTCGCAAGACGTTGCCGTTTGGTTGTTGCACGTTGAGCTTAAGACCACGTCCATCGAGATGAGTGATGACCACGCGGTTGAAGCCTGTTAGTGCCTCCACTAAGCTAACCTTCAACTCGGCCCTCAGATCAGCGCCTGCGCGTTCGAAGACATCATGTGGCGTCTCGGTGAGCGTGAAGATGATATCGCCTGGCTCCTGGTCGGGTAGTTGATCTGCCTCTCCTGCAAGTACAATGCGCTCGCCTTGTCGTGCACCGCGGGGAATGTAGAGTTCGAGCACGTTCTTGGTCTCGACGACCTTCTTGCCCTTGCACTTCTTACAACGTTGCTTCTCTGGGATGACTTGGCCAGAGCCTTGACAGTTACCGCAAGGAACAGTTTCCTGGGTGACGAGGCCAGGACCGACCTGGCGGAGGACTTGCTTAGCACCTTGGAAAGTCAGTATAGTCGTCAAGTGCAAGGTGAGAAATTGACATACCCCGCCCACCACAGGAAGCACAAGAATTTGCCTTTGCGCCCTTCTTTCCACCGCTGCCTTCGCACAGGTTACAGATGATGTTCTTTGTGTTTGAGAACTTTGTCGTCTTGCCCTTGTACAGCTCTTCCAAGCTGACCTCGTACTCCTGCTCTACTGAGCGTCCCTTCCGTGGCACGTTTCGTCCACCGGGCATGCCGCCCATGCCACCCATACCTGGCATTCCGCCGAATCCGCCCATGCCGCCGAACATCTGCGCAAAGATGTCGTCGATGTCGGGGCCCTCGCCGCCCATGCCGCCCTTGGAGGGGTCAAAGGCGGACATGCCGTGGGTATCATACAGATGTCGCTTGTCATCGTCGGAGAGGATTTCGTAGGCTTGTTTCGCGGCCTTGAAGCGCACCTCGGCTTCTGCACGGTCTTCTTCTGCGACCTTGTCGGGGTGATGTGCTAACGCGGCCTATTGTTTGTCAGTATGAGGCGTGGATGCACTGCTGTTGTCTGCGGACCTTGTGGTATGCTTTCTTGATCTCGATCTTGCTCGCGCCCTTCTCGATCTCGAGGACCTCTGTTTTGGTCAGTGCGGTTCGTAGTCTCTAGACTTGTGTATCTACCGTAAAGATCGATTTCCTCATCCACTGGCATGGCGTTAGCAGAGAGTGGTGATGTCGTCGATTGGGAATACCTACTTTTGGGCTACTTTGGGGTGTGAGTCGGAAAGTGAGGAACAAGACACACTCTTAGAAGTATGTACAAGAAATAAGGCGGGCGCAACGAAGTAAAATGCGTCCTGTCCAGTGGGAGTGAAGGCAACAAACTTTCTCCAGATTTGTCGATCACTTGCAATGCGGGCCAAATTCCTGAGGAGCGGCCCCCACTAACGTCGGGCGAATCCCTGCACGTCATTTTCAACCGCGAACTCGAACCCTTTGCGTCGCATCAACACCCAAATGTCGTTTTCACTACTTGTCCGCCCACAATTATCCACCTACACATGCCGGTCATGTCTCGTCCGCCTTTCGCGATCCTCGCACCGCTCAATCACCTCTAAAGGAAATCCTCAGCTCGCTAAAGAAGGAAAGGACAAGGCTAATACTGCCGTACCAACATCTCCCGCACGGACGCGTTTTGCGCCTTCGCCGACAGGCTACCTACATCTTGGATCACTGCGGACGGCGCTGTTCAATTACCTCCTCGCGAAACGAACGGGTGGCCAATTTCTGCTACGGATAGAAAACACAGACCAAAAGCGCACGATACCAGACGCCGAACAACGACTCTTCGACGACTTACGATGGGCGGGACTGCAATGGGATGAAGGGCCAGAGGTCGGGGGTCCGTATGGGCCGTACAAACAGTCAGAGCGGAGTGCGATATACAGAGAATACGCGCACAAACTTCTGGAATCAGGACATGCATACCGCTGCTTCTGTTCTTCCGAGCGCTTGAACGCCTTGGCCGAACACAGACACAAGCTGGGCATCGCAACGGACTACGACCGCACATGCGCCCCACCCGCTATATCCAAAGAAGAGAGTGACGACAGAGCATCCAAGGGGGAATCGCACACCGTACGCCTCAGGGTACCAGATCAATACCCGACATACAAGGACCTCATCTATGGCACCTTCCGACCCCTCAAGAGACGCGGCCATGTCACCGAATCTGCCTACGAAGACCCCATCTTGTTGAAATCTGACGGCCTCCCTACATACCACCTCGCGAACGTGGTAGACGACCACCTCATGAAGATCACTCACGTAATACGAGGAAGCGAATGGATGCCCAGCACCCCGAAGCACATCGCCATGTACCAAGCATTCGGCTGGACACCTCCCGAATTTGCCCACGTCGGCCTCCTCGTCGACGAGAACAGCAACAAGCTCAGCAAGCGAAACTTCGACACCGACATCACTGCATTCAAGGAGATGGAAATCTTCCCTGAGACCCTAACAAACTTCGCTGCGTTGCTAGGATGGAGCCACAAGGAAAAGAGCGATGTCATGGACCTGAAGACATTGATCGAGAAATTCAGTTTGAAGTTCACAAAGGGCAACACCACAGTGACATTCGGTAAAATGCAATTCCTCCAGCGCAAACATGCCCTGCAACGTGCTTCTGTCGGCGGACCCAAACTCGAAGAACTGGTTCGCAACGTCTCCAGACTCCTCACTTCAGAAGACAGTCCCTATCAAGACTGGCAGTCCATCATTGGCACGCCCTTCCCCGAATCCTACATCCGCTCCATCATCCTTGCCGACGCAGAAAACTACACAAACGCAAACGAGTTTCTGTACCGCAACTCCTTCTTTTTCACACCCATCCGTCCGTTCGACAAGCAACCGCCCATGTCAACTACATCCGACATACCCATGCGCGCGCAAATGTTGGCAGACATTGAAGAGGAAGATTGGAATAAGGAAAATCTGATGCAGAAGGTGCACAAGATCATTGACGGTAGAACAGAAGGCAAGAAGGGAAGCAAGGATGTGTATCACTACTTGAGGAAGACGATTACTGGGCAGGAGCAGGGGATGCGGTTGTATGACATTTTCACAATTCTTGGGAGGACTGAGACGCTCAAACGGTTGGGGTTGCTGATCAATAATTAGTGTGATGTATGATAGTATGTGCAAGGCAGACAGATGAATGTAACAATAGCATAGAGAGTATAGATCACGAACATACAGATCAATTTTGTTCGATTCATTTCGTGTGGTATCCCATCCCATGATCTATCCGATGTACGCCCTACACACCCTGAACGCCATACCATGCTATCCACGATACTTCATCGTACACCTAGGAAGTCTCCATCTCGACCTCCTGACTCTTGACCTCCTGTCCGTTCGCAAGGTTGAAGACCTTATCTTTGACGTTTGCAGCCAGCAGGCCCATATCTTCTTCACGCGCAATCTTGCTCCCAGCCGCACCCAGCTTGGTCAACTGGTTCTTACTCTCGCTGTTCGTCGCGTAACCTGCTCCGCCTTTGAAGCGCTTGCTGCTGTTGTTCTCTTGCTGCATTTTACGGGCGAGGTCTGAAATCTGTTTGGTGCCGTAATCGCGGTTGGAGATGAGAGGAGAGGATGACAGCGTTTGTACCCAGTACTTGTTCCACAGCGCTTCTAGTAGCTTAGCATCGAGTGAAGACTTGTAGTGCGAGACTTCGAGGGGGTAGTAGTGGTTGGCGTGTGCGCCAAAGTCCTCAATCTTGCCGAGCGGAATGGTTTCGAAGCCGTCGCTCTCAGCGCCACTTGTGTTTTTGGAGCCGCCACCTGCCTTGGCCTGATTCTCGACGTACTCTGTTGAATAGGTACGGAAGGCACCGATCTCGACTTTGCCCGCAGAGACAGTTCGGTCGGGATCGATGACGATGGCGCAGAAGGGGTCTTGGAACTGTTGTTGAGTCTTCTGTGTGTTGACGTCGATGCCCGAGAGCCAGCAGCCGTAGCCAGGATGTGAGTGGTACCAGCCGACGGCGTTCTCCATCTGTCCCTGTTCTCGTGCGCGCTGTAGAAACTCTACCATGTACTCGTTTGCCTCGTCTTGTGCATTGACTCGTGTCTCTGTACCCTCGACTGGTAACCGGAATGCGTCGGTCACGACGAATGTGTGTGCTTCAATCTTGCCTAGCATCAGGCCCATGACTTCGATTGAGCCGCCGGATCGCGCGTGCATGACCATCTTGAGGAGGGCGATGGCCGAAATGCGGACAGACGTGAAGTAGTTGGGGTCGGTTCGCCATGGATGCGCGTTGTTGATGGCTTTCTGCTCCGAGGAGGAATAATTGTAGAGGGCGTCCTTCTGGGGATCTACAAGCTTGACGGAGTTCTCCAGCTCTGGGATGTTTATTAGCATGCAACGGCAAGCGGGGTATCATGGTATTGTGATGGATGGGACATGGGTTAAACGAGGGATCAGACTTACCCCACGTCTTCAAAGCGGTCCCCATGATTGAAGACGGTGTCGAGATTGTTTGGGTGAGTTTGATGCTGTTTGGTGGGGAGGCAAGGCGGGAGCTGTATGCTTATTGCGGGGAGCTCTAGCGCCAAGACATACAAGGCATCAGCGAGCAAGCCGGCAGTCCTAGGAAAGTGAAGTCGAGTGTAATTCAAGACACTGCAAATACAGCCATGTTATGATTTACTGTCAACAGCCTAAAACACAGCGAGATCAAAAAGTTTGTCTTGTCTCTACTTCTTCCTCCGTGACTGGTCTTCCCACCCTGACCTTTCATTCATCTTCCGTGCCTCTTCCTCCATCTTCTTGACCCACCTCTTAGTCAACTCTTCATTCTCTTTGCGCAATTTCTCCTTCTCCTGCTCCGCCATGTTCAGCTGTAGGTTCAGCGCAACCATTTCGTCGTGTACCTCCTCCACAAGCCTCCCCTTGCCCTTGAGCTCCTCCGTTCTATCCTTGCTTCGCCTCTCCAGTTGTGTCCGGACCTTTTCGAGCTGTTCTATGCGCTGCTTTTGTTGCGTGTCTGAGGCCTTGAGGGTGCTCAGCTCGGCAGTAAGGGCGCTCAGTTGACTTTCTAGATCACCCCGCGTGCGCTGAGTGACGGCTAATTCGGAGCGAAGTTGCGCGATAGCAGATGGCGAGGAGACATCGGTCGTTGCTGGTCCTTTGCCCTTTGATGCGCTGGCCGCGGGGGCTGACTCTTCCGCGGAGGGTGTCTGGTTCGCAAACTGTGCCGTGTTATCGGCGAGCTTGGTATCTAGACATCTGAGCATGATTCCGTGACATCGCGCACTCCACTCTGCAACTTACAGGCGTTCACGTACTCCTCATGCGCCTTCTCCCTTGCGTCACGCGCATCGAGTGCAGACAAATATTCCGCCAGGGGATCACTCATGGCGGCAGGTAGGGTCGCGAGAGATCAAGGGAGATACGAGCCGTCTCTATCGCTATCATGGTGGTGTGCTACGTGGGAGTAGGCTGAAGGTGGGCACCATGGACGATTGCGGGTGCGGAGGTCGTCACTGCTCCGATTCGACTCTACCCCTGCTAGCGCCGACAGGAAAGTTCCATCTCCAGCTATCCCACGTCACTACTCAAACTTCTTCACTTCCGTTCACTCGTTTCCCACAACTTACACACAATCGTCCAGCATGCCGCCTACGCACCACATCTCCGGTACCTCTCGTGCCCTCTACCGTGTCTTCATCGCTCCGAATCTGCGCAACACGACATCAATCCCACTCCTCTACGCCCCAGCTTTTGCGCCAACTTCGTCTCCGAACTCTCTCTCCTCGTCCACGCCCAGTCTCACGAGCCGAACAACAACCCGCGGGATAAAATACACAAAAGATACCCGCCGCCATGCCATCTCAGACTACTACGTCATCGACAAAGCCATCGAAGCTGACTTTATAAACCTCGTCGACGAAGAGGGTGCCATTCACAAGAACGTCCCTCTGCAGGAGGCGCTGTCAAGCATAAACAAAGTCACCCATCACGTTGTACAAATGGTACCTGGGAAGTACGATCAAGATGGCTTCCTAGATCCAGAGAGCTTGCCGACATGCCGCGTTATTTCCAAAATTAACCTACGCGCCCAACACCAAAAGAAACTGGACACAATGCGACGGCAAGCCAAGGGACTGAGTGCGGGGTCAGGACTTTCTTCAAAAACGTTGGAGTTGAATTGGGCAATTGCGCCGGGGGATCTGAAGCATAGACTGGCTGCCATGAAGAAGTTCCTGAAGGAAGGGCGCAAAGTGGAGGTTATGCTTGGGCCGAAGAAGGCTGGTAGGAAAGCGACGCTGGAAGAGGCGGATGCGGTAATGAAGGCCATTGACGAAGCGGTGGAAGAGTGCAAGGGTTCGCGAGAGACTAAGCGCGAGGGACAGGTTGGAGGTATCCTGAAGGTTACATACGAGGGTAAGAAGATTGAGAAGGAGAACAAGTCGAAAGATGCAGAGGCGTGAGGATGGTCCAACGTGATCTGGATGAACGAACCTTCAGAAAAAGTACCGCAGGTGCACGAGCAAAATGCCGAGCCGCGGACAGCTCAACTCAATACGAAAGAAGCGAAGATGGGGAAGGAAGAAGGAACGTGAATAGTTCCCTTGCATGTAGCATACTGTACAACATACAATATCACACGTGGTGTAACGATTCATGAACATCTATAGATACATTGTATAATATCACATATCAAAAACTTCATAACTTCTTCACTTCCTTGGCCGGCTCAGCCTTTGTCTCAACTCCAGTCGCAACATCCACCTCCTGCACGTCCTCACCCTCGATCGTCTCGCGTTCGGCCATGTCAGCCGCTATTTCCGCACTCTTGGCCTGGAGCTTCTCCTCACAAAGCCTAACCTCTTCCCTCGTCTTCTGCTGGCCAGCGAAGTGGCCCTTGAGAGTGGCAACGACATTCTTCTGCTTGGCGAATTCGAGCCTAGACTCCAAAAGTAGTAGTTCTGCATTGTCGACATTGGTCCTTTCGCCGCTAGCCAATTCCAACTGTTCTTCAGCTCTCGCTTCATACCCAGTCAAACGCAAAGCTTCAGAGCGGTGCTCGTGAATTTGCGCTGCGAGTAACGCCGCCTCATACTCTACTTCTGCCTTCCGTACTTGAAGCTCCCCCAACTCGACCATAATCTCTTCAGATTCCAGTCTGTTGGTGTTCAAAGCTCTGCCAGCAAGGTCATGTTTCGTGTTGATCTGGTAATTTATAGTCTGGATGCGAGGCCACTCGTCACTCTCTGGGGAGATGAGATAGTCGTTGAAAGAACGGCCGGTCTTCTCGGCGAATTGCAGTTCCTTGGCTTCGGAAAGGAGGTTGTAGGCGGATATCGTGAGTTCGGAACGTTTGGGTCCTTGAGGCAGAGATTCAGCGTAGGCGTAGCGCGTACCTGCCACATTTTCGTAGACTCCAGCGCGCATGACATCTTTCTCTTTAGGGTCGGAGAGGGAGAGTTCGCGGAATTCTTCCCAGCCGATGGTCGATTCGAGCTCGGTGGGTGGCGATGATCGGACAAGGCTCTTGTGCCAGGGCGTGATGGCCTTGTGTGTGATATCCTCCTCATGAGCAAGGAGGATGTTGTGCAATGCGTCACGCTCGATGATGACGCGCGACAGTTCGAGGAGGTTTTTGACGTCGACTTCCTCCCATGTGAGCGTTTGTTCACCACGATCCATCTCTACCAACGCCTGCTCCAATAACGGTCGCTCTTCCAACGTGACCATCAAACTCCTGCCCCTACCGTGTAGCTTTTCGTGGTACTTGAGGATATCACTCAGTAACTTTGTTGACGGGCTTTCAATCTCCATCGCGTTGTCCACAATGATCAGTTCGCCCTTCCTGAACCGGTACGAGAGTGCTGTCCGCCATGCGAGGTCGTAAACCTTCTTAGGCAGTTCAGTCGCGAAGTCGCGGGGCTTGGGGCCATGAGCGACACCTCCACCTTTCAGCATGGGCGACTTCTTGTCTCCCAGACGAGCGCGACCGGTTCCCTTCTGCGGCCGAATCTTTCTTGCTGAACCTCGTACTTCATATCTTGTCTTTGTCGAAGCAGTACCCAACCGGGTACTATCTCCTTCGTAGATGACAGCGCGGTGTAGTATGTCTCGTCGGGTGGGCAGGTATAGGTGATTTGCAGGGTATTGTTCGAATCGGAGCGGTTCCAGAGAAGGGAATTGGTGGATAGTCGCGAGGACTGTCTGCTGCTCAAAAGGCTTAACAGGTACATATCCGGAGTCATGGGCTTTGGCATTTATCGACGATAGCGTGGCCTTGGAGGGGGCAGATGTGGTTATTGAGCGGCTGGTGGGCGTGCATAGAGATTTCTTAACGACGTTAGCATGTCGCATAGAATGACGGCGAAACAACATACGGCGCAGCGCGTACACAGCGCATTCGGCCGTATCGACAGACTTCTCAATTGATGTGTGACGCCACGCATGGGCGCGGATATCCTCGTGGAAGCCATGCCGGTCGGGGTGGTTCAACTGTTGAAGTCGTCGGAGTTGGAGGCGGAGGTCTACGAAAAGCGCTAACGTGAGGATCACCACATTTTCCAGCGGGCACCATCGTTCTTGAACACCGTCCAAGCCATCAACACCATGGCCTCCACGCCAACACTGCGCCAATTCAACGCATGTCTACGATGCGTGCGACAATTGCCAGCCGCCAATGGCACCCGTCGCCTCCTCTCCACCTCGGCCGTAGCTCGTGAAGAGGTGCAGACACAACCCACGAATGCGACACCACCACCACCGCCCTCGAACTCACCGGAAGGCGCTGCCCAGAAGGCTGGCTCTCAAGAAACCCCAGAATACATGCAGAAATGGGGTACTCTAGACCCTCAGATGGTTGAGAACAAGAAGCAGGAACGCCGACTATTGCGGAGAGAACATGTCCAACCCGTTGGATCCCGTCGTCGCCGTGCTGTCCTTCGTCGATCGACCATGCAGAAGGCTGATGAGGTTCCCTTCGAACAGTTGCCATACCAATGTTTCCAGGAGGCGAGAAAGGTCTTGTTGGAAGACAGGCAGGAAAAGATCAAGGAAATCGAGACCCAGCAGTTGCGGATAAAGAACCTGATGGCCCAAGATCCAAGCACCAGTGGAGGTCCGGCAGCCAAGGAGCATCGATTGCGGAGTATGAAGCAGCACCTTCAAGAGCTGATTATCCTGGCCGACATCAACGACCCGGTTGTGAAGCGGAAGTTTGAGGACGGACTGGGTAGGTCGTGTCAATTTAGATGCTACCAACTTGACTGACTTGTGAAGGTAACATGAACAAGCCCATCTACCGCCATCTTGCCGAAAAGAAGTGGCGCCAGTTCAAGCGCCGTGTGCTGGAACAACGTATCACACAACTTGCTATCGTTCCCGACCTTCTCCCCTCCCTGAATTTGGTAGCAGACATTGACCTCGGTTTCGCACGAAAGCCGGTGGCGCCCGGAGACTTCGTGGATTCTGCTATCAGTGAGAAAATGCCTCGTCTCAACGTTCAGACCTTCACCCCTGGTGAGAAGCTGGTTACTGTGGTCGTAGTAGACGCAGATGTGCCAGTCACAGAAAAGGACGGCTTCACTTACCGATGCCACCTCATCGCCTCCAACATATCAATCTCGCCAAGCAACACTTCGATACCTCTTCAGCGCATCGCTCAAGAAGATCAGAAAATTGAAGATCCCAGTGCCAAGAAGATTGCGCTACCCTGGGTTGCCCCCTGGGCTCACAAGGGTGCGCCATACCACCGCCTAGGAATTTTTGTCTTTGAGCAAAACGAAGGCAAGGCGCTCGATGTCACCAAGTTCAACAAGACTCAGCGTATGGGGTTCAATCTCCGTAGCTTTGCTGATTCGAACAAGCTGAGCGCAATCACAGCTACGCTGTTCAGGACAAAATGGGACGAGAGCATGGCTGGTGTCATGGAGCGCGCAGGTCTGAAGGACCAGATTGCTGTAGAATTCAAGAGGAAGAGGGTCGAGCCGCTGCCTTACAAGAGGCGAACGGAGCGCATGCGCTGAGGGCACAAGAGACGCATATAGTGGATGTATTAGTCATGTAAGCCATATGTACAATACAAGATGAACACAGCTGCAGCTTCGATCTGTCGTGCTTGGACTCTGCGAGCGTCGCACGGCCGAGTGTAGCAGAGGTAATATACCACAGCAACGAAAGCGACTGCATTCAGCTCGAGACGAACGGCATGGACTTTCACTGTGGTTGCTTCAATATCATCCAGCACCGAAGACAGTGACAGAGAGATTGTTCGGAGTGACATTCGTTCTTTCCATTCGCAGTCGCGGGGGTTGTCTCCTTCCTGCCCTCCTCATCTCACCTCTCAAGGTCGTCACTTCTATTTTCCGTCGATCTGCCTCATCATCCTATCCTTACCTTTCTTTCCTATGTCATAGCAACCACCGTGTACAATTTTCTTGTCAACTCTCCTGCAGTAGGACACTGCCATCTGTTTGACTTCCTTTCAGCATCACCATCGTCATGAAGCAGAACGCGCTCTCGCGCCCGCCCTTCCTTCCGTCTGAGAAACAGATGGCACTTGCTCTTGCCATTGTTCGGACCAAACCAGCCGGGATGCAAGTACGAGGTATAGTCAAACCTTCGAAAAAACTCCACACTTTCTGATATTGTTAGACTACGTTCTACAGCTACGTGCCCAGACTAAGCCCGGTCTCGACCCTAGAGAGCGAGAAAATCCTACATGCTATGTTGACGAAGTCGCCTACTGGAAAAATCGATGTCAAAAGGCCGAGGATGAATGTGAGAAACTTCGAGGTGTCAACATTAAGCTTGAAAGATCGAACCACTTATTGTCGAGCCTGTCCGGTCCCGTCTTGGATATTGATGCAGCTGCCTACACCACCAAGCGCAAAGCACCATCAGCGTCACCCACGAGACCCAAGCCGTCGAGACAAGCACAAAAGCAATCACCAACGGCTGCTGCTCAAGAAACCATCGATAATGACTTGGATTTCTTGGAAGTGCTCGGCAGGGATGGTTCCAAACTCATGGAAGCTTTATACACTACGCACTCATTGTGCCGGTCCGACAAGCCTGACACTGATGTTCTCTGCATCAATCTTGTACAAATCGCTTCAGGCATTGGCAAGATCATACTCATTGTCGCTCAGAACCACGAGCTGCTCTCTCGTCACGGGCGGAGAAGCGCTGAAGCCATGTCATTCGATAAGGACAAATCTGACTTCGCTGTTGCCCTCTCTGTCTGTGCTAGAGCCTTCATGTCGTTACTTGTTGGTACAAATAAGCTCGTGGAGTGCAAAGCCGATGTACGACTTGATAGTCTGGTCGTCTGTGAGGTAGCAGGGATGTTCAAGGCCGCGTTGCAATCGATCGAGATATCAGCTCGACGTACAGCGGAGACTTCCTTGTCGCCACCCTCTTCACCAAATAAGACGAAGACGAAAGCGCCGCCTCCGGTCGTGAGAGAGTCCGCTCCGGCTAGAGCAGTTGCTCACTTGTTAATCAGCTTTCTCGGATTCCTCGAGAAAACCGATCCTGTGCATCAAAAGATCTTTGATGGCTTCGTCTTCATCCTGTTCGAACGCGTGGGAAAGAGGTTGTATTATTTTACATTCGGACAGCATCGCAGTACTTCTATCGAAGGCAACATCTTGCCACCGCCCGAGCCGAGAGATGCTGCTGAGACGACAAGACGGGATAGCGACGCCCTAGCCACCCGTCTTGAAGTGAAGGCACTCGTATTGATCCTTGAACGAGCAATGGGTTTAGCTCCAAACCACATGAATCCCCAGAACGCTCGCCCTAGCTCGGCATCTAACCGACCCGCCCGTACAATGAGCACCAAAACTCCTGTGACGAGCACCAGGGCGCGCTTGAGCCCTCTGGCAAGAGACCGCTTGCAACGGACACTTGTTGCGTGCATGTATGGGAACAACACTAATGATGAGTTCCTGGATGTTCTCACAAAGCCTGTTCCAGCTATGCGACTCGGTTCCATGCAAAACGTAGCCAAAGTCGACGACAAAGATGTGCAGACATGGTACAAGGAGGAGGTTTGGCGACTCGTAGGGTGGGATATCCTGGCAAGGGAGGGCGCGTGGTGAAACAAAGGAATTGATTACGACGAATTCGAAAAGGATTAAACTAGGTTAAGATATAGGGAAGTCCGCCAAGTCTAGTTGCTGGCTTCCTGCGCCAACTGGAACTGACTGACAAACCTCCGCTCTACCGCCGACCTTTTCGCGCTTTCTAGTTCATCCGTATCTGCCTTCGCTTCATCCTTCGTTCCCCATCCCCCTCCACCAGGTGTGTCGATCACAAAGCAATCGCCCTTCTGTACAGCAAAATCCTTACGTCCACCCAACCTACACCACCTCCCACCGACTTTCTTGACGATGTAGTTCACTCCACTACTTCCGTCCTCCCCACCCAACATACCATAAGGTCTAGTAACCCGCCTTTCACTGACGATACTCGCATTCATATCGCGGTAAAACTCGTACACCCTCCGGATACCATTCCCACCACTCCAACGCCCTTTGCCACCCGACCCATCCCGTATACTAAACTCGCGAAGAAGCACAGGATACCTCTTCTCCAGTAGTTCTGGGTCTGTGATACGCGTGTTCGTCATATGAATATGTACTCCGGAAGTTCCGTGCCAGCCAGGTCCCGCGCCACTACCTCCGCATATCGTTTCTCCGAAGCCGAAACCGGAGTTTGGAATAGGGTTGCCAGTGTCATCATTGTCACCGTTTATGCCAAAGGAGAAGACGTTGCAGTCACCTTGGCTTGCGGCACATGCTTCGAAGGCGCGGATCACGACGTCTGTTACGCGTTGGGATGTGATAGGATTTCCAGCGCATACTGCGGCATATGGTGAGGGGTTGAGGATACTTCCTTCTGGAATTGTGAACGTGAGAGGGCGGAGGCAGCCTTCGTTGAGCGGAATGTCTTGATTGATGAGGCAACGGAGCACGTAGAGTGTTGCAGATCTGGCAATTGCTTGTGGAGCGTTGAAACTGTGGTAGCCTTCTTCGCCTGTTCCAGTGAAATCGAAGTGGGCAGACCCGTCGTCTGGGTTGATGGTTATGGCGAGTTTTATGGGGGTGCCGTCATCCATGTAGTCGAGTGCGGTGAGGATCTTACCGCCAGTTTCATGATAAGTACGCTTCATGAATTCCCGCACACACGACTCGGCGTTCGAGGTGATGGCATGCATGTTGAGGTGTACAATGGCGAGACCTCTTTCAGCGATGAGATCGGCTACCAGTGCGGCACCCTTGGCGTTGGCTGATACCTGTGCTTTGAGGTCGTTGATATTATCGGCTAGCTTACGTGTTCCTGAGCATCCTGCATACTGTGCTGGATCATGGAGTAGCACTCTTGTAACTAGCTCTTCGTCGAAGACTCCATCGCGAACAAGATACTCTGAGACTATCATAGCGCCTTCTTCGTGTAGCTCAACGCTACCAGCTGGCATTGAGCCTGGGAGTATTCCACCAATTTCTTGATGATGACCTCTCGAAGCTGTGTAGAATATGATAGTCTCACCCGCATGGTCGAAGACAGGTGTTACGCAAGTGATATCAGGAAGGTGCGTGCCGCCGGAGATTGGGTGGTTAGCGACGATAACGTCACCTGGTCGAAGTTGGCCCAAGTACTTCTTGTGCTGGTACATGACCGCCTGCTCCATTGAGCCAAGATGTACTGGCACATGTGGAGCATTAGCTACAAGGCGGCCCCCAGGACTGAAAAGTGCACAGCTGAAGTCAAGGCGTTCCTTGATGTTGACCGAAACGCTTGTCTTTTGAAGTGCGAGGCCCATCTGTTCAGCGATACTCATGAAACGGTGAGCCATGACAGAGAGTTCCACAGGATCAACAGTTCGTGGTGCAACTACCTCAGTGCTGGTCAATGAAGTTGTACGTTCGAGCTCAATCATTACGTGGCGCTCTAGAATAGTTGCCTTTGAGCGCGGGGCGACGACGATGGTTTGTGTGTTGTCCAGAATGATAGCAGGTCCATCTACAACATCACCCTTGGCCAGCTTTGTCAAGTGGTACAAAGGGGAGGTAGTCCAGCGATTTTCGAAGAAGACAGGAACGTGATCCGAAATCTTCTTAGTAGACACTGGGGACGGGGAACATCCAGTGAGTTGTTCTTCCAAGACGAACTCAGGCTCGACTGATGGGCTCCGAGCTGTGGCTCGCACTCGTACATTCTCAACGAGGATGTCTCGTCCAGGCATAACGAAAGAAAATTGACGTTTGTGCTCTGCTACGAAAGCTTCGTCCCACGATCCCTGATCAGGGCGCGAGACCATGAAGGTGGTGTCAGAACCTTCGTAGCGAAGGTTCAGGAAGTGCTCGAAGCCGATTGTTTGGCCAGAGAATCCGTCGTTGGCCAACTGCTCAGCTGCGTTCTTCTCGAGTGACGACAGCCTTTCGTCAAGTTCATCAAGAGAGGATTGGAGTAGTGCTGAGCATGGTTCTTGAACATCACGAACGACATCTGCCAACGCCATACCGTACGCCGATAAGACGGATGAATAGCGATGAACCAAGATGCGGTCGATTCCTAGGTTAGCTGCAATAGCACAGGCAGCCTGTCCACCCGCACCGCCAAAGACTGCAAGATCATGATCGGATGTCCGGTGGCCCTTGGCTTCAGTGAGCGAACGAATGGGCCGGCACATCGTCTCGTTCGCAACTTCCAAGAAGCCGAGAGCAAGTTCTTCAACGGTCTTCGTTTTCCCAGTGGTCTGAGACAGATCGCGGTTGACGGTAACAAGTAGCTCTTCAAAGGCTCTCTTGGCGCCTTCATAGTCTAGCGGCTCGTTCTCGTGCTTGCCAAAGATCTTCGGGAAATACTCGACTTGTAGACGTCCCAGCACAAGATTCGCATCTGTAACTGTCAAGGGTCCACCTTTACGATATGCCGCTGGTCCGGGATGTGCGCTCGCTGATTCGGGGCCTGCCAGAAAGAGGCCGTTACGATAGGAAAGAATACTTCCGCCGCCTGAGAATGTTAATGGCAACTCGCGGTCGAGTATCAGGGATATCACATACCAGCAGCTACAGTATCAATTTCAAGTTGTGGTGATTGGATTGTCACACCCGCTGTGATCGACTCGAACGTGTGCTCCAAAGTCCCCGCATACCGGGAAACATCAGTGCTAGTTCCGCCCACTGTGTCAGTGTTAACATGTATTTCGCGTTTGAAGAATCCCATAGACTTACTGTCAAAACCTATTACCGGCTTTTTCCGTTTGGTGTCGAAGCACGTCTTGCTAAAGCCAACAACACCCCCAGCCGGACCGGATAGGATGGCTTTGAGACCGCTGAAATGTTGCCATCCCACTAGACCGCCGTCACTCTGCATAAACTCGCAACGAGCACCACGAGAGTCTTCGAGACCGCCTATGAATCCTTCACGAAAGCCATCGATGTAACTACGCGTCAAAGGCGTGAGGTATGCATCTGCTGTTGCCGAATAGCCTCTCGATATCGCTCTAATCATAGGAAAGATTTGTGACGATACAGATATCTGTGTGAAGCCAATCTCTTTGGCAATGTCGGCAACTTGAAGCTCGTGGTTTGGGAAAGTGTAGCTATTGATAAGCGTTATAGCTAAAGACCGCACGCCTTTGTCGAACAAACTTTGTAGACCCTCACGGGCGTGGTTGCGATCTATGATGATGTTAGCGCGAACATTGCGTCTGGATGTAGGACTAACCAAGTGGTCGCAACACGCGAATAGCTTCCCCACCAACACCCTTCTCCAGATCATGAGAGTCGCGCTTTGGGTCTCTAAGCGTTGATTTGTCTTCGGTCGAATCGTGAAGTGTAACGCGCTCGTCGATCTCCAGCACATCATCGAAGAGAGTCTCTGGCCTCCTAATGTTAAGATCAAACAATTTTGGTCTTGTTTGATCACCTATGCGGAGCAAATCTCTGAAACCCTTGGTAACGACCAGCGCGCACTTCGTGGAATTTCGTTCCAACAAGGCATTCGTAGCCACTGTCGTTCCCATCTTTATCGACTCAATGTCACTCGTGTCGATCTTCTCGCCGCGTGGTATCGATACGCCTGTAGCCTGTTCGAGTATTCTGCGGATGCCCTCGGTAGGCGCGTCAGAATAGTTCGTCGGATCATTGCTCAGAAGTTTGACTAGTATATCTGGTTCCCCCGGAACAATGCCCAGGCAGTCGGTGAAAGTACCACCACGATCAATGGCAATGCGAATGCCTGCACCTTGTAGCGGCTGCTCAACGAATGGCATCTTTGGTGGGAGATTCGTGGAGAAAAGCGGCCAGGAAACAGCTAATGGTGAGTTTGAGTAATGAGCAACCTCTGCTTCCTTCGATGGATTCGAGGACTCGAGTGAGTTGCGACGGTGTCAGTGTCGAGAGAACAGGGCTTGAAGATATCAAGCAGCGGCCGCTTGATTAGCCGCCACTTGTTGCGTGCCATTGGCGGCAGCTATGCCAAAGCCGCAGGCCATATCGCTCCGAACCCATCGCATGGCGGGCTCGCGATGCCTATCGCGTCACGTTGAGGGTGGAGTAGATTGGGATGCCGACACAGGACGCGGATGACGCGCCATTGCCGATCCCTTCCAAAGTGACACGCTAGGCATGACTAGCGCGGCATGAATGAACCCCTCACACTGACACCCGACACTCCTTTCTATCGGACCTCAGAGTCCGATAGAACGACAGGGATCCAATATACGTTCTCCACGCCATGCTAACCATTTGCGTGCTCACGGGCATGGCCTCGCGACGCGCGTGCCGAAGGCGCAGAGTGAATTGGATACCATTCATAGCCGCTCTGATATAGTTTGGCTGTGAGGATCATGGTCATCGTTGCATCCGAAACTATCTACCATGACGGGAAGCATCAACCTACAGTTGGGGTGGCCATCGCCGACTCTGTTCCCTTCAGCTCAACTGCTCGATGGCGCGACCGACGTACTCAATTCGAAAGCCAAGACTGCAGCTTCACTGATTTATGGACCAGACGCTGGCTACGAACCACTTCGACGTAGTATCGCGAAATGGCTGACTCCCACATATGGACGGGGTTCGGTGATCTCGTTGGATCGCATCTGCGTTACTAATGGGGCGTCGGGAAACCTGGACAACATTCTTGCGCGCTTCACCGAGCCCGGATACACCCAAAACATATGGATGGTCGAGCCGTGCTACTTTCTAGCCTGCCCAATTTTTATGGATAATGGATTCCAAGGGATGATGAGGGGCGTACCCGAAGACGATGAAGGGTTAGACCTAGAGTTTCTACGACGAAGTCTTGAAGAAGCAAGTGCATCGCCAACTTCAAATTTACCAACACGAAAGACAGGCGACAGATACAAGAAGCTTTACCGACATGTCATCTACTGCGTCCCAACCTTCTCGAACCCGAGCGCGAAAACCATGTCACTACGGCGAAGACAGGACCTCATACGCCTAGCACGAAAATACGACGCCCTGGTTGTTACCGACGATGTGTATGACATCTTACGCTGGCCAACAGACAAACAAAGCAATCTCGAAGACCTCGGTTACGTACCTCCACGGCTTGTTGATATTGATCGCGTCCTAGAAGGAGGGCCTAAAGACGAGTGGGGGAATGCTGTGAGCAACGGTTCGTTCTCGAAGATTATAGCGCCGGGCGTCAGAGTTGGTTGGGCCGAAGCAACACCCGCGTTCACATTGGCACTATCGCAAGTAGGTGCTACGAAATCTGGTGGCTGTCCTGCACACCTTTCCGCGTCGTTCGTACACGAAATGTTGGAGTCAGGGCTGTTGCAAAAGCATCTCGAGACGAATGTCATTCCGACTTTTCGAGCTCGCTATCACGCTATGCTAGAGGCGATAGACGCTCATTTGACCCCACTCGGAATCACCGTCTCTACTGGAAAACCCTATACCGAAATCTTGGGTCAAACGAATGGCGTTGGAGATGATCACAATGGGCATTCCACTCAGGCTGGTGGATATTTCATTTGGCTGTTGTTGCCGGAAAGCTTCATTGGCAAGGGTGCAGCTCTGGCTGCCAAAGCTCTGGAGCAGTGGGATCTGAAATTCGCATACGGTGATATGATGCAAGTGCAGGGTGAGCCTGAATCCGCTGTCCGAGCTGCAAAGGGCTATGGGAATGGTATTCGTCTATCATGGGCATGGCATACAGAGGCGGAGATCGTTGAAGGTGTCAAAAGACTAGGTGCGTTGATTGAGGGGGCCGACTAGGAACTTCAACCGTTAGACATGTAGTTGATACACATCGAAACGTTTACTATCTACATGTTTACTCTCGAGATGGTGGTGTAAGCAAGCCCCCGTTAACAGTATGTGATTGACCATCCTTCCTAATGCTGCCCTCAAGGAAGAACTTGAGGACCATACTAGCTGCCATCACAGAATCGTCGTCTGCATCAATATCATCAAGTGTCTCTTCCAAGACTTTTGGTTGCCAGCCCGGGAAGAAATATTTGACCGTCTCACTATTGATGAAACGATCAAACTCGAAGTGGCCTTGAAATGTAAGGACACGACCTGGTTCGTATACTCCCTGTACCGCGCAATGCTGAGTATTTCCCACCGTCATCCAGGACTGTGGCAGGGCCTCCATATCTGGCACAACTACGTGGTCATGGTGTACAAACTGCAATCTCATTTTCTCCAAGCCACCCGCTTCAACGCCTTTGTCGTTCCCAAAGAATCTGCCCCGGAACTGTTGATGTAGTGTGATCTCCTTAACTCCTAGCTCCCAGCCTTTTGGATCTTTCTCTACCTTGACGCCATAGTCTTTCAGCAAAGCTTGACATACTAGCTGATGACCAAAACAGCTCCCAAATATCTTCAAACTCGGTTCGTTTTCATACACTTCCTTCACCCATCGTTCGAGTTTGCGTATCCAGGGCAAATCATCATATGCAGAGTTCGCTGAGCCAGAAATGATGATGGCATCGAATTCTGTTATCGAAGCTGGGTATTCGTTTACCACGACATTGAAATCGGTAGACATAATGCGGACGATATTTTCCGATGGATGTCGCGATGATTCGGTATTGTTGGCGGCGGAAGAGAGGAGATCGTGGAAGACACGTCCGTAGGTGGGGGCACGTTTGCCAGCCACCACCGGCACCGGTGCGTCGGCGTTCAGCATGCAAATGCGAAGAACTTGTGCCATGATTTTACCCAGCGAGTATATGGATTTCAAGTCGTCTGTCTAGTGTCAAGTAAGTCTTTCGATACTGATTCATCTATCTTGCTCTATGTCACTTTCGATATATGGGTCTAAATTCGGCCGTGCACGTGACAGCCGCCGATAAGCGGTTGACGTTTCTCGCGATTTGCCACGTCTTTCCACCACGGTCTACTTATTTAGTCTATCTTGACCAAACACAACGCTGTCTCAATTCTGGTCGCCTGGATACCTCTGTCGCCTGGATACGCGATGGTCGCGCTATTGTGCGAACGGGAAACAATCGGACATTGCGCGCCGATGTAGTCACGGTATCAGTATGCCCGGCACTTCACAGACCATCACCTTGCCGCATGCGTACTTCATGGCATATCTATGTCGTCTACCCATACAGATGCCAGCTCTCGGGATTTGAGGGCCTCGGAGCTAGCACTATTGAGGCATAGTGGGATGGCCTGGTAGTCCACGCTCGGCCGTGACCCACTGGCGGAGTCGAGAGTCCGAAGCGTCAGCTCTTTGTTCCCTCAACGCTAAGCAACGTACATGGGCATGCGAACCGGTTGATCATTGCCGTCGCCAAAACGCGGAGAAAACGAGCGCCCACGAGTCAAGGATGTAGTGATAGTCTTATCGAGCTGGCCTCTAATGACCCATATCACATTCAACCGCTGTCTAGCTGGAGATAGTGACACCCAACGAGATACCAAGATACACATTCGTGATATGATTCTTGGTTGTGGTCCAGCTCTTGTATAAATCACGAGCCTGGTGAATGTGTTCGAAACACCTCACAGGAACTTCTTTTTGCGTCCTAATCTTCACCCATTTACCAATATCATGGCCGACGATAGCAAGGTCATGTCGTCTGCCGACGTCGAAGATACGCACTCCGTCAAGATCGGCGAAGTCGCTTCAGCCAATGTTGATGTCGCTGCTGCCTACGCCCATCACCTTGAGGGCGAGAATGCGTACACCAGAAAGGAAGCAACACGTCTACGATGGAAGCTGGATTTGCGTCTCGTACCATTGTTGTGGTGTGAGTGCTTGAGGCAGGAGATCATGGCAAACATGCACTAATGGACGTCTCAGTCAATATCACGCTGGGCGCTATGGACAAAGTTACAACAGCTACGGCTGCCCTGTATGGCTTCCGGGCTGACACCGGGTTGACCGGAGATCGATATAGCTGGGTCGGCAGTGCCTTCTATGTAAGCAAGTCTAGTCAGCGTCGCATTTGTACTGCTAACGGTGATGAACAGTTTGGCTACCTGGTATGGTGTCTTCCTAGCGGCAGCCTCCTCCAGCGCTTTCCGATCGCCAAGCTCATGTTCGTCGTTCAACTCCTTTGGGGCTGTATACTCATCGCGACCGGCTTCGCAAACAACTTCCCAACTCTCATTGCACTACGTGTGCTGCTTGGAGCCCTTGAAGCGCCGATCGTACCAGGCAATTTCCTTATCATCGGCATGTGGTATCCTCGACGTGAGCAACCACTTCGAACAGGCCTGATGTATACTGGACTCTCAGTATGCTTCACTGGTCCGATTGGTTATGGAATCGGTTTCCTCGCAGGCGAACACCAATGGCGTGCCATGTTTTGGATTACAGGTGCGATGACCATTGTGTGGGCTTGTGTGATCGGCATCTTCTTGCCTGACAATCCCGTCAAAGCGAAGTTTGTTACGGAACGGCAAAAGGCAATTGTGATCGACAAAATCCGGCAAGATCAGACCGGAGTGGAAAACAAGACGTTCAAGAAGGAACAGATGATCGAAGCCTTCCTCGACCCGAAGACTTGGCTGATGTTCTTCTTTCACATTTGGATTAGCAGTAAGGAAACCTGAGGTACCAACACTACAGACATGAGCTAACAACCCCAAGTTCCGAACGGCGGTCTAACGAACTTCACGCCTCTTATCATCAAAGGCCTCGGTTATACATCACAGCGCTCGACGCTCCTCACGATGCCTACCGGTATCTTACAAACCGTGGCATCGTACGTATGTAACGGTGGGGTCTTCTTGACCGCGAAATACTTCCCTGCGAAGCAGCTGCGAACTGCTTGGGTTATGTTTGGTATCATCGTCGGCATGATATCCGCAGTCTTCCTCTACGTCTTGCCCCTCGACAACTATAACGGACGTCTCGCGGCACTATACTGCTCATACTTTTACCTTGGTCCATATATTGTTTCACTTGGTATCAACACGGCAAATACCGCGGGCCATACTAAGAAAGTCACAGTCAATGCGCTGGTCTTCATCGCCTACTGTGTTAGCAATATTATCGCTCCACAGTTCTTCAAGGCTGATCAAGCCCCACTGTACCCACTTGGTATGGGTGCCGTTCTGGGTAGCTATGTGCTATCGATCATCACCATCGCCATGTATGCAACATACTGTTGGTACGAGAACCGGAGGCGCGATCGGATTGATTCCGACAAGGGTGGGAGAGTACATGCAGATACCGACTTCCGCGACCTGACTGATAAGCAGAATGTGCATTTCCGATATGTATGGTAGGTGCGAAAGAAGATGAGGTGGAATATATACGGGTTTGCAGGATCAGAATACAAACGACTGCGCAATGCCTCCAAAACTCTCGCCGTATTTGTGTCATCGATTCGTGTTGGATGCTAGTTGTGATCTAAAGACTTCCCACATTGTGATCAAGATCAATACAGCCAATAACATATGTAATCATTTGCTACAGCAAGACTACTCAATAATTTGCTTGTCAAATGTCTATCCCAGTGGATGAAACTGTGTTCGCGTTGATCGGAAGTCGCGAACCGATCAGGCATACGTCCCCGCACGCCAAAAGTGGAGCACCTCGTGGATTGGCTTGTCCCTTGATAACGGAGTGTGTCGGACTTCAAAGTGCGATGCTGCGACAGCACCCAGCTCATGCACCTTTGCGTAGTGGGGGAGCTACATACCCTGCATATGCTAGGTGACAAGGGTTGCAATCGTTTTCGTGCATCGCACATTAGGAAAGCTACCACAAGAAGAAGACGAAACTTTATGGATAAATGGTCGTCAGTACCCTTTCGATGTAGACAAATCATCCTCCAAGCTGCAGAACTCGATAAACATAATCATATATCATCGCAACATATCCAACACCATGCCAGAACTTCAGATATCAGTTGAAGATGAGCAAAAGGCTTTCGAGGCTGATGTAGCTGCGATTGAGAAGCAATGGAGCTCCGCAAGACAATCCCACTTGAAGCGGTATGTAAACTTCGCAAGTTGTTACAAACTGATTCACAATAGAGTTGAGCTGATTTCATACATAGACCATACTCTGCAAGCACTATAGCCGCGCTTCGAACGTCCATTCCCGCACCCTCAGATGCCTCTTCGACCCAGGCCATCAAGCTCTGGAATCAACTGCACGCCCACAACAAAGCTGGCACATGCGAGTTGACATTCGGTACTACAGATCCCGTTGCGGTTTCCCAGATGGCCAAGCACCAGCAAACCGTCTACGTCTCTGGTGCTTTATGTGGGTTCTCAGAAGTCGCACTCCCGGGAATGGACCACGCCGACTACCCTTGGGATACCGTGCCGAAGGTTGTGTCAAAGATCTTCAAGAGCCAACTTTGGCATGATCAGCGACAACGACAGTACCGATTGCGACATCCGATCGAAGAGCGACAAGGACTGGAGAACTGGGATTATATGGCGCCTATCGTCGCGGATGGCGATATGGGCTTCGGTAGCCTCACTAGTACGATGAAAATGGCACGCGAGTTCGTGGACGCTGGTGTGGCTATGATACACATCGACGACCTAGCCATCGGCATGAAGAAGTTCACAATTGGTCAAGGGCGAACTATTGTACCCACTCAGGAATATCTGGATCGTCTGACAGCTGTGCGGATGCAATTTGATGTCATGGGCGCGGAGACGCTACTGTTGTGCCGCTGCGATACAGACCATGCTGAATTCATCACCAGTGTCGTCGATGAGCGTGACCATGAATACGTGCAGGGCGCAACGAAGGAGGTTGAGCCACTGCAAAAGTGCCTTCAGGCCGCACAGATCGAAGGTAAAGATTTGAAGGTTGCACGAGACGAGTGGAAGGCCAAAGCGGGAATCAAGACATTCGACGAAGCTGTGGAGGCCGTTGCGACGGAAGAAGAGTATGCCGCATATAAGGCAGAGCTGTCGAAACAGAAGTTCGCGTCCCTGTCCGATCGTCGCAATATCGCAACCAAGACCGTCCAACAGGAAGTGTTTTTCGACTGGGAGCTATCGAGATCAGCCATGGGTCAATATATGCTGAAAAGCTGCGTCAAAGGCATCGTCGAGCGTGCCATCGCCGCTGCACCGCTTGGAGACGTAACGTGGGCACGTATGGATTTACCTAACTGGGGAGACATCGTTGAATTTCACACAGAAGTTCGGAAGGTGTACCCGGACAGACTTTTCGCCTTTGGCTACACCGGCGACTACGACTTTGGGAAAGCCGGCTTCAGTGAGAATCATGTTAAGAACCTACATCTTGACCTTGCCAAGCTAGGAATCGTGTGGCAGGTCCAACCGATCTGGAGTCTGCAAGGCCTGAACATGGTGACGGAACAATTCGCAAAGATGTGGCAGGAGCAAGGTATTGCTGGCTACTTGAAGTCGATCCAAGGTCCAGCTCTTAATTCAAAGCCTATGACGGACGGCTTCGAGAAATTGAGCTATTGTGGTGGGTACCTGGCAGATGCATTCTTTGAGACAGTCGCAGGAGAGTCAATTGTAGAGAAAGGGAAGGCTGCCAACTTCCAGAGACACTGATAGCTGTAATATGTTAAACAAATCATGGTTGATAAAACCTCATCCTTCATTGGTGCCTCATGTCCAGCCGTCGAAATCGAAAACGCCAGGGAATGAGAGCAGCCCCTCGACATCCGGATCGTGAAGCCCAGGTTCCGCCATTCCATACTCGAACGGCTGTTGCATGGCGAATGGCATCTGAAAACTTGCATTGATTTGCTGTAGCTGAGAGTTGAAATGATCCTCAGATTCCTGCTGGGTTGGGCCGAGCATGCCAGCGACTGACGGAGGCTGAGAAGGTTGAATGGAGCGAGGAAAGTCTTCGTGTATCATCTCATCGATCATGCGTAACACGGGGCGATGCACCACTAGTGCACGAACCTGTGGGAGGTGCGCTTGAATCGCCGTGACCGTTTTGTCTGATAATCGGGTCGGTGGCTTGTTGGGTCGATCGACTAGCGGTATCTCGCGCGCCAGTAATTCAAAGACGTCTCTCAGACATTCCGCCTTGGCCCATCGGTCTGCCATTATCGCCAGAATATTGGAGCAGGCACGTAACGCGTCGGGAACGTCAAGGGAAAAGTAATTTTCAGTTCTTTGTTCTGGTGGAGTAGCCCAGAAACAGTACAGCAGTGTGATGCCGGACTGGAACTGAACGAGAAGCTGCTGATATTAGCGGGAGCATCATCGGACGTGAATCATACTCACTGCAAGCCATGGTTGAGCAATCTGACGATCAATCTGGGTTCTTCGAAACATTAAACAAGCTTGACTGCTGGCTTGGACTGACTGCAGAAGCGAGAATACAAAGTCAGTGTGTGATTAATGTGCATTCCGTGCAGTAATGGCTTACCCAGTCGCCAGCAGACCCGACTACGTTGGCTTTTGTTGGCCGATAGAGCATGAGCAACGTGTAGTGATAAATCATAGCTTGCCAACGTTGCGACGTGTAGCCTTTCGACTGTGGATCTGAGAAATTCTTTACACGGGACTTAAAGTTGTCCAATTCTGTAAGAATTCTTATTCGCCAATCCGAAGTGTTCTCGAACTGAGTGTCATAATCCCATCGAAGTGTAACGGCACTAATCTCGGATTGTATACGCCTGCACTGGAGTATATGAAGCGCTGAAGAGTTGCATGTATAATGCTGAGAGTCAGGTAAGTCATGACTGGGCGGAGTAATCGCAGCGGTTTCCCATAGTTCATGGTCCTCGATATTAGCAAATGGTCTTACGGTTATCATATAGTCTGGTATCGATGGAGGCAGATCGAATGATGACATGACCAGTCGATCAAGCAAATACGCACACCAAAAGCACCGTCGACGGACTTGAATCATAAGCCTCGTTTGAACGTTCGCTGATGGCGGCTCCATCTCACCGAGATGTAGTTGTTGCTGAACGCATTGTCGCATAGCCGTGGACGCAAGAGAAATAATACGTTCCGTGGAGCTCTGATGCAGTGCATGAATGGATAGCAGGAGATAGGCTTGCACCTGAAGAATTCTATCTGGCTGACGTAGCACAGCCGGTAGCAGCGAAATTCCACTGTTGTAAAACTCTCGCGCATTAAGTGCTGCCGCATACGGTTGACGCAGAAGCACTAAAGATGTTGCGTACACTAGGTTGACGAAAAAGCCTTGCCATGCTCGTTCTTTGAGGTCGCAGGAGAGGCAATGCTTCCATTCCGAATGCCATGTGAGGAATGTGTCCCAATGGAAGAAGGGATACTGAGCTTGAGCACGCTCGCGATACGCGTCAAGCAATGCTTCCTCTAGCTCTGGAGACATGGTAGCCATCAGTGCGTGTGCGCTATTCATAATGGCTGGTGCCGGTCCCGGGTTGGTTGGACTGATAGCAGCATCGTGAGTTGAGAACTGAGCTGATGGCGATGCAATTAGTCCGAAGACGAGATGATTAAGGTCGGGCTCATCATCGAGACCAGGAGCTATAGCGTAACCTGGCGATGAGCCAGAAAGAATGGACGAGCGTCGCGGTGGGACGGTTCGTTGAACCGGTGGACTGGCAATCGCGCCCATGACACCGCCATTTCGAATCCCACTGCTCGCCGGCGATGTGTCGGGATTATTTTCTTGATCAGGCCTGTCAGAAGGTCTCTCGAGGTGGTCGAGACTATGCTGTGGGTCTAAAGACTCGAGCTCAGCAACGCGTCGTTCCAGAATGCGCACATATTCGCTTTCAATGTGTGGACGAGGCGCAGGTTGGGTGGGCAGACAATCTTCATCTCCTTTGATACAGTTCTGGCATGGTCGACGGTCTTCGCACTTCTGTTTCCGGGAGCGACATCGCTGGCAAGCCAAGGTCCGTTGCTTTTTGGGTGCCGGCTCCTGTGAGGGACTGGCAGGTTCATGCTCCATCGCTTGTGCTCTTCGGTTTTCCTTCCATGCTTGAATCACGCTATCAGTCGCAATTTGTTTGGTATTGTGATAGCGCACTTCGAGGCAGTGCAGGGTGTCGCGGTGATAGCAATGCCGGATGCCGGATCAGCACGCGATAGGGATGGGAAACGATGCCGAAAGAGGCTACGCGTCCACGTGACTGACCTGCAATCTCCACTTCCAAGGTCATGCCCCGCTCATCAAATCTCCTGGTCTGAAGTCGCTCCAATGTGACACCACCCTTCATCAAGAAGACGAACAACTACTTCTCATTCTAATTCCAAGTACTGTAGTCTCATGCATGATCTCCAATTGCCAGGTACAGCTCGCCGCACGCGCCAGCATGACATGCAGGCGGCTGACGCCATCCGAAGAAGCTTGTTTGTTAGAGCCGAAGGGTCTGTGCGGATTTCCGGGCTTCTTCATACTAAGTTCCACTACACCCGCACGGCCCGCGCTGGGGAAACTGTTCGTGTCTATTAACCGGTGCTGTCGAGAGCTATGAAGCTGGCAGCACATGTGTCGGCACGCTACTCCATGTGCCAGGAGCTCCTCACTATGTCTTTGAAGGCTTGGTCGATGAGCGACTGCCATTACAACGTCGTTCACACTGCTACATGACGTCCGCGCCACGCTATGTTACGAAGCCTCAGCCTCATTTCGGTCCGCGAACAAGTTCTAAAGGACCGAAGACCGAACACAGCTGGAACAATTCCGCGATTACTCAAGCAGAACAGGAGACAGTGATCGTAATCAATCTGTAGTGATAGCATCGTTAGCGTAACGGTCTGTGAGTAGAGTTTTCTTCAGTATAAGATGCAGGTATGCTGTGCCTCGATTGTAACTGCGCCACCACTTCAGCAATCGACCGACGCAAACCATCATGCGCTCTACATTCTCCAGCCTGGCACTCTTTGCCGGAGCCTCTCTAGCAGCTTATGCCCCAAACACGACTTTCGAGCGGGAAACACGCAGCATTGATGAGATCTACAAAGCAGCTCTTGCCGAAGGTGGCGTCGTTACTCTTTGGCATGGCGGTGACGAGAAAACCCAACAGAATGGGTTGAAAACAGCCTTCGAAACAAGGTTCCCCAACATGACGCTCAACGTCACTGTCGATCTATCCAAGTACCACGACGGCAATCTTGATGATCAGCTGGCAGCCGACAATGTTTACGTTGATAGCATTATCCTGCAAACGCTGCACGATTATCCACGCTGGAAGAAAGAAGGTGCTTTGATGAACTACGCGCCATTGAACTTCGACAAGGTATACCCTGTGTTCAAGGACGCGGATGCAGCCTACAGTGGACTGCTCATCTTCAACTGGGGGTATGATACTCTCCAAACTGGCATCTCTTCCACAAGCTAAAACAACAATAGAATCTCCGCCAACATGAACAAGACTAGCACGCTACCGACATCGTACCAAGACTTTACCAAGCCCGAGTTCAAGGACAAGATTGTTCTGACCTATCCCAACGATGATGATGCAGTACTATACCAGTTCGAGCTCATGTAAGTCTATTCCATCCTACTTCGTATAAAGATCGACTAACAACATCTCTAGCCTACAGGAGCTTGGCCAGGAATGGTTTGACGCGCTGCTTGCCAACAACCCTCGCTGGGTACGCGGCACAGCAACCCCTGGCGCGCTCGTTCGTGCCGCCAACAGCAGCAGCGCAGTAACCTTCACTGGAGGCTCGTCATTCACGGACCAGCTACCGATTAGATATTCACTACCCAGCGATGCTAACTTTACCTCTTGGGCTCAGACCGGCGCCATCTTGAAGAAGGCACCACACCCCGAAGGCGCAAAACTGCTGCATAGTTTCATGCTCAGCGACGAACACCAAACCGGTGGCAGCTGGAGTGTTCGCGAGGATATCCCAGCGGGTAAGGGTGCGGAGCCCATCCTCCAGCAGCCTGGCACAGATGCTCCTGCGTTCGCGACGTGGATGGCAGACCGTAACAATGTCGAAAGGCGAAGGTTCTTTTACGAAGACAAGATCGGCACTGCCCAAGGTCTTAGCCCGCTCATTGACGACTTGTGAGCGTACTTTCACATTAAGGATCGAGAAAGCCACGCATTCGAGTGCCAAGTGAGTTGAAAAGTCGTGTAGACCTCCAAGCGACGCAGGGCCTGATATGCGTCCGTCCAAGCAATCGGTCAAATTCGAGTAGTATATATTATCATAGTGTTCTATACCAATTTGCCCATACTTTTAAGAATCTCGCCTTCCATCTTCTTCATTTTGAGTCTCTTTTCAAGTTCGATTATACCCGCTTTGTATACTGACATTGCCTTTCATGCAGGACTTCCTTACTTGGTGGCTACTCTGACACCATAGGAAGCGTTCATAGTTCGTCAGAATACCTCACGCGTGTCAGGTTCCAGAAAATCACGGCCTCAGACATGGAAAGGTCTTTTTCGGTGAATAGCTCCAGAGATAGACAGCAATCTGCAAGCGGCAAGAGGTCAAGTTTCTTGAGGCAATATCAGTCTCTCCAAACGTTTTGTGGCTCTTCTCTCACTTTCATCACTCGCTCACTCACCAGATGCAGTAATTTACCGCGCCTACACCGCGACAGTCCCCGCTAACCTATTTGATGCAAGTGCTCGATTATCTAGGTGCAAATGCCGTTATGTGCACACAACTCATCCAGTTATTGCAAGCCTTAGCTGTGACTCTTCCTGGTCAACTACTCCTCACCATGTCTGGATCAACACGAGCAGCCGCTAAGTAAGTAAAACCTGCTAGTTCTCCGAGCGCCGAAAAATAACTTGACTACAGGATGTTCAACAACCCCACTCTCTCAGATGTCAAGATCAAGCAAGTATACGAAGGCAAGATGCGCGAGTACCATGCACATAAGGCTGTACTGTGCCTCGCATCTGGCTACTTTCTCAACGCCTTTACCGGTAGTTTTAAGGTCAGAAAATGTCTTATGGTGACTAATACAACATACTAATTATCTCCAGGAAGCATCCGAGAGCACTATAGAACTACACGAGGACAAGCCCGAGTACTTCGATTTCCTCCTCAAGTTTATCTACACCGGCATTTACGATAAAGACGAGATCGTCAGGCTGGCTGGCAGCGATGACTGCAAGTGCGTTCTTATCCCCATCGGGATTTACGCGGTCGCTGATAAGTACGATGTCGCACAAATCTACGAACCGGCAGCAGAAGATATCAAGGCCGTTCTCATGAACGCTGTCAAAGATCGAAAAGACATACTCACCACTTCGATCAAGGCTCACTACGGTACTGAGGTCAAAGCTGATGGACCTATGGGACGCCTCATCACCGCTGTCATCTTCGAACACCACAACGACCTCCTCGACACCGAAGATTTCGAAACATGGCTCCTTGCTTACCCGACCTTCGCCGCAGACGTGGCACTTCACTTTCAGCGTGGCAAGATTGGAGGGAAAGATCGCGCTAAGTGCGTCAAGTGCCTTAAAAAGATTGTCGAAATTGATGTCATGGGCAAAATCAACCACGCTTTCTTCTGTCCTTACTGTTGCTCCCATCAATATCTTCCTGTATCTAAGTGAGAGCTAGGGGTGCTTCTCTGGTTATCTGGGTGGAATATGATGCTCAGCAACTCGAGACAATGCAGAGTGGATACGATGGGACAACATCTTGAGAGCTGTTTTTCTGCAAAACATCAACAGTACATACAGAGAGCTGGCTGTCCGGAATTTTGCTTGATAAAATGGGAGAAACTCCAGACATTACAGCTTCACCCAAACTTTGTGACTCCTCACCATGTTTCTTCCATCGTCACTCCTCTTGACCACATTACCTACTTGAATATCCGTGAGAGCTCCCATACCATCATCTGGATAGGGTAACCATTCCTCCACTGGATCCGTCGGTGCATTTGCTGGTGGAGAGGGCGCCCACTCAACGGCGAAGAGTAAATTAGGCATTTCTGTCATCGCGTCTCCACGGAAAATACGAATAGTCTTGACGCAACGATTGCCACCTATCTGTGCTTTATGTTGAGCAAGAAAGTAACCTACCGCTCTACCGTTTGGACTGCCTAAGAGCACGTTGTTAGTTCGATCCAGAACTCGAGGCACGCGAGACCTTGAAAAAGTATTGGAAAGAGGTGTAACACGCGAACGTACCCAGAAGAGCCATATACTGCGGGGTGTTTATCTTGACGTCGATTCCCGGCCAGAGGGGCACCCTGTCTAGTTCTTGCTCCCTCAGTATCCTATCGATGATTCTCCGCGTCTCGCCGTTGGTTATGAGCATAGACACAAAGCCATGAATTTCTGCCAACTTATCGCGCCTTACTCGATTCCAGAACCCCCATGCTAGGTCTGAACTCGCACGTAAAGCTGGCAACTCATCGGACGGAACTGGGTCTCCTTTGCGTATACGCCATAGATCACGGGCCTCTTTTACGGCAGAACCGCGCCGAAGGAAATAGATTAGACCGGCTTGCGGATTGATGATGATGGTGGCATAGGCCGTTGTGACCTAGATGTGGGAAGGTGTCAGTAAAGAGACAGCAGAAGAACTTCACGAATAAGCTCACCCTGTATCTCCGACCGTTGGCAGTATAATACTGCTTCTTGCGAGGTGGCATTCTCCCTTGTGGATCCTTTTCCACGATATCGCTATCGGCGTGAAATACAGATAAACAATGATTTGGTCCACCGTGAAGATTGTTCACTTTAGAAAGTTTCGGCTCATCGAGCATTGGCTGGAGTGCACCGATTTCACATTCGCCATCAGGGTCAGAAACATCTTCTTTGTAACCCCATGTCGCAAGCTCGTGCTTCATATCACCATCCCAAGGAGATGTCAAAGGATTCACGAATCGAATGGCTTCCGGCGGATTTTGAGTAGACGCAAACATAAGTTTTGCTCCTCGACATTGTGAGTCAAACCAGACTTTATCGGTAGCAGGGTTTGTGTAGCCATCATCGTTGTCATCATCCTCGTCTTCGTCATCGGAGTCGGAGTCGTCAGAATCGTCAGAATCGTCGTCGGGGTCGGAGTCTGTATCGCCTCTAGAGGAGAGTTTCTGGTACCCAAGAGCCTTAGCGTTACCGTTGATGACGGCCTTGTCATTAGTGAAATTCTGTAGATACTCAGTCGCGCCGAGGGCAATGAGACCTGCGATTAATATAATCCAATAGAGCTTCATTCTGTCTACTCGGAGTGTTGTAGGTGAGTGTGAGTCCGAGCTGGCAAGAAAAGGAAGGAGTGGAGGCGGTGCTAGCTGTAATCTTCACCAGACAAGCGAATATGATAGAGCTCAACCAACACAAACCAACAGAATAATGCTAGTCATGCAAGGGAGTGGTGAGAAGTCGTAGTGGGTTATCATTTAGGCTACGAGCGAACATGTTAACTGCGGAAATTGGGTAGCTGTGTATTCCAGGTGAGAGTGAAAGGCACGTTGAGATGCTAAGGCAGGCGCGCTGGAGCACTGAGGTGTCAAACAGGTCAATATTCATCAAGGTACAACACGAAGGTCGACCCCGTGTAAGCTGAGATGCAGCAGTAATATACATAAACTTTCACAGTATATTCAAAAATGGTGAACATGATATCGTATGAGGTGGAGTGTTTCTTAGCTTCGAGAGAACCGATTGGTTACGGTACTTGTACCCATGTAAGCATACAACCGCAGTGTAACAGCGTTGAACGTCAGCTTCCTGATGAACGAGCAAGAACATTGTGACATTTTCTACACCGCTTCGTATGATTGTCATGGATATCAATCGTCGTTACACTAGATTACCAGTACTGCAGCGTTGAATGCACAGAAATCGGTGTAGAGTGAGCGCTGGATACGTTACTTGATAGTCGGGGTGATACAAGGGTGTCGAAAGAGGTATATAAGGATGAGAAGACAGCGAGAGAATCATACAGTAGCCATCACTGCTTTGTCCTTCAGAAACATCCAGATCAATATTCCAAACCCTACCCTAGGTACAAGACCAACGACACGCTCAAAGTAGTAAGAGCCGTTCCTAGACATTCGAAACGCTTCAGCGTCCAAAACGTGACTGATGCTGTCAACAGACCAACCGAAGTCATGAGATTCACCGCTATCATCGCATCTCTTCTCGGTGCTGCCGTCACCATCCAGGCTCTCGAGCAGCCCCATCCTCTCGCAGATGTCAGCGCGCAAGCCTGCGCTGTGCGCAACTACGGTTGCGAAAACGGCTATTGCTGGAACGGGCAGTGTGGAAGCAAAGGAGAGTGGTGCTGGCTGGCCAAGAATGGGGGTTCGGGTGGTTGGTTGACGTGTGGAAGCGATGCGGCTTGTGCGCCGAATGTTGCCGTGGATGCTGGGTGTGCCGACTGTAACGTCTATCCTGCGGGCACCTGCGGGTGTTCATGCTGAGACTAGAAGATTGCGCTAGGGTGGTAACATAAAGCCAGCATATCAGCTCACCCCTCATTTGAGCTCTTGTTCCGCAGGAAAAGTTTCCAGGTAGTGTTCGAGAACATCAACAACCTCTGCTTTTGGATCTTCGGCGCCACCTTTTCGTATCTTTGAAGCGTTCTCTTGCTTCTTTCTCGCACCTACTGCTCGTCGATGGGCGCGGCTTTGGCGGTGTAAAATCCAGTCATTCTCGGTAATAGATGTTGTACCGCATGTTTCGCAGACCTTCTTTTGCCAGAGGTCTGGTCGCTGTCCCAAATCGTACTCGCGTTTTGGCGTCAGCATTTCAGCTGCAACTGGTGATAGTGATGAGGGTGGTGGCAGTGGCTGGCCAGAGAGGAATTGTTCGGTGATGGCTGTGGCAGGTTTTACGACCTTGTCCTCCCATTGCGATATATCAGACCCATCAACTAGGAATGTGTTGCCCTTCTGACCTGCCCCAAACAACGCATTAAGAAGCTTGATCCGAATCCATTTGATCTGCCGATTGGCATATTGGCGGGTGGCAGCCTGCGTCTTCTCGACGGCTAGGCTCTTAAGCTTCTCTAACTCAGGGGCCGTCTTCGCATCATCGGAAAGAGCGCTTTGGTATTCCAAAAACTCCTTGTATCCTATAGATACCCAAATGCCGCGAGTCTGGTCGATAATGGCGCCCGTACTGGATTCGTGGCGTTCGCGGAAGCTACTCAGTTCCTCAACCTCAGACAGAAGACCTCGAGCGATCATCTTGTCAACACGGCCATCGAGACGACGATGCAGCACATCCTTGTTTGCGTGCACCCAGAATACGAGGGTCTCGAAGCGAAGACTGTCAGATGCCGCGCCATCCGTCTGAGCAGCAAGAGCGTCGCGTTGAAACTTTTGTTCCTTGTAGAGTTGCGATGCTGGTTTGCCTGTTCTTAAGTATATCTCAAGTGACCGCTGAATCTTGCGCCGCTCGTTGGGATGCCACCTGTCGGCCATGATGGGATCGACTTCCCTGAGCTTCGCATGCAGGACATCGGTAGGCTCTTCTAGTATCGGAAGAGGCTGGCTGTTCTCGTTCAAGTTTAGCTCCGGTTCATCTGCCAGCGCATCTTGGAATAAGAGTGACTGTGTGTAGTAATGAGTGCCACCGACCAAAACCGGTAGTTTGCCTCGACTTCGGATTTCGTCGATCTAGATACGTCAGTGTTCCTCCGGAAAAGAGTTCTCTCTAATCATACTGTTCTTAAAGCCTCGCCCACGAATTTCCCTACAGTCCAAGTTTCTTCTTCAAGACTTATGCAGCCGAGGAGATGGTGAGGCACACCTTTCGTCTCATCCTGCGTTATCTTATTCGTGATGATAGGTAACCCGTGGTACAGTTGCATAGCATCTCCGTTGATGATTTCGCCATTGTATTTTCGCGCAATCTCCACAGCCAACTACCTACTGTGGTCAGCAAGACATGGTCTAAATGAGCAACATGGGCTTTACATCTGATTTGCCCGTACCTGTCGCGCCCACAATAGTGATTAGGGGTTTGCGCGGCGTTTGGGCCATATTGTATCTACTAAATGCTCTTGCAAACCGTAACATGCATTCGACGAAATAGTTGAAAGGGTCTCGAATGACTGAGTGGCCGAAAATGCTGGTTAGCGTAGAGCGGGGATGCGCTTTTCCTCTTCAACGCTAGCCCAACCATCCAGGAAGCCGATCCCATAGAAATCTCCCGTTTAGACAGATCGAATCACAGCACGACTGGTGAAGGGACTCAGAAGTTGAAAAACAAGAGAATGTGTAGGGTTGCCATATATTTGAATTCGTGGATTTGTTCAGATATCTTCGGAATGTTGGTACGAATGAAATATCGTTGTTGAATCTGATGGGGTATCATCGTTGAGTGCTGCCCGAACGCCTGTTGAAACTCCGTCGACGCGCATTGTTGAAGCGCGTCGAGAATGTATTCTTTTCCACTTCTTTCTCACTTGTCTTCCACCCTCTTCTCAGCTCCATAACCGCCCTTGCCCTCTAGACTCTGGTATGTCGCTCCCTCACCCTTTCCGTTTCTTGGTCCTCTCTCTGTCAGGTCTTCCTGTAGCCACTTCAATACCAGCTCACCCAATTGACTGTTTCCAGTGTACATGCGCTCGCCCTGCTCGACCTTGACGTCCATCTCCTCGACGCTACCCCACTTCTTAACCTTGCCCAAGCTCATATGCACGAGATGTGTAGGCCATGTCGCGAGATTGTCCAGGATGTGAGTCGCATACACGATAGTGCATGGACGCTCCAGTGTCTCCTTCTTCAGGAAGTTGAGGAAGTTGCTACGCGACAGCAGATCTAGATCAACTGTGATTTCGTCCAACAGCAAGATGGTCCACGGTCGCAGCAGACCCATGGCGAGTTGTACACGTCTCCTCTCGCCATCTGATACGGCGTGCATGCGCCAGCTGAGGTCGATATCAAGTATGCGTACGAGCTCGTCGCGGCGCTCGGTGTAGTGATCGCCGCCAATGGAGGATAGAAGCGTGGGCACGTCGATATCGGTACGGACAATGGGATTGAGTACCCACTCAAGACCAAGATAGGTCACACCCTCAAGACCCATCTTGAAGGGGTCGATGCCCGCGATGTGGACGGTACCGGAGGGGGCCATGCGCTTGCCGGAGAGGAGGCGGAGAAGTGTGGTTTTACCCGCACCGTTGGCTGGAACTGTCAGTTGAACCCTTTTGAGATCCATTCCTGTTGTCGCATACCTCCGATTAAAAGTGTCCTGCTACCAGGTGGTAGGTCTAGGAAAACATCCTTCAGCCCACTTGAGCCATCTGGGAAGGCATAGCTGAGGTTTTTCACGTCGATCGACGGCGCGACTTCCTTGCCGTTGATTGTGTTTGACATTGTGACTATGATTTGCGTGTGAACGGCTGTCACACTGTTGGTGGGAGGAGACTACATTTTGTAGGCTGGTTGCGGTGGAGTCATCTCGGTGGGCTAGATCGGTAAGTCGACATGAGTGATGCCATCATTCCGCCAATAAGCACGCTAGGCCAAGATAGGCAGGCAATATTCTGAACCTTAAACGGCACTTCTTCTCAACCTCAAGTTTTTCAGCATCGCCCCGTCATTCGTGGCTGCAGTGGACTCAGGCCAGCTATGCATTGTGAGTCAATGCGGTCCGCGGTGCCATACCATCACAACGCCGGGGATCTCCGATACTGCGACACGAGCCTGGGCAGCCTCAATGCCTGGACATAGAAAAGCAACGATATCTGGAGAACGACCGCAAATCACGAGAGACGTTCCACAACGTGTACTGCACATCCGACGAAGAAGCGAAATGCATGCGATTCAATCAGGCCACAGACCGCGCAAACTAAAACCACACGAATATGTACAAAGTTCACTTCCCACTATATACAACCACTAGTCAACCCCACTAATGCATCTGCGTCTGACAGTGCACTTAGAGCGAAACACAGCCGTTGATAGAGTCCTCAAGGAACAGACCACCGTAGATCTGGCCCTCGTCAAGGTTGGCCTCCTGGAAACCAGCGTTGGCAACATCAGAAGTACCAGTGGGCTTCTTGAGTATGCCCATCTGGTATTGGCCGCCGCCCTGAAGGTTGACAGTGAGGGGACCAGCGACCTGCTTGAGTGGGGCCTGGCCGGCAGAGTAGAAGATGGTGGTTTTGCTATAGGTCTTGTTAGTACCACAATGATCAATTTGTATTAGGTGAATGAACGTACTTGGCGTTGAAGTCGAGCTTCAGGGCAAAGTTTTGCCACTGAGTCTGGTCGATCGGGACGCTCCAGAGGAACTTGCTGTCGCGGTCAAGAATCTTGAACTGGTTCTTGTCGGCATCGCTCTTTCCGATGAGAGATCCAGTCTGGAACTGAATCTGGTTGTTGCTAAAGTCGGCAGCCTCGTGCCAGACGTTGAGGTACTCGTGGGTGAGGTTCAAGGGCCTGGCAGGGTCCTGCTTGACGCTGAAGTGGAGAGTCTTGACACCCTTGCCTCCCTCACCGTCAGCGGCATCCTTGAGGAACTGGAGGCCTGCACGGCGGAAGCCCTGCTGCTTCTGGAAGATGGACTCGTCGGAGATGGTGACCTCTACAGCCTTGAACTTGTCGCCGTCGAAGCGCGATGATTCGTTGGGGAACTTGAGGATTTGCGACCAGGTCAGGTTGTTGCCCTTGACGAAGTCGGCGTTGAAGATGGTGTTGGTAGAAGCCGAGTCGAAGAAGGTGGGTGTGGTGTTGACAGGGACACGGCCATCGAAAACGATGGGGCACTTGGGCTCAGCGCGAACGGCGTTGGCGTGGGGGTGCGGGTGAAGGTATGGCGCAGCCAGTGCGCCGGAGGCAACTGAGGCCAGGGTAAAGAATGACTGAGTGAACATGGCGATGGTTAGAGAATGTCGTCGAGACTGTGGATGCGCTTGAAGTGGATGAGACACCAGATGGCAGGTGGAGACAACTCTTTATACAACTCTAAAACGTATGACTGAACATGTATCTACCCCAACACCATCCCAGCCCGTTCGCGTATTAGATGGACACTGCGGTGCCAACGCGTCCGGCATTTTCCACGCTCCGAAATAAGGGATGTTCGCGCCCTTCATTTGGGTTACTGCAAAAGATGGGCCAGTTGGCCAATGGCAGGGGAAGGGGAAGAACGATGGAATATTCTATAGTAGGCCCGACGACGTCAGGGTAAGGCCGCATCAATATAGGTGAAATATAGCTGGGACACTTCTGTCATGAGGCTCCTCAACCAGGATGTGGGGTAAAGTGCACGGCTGCTAGTTAACTACCGGACGGTCCGGCATCCCGATACCTTCGTCAATCGAGAGGATTAAAGGCAGTAAGCAAAGCATTTCGCCGACAAACGACAGTGTCGATCTTCTGTAGTCATTATCCTTCAACCCAACTTTTCTTTGTACCGTTTTCCATCTCGACTACCACGTGCAGTCTTCGTTGCTCGCAGCGCAATTTCATGCGCGGACCAAAAGCGCACTCCGACATTTCCAAAAAGCGACCGAATGGCGCCGTCAAACACACCATTGCAGCCAAGTTTCATCAACACCGGGAATGCGACCGAATCGCAATGATCTGAACTAGCATTGATGGACGGCGATGTAATCGACGTGGCTCTAGAGTCGTTCGCGATGCTGGGCATGATCTTAACATGGGAGTATCGTGTCTTGTCAGGGTGTGTATGAAGTGCAAACGGCCGTTCAGCGGCGATCAGCTGGCCCAAGCGGAAGAAGTTTATTTCTTTACTTGCGGTATTGCGGGACGTTGATACTCCGGCCACCGCCTGAACTTTTGTACCGGCTTGGTCAAAATCGTCATCAACTCCCTGGCGTGACGATTATCCATCGTACATGCAAGGGACGTCAGGCTCGGTGAGAAGATGTGTGCTATTATCCTTTGCAGTACAGTTCTAACACCCGCGGTATCATTGCGCCTGGTGAATTTATGCCTTGAGTCCATGCTCAAACTCTGTTCATATTATGGTCGCCCAAGAGGTCCATCAGCCTGATTCCCATCTTCCTGTCAACATGGCGCTTCCTCAACGCGCTGCTCTCGACACTCCACATATCCAAAATGATGTGCCAACCCAGAACGCCATGCATGAACGTGGTGACAAGCAAACGCAACCGCAACGCCTCCCTATGTGCCACTGGTCTTGAATGCAAGCTCGCCTTTATACACTGCCGACCGATTACGTGTCTACACTTGCTGCGGGGTCAGCCATGTGGCTTCGATGCAGCCCTCGTAGAATTGTCTCTGGCCGTTTTCGCTCTCAACACCGAAGCCCATATTGCGTAGCTTTCCGGTATCCCAACCACTAACAAACTCTCCTTGACCGCCGTTCTCCCTGTCTACAGCATCCCCAAGCCTGATGTAGTCGGCATGACGGCACACAGTTTGAGAGTAAGACCATTGCAGGCAGTTGCCATCATTAGCACATTCTGATCCGCACGAGCCGGCATTGCGGTGCGCAGGGCGGTCGTTGGGGACGGGCGCTTGCGAGAGGTTGTCCCACCATTCCTTTGAGGGACCCTGTGACAGGAAGTTGTGCGTGTAGGAGAGGAACGAGGAGTAGGTAAATGGTTTCTGCGCAGTAGTGTTAATCGAGTTGCATGCCAAAACTTGGAGGCCGCGGGGTACTTACAGTATTGTATGGCCTTGTCCTCTCCCATCTCCACAAGTCTTCCATTTGCTGGGGCTTGAGCTGATGCAGCGAGAGCATCGGGACGCACCACTTGTCACGTGTGGTCGTGACATCCTTAGGCTTGTCGCTTGCGAAGGTCGGGTACATGGCCTCGAGCTTGTGTCCAGTAGCGTTTTGGATGGCGTAGGAAAGCACAGCGTCGCCGCGCTGCTCCTCCTTGACCCACTGCTCGTACCTGACGCCTAGTCGGTTCTCGCGCGGGATGTCGGTCGAGCCTGGGCTCTTGGCTGGAATCAATTGCTTGAGGAGGCCCTGGGAGAGAACAAAGCCTGCGCCACCGTAGGCAAACTGGCGGCCCTCGGATCCCTTGTGCGGTTCACCCAGATAGTGTGGTTGCGAGGCGTCGAGCTGGCTAAGCAGACGGAACAGGGTGTCCCAGAAGAAGTAGACGTCCGACTCAATGAAGACGAACCACTTTGCCGAGGGGTTTGTCATGTATGCCTTATCTACCATGGGCAGGTACTTGAAGCGGTCGAGCTTGAAGGACCGCTGCTGCTCCTTGACCGTCTCCCCGCCTTCGTGTGCCTTCTTGTGCTCGACATAGATTTGGAAGTCCACGTTGTCCTTTTGGTAGCTCTTGGGGAGTTCGGCGAGGATGTCGATAACATGGCGGTCGCCCAATCGCTCTTCCCGATCACCCACGATGATGAGGTTTGTAATGCAGCTCGATACGGTGCTGAGGTGTGCTTTGGTCTCGTGTGCTCCGTCCGAGGCCACCTTGAGGACGACCTGCACCTCTTCGAGTAGCTTTGTAGGGAAATTCTGGCAGTAGTCGAGCTCGATGGAATTGGCGGCTTTGGTCTCGAGGGGCGGGAAAAACGACTTTGTCTTCGCTTTGTGGACTGGCGCCTGCGGATGTGACGCTCTCCGATGCGAGAGAGTGTATATGAAGAAGAAGATCAGGAGGCCGGGGAAGAGGAATCTCCATGGCCGCCGTGCCAAACGGCCAGCCAGCGGTTTCAACATGGTGCCGTCGCTGCGGCCGTGGGGGGTTCTGCGGTCGCCGGGGGGTCGGGAGAGTCGCTGTCAGTAGAGACGACGACGAGGGCAGGCGAATTGCGATGGGCAGGTGGGCGACGTCACCGGCACATTAAGTAGTCCGTTCGTGTTGGGTGGAGGTGTCGACAACGACGATGGCGCGCATTGGCCCTGAACCGTCGTACTGCGCGAGTCCAGCCCGGCTCCTGACCAGAACGCGAATCCGCTAGTTCCCAATCCGGAATGGTCGCCGTCTTGGTATCCCACGACTCCTCTGATGAGCATTCTTCCTGCTCTGGCCCTGTTCTCGACGTGACTTCATCGCTGTTTGCGACACCTGGAAATCAAGAAGGCAGGTATACTGCAGGCATAATCAAATCTGGCACGCCTTTCGCACTACTGCGGTTGCTTGTAAACGACTGCCTTTCGGCTTTGTTGTATCCTGCTTCATCTTCCACGTCCGACCAATCTGGCAGCGCCTCTTCGTCACTCATCATGTGCTGCGGAGATCGTACAAGCTCGTCTGTCGCACTTTCCAGCTCCGCAGTGAAATTGGATGATGCTGCGCTTTCTGACCACTGATACTCCGGCTCCTCAAAAAACACGTTATATTCCGGATCGTCCTCTACATCAGACCAGTCTGGCAGATTGTCGAAATCTTCGTCGCCAATGGTTTCATGATCATTCTTAGCGACCAGAAGACCAATAGACTCCAGAAAGAGATCACAGGAGTCGAACGACCGTCTTGTGAAGGAAGGGGTGCGATCCATATGTGCTTGCGGTCTAAACGATAGATCAACGTTGCGGTATTGCGGATCCGAAGATTCCGCCTCTGCCTTTATACTGAAGTCTTCTTGGTCAATGAGCCAATGTTTGACTTTATCGTGGTGCGTTGGATCAGCAAGCCCACCAAACGGATTCGCGTCATTGTTACGTTTTCGTTGCGTATACTCCTGCTTTGATTGTCGCACTGAATGGATTGCCAACGGATTATCCATGCTGTTTTCCACACTAGTGACATTCAGCGCCCTTGATCTGGCAAGCGATCCTTCGGCGAACTCTGGAAATACGCGATTGAGTTGTTCGTGCGCGACGCCCCCATCGTGCCCACGTCGGCGGGCTGCATGGTCGCGTTCGACTTCCCTTGCTGAGCGGCATGCGAAAGACAAGTTTGAGTCACTAGTTATCGTGTCGTTGTCGTTGGGGAGAAAGGAGACCGTAGACCCTCGACCAACGGCTTGCAGCTCATCAAGTGGTAACCTCTCGACGAAACGCAGTATGGTAGTGTTGACTTCGAGAGCGACTCGTGCGTCTAGATGGCCTATATTCCTATTGACCTGATCTCTGAAGGGAAGAACGTTACTCAGCGTTCTATCTAGTATCGCAGTAATAGAGCAGAGAGATTCCTCGGATACTAAGTTGGAGATTGTTGTTGTTCGTGATCCGCTACAGACCGTTGCTTGGGTCTCGGAAGTTGATCTTGATCTGCTCCTCATGCTAGGTATGGACGAATTCGTGGAATCATCGCTCCTTCCAAAGCTTGATGTCGTCAGCCGAGCGCGCATTGAGCGGATGATCTTCTTCACTTTGCCCATATTAACGTTTGCGGCGCGGTTGAGGTGTAGATTGGGGGTTAAGACGTTGTAGTTCATACCGGAGAGTATAGCGGTATAGCGGTATAGAGGAAGAAGTACTGCGTCGAATTCCTGGGTTCGTTTCACGGACGCAGCGGTACGTACTCGTTAACGGTCTTTCACTACACATTAGAGGATATTTCATCGCGTCGCGATCATGGTATACTCTGCCAGCAACTCGCTCAGTGAATGGTTTCTGGGGGCTCAGTCATCGAAGCTGATGCACGTTATACTCAAGTAACGCTGTGAACTGTATTGAAGTATGAATAGGAGCGTATGTTTGCAGAAGGTTATAGCGTACCACTCTGTGACAGTACAGTCAGAGTGTGACATGCATAGCGTATATAACGACAGCTCCACTGCTGCACTGATCCGCGTACGTCGAAGACCACACTTTCATACTACGACCACTGATCTGGCTAGCAAGAAACGTATCCATCTTGCTCAACGACCAGGAAAACGTCTAAGTAGTCGAAGATACAGCTCAAAGACGTCGTTATGAAGTACCAATATCTCGTAAAATCGCTTCTTTTGGGTCTGGCCACCTCTGCACCCACCGCACCCCCAATTAACGACCTAGATGTAACCATGATGCAGTCCTGCTCTGATAAGCCCCACCCAACTCTAGTAGACTACAACATAGCCGGAGTCGCATGGTGTGAAAAGCACGTCCGCGTCAACGCTCCAAATCCCCCTATGCTCCCCAAACCCGTCATCGATCCAAGAATCCTCTGGTCATGCCGCCTCTCCGCGCCCCGTACACATTCATGGTGCCCAACCCGGACAAGAACAAGCCTGGATTTGCTCTCCAGCCAACATTCGAAGTTCTTGGATTTGCGCCCATCACGCGAGAAATGTGTCTTTGGGGTTGGGGTGTGGGTCGCCAGATTTACGAGATTCAGTCGGAGCAAGTCAAGAAAGGCAATATTTGTCGTGGACAAGGAGGTGTTGCTATGGTTCAGGGGTGGAATCAAACTATATGGTGGAATGAGTTTGGAATAGTATTCTGAGTCAATGCAAGATTCGTCGCTTGAATGTAGTACGTTGAGTTACTAGAGGTAGTCATTTTCATTTGATGTACCTATCAACTGATGCTACATTCCGTCGCCCCGGCGTCGTTAACGCTGAGGCATCTGAGAAATGCCCCTGTGCGACTGCATATGACCCAAAACCCCGCTACCAACTGCACGCCCTGGGTATCTTCGCGAACACCTGCCATTATGTTCGCTGATCAAATAACGCAGCCTGATGTATACATCTCTCACCATCTTCTCCACTATGCAAGATGAGACTCGGGTATTTCCGCTTGTTGCCCTGCATCTTTGGGTCGGTGGGCATGTTGGGAGTGCTGTTCAGGTGTAGTTTTCGCGCAGGGTATGGCAGTGAAGGTAGGTCGCTTGGCAGAATAAGTGTGGGCTCATACGCGAAAGCGGCGTTGTTTACGTGAGCTAGATATTCGGAGCGGCTTAAAGTATCCAATTTCGTCTTCTGCTTTCCGTTCTTAGAATCCTCCTTCACCTCGCCGTCACCAATACCGGCGATTAGCCAGGGAATTGACGTTACGTGTTTGTTATTGCGCCAAGCTCCTAGCGGCACTGGGAACCTATATCAACTTGGCCTGTCCCTCCAACTTGCTCTTCTTCCCTTCAACTGTCACTAGCTTTTCCGCAACCAACCAGCTTTGGGATCACTCAAGGGTTTCTCCGAACTCTTAGGGATGACTCCTTCGATGCCAATTCAACTGCCCTACTTGGTTCTTTTGGTTGGACATCGACGCGCCGGGGGTTGGTGTGAGGAACTACCTTCTTGGTACGTCCTGCCAGAGATGTCTCGATGTTGGTCTGACAGCCTTCACGATGCCTTCTCGCATGCAGTACAGTTCGTTCGACCTGCGATTGTTTGTGTTATCTGGATAACGTACTCAACGTCTGGTGGCTTGGTGGCAATGCTGATGTGTCCGGTCCACGCAGGCGATGGTTGCGACCACGCAAGCGAGTAACAGGCACACTGACTTAGACACCGCCGTACACGTGCAGCTTGGTGTCAGACAAGCATGCATCGTGAATACGGGACATTTTCATTGAGTACCTTTCCCTTATAGAAAGGCTTGAGGAAGATGATTGCTTCTTGTCTGATACGTGATACATAGCCTCCGAGTCTGTAATAGGATACGACATGGCACTTAGTTGCTCGCTTTGAGTATTGAACAGTGATGTTTACTAAAGCTGTGTCAGTAACAGTCAATCATGTTGAACAGTTGAGCTGCACTGATCTTGACGCCTCTGTTGTATCGCCTTCACATTATAAGACATCTCGAAATGATTCCTCGGAGCTATCTGGTGGCTTCTATTACATTCGAATATGCATAATGAAGCCCATGAACCTGTCCTGGCGTACAAAAAATCGCATCTCGAGGGGCTCGTGGACGCCTGAACATCCTCTCAAAGAGCTGAAATGGCGGAAACGCTTCAGTTTTCCGGGAAGAATAGTGGCAACGACCTTGCCCTTACACTAAGCATCAGTAGCCAAGTGTAGTCCGCTAGATCTTGTCCCTGGCGGTGACACACCGCAGGAGCCAGGATATATGTTGAGCTGGTGGCGCCCGGGCCCATTCTGTTTGGCAGCCTTGCGTCAAGAATCTGTCTCCCTCTCTCACACCCATTGTCGCAGCTTCAATTCTTTCCACGCTGCCCAAGCTCGCTATGACTAGATCCAAGTTCGACTCGCCTTCGCGCACACCTCGCGGCCAATTTGCCTCGCCGCGACACTCACTGTCGATACCGCCAACACGATCTTGCTCAGCACGTCAAGGTTGTCGCGACGACTACGAGGAGGATCAAGATGGTCAGAAGTGGGAGCCAGCTCGTGGCAACACGCTCAGCAGCTTCATCGCCGACTCGCCCTCATCGGTGAGCACTACCATGGAAGGAGACAAGTGCCCGTGTCTGACAGTTGATGCCACAGGCCTGTCACTAATCTTGTAGTGCTATTCTCAACACTGATCAGCTGCGAGAACAGCTTTCTCAGGTTCGGCTCACCGCTGATAACGAGTACCTCGACCGACTCCAGACTGAGGAGCAGCTGCGTAGCGAAAGCGCGCGCCCTGACAGCTACGTTGAGCAGTTCGAAAGGCACGAGCAGCGCGTACGCGAACTCGAGGCGGACGTCGTTAGGCTTGAGGCTGCTCTTGCCGGTGCCCGGGCGGAAGCACGTCAACAAGATGTCATCATGTCCGCATTGGAGGCAAGACTGGCCACTGTCAATTCGAGCAGTGCCATCACTACCACTTCGTACGTTGCTTTGCTCGTATGATGTTGTATAAGCCAACTAACAATTTAGTATGACTTCCCACTCGATCGTTTCCGTGCTTAAATGCGACAGCTGCCGTCAGCAGGGCCTGCCTTGTGACAACAGTTATCCCTGCGGCTCTTGCAAGTTGGAACGCGAATGTGTTCGTCGCAAATGTGGATAGTACTACACGCTTCGCGCTCACTGTCGCGACGACTGTGAATGCGTTCACATGGATGATCATATCAAGGGCGCTAAGACTGGAACGGAGATCAAAGAGCTAAAGTAGATTTTGTGGATGTCCTATGGCGCCTTGCGAAGCAACGAGCTTTTCTTAGACTGCCACGCTGAGTTGTCGTCCAGTGGATGAGTTCTAAGAGCTCAGTGTGGCATGACGGGATGGATTTGGGAAGGAACACTTTGCGGAATGATGGCGCTGAGAGCCTCCAGACTCAGCTCAGTATAGACAGCTAGGACTCTTAAATCCGAAGATGACGAATAAAGCTGTATGTATGTCGCTGACCGGAAGACTGTGACTAGTGCATGAGGTACCTAGGTAAATTGATGTCTTGGTGAGGTTGGTAAGCATCCGGCTATTCCTTCCCATCCGCGCGGCCCCGCTTCCGGCACAGTAGCCTACATCATCACACCAGACCTCCGCATGTGCTCATGATATCTTTCCTACCACTTTCTAAGATAGAACCATCCCAATATCGATCATTAGTTCAGGCCAAGTCGAAACCAATCAAAATGGCGAGCACTAGCGAGTTGCGTCTTCACTTGCTTATCTATCTCATCTAGGAACAATCAGCTAACGAAAGCAGTCTCGTGAGACTAGCACAGAAACTTGTTCGAGATGGACCTTGCAAGATAGAACACACAGCACGTCGTGTGCGAGGTCTTTTCAATGGAAAATATGCATTCGATACACTCAATGCGCATCATGTCTGGGAATTGGAACTGCGCTACCCACAGTACTTATTGATGAACTCCTTGGAGGGCCCTCATGACACTGACCATACTCAAGATACTACGTACCGATATCGAGCTTCACTTCCAACGCTAAGCTATTGCGTGGCTCTGCCATTGATGGAACGAATGGAGGCGCAGACCTTGGGGTTCTGACGGTCGGTAACCGCGACAGCAACCGGATTCTGATTTTCAACACCGGCAAACTGAAAGATCTTGTGAAAGTCGACTTCAGAGCTGTCGATCAGTGGTTTGAAGAAGACATGGAGATATATGGCCATCCCAAAGACCCCTACAAGCGCATCGACATCCTGCCTTCTTCTCGTAATGTCAGAGTAGCCATCGATGGTGTTACACTCGCGGAAAGTTCAAGTCCTCTATTCCTTTTGGAGACCACTCTAAGGACGAGGCATTATCTGCCGCCCACGAGCGTGAACTGGGAATATCTCACACCCAGCAATACAGTAACGCTCTGTCCGTACAAGGGACGCGCGGAGTACTACAACGTCAATATTGGTGGGAAATTGTACAGGGATCTGGTATGGTACTATCGATATCCGACTTCGGAGAGTGCTCCGATTGCCGGATACATGTGCTTTTACAACGAGCTGGTTGAAGTTTATGTCGATGGCGTGAAGGAGACGTCGTAGTCGTGGCTCTGTACTGGCTGTTAAGATCTTCAATCTAGGCGCATAGTCAAATCTCATCATGCTTTGATCCTTATGGTTAGAACAACGTATCACACCCTGGTGCAAACTTGTAAGCTCGGTGTTATGAACGAGGTCTCTGAACTCTACTTCGCGCTTGTTACCGTCTGTCTACCACAGAGCGCGGCCGATCGTACAACGGTGACTGGAACATATAGACTCCAAGTTCTGCGGTGCTGAACTGTAGGGAATCTCATGTTGGAAGACATTCGTCCATATTCTATGAGGAAGTATAGGCTTTAGTGCCCCTTGCGGGGGTCGGAGTGGTGCAGCTACATGCTGCGATGCTGTATACACTGTACTGTTGATTCGGTCCTTTGTCATAGTCCGCCTCGGCCCAGATCAAACACTATCAACTCTTCTCTTGCTCGGCCAATCTACCAGGAATGCGCGTGAAGGATATAAAGCCGTTGACGCGCATGGTGTGTGTGAAAGACATGGCGGACCGGACGGCGGCGGCTCTCGGTCGACCTGCATTAGGGATGCTGATGGTCATTGCGACTTCTGTTGAGTAATCTGAGGTCGTGGGATAGCTTCCGGAGGTGCCATCGTCATTGATACACAAATCTATATTGCTAGGGAAGCAGTGACCTAATGTACCATAGAATAGAAATCGAGACGAAGATTCGGGACAGTTGGGGCTCGCAGGATGGACCGGTCTGAGAAGCGCGCAATAGCCTCTCCGCCAGAAAAGCAAACACTAGTCATGTAAAGCCAAGACGCACCCTAGCGTGATCCCGATATATCGCTCGCTGTCAGTTGATGCTAGCTACTTTGAGGTGTGTCTGGTAAACACGAAACAATCCGTGGCGGCCTGAAAGCGCGACGTCTTGGCAGGGGGACGGAGGGGGAGATTGCATCTATAACGCCACAGGGTCATCAGCAGTAACTAGGTACGGATCCCAGCGGCAGCTGCCAGTAACAGATTTTTATGTTGACATGTAATACGGATGCTGTGTTGCGACAATGTGATCCTGCTGGATGAACATGGCTGGGGTTCGACTGCTTTTCTTCCAAGGTTGGTGTAGGCCGTCAATCTCCGCTGTGCCCGCGTCGCGCATGAACCCGACTCGCAGTAAGCCGCATGAATCCCATCCTACCAGCATCGCCGGTGCATGTCACCACAACAGGAAAAAAACTGTGCGCTGTCCCACTTCATACCGTATATGCGGCCTCAGGCCATCTGCTCTCATGTCATGCGACTTTCACTGCTGCATACAACACCACCAGAAAAACCAACCATATTTCGACGACTGGCAGCGTGGACTACTTCGGCTGCGTCATGGTCTAGAACTGCGCAACTGACACCTCATCTCGAGTTTCTTCTTCTTTCCGATAGACTGCGCCGGGAAACCCGAGGCTGTAGTTTGACGGGCTGCGGCAGTGGCAAGGCTGGTGGTGTGCGTTGGGACCTGATTCCTTTTTCTTCTGGGGCGTACGCCGTCTCTCGGTTCCTGCAGCCACCAGCAAACTCTCCTCACGCAACCCCGCTGTTGTAGTTTGCACGGCACGCTCGGCATAGCCAATGGCCAAGTACGCCTTCGCACTCTTCGCGAGGCCAAGTATTGAAGCTCGTATCTTGTAGGATGCCTATTGTCAAACTGAGCCAGAGGCGTTGAGTAGAATTGCAGTATACTTGGTCGTTTCAGCCGAGCCCCAAGTACATTCATTGCGTGGAAAAATCACGAAATCATGCTTCGTCGTCCATCGATATCATAACGGCGATACTCGGGTCTGAGATCACTGATCGCGGAAACGAAAGTCGCACCGTTGACGGGTGGTAACAAAGTATATCCACTGATACCACCTAGCTCAAGTAGCTTGTGGGAAACGTACCATGCGGATGCCGTGCTCCACAAACGCCCAGAAAACGATGCATCGCGCTCAGGGGTTGCCTTGCCCTAGCCGCTCCCCGAGCCGAACAGTAAGCAAGCCTATCCCTCATGCAGTTCAAGCGCTCCGGTGATCTGCCAATGCCCAGAGTCTGGCAAACCGAAATAGACCGTGTGGCTTCCCAAGCGACAGGGCTGTCGCGCGAAGACGTGCACGCCGAGGCCGCTAAACTAATCTCGCCCGTGTCATGCCTGGCGCCGCTGTGTCGGAGCGGAAGATATATCTAGGGAGGACCTCTGCACATGGGAGGATCTCCACGAGTTATCGCCTGTCACTCATCGCCCTATCGTCAACTCGCGGGGTGTCGAGACTCATCAGTTTTGGAGGTCATAGACTTCTGTACATTCGCTTTTGCACCACACTCGCTTTACTACGTTTAACATGCGTATTACTACTCTAATAGGCCTCGTGGCCGGACTTGCCAGCCAGACTGTGAACGCAGCCTGCAGCGCACCCCTCAAGATCGATGACTTCTCCAAGCAGTCCTCTAACCAGAACAGCTTGGGCGAATGGACTAGCGGTAAGTCTTATGTATGCCTCTCACCAGAACATGGCTAATCCAACCCAGATGATGGATCCATGAGCTCCATCTCCGCCAGCGCCGGTGTCCTCTCTTTCAAGCCCAAGGCGGGATCTTACTTCTACGAGACTTTCCCTTGCCAGGCAGCTAGCACCAATGGATACAACTCCGTCAGCTTCCAGATGAAGGGACCCGCCGGTGGCTCTGCCACTCTTGAGATCCAGACCAAGACCAGCTGCTCGGCTACTACGTACACTTCCAAGTACGTTTCGATCACTGGATTGACTGGTAACACCCAGACCATCAACATCCCTCTTTCCCAGTTCTCCGGTGCCAATGCCAATGCCGTTACTGGTTTCGTATGGGCTGGATTCTCTTCAACCACCGCCACATGGCAGATGAGCAACATCGCCTTTGGTTGCGGTAGCAGTGCAGGTGGCAGTACCTCTGTCTCCGCCACCAAGGGAGCTACCACCACCTCGGCCCGCAGCACCATGTCGACTGTCGCGACCCCCACAGCTTCCGCTGCCCCCGGATCTTGCTCTCCTTTGTTGATCGACGACTGGATTTCTCAATCTCGTTTGACTTTCTTGTACTACAACGCCATGGGCTACCCTACCTCCGATGATGCTTCCATGACTTCCATCACTGTTGGAAAGCCTGCTACCAACCGTGTGGAGTTTGTTCCCAAGGCCGACTCATACTTCTACAGCCAGTTCCCTTGCGTCGACGCGAAGAAGAACAAGTACACCGGAATCTCCCTTCGCATCAAGGCTCCCAAGGGCGCCACTTTGGCCCTTCAGCTCGACTCCTCGGACAGCTGCGACGCTACTAACCCCAAGTCTACCTATGCGTCTTCCACTGACCTTGGCTGGACTTTCGATGGCACTGAGAAGCTGTACACCATTCCCTTCAGCAAGTTCGCTGGCCTCAACACCGAGAAGCTTACCACCATCCTCTTCTCTGGCTTCTCTGGTACCACTTCCTTCGGCCCCATGGCTTTCTACTGTGGCAACTCCGGAGAATACGTCGTTCCTCCCACCTCCGCTGACCCTGGCGCCAGTGCCACCGTCCCTGCTCCCAGCAACCCGTCAGCTACTGCTCTTGTGATTGACAAGTTCGCCAACGCCAACACTAACGCTATGGGTAACTGGCACGGTGGTGACGAGGGCATGACTCTCAAGTACGCCAGCAACAAGCTCACTATCACCTCTCCCGATGCCGACTACGCTTTCTACACCCAGGTATCCGCTGGATGTTCCGATTTCACCAAGTACAAGGGATCTTACCTCCACATCGCCTACACCGGTACCACTGCCTTCACCGTTGCTTTCCAGCAGCACAACAGCCAGTGCAAGGCTGAGATTGCTCCTTACCCTGAGACCTGGGATTCTGCTGAGGCCAGCCGCTACGCCAAGAACGGACACATCTACATCCCGATCAACCACTTCAACATTGAGCTCTCTCGCGTCGTTGGTTTCGCGCTCAAGGGTTTCCACACGACTGAGTCCGTCACTCTCTCCGTCATTGAGATCGTCTCCTCGGTTCCCGCTGGCACCACGATCCCCAAGAAGGATGAGACTGGTAACCTTGTTTTCGCCTGCAAGCGCCCCAACTCCTTCGCTTTCGCCATCGATGACGGTCAACCCGACCTTGCCCAGGAGGTTCTCAAGATCATCCGCGAGGAAGACGTCAAGGTCACCTTCTTCACCGTCGGTGCTCCCCTTCTCGACGCCTCCACCAACTTGACCAACGTCTACAAGGAGATGATGGCCGCCGGTCACCAGCTCGCTCTCCACTCCTTCACTCACCCCAAGATGGAGGGTCTTCCCGACTACGCATCCATCGACTGGGAGTACAACGAGGACGTCAAGGCCATGAAGTCTCAGTTCAACGGCTACACCTCCACTTACTTCCGTCCTCCCTTCGGTACTGAGGGTGCCCGTATGCGTTCGCGTCTCACAAAGGCTGTTGGCAACACTGCCAGCATTGTCAACTGGAGCGTTGATGTAGAGGACTGGTTGTGGGCTGAGACCGACACCCCTGAGCAGCAGAAGGTCGCTTTCCAGCGTGACGTTGACAAGGGTGGTAACCTTGTGGTTCTCCACTACCTCTACCCCAGCACTGTCAGCTACCTTAGGGAGTTCATCCAGATTGCTAAGGCCACCGGCAAGCAGCTTATGCGTGTCGACCAGTGCATGATGGACCCTAACGCTCCTCCTCTATAGATTAACAATCTTTAGTGAAAGTTGGAGTGGTGTTGAGGTGTTTATAGGGGAATGATACCCGGAGATGAGGGCATTGTTGCATGTAGAGTTGAGATGCGTTTAGCATAGTCTGTTAATCGTAATTACATCGTTGAGAATGATTTCGTCTCCCGATTGCCAGTGCCTTGTGACCCCGTTGTTCCACCGATATACCAACATAGTTGCCGCTTCCCCACTGCAGTTGAGATTGCTGGTTTCATCACTGTGCGTAAGCTGACGGTTTCGAGCTAAAGGTCCCAAGCATCTTGGGAAGAGAGTGAGCTCGCTGAGGGCCGATAAGCTCCACACCATCCTAAGCTTACCTACCTCACCCACGGACATGTTTTGCAGACCTCCGGAACCCAACGGCGCTATAACACATAGTAGGTAATCTCGCTGGTGTATCGGCCAGTCTCCAAGCGTCCTGGAGATGATCGTGGTATGTCTGGGCCACTCTCTAGACGACAGTGCTTGGAAGACCTGTACCTTAGGAATGTTTTGGGGTAACTAAAGGTAAGTTTCAGTGATCTACACTCCGAACCTAATCTATCACAGCGCCGACAAAACATGATTGTGTCAGATTATGACGCCATTTACATGATGGACCGCAGCGGTCCGGCCGATGTCGGTAAGGCTGTATCACTTGAATGAGCATGGCCGTTAGGCGAGAAAGCGAGAACTCTAGTGATTCACGGAACTAGCTATGTACAGGGGCTCGCACAAAGACGCAAGGTCGATGAAGCAGTGACGTCAATCTTCATCAAAGACCCCTGCGTGCGTGTTTCGCGGAACTGCGGCTCTGATAGATGCCGATGCTTAAACTTTCACTCTCTGTTCTGCAATCAGCACATTTCGATGCATCTTCATCACGATTCATATTCATGTCGCTGCATTCGACTCAGTTCATTTCTCTGGTTGTACTCCGAATTCTTGATCAGGTCGTCACATCTGCTCCATAAGATGATCCGAATTGCCGTCCAGAAAGGCTATCGTGCACACATTCTGCGCCCTACATTCTGACTCCTTTTGAAATTGCCTCAGCTTTCTTACGCTGACGCTCGTCCTCTGCCTCCTTGGCCTCTTTCTGGATAATGTCGATATCCTCAGGGTGCCTCTGGATCTGCGCCCTGATAATGCCAATCTGAGAGCTGATAGTAACAGCTTGATTGTCGTGAAGGTAGATGATAGACTGGAGCGCCTTTGCTGTGCGGGAATGAGCGGCTTTCTCTTGGGCGAGTTCCGCTTCGAGGCGAGCGACTGGATCGTCTGCGTTGTTGGGGAGAGACATCGTGAATCGTGAAGCTTGGTGTTGATATTAGCGATCGCTTCCGAATGGAGTGCTAATGGAAGAGGTACATGGAGTTTTGGACGGGGTCTGAGCAGCGGCGGGCAACTCGTTGCTGGCAAGAGCGGTTGTGGTACTTCAGCAATTGAGCCAAAAGACGAGGTGGCAGAGAAGAGCGAGAGAAGTTGGGTGTGCAGACTGTGCTTGCGGTGTAGCGAGGCAAGGTTCTCTGATCTTAATCGGCAGGCGCGGGACTGTTTATTTGTTTGTTTGTTTGCTCGCAGGCGTGACCTGGGTATGCGAGTGAAGGAGCATCCGGAAGGGGCGTGTGTGCATTTTCCGAGCTACTCCAGACATTTGACGAGGCGCAGAATAACCTTGTCTTGAAGTCCAGGGAGGGTGATGCTGATCTAGGCAAAGACTTTTACCATGTTCTGATTCCACGTAGTGTTTCCCGAGAGACAAACTTCTTTGTTTGTCAGGGAGATATAGGACTGACAAGTAGACAGGCTCCAGAACTCCGCAGATACACGGTCAACTCCTTGTAATGCCTCCGAAAACGCGCCCTTTTTCTCTTATCGCAAAGAAATGGTGTGGATCAGGAATCATCACACCAAATAGTCGAGCTGCTTTAGCTAGAGCATCACCAAAGCTGCCCACTAGCTCGTGAGTTGCCCTAGTCATCAGCTAGATGGTGTATGCTTGATCTTAAGTATATCCAAGCTAACAATATTGGTTTGCTAGTCCATTGGAGAACTATTTCTCATCAAAGACAGTCCGCTCTGAGATACCCAAGGCTGCAAAGAATAGTCTTCAACAATTACACGAGATCTTCAACTCTGGCAACCCAAAGGCTACGAAATCGAGTCTGTCGGATATCGTTCTCATTGCTCTCGACTTCGAGAACACACAAGCCATGAAGGGCGCATGTACTGTCGAAACAAACTGTCAAGCAGGTATCGCCATTCTTGACACAAAGAATATCAAGCAACGGCAACTCGACAAGCTCTTGAGAACCCACCTGTTTGTTACAGGTACAAGAGCCTACGTTACAAAAGCTTCGGATAGATACTGGTTCGGAAAGACTAACAGCGCTTCGCTGTCAAAGCTAGTGAACTGTATTCGATCTCTTGTTCCTCCGGAGCGAAAGGTAGCCTTTGTGGGCCATGGGATAATGAATGACCTTCTCGTCTTGCAAGCACTGGGCTTTCAGTTTTCCGACAACCACATGGCATTCATGAACACTCTCCATGTTGCTAATGAGGTGTTTGGCTGCTGGGCAGGGCCTTTGCGTGATCTATTGAGAAAACTGAACTGCCCACATAGCAGACTTCACTGCGCTGGTAATGATGCGAACTTCACTTTGAAAGCGCTACTGCTTTTAGCTGCGCAAAAGCTTGAGAAAGAGGACGGAGACAAAAGCATGATAGATGTACTGCGGCGGCTTGGGCGAAGAGAGCTACCACGTCGCATATTCTCGCAGGTAGAAGGAAAACCAACAAAGCAGTAAAAACGATGTTCTCGGGACTGGGAAGACGACCTGTGTCAACGGTCACGGCTATGCTTACGAGTGCCTTCTTTGTATTGTGTTACTTAGGTGACCACCTCTAGAAGCTTTTTCGGACAGCCACCGTGTTTGAGAAAGGAAGCGGGCAGGAGGAGGGGTGACCAAATCGTTGATCATAAATTGTACAACAGCAATGGATAGAACAATATAGGGGCAATTGGTGGCAGCACGAAGTTGAAGTAATTCATCTAGCACAGACATTGCGAACTATGTGTTACGCAGTGAGCTTAAGGAATACATGAGGGCATTCAATCTTTCCATTGACCAAGCCAATCTGATGTTGCAGTAGACAGTAGACTATCGATAGCACTGATAACCAATTGACTTATGGCGTCGAAGCTCTCGGCACAACAGCAAAGAGCTTGTTGAACATGTTCTGTGGGTCATACTTGGCCTTCAACTCTTGCAAGCGCTCGTAGTTGTTACCAAAGACGTCCCTAGACTTCTCTTCATATTCTGTCTGATGTCAGCATATCTCTTAAGAGCGATGAATATAGAAAAATAAACTGTAGCAGATACTTACGATCATAGTTACCATACACCATCGTCGCTCCATGACTGCCTCTCTTTCCAATCCACCCGTCCTTGTTCTCGCTTGTCTCCGCGCCGCTACGCTGGAGTTCCTTCTTGAACAACAGCGCCACGTCTCTTGACCACTGCCTACACTTTGGGTCATTCTTCTCGTCCCACCACAACGGTGCAACAGCTACATTGAAATGTCGTCCTCGGTTCGCGAAGGCGGTGTCAGAGTTGGTGACTGCAACAAGCTTGGCTGGATCAACCAGCTCCCACATGATCTGGGAACCCATCGCATCGGGTGTCTCGTCAGTAAACTTGGCATACGCTTCCATAACAGACACAACGAAGTCGCCTCGAACCGGAAGCTCAAAACCAGCGCCTTTGATTGAGACACGTGCGCCGATAGGAAGGTCCATCAATTTGTTCGCCTTGGCGTAGGGCATCGTTGCCATGGTGCTCATCAGAGGCTCGAGTGCGACGACATCCTTGAAAAGCTCTTTGCCGTCTTCTTCAGATCCATGGTACAACGCTGCAACGAAAAACAAGACCTGGCCGTCAGCAGGTGGAGGCCTGACGAAGCCGAAAGCACTCGCAGCTTTGCCAGTCGCCTTTGAGTTGCCATCTGCATCAGGTGTGAAAATATCATTGCAAGCTTCTACAGCCTTCTTGATGATGTCCGGTGTTGGCGCAAACATCATGAAGCCGGCCCACAGGTCTCCTGTTTCGTGGGTACGGAATTCGAATTCGACGCCGACGCCAAAGTTCTGTCCTGCACCACGCAGAGCCCAGAAAAGGTCTTGGTACTCGTCATTAGAGGCTTTGACAATGCTGCCGTCCGCCAAGACGACAGTGCAAGAAATGAGATTGTCAACAACCAGGCCGTGTTTGACTGTGAGCCAGCCATAGCCGCCACCAAATGTGAGACCACCGACGCCAGTATCCGAGACAGTGCCGCCAACCGTTGCAAGGCCATAGGGTGCGAGAGCTTCGTCAACATCACCCCATACCGCACCTCCACCAACTTTGATGGTCTTTCCCTCAACATCGACCTCAGTGGTTCGCATGTGCGTATTTAGATCGATGAGTAGTCCACCGTCCGTTGACGACGCGCCAGCAGTAGAGTGGCCGCCTCCCTTCACAGCAATATCTAGATCCTGTTCCGATGCATATTTTAGCGTAATAGAAATTGCTTCTGCAGATTTTGGGATGAGACATGCTCCCGCGGGTTTCTCGGCGGCCTTTGACCAGCGTCGTACAGATTTCGTGTATGCTTCAGTTTCCTTCGATGTCACCAACTGTGCGTCAGTATCTTTGAGCAAGCCTCGAAGCTCTGCGACATCTGCTTCGTTGATCGAGCGTTTGGCTGCCATCTTGAGATGGTGTGAGGTCGAATATGGTTGCGATTAGATAAGACGACGACCAGATGAAGATGCAAGATGCATACTTATACCATCGAATCTAATGGTACGCAAACGCCGAGCAGTAATCTAGATATTCTGGTCTTGAACAGTCCAGAGCGCGTCGATGCGGTTTGGGGCGTAAGCTTACCAACAAGGCAGCCGTCAGCAAAGTAGAGACATGGCGAATGGCTGACACCGACGCTCAGTTAGTGTTTAGGCTAGCAGCGCCGTCCGCTTTGGCAAGAAGCTGAAATAAAATAGTCTTGATGAATGGATCTTCTCCATAACGTCGGACGGAACTTCGTCCACACGTATAGTCAACCACGATTGGTTGTGGTTCCTACCCTGATCTCTCATGATCTGAAACATGTGAGCTGTTCTTGCGCGTAATACTCGGCTGGCGTTCAATCTGTTGGCAAGGCTATATCATACATCCTCACACCCGGTGGCCTAGCTGTCAATGCAGTGCGCTCAGAAGGTATATCTTCCCCATTCTGACGTGTGATTTGAGTTGGCGTTATCGGTAGGTTGCGATGCACGAAGCTTCAATTCGGTGCAGTAATAACCGGAATCTAGTAAGCACGCTTTCTGTAAAGGTTGAGCGAGGTGACCGGTCATGAAGGTACGCATGAAGAATGAAATGGATGTCAAGAGTGGCAGGGGGCCCAGTTCTGCCAATCGCGGAGTGTTTCGCAGAGATGACGCGCATTTGTGGGGTAGCAAACAGATCGGCAAACCTTGTTTCGTCACATCGTCGCGTTCGCTACACGCGTGTCTTCCTGCCTTCTCTTCTCAAACTCCTCTGTTGCATTAGGCATCGTATCCACTCTTTGACCTCGCTGTGTCATTTTGCTCTTGTCGCCTCATAATCATGGCTCTTCACTATGTACGATACCAATAATTCCAAAGTTGTGTACTATCCTCACCTGCGAGACTCCCTCAAAGATTTCACAAATGACCAACGACCCCTCGTACGTCCAAAACGAATAAGGATGCGATGCGAACTTGTTCTGCCTTAATCTTGGATATACACAATACTGCAATACAAGCTGCGTACGCCTCCAGGTTGGCGCGTTGTAGGTCAGCCCAGCGCAAGGATATGACCCGACCGGAGCTTTCTGTTCGTATCTATCATGCGCGGGCTGACCATGACCGATGGATGCTTAGAATGCGTTGAATGTGAGAACATTACACACATGTTCCTGATGGTGGGCTAGGAATCTAGAACGGAGACATGGCTGTGTAAAGACGATGTCTTCCCGCACAATTCATGCTTCGAGCGTCTGTCGAAATGCTGCGAGTCTCTCCAGGAATAGTAAGTATGATCCAATTCATACAGACATCTTTTCATCGCACAGCGCTGTGTACGCGAGATAGATACGATCTTTTCAGGCCTTCATCATGTCCGTCTATTCATCATTCTTTTTCCCCATCAATACTGTGTGTAACTCGGCGTACACCGTCGTTCTCGGATGACTCGACGATTTGGAGTATCGTGTCAAGGACAATGCACAGCCAGCCTAGGAAAGCCCGATTCAAACTGACCTCCAGATTTTCTTTTGGCATCCATTGGCGACCATCACTTTACTGTATGTTCAAGTCAATGTCCAAGAGACAGCAGAACTACGTGTATGGCGATATCGTCTCCGTAAGTCTAAAATCATGCGGCAAGCTTTTGCAGGCCTGCCTCCAGTTAGCTGTTTTGCGACGCCTTCACCAAGACAAATTTGCTTTACGCACCACCACCGGTGGCTTCCTCAATCGATCCCCCGAATTAGGATTTCTACCGTAGCTTTTACCATAAGTTGGAGAGACAGAGCTTACTGCTATCCGCCTATTGCAATTTCGAGGGCCGCATGCCGCCTCTACCCACCGTTGCCTACGACATCTCAACCAGACTTCCGACTTATCGCTTCCGCTCGCAACGACGAACCCTAATAGCACTGCCGGCAACTCAGAAGGCACATCGGATTATTTCGCGACCCAGGGACATCTACGCATGACATTGAACCCCGCAGCCCTATCTTAGCGTTCTAACTGTCTTCACCTTCACCCGACGCGCCCGACTCCATATTCACTGCGAATTCGACTATAATATTGAGACTAGCGCCAAGGCTGCAATCGTTCCTACCTCTACTCGCATTTCCATCACCGCTACATATCGCACCTTGTCTACTCGCCAAATCACTATCTTGCGATATCATCGCAAACATTGCACATCATTCTGCCGCACATTGGTCGCGCATCATTATTCCATACCAATTTCCACATACCCACAGCGCCCCTACAGTCATGTCCCCCATAGATAGCTCCTCGCAGGATACTATCTCGAGCGCCATACCCGCGAAGCCATCAGTTCCGATGCCAGAAATTCCTCAAGAGGCTGCATCGCCGCAGGTATCATTGGCCGATGAGAACATTGCCCTTAAGAGGCGCATTGCCGCGCTCGAATCAGCAGAGGAGCGCCTTACGAAACGAGTCACCACCGCCGAACAGCTTGCTGTAGATGCCAAATTCGAGACGAACGCAGCGGCAGCGCGCGCCCAAAAAAGGTATACAGAGATGCTACACGCCAACAACGAGACAAGACATCTTAGGCTAGTGCTAGCAAAGGAGAAGAAGGAGCGCGCAGACTACCTAGTTGGCTCCAAGAGCGTCTTCCAAGGTTTGCAAGCCGAAATCTCTCGCCTGAATGAGGACAAGGCGGCGGGAGTTTGGGCGAAAGAGCTCACAGAGCAGCTCACTAAGCAGATAGATATATTTGAAGCTGGCTTTGTTGCAGGTGAGCAAGACAAAAAGGCACTGAACAAGATTGTCAGCGATTTGAATAAGACCATCGCCCAGCTTAAAGGCGAGAAGGACGTTTCCGACAAGATGCTGAACGATTTGAAAAAGCTTATCACGGACTTACGACAAGAGCTTGACACAGAGAAGTCGAAATCGAAAGCCGAGCCTAACGCGCTCGCCAAGGAGCAAATCGAGGCTCATATCGCGACTGCCAGAGATGAAGCGAACAAGGAAGCTGCAACGAAAACACAAGGTAGTATCGACGCGATGAAGACGAGTATGAAAGAACAATTCGAAACAGCCATCAAGAACCGTCAGATGCAGATGCAGGCGCAGGTGCAGCAGTACCTAAAGACACAAATGGAAAAATGGCGCGTGACGGAGCAACGCTACAAGGATGACATAGCAGCATTGAAATCGAAACTGTCCGCCGCCACTAAGCAGATCGAATGGCATGGGCAACGCCTGGCGGCAGCACCGAATGCTATTCAACACAGTCATCAGAGGCCTACTAAACACGCCCAGGAAGTCTCGCCACAAGAGATGTTCAAGCCCAGCAAGCGTAGGAGGCTTGATTCCTTTGGGTGAGCTAGGTACTACATACAAGAGTGTAACCATAACTGACATAGACAGCGCTGCCGGTATCACCACGCCGGATTTTCAACATACACGCTCGGCTTCCCTCCTCTCCGATACTAACGCTATAAGCCCAGGACTAGCGGTGGATACGAACGATGATGCCATGATGGGTGGCGCACACGTTCGGGCACAGGCTCAGACACCGAACAACATCCACAGGCGACAGTCGTCGCAGCACTCAAATGGCTCAGCGGCTCGGATGACGCCCACGAAACGCCTCTCACAGCAGCAGAACGGCAAATCGTCTCCTCAGCAACTACTGAACATGATGTCACCTCAGCAAGGGCAGCAACTCTTTCAACAGATAGCTTCGAACGATGCGAGCCGTCAGTCGCCTACATCCGGTTCATATGGCCCCGACCCGACGTATGCATCTCCTCGTCTCTCGCAACAAACGGGATATAATCAGCAATCGATTAACCAGCCTGGAAGCTCAGGCTTGTTTAAGGCACAAGACTTCGAGACACATCAGTCGCGACGGATGCGCCAACAATCTCAGACACAAGCCCAAGCACAGAACTCAGAGTCAATGCAGCATCACATGCAACCTAGGCAGCCTTATGGTTCAGCCTCTATGATGCCACCGCCCCAGCCTCGCACCATGCAAGTCCCTTCGAAGCGCTCAATGTCATTCGACGGGCAACCTCCAAGCATGAACCAGGAGGCGAGTAGGCGACATGCTCCCACCATCAAGGACACGCAGGCCATTACTGCTTTCAATGGCGGAGCCTCTCTTATGGGAGAGACATACTATGGAGATGATTGGTTTTCTGCTGGGGGCGAGCCTGCCATGCGAACTCATATCTCGAGGGCCTACACTCCGACCCTTCCTTCGAACGCGACGCCAGACTTGCAGGAAATCGATCACCGACAACCCCAGCAACGCAACTTTCAGTACTACACTGTCGATCCTTCTCAATTACAGATGGGTAATGAGAGGGGCCTGTCTTACGAGTCCAACACCACGAATGAGCCTAACAATTACATGAACGATACACGACAGCCTTCAGTTTCAGGACGCACGACTCGGGCTTCTTCTCGCTCTATACCCGCACCCGATGGACGCTCGCGTGGACGGACTCCAGGTCCCTCTGAGCCAACCAGTGTTCCGTGTGTAAACTGTTACCGTCACTGGTGGGAGAACGAGTGTGATGAAGGTGAACCATGCTCGAACTGTGCTGCAGAAGGCCTTGACTGTGTGCGGCAGAAGTGCTTCAACTTTGCTGCTGGCACTTGTGACAAGGGCAACAGATGTCCAAACGTCCATGAGGGCGACGAGCGATATCGAGATAACAGTCGACTGGTTGACCAAACCAAGGCAGGTAAGCGGCCTCAACGGGTTGGAAAGAAGGCGGATGCGGTGCCGGCGCCGATCACGAGGCAGCAGAAATAGGAAGCTGTAGAGCTATTTGCCCTGATGTATGGTTAGAATGTGTTGGCTTACAGCTGTATATGGTGGGATCCAGGAAGCTCAGGGCGCTCGGCTTCTCTTATCGTCCTTTCTGATAGTCGTCGCGCTTGCTTACTCTTACGGCGATCAAGAGTAGGATATACACGACTTTTGAAATATAACCCAGTATTACTGGTTTACCCTACCCAATCATCCGCTGTGAGCTGTCTGGGCTACAAGCACGAGTCCAAGACTACCAAAACAAAAACATTGAAGTGAACCTTATTAGCTGGACAATGGAGCTACAAAGTGGAGATGAACGTGCTCGATGAAATAGCGAAGAGATGGATAAAGAGAACAAGGATCGTAATAACGAAGCTATTGACTACCTAGTCGATTAGGTGTATATGACCACACTTGATTCGCAGAAATCATCTCTCGGATCTGGACTTCCTTGAAGTCAGTACGGACAGTGGGGTGACCTCGTTCTCAAGTAGAATGGGGGATACAACTCTGGAGACTTTGCAACGTTGTAGGCCGGGCCAAGACTCCGTTCCCGGTCACGTGCTAGCGATAAGCATCTCCAGTGGTGCAGGCCAAGCGGCGGTACTGCGGATGTCACGGCCTCGGCTACGGCAAGCGCTCCTGGAGAGATGAACAGTTTTCCTCGTTCTTTTGTGGAGTCAGCAAAGATCCAAAAGCTATTTCTCTCACCGCGTTTGTGTTACAACCCTTGTGTCAAACCTCGATATGCGTGTGGAGTTCGCGCACTCGGGCGGGGCCGCGAGATGGGGACTACGCCAGTGGCGCAAAAACACTAATCCAAACATATCCTAGTTTATCGCGCATTCAGGGTTTTCTAGCTCCACTCCACATTATTCTTTCACCAAGCTCCGCTTGGCTATAGCTTGCATATCTTATCCGGGTATCTCCCCAATCATTGGTACTTTGATTCACGCGGCACATCCATCGCGACCATGATCCCTCCGACCTTTCGCACCATTGGAGGCCTAGGCTCGAGGCGCACCCTCTTTGCATCTATTGCTGGGAAGTTATCTCCGACCATGACGAATCCCTAGGGCACGCTAAGCGACTACTACCTGGCTGATAAAAGCTTTGAGTCGCGCAATGCTGGATGCTGAGTTTCTCGTGCCATTTTAGTCGTTGCCTCAAATCGATTGCTCAAATATGGCATCAAACGAGCCTGGCCTTGCGCCTCTCAGCGCGCCAGCTGAAGACCCCATCAAAGGTGCTATTGGTGTACCTGTCGATACCGACACCCCTGTCGCACCCGACCAGTTCGACGAACGTTACGAAACATCGAAGTGGGAGATATGGTCGTATTACTGGTAGGCTGATGTTCCAGCGCACAAAATCATTTGAAGTGCAGTCTGTCAACTGTGCCATAGCTGACATTGAAACCCGCGTCTAGCTACTACGTCGGAGACAACGGCCTCACGCTCTTCAACTTCGGCCCTACAGCTTTTCAGAACCTTATGTACGAAGCGGCAGGAGACTCTGAGGTGCTGCATTTCTTGGGTCGAGATCGAAACATCAATTCGATCGTGCTTCTCTCCAACGGAATCAGTTTCGCCATCCAGGTTGTTGTTTTCCTCATCCTGGGTTCTTTCGCAGATTTTGGTACATGGCGCCCCAACATTCTCATAGGACTGTCCATCATCGCCTTTGGAATTGGGTTTGGCTGGCTCGGAGTTCATACTGAAGACAAGTGGCATGCTGGTGTTGGTCTATACATTGTGGGCCTCATCGCATACCAAACGACAATCACATTCTGGACCGCTGCATTCCCTGGCTTGGCAAGGAACACCAAGGATCTACGAGAGAAGGCCGAACAGTTCGCCGATGGAACAATTACTCGCTCGGAGTATGATTTCGCGGATATGATGAAGCGAAACGAGCTTTCTAACACAGCGTTCTATGTTCAGTCGGTCTTCGAAATCTTGATTCTGGCAGTAATTGTTGGCATCATGTTCGGTCTGAAAGTCAATGACAGCACAGAGAATAATAACTGGGGTCTTTCAGTGCTCATCGCCTTCGCAACAGGCGTTTGGATTTTGTGCGCTCTTCCTTGGTTTATCCTAGAGAAGAGGCGGCCCGGTCAGGATCCAGGACGCGCAAACATAATACTAGCAGGTCTCAAACAGCTCGGCTACGCGATGCGTCAAATCTGGCAACTGAGACAAAGTTTGGCATATCTGGCCGGCTACTTCCTCCTCGGCGACAGTCTTAACACAACCGTAACAGTCATCGGAACCCTACAAAATGAGATCGTTGCGTACAACAGTCTTCAGCTTACTTACCTTCTCATTGTCGGTATCGCTGCACAGGCAGTTGGCATCGGCGCCTTTTGGCAGATCCAAAAACACTATGGTCTCTCCACCAAGACCATGTTCATGGTTGTCGCTATATGTATTGTTCTGCTTGACGGCTGGGGCATGATTGGCATTTGGACGCAAAAGTTTGGCTTCCACAACAAATGGGAAGTATGGCTATATCAAGTCTTTTATGGCTTGCTTGTCTGCCCATGGTACAGCTATTCGCAGACCATGATCTCTGAGGTCACACCAAGGGGCAAAGAATTTCTTTTCTTCAGCTTGTTCTCCATCGTCGGCAAAACAAGCGCTTTTATTGGGCCACTGGTGAGCTCTGCCATTATCGATGATACCGGCAACAACAGTAGCCCGTTCTATTTCTTGTTCGCGTTGAGTCTGTTCAGCTGCGCATGGCTTTTCTTCTTCGTTGATGTTAAAAAGAGTCGAATTGAGCAGGAAATTTTCCTGGAGAAGGAAAAGAACGCAAAAATGCAGAACGAGAATGTTGGGGATCTTAGCTAAATCTTCCCTATAATAATGGAATATATTGCTAGAAAGAAAGGCTATTTCTTCGGTCACTTTTGCTCAAGCTTGTTCGGAAGCAGTATCACTAACGATACATATGTGAGTATGTCACATTGCGTCGTGTGATTATATCTTCGCCCAAGCGGAAAGACATTGTCCGTTCACAACGCCATGTCACAACCCTACAGTTAGTTGGAATCGGACTATATGCAACAAACATATTTTCCCCTCGTCAACATCATTGATCCCTTAGCTCAGTCTCACGTCTGGATCACATAAAGATACTGCACTAGTCAAACATAGCACAGACAGCTTAATAACAACCATAATTCAACATGGCTATCAAAGTCTCCTCCTGGTTCAAGGGTCGCTTCGGCCCACCATCGGATACTTATGTCACCAACGAAGACGAGATTGTTGGTCTTGACCACATCATGGATCTTGAACATGCAAATACAGAAGAGAAGATGTACAAAAAAAAGTACACGCAACTCCGTAAGCAGGTTGACGAAGACGAGATCTACAACAATCTCCGGACTGATAATGCTTCCCTTCGCAATGATAAGAAAGAGCTCGAGAATAAGCTTATACGAATTGAGAATGCGAAGCTAAGCGCGGAGGTACAACTCATGAGGCGCGAGAAGGAACTTAACGATGTCAAAGTAAAGAACAGCATCGAGAGGGGCGCCAACAACGCACGAAACGAAAGGCTCAAACTAGACAACAGAACGCTCAGGAACAATGAGGGACATATGAAGTTTCTGCTTCTTTCTCACGATATCCGAACGCCAACCCTACCCATTACATCAAGGGCTACACCACCCCCTACCCCGGAGCTCACAGACGATGATTCTGATATGGACGATGCAGACGATCTTAGCGTCTGTCCAGAGTGGTATAATCGCCGTGATTGCAGCCGGGGTGTTGGTACTAGGTCTAAAAAGTGCGAGCGCGGTGCACATCCTCATCTTATCAACTTCCGTACACCGCTGAGAGCGGCCTTCTAGCGTGATCAGATGCGATAGCAAAAGCAGAGGTAGTTACTTGTTCCAACGACTTCTTTCAATGATGTGTGAAGAACCCTTTGTGCGCCATGTGTCTTGCAACTTGTACAATGTAGGAAAAACATCCTTAGAGAGCTGGAAATCTGCTCTGCATTTGACAGGATAGATGATTCTTTTTCTCGTAGAACAACAACAACAAATGACTAGCCATCCTCTCGCTGCTCTAATATCTCTCTAATCCTATCTTCACTTGGAAAACGAACCTCCTTCTCCGCAAACATATCGAGCAACCCTTGCACCTGTCTCACTTCGTCTTCAGTCACTTCCTTCAATCGACGATTAATTTCCGTGCCGAATTGGTCCTTGAAGCGTGTGAAAGTCGAGGACTTTTCTTGAAGATACTGGCTGTTGTTGATCTTCAGAAAGCTGATGAAGACGTCCCACCAGGTGTGCGAACGCTTCGGTGTACTGGTGTCTTCTAGTTCATGGGCTCTTTGTGATGACGCTCTGCCAGTACTGTCGAGCATGCGTATAAGCTCGTACACGAATGAACGGTCTGCACCTTTCTCCTTTTCATTGGTATTCAAGCTTGCACGGTTAAAATCAATCAAGACAATAGTAGGCATTGTGAAATCGGGCCCCTTGTCCCAGCTAGACAAGTCGAGCATAACGTTCCCGCCAAAGACGTCGTTATGAGCGATGTTGGCGATGTCGTGCAGCCACCCGACTGCTCCTGTCAACTGCTTCGCAATGTGTAATACGAACACTTCCGGGATCGCAGGGAAGGAGAAGCTGTAAGTGACAGAGTTCGGTGAAGAAGGTTTTATTGTATGGGTAATTACGACCCGGAGTCGCTCGAGGTCGAAGCCACGGATAGGATGAACTGCTAGCCAGCGCGACCCGCCGTTTACTATTGGGTCAAAGTCGATGAGGTTAGGCAAGTGTTTTACAGTAGTTTTGTTATCCTCTGCGGCGAAAGAGCTGCGTATGCGCCTCAGGGCAATGATCTCAATGGCTATCCTGTCGTGAAACATTTCTCGACTAGCTATCTTCATAGCTACAAGGCCTGGGCCTTGCGCTGTGAGATTCGTCATAAGAGGGCTTGCGACTAGAGAGGGCCTGCGTGCGCAAAATGTGACTTGTCCATTAGTACCCTTACCTGCTTCCTGTAGTGAAATGTACTTATTGTTTGTGTTTTCATAGATCGAATCAGGATCCATCTCGCCGCTGGATAGCACCGTAGAGGTATCTGATCGCTCGTCGTCTGCGTCGGTAGAAGACCCGCTCGAAAGTAGAACTCGAAGCCAACACATTGGGGGTTATTAATAACTGACTCAACAAGCATGGGCGCTAGGATAAGTTCTAGACTTAAGATAGTGAAAGAAAAGGAATCATGTGATGAGACACGTAGCAAACAGCATCGGAAAGTCTTCTGACTTGGGACAACGAAATCATTAAGAATGTCTGTAGAGCGTTTGGACGCATCAGCATCATATCACTAGGCCCCAATGCGCCTTATACCAGTTGAACCAATGATGTACACCCAGCAGTGTTGTGAGTAGAGAATTGCAGAAATGATCGAATCAGGATTGGAAGAGACAAAACTCTATCGCCCTGTGACATCCAATACGCCCTGATGGTATCCTCTTATGCTGTACTGTACACATCGCATCACGGGCGACCATTTTGTACTAATACACACTGTTGACTTGCTTGCGGTAAGCACTGTCTAGCTCTGAAAAATGTAATATCGAAGCGAAAGGATCGAACTACCGCCGTGAACGTTACGTCGCGTTACTAATCGAGAAAAGTCGCAATACTCTCTGGAAGACGCCATTGGAGTCTCTAACAGCCGAATTTAGCGGGATGTTTTGTGGAAGCCAGTGGCCAACCGATGGTGGGTGAAGCAGCCAATGCGCTTGCTTCAACGTCCGAGATGTGCAGTTCGCGTTCCATGCAGCTGATTCTCTCAGGGGAATTTTGGGTCGAACTCTGTAGTATCCAAACCCCAAATCTCGATATCCTTTACGTCCTCCCTTCTCAAGACATCGATTTTCCTTTTTGGTCCAGCTCTTTTAGCATTCATGCTCTTCTCGTTATCATTTGGCACCGGTTCTTTACCCTTTGGAGGGAAATAGACACCGCCTAATTTGAACACAATATTATCGCCGTAACCAATGTACTTGACGTTCTTGTACTCCGGTCGCCAAAATTCTGTTGCAAACGCAAACGCGTGCATCGTGGGATCCTCATCGTCTCCCATCGGGTCGTTTGTGTCGTAAGTTGGACGGGCTAGGAAACGGACGGCCCATAGCTTAGGAACTAGGGTAAAGACTTGGCGTAACGACTCGAGGGGTGGGACACCGCAAGCGAAACCGAGTTGCTCCAGGTTAGGACATAGCTGGCAAAGTCTGAAGAGGGCATCATCAGACAGTACCCAACGTTCGTTAAGAAGCAGATGCCGGATGGTCTTATTATGATTGGTTTGAATGACCGCAAGGAACTCGCTTCCGAGGCTGCGGCAGCGTTGCTGGGTCATGCCGTTAGGGGTGTTGCTTGCGCTGGTATTGCAGTTCACGCCCGGCGTCATAGTGGACGGTGTCGTAGGCGTCGCGGCTGTGCTGTTTGACTTGGGAGATGCTTCCTTGCCTCGCCTATTATTCACGATGTACAGTCGCTCCAGACCCTTGAACTTCCCCAGCATGGTAACACTCTCTTTGTCCGTGTTATCGGTGCGTATCATCTTCAGGTTACGAGGCGTCGGATGGTTGTTGTGTACCCTCCAAGAATCGTCAGCAAAAACCGTCATAGGGTCGGAACTGCCCATGGAATTGATCACGGTGATCTCTGTTTGGCAGTCGTGATTCATAACGTTGTGAAAGTCGTCGCCAGAGAATCGAGTATATACGTTGTATATGGCCAAGCGCTTAATGGAAATCGCATATCTCGCAGCGATGCACCGACCGAACATCGAGTGCAGGCTCACTGACTCTTCGCCTTCAGCCCGCATACGCGGACTCCAGTGTAGCTTCAGGTTCTCGAGCTTCTTGGAACCGGCTAGAAGCAGCGATATGTCGTCGGGATAGCATAGTGGATCGATGTCGTACACAACCAGCGTGGTCAAATTCGGAAGCGGAGGTATAATGGTAGTCGGTCGCGGTGTTCGTCGTGACGGGCATCGAATGGTGAGCGACGCTAGCAATGTTCTTGTCGTAATGCCTTGGTATACCGTACTCAACGGAGGGGTGCTCAGCTCCCAACTATGCACATCAGCAACTGTCCTATATGGCTCTGACACGTGACGTACGCAAAAGCCTTGAGATTCTTCATTTTGTCAAGCGCGGCACGCATGACGATTTGCAGTATCATGCTGTTGTCTGGCACGCGACCCTGTTTATAGTCGTCGACATCATGTTCTCGCCAGTCGCCTATGACACGAAACGATTGTATGTAGTCGCTGAAGTTCCGCGACACCAGTGTGTTGAGTCCCATGGCAAAAGGGCTGCCATTGCCGTATCCCTCCGGTCTGCCATCGACGTATCGTATGTCGGCGTATGAACGTAGCGTAACTTTCTCGTAGAGTCGCGGGAGCGTCATGTAATAGAAGAGACGCGATGTGCGCGTGATGCGCGCAAGGTCACCGACATCGTCCAGCTTCCATGGTTGTCAGCATAGCTCCCTAGGGGCCGTGGTCGCATGTAAACTGGTCGCATGTGAATGCACAGGGCAACGTACATGTGTGAGGATCAGCTGAATCAGATGCAGCGGGAGCTCTTTCGCTTGCGCAAGGTTGCTATGCGATCTCGCGGGCGAAGTGAACCATGTATGAAGGGGAGCGGTTATAGGTCTATCTTTGGGTAGCAGCGCGTCGGCGGAGAGGTGCGCGCGCTTTGAGTCCGACATGAGGCTAAAGGAAGGGAACACATGCGTGATACGAATAGAGACTGGGTCGCGTTCTCATGGTGGAACTCGCAACATCATGGTGTATCATCCGCTGTCATCATCGCTCATCGGTCGTGTTCGCGAAGCGCATCGGAACTTTTGCTGGCAGAGCCTCCGTATCTCCGTTTCGTCCACCGAACGGCCGCATTGGTCCGGCTGCCTTCGGGAGGCTTCGGTAAACAATTGGCAGGATGATTGGCAGCAGGCATTTTATCGAGTCACATTTACTTCTATACGGCGTATACGGCCAGATTCAGACATCTCGCAAAACCCTACAGACTTGGACGCTTATTTTGGGTCCTGCTCACTTCTTTCCCGCTACGATGTGCGTGGGCACCTATGCACCAGCGCAAAGGCTACAAAAGCATACTGTGTGCGGAGTTGTCTCCGCTCGTTTGCTCGTTCACTACGGAACCAAAACCGCATGTCCAGCGCCCTTTTGTCACGCGCCCTTTTGTCCAGCGGTTCCGCCGGAAAGTTGGACGTCTTTGGAGTCACCGCCAGCGACCAGCATCATGGCGATCTGAGTGCCGCTTATCACGGACTGAAGAACCAGGGTCGTTTACCGTCGTACTTGTCCGCGGGAAGTCTGAAAGGAACTTCGACCGTGCCTGCAAACACATCCATGGATGGCAGTCCGCCCTGTTCGAGACTCTGGAGCTTGGCGTCTGGTACAGGCATGACGACACCACACTCCCAGTTCCTGATGTTCAGACTCCCTATTCGTCCGCTTTTCAGTACTTTCTGCCCTCCCCACGCTGATTCAGAAATGTTGGCAGACCCAACGTAAACCCACGCGAAAGGCTTCCCGTCCTTCTTGCGACCACGCGCAAACAGCAGTTTATTGTGCGATAGTATACCCCGTCGCATAGAGTCGTAGTCACGCATGCACTCTTTTGGGAATGTTGGTGCATTGTAACATTGAGGACTCAACGTGATGATACCTGCACATCCCGGACCTCCCATACTTTTCTCGACCGTGTCGTGGGTAGGAAAGTATATTCTAATGCTATTGCGCACATCGGCAACGAGCGCATTGTCTTTCGTAAACGATTCGCCACATGCAGCAAGGTGGATGCGTGACAGGAAGTTATCGTTGATGGCACCGAGGGAGGAAGCTGCGCAGTCCAGCTCAATGTGTTCGACATCGTCTAAATGCAGCTCCCGTATAGCCTGTGCAAGGCCAGGGAGACCTGTTGGATGATCTGTTTCGATCTTATGTGAACCACCACTATTTCGAATCAGTACGTACAATTAGCAAGCATACTAGGGGCCTTACATGGAGTGAACGAAGGCCAGATGGCTAGTCTGCGCAAAATCAAACTTTAGCAATCCGTCAACCACTTGTGGCCCAACCTCCTGTTTCTCTAAGAAATATAGCAGTTCGCGACCAAAAGCCGACAAGTCTCCCTTCTTGCTAGCAGTATCGTCGGGTCTCCGCGGAAGGTCAATCAAGAATACTGAGTTCTCCATGATACCGGGTTGCCAGTCGTTCGAAACTTCGCCCCAGTCGGTCTGGGTCATGTTCGCGGTTGGTATAGCAATGCGTAACTTGTGTTTCCCAAACAATAGCATGAACTTGCTATGCATGCTAGCAATCATGCCACCCATCGGTGGGAAATGCAGCTTCATGTTTGGCACACCAGATTCCTTCCATTCCTGAATGCGCTTTGCCTGTACGTCTTCGCCTCTGTATTTACCATTCATCAACCATATTTGTTTCACCTTCAATGGGTCAAGCTTCTCGTACAGCCATCCCGAGTCATATTGAAATGAGCTGATGACTGCGATGTTGACCGTTGACGCCTCAAGTAATTCGTCGATGGTGATGTCGTCGGTCCGTGGATATTTCGACGCGAATGTGCGCTTGATCGTCCCTCTAGGATATTGCAGTGGTGTTTCATTGAAGGCCGTCTTGACTGCAGGTGGTCTCGCAACCTGCTTGGAAGGTCTTTCGGGCGATACGTCGCGCTTTCGTTTACCAAGTCTTGCCAAGCGCTCCTGTTCCATGGCCTTTCGATCCATGCCCATGAGATCCGAAGTGTTGTTTAGAACGGCTGCCTTTGGAACAGTTGTCGCTGAGGACTGTTGAACGTCATTATTGCCGCTTTCCTGGAGTGACAGGGCAATCGCACGCCGGAGATCCTCATCCTCATTGTCATCGCTGTCAGATATGAGGTCGATAGGTTCGTTCTTAGCGATTGCTGTGGCGTCGCGAGTGGCCCGAGGCGAGACCTCTTGTAGTGACATTGCCATCGCCAGCTTGAGATCTTCATCATCGGACTCCATCTGTTTTGTGACCAAAAAAGCGGTCGTCGTGAGGATGTTGATGATTGAGTAAACAACGAGATCAATGCACGAATGCAGCCGCGGAGGCGAACGGACATGCGGGACCCTGGAAACGCGCTTTCACGTCAGCATGTGATCAAAGCTTGGCGTTCTCGACGCGTTGTAAGCACTGGCACAACAGCAGTGAGAACACGTCATGCATAGGAAATGTCTTATGTGATACCAAATATGAACTTGCTACGTTAAGATTCCTGTAGCATGCACTACTCCTCATTTGCTCTTGTCTTCCACAGTATTGTACACTCGCGTCACCTTGCAAAGCACCACGAAGTATCCCAGATCAGCCAGTATCCAAGTAACCATCATAACAATGTTGATGGGGGTGGTATAGTATCCATGCGCCTCCGGCCATACCCACCAGCAGTACCCATAGTTCAGAGTTAGCCCCGCCAGACTACCAATGAACCTTAACGCCCAAATCGTGTAGGACGACCCGCGACTGCTTTGTCTAACCATGATTTGCGCCAGTGACATGACGCTCAGAACAACCTGCGCGACCAAGGCCGTCATAAAGCCCAGCTCATCGGTGTCAATGCCCTTGACACCACGATATGCCTTTCCGACTTTCGGATTGACCGGGTTGACTGGATCAACCCACCAACTGCTCACAGCGTAAAGTGCAATGCACCACCACGCAAGCATGCCTGCAAATATCTTGCCCACGTGCCTGCCCACTGCAGGCGCATGTTTCCATTCATTCGCACCGTACTTGACAGCCGCGTAGACAAGACCGAGGTCTATGAGCATCCATATGGTAAACATAGTCTTCTCTCGAGGTTCTTCGGCAACGTAGAGGGCGAATACGATCTCCCAGGCGAAGTTGAAAGCGAGCGAAAAGAGGGGCATGGAGTATGTGCGGTCGCGGATGGATTGACGTGCCATCAGGACATAGCAGATGGTGTAGGTGATACCACCAATGCCCAGGAGTACATCGTTGACTTCGCGGATCGAGGGGTCGACATGAGGAGGTAGAACGTCGCTGCGGGCCATGGTTGCTGTTTGCTATCTGGAGAGAAAGGAGGAATAGCTATGCGACGGTCAGTTCTTCTTATGAGGGGTCAGGCCACCCTGTCAGCATAAGCTCTCATAGTGCGCACGGTTAGTTCGTTAAAGTAAGATGCCATTCGGAAGGGGCTTTCCGATTCCGAGCCTGCGCACACGAACGTAAGCCAACTCTTCATCCCCGTGTTCCGATGTCAGATACGCAATAACAAGAAAAATATCGTGTGAGTATCATCTTGGTTATGGCTGGTCGCATTTTATTTTCCAAACACAGCCTTTGAATGATCCTCGTTCGTATAGGTCCTAGCTATCCTCCATGAAGCGTAGACACGAACATGATGTGATCACCCTTTTGAACTTCGTACTTGTCTTCGCCCTCCAACTCCCAGTCTGCCTCGTTGATTAGAACTAGTATTCCAGGTCGCCTGGGGCTGTTGTTAATATGCTGTCGTAGTCTCAAAGTATAGACATACACCGTATCGTCAAGGACGAAGAGCTCTTTCCGCGGGTCTTTCATGACCTTGTCACAGAGATGTCTGACAAGGAACGCAACACTTGCTGGCTCACCCGACTCGTCCTTGGCCGGTAAGTCGAGGTCATACTTTTTCTGGTTGGCGAACAGGATCTCGAGCCCTCCACTGTAAAAACGTTAGTGAGGGGATACTGGCAAATATCAATTTCACCACTCGCCTAAATTCGATTGTTATCGGGACAGTGGCATCGTTCGACATCTCTGACTTCGATCACCTTTTAGATGATAAATGTTGCAAGATGCTTGGCTACTATTGAGACCGGATGCGCCTGCTCTGCAGTCCCCTCAGTCTAACGCAGCTAAGCGAGACTAGCGCCAAAGAAATCCTTACGGCGATGACTAGATGTGGTGCACGCGCATACACAACGCCTAAGCCGAACAATGAATGTATCTTCTGAATTCATCTCTGTAGGCGGAAACCGTAACCCCGCCGCCGCTGATTGGGACGAAGCTGGGTCGCAACTCCTAGCGTTCGGCGCAGACAACTGCATCGCACTATGGGATCCCCAGGTAAGTCGATACTGGCGTATGACGTACCCTTCACTCACCGAGATAGGATGAAAGTCTTCAGGGCGTTCAGGCGATTTTGAATGGACATACTAAGGCTGTCAACGCTGTCAAATTCTTTCCTACGCAATTGCCCGATATCTCGATCCTACTTAGTGGATCAGCAGACAGCACAATTCGGATATGGCGAGGCCGAAGAGGTGAACCCTTCGATTGCGTTAAGACAGTCTCCGGTCACATCCAGCCTGTTACTAGAATAGCCGTTCTGCCCGGTTCAGACACTCTTGCTACAGGATCTTCAGATGGCAGCGTCAAAATCTGGAAACTCGTTCACGATGCAGACTTCAACGACATCGATATCGAACTCGTGCAGACCATCACGCTTTCACCTAAGTACTTCCCTCTAAATCTAGCACTTGCAACCCTGGACGACACATCCGTGGTGCTAGCAGTTGCGGGCACTCGCGCTACCATCCAGATTTTCGTATCGCAAGAAGGCCAATTCCAGCTTTCAGCAACTCTAAGCGGACACGAAGGATGGATACGCGCGCTTGCATTCACCCGAGAGACATCCGATCCCAACAGCGATCTACTGCTAGCATCAGCAAGCCAGGACAAGTACGTCCGTCTTTGGCGACTTCATCGTGGCAACGAGCTTCCCGCTGCTAGTAGTGCACTCAACGATCCGGCTTTGGGTGGACTGGGCAAGGCGTTATCGAACAAGGCACATTGGATAAGTTCAGCTACATCGAAGCACTCTATCACATTTGAAGCTTTGCTACTCGGGCATGAAGATTGGATTTACCAGGCCTCGTGGCGACATCGCGAAGGAAAGCTGCAGCTTCTCACTGCTTCCGAAGATAACTCAGTTGCCATCTGGGAGTCCGATCCAAACTCTGGTGTATGGGTCTGTATCACTAGACTAGGCGAGATCAGCGCACAGAAGGGCTCAACAAGTGCTACGGGAAGTGCGGGTGGATTCTGGATCGGGCTGTGGTCACCGGATGGCAACACAGTGGTGTCTCTGGGACGAACAGGAAGCTGGAGGAAATGGACTTACTCATCCACAGAAGATATGTGGACACAGCAAGTCGCTATCACGGGTCATGTACGCGAGGTCAAGGGCGTTAGTTGGTCAAGAGATGGATCTTACATGCTCTCCACTGGTTCCGATCAAACGAGTCGGCTCTACTCACAGTGGAAACGGGACGGCGCGTCAGCTTCCTGGCACGAGTTCTCGCGACCCCAAATCCACGGTTACAATCTAAACTGTGTTGATGCCGTGTCCAACTCTCAATTCGTTTCCGGTGCAGACGAAAAGTTGCTACGCATTTTCGATGAACCCAGAGGTGTGGCAGACATGCTTGAGAAGCTCTCTGGTATCACGGCATCAACCACCGCTGAACTCCCAGATGCCGCCAACATTCCTGTTCTCGGCCTCTCAAACAAAGCTATTCAAGCTGTCGGGGATGATGATCCGGTGGAGAACGGCGATGAAGACGAGCGCGAAGCCGTTGACCCTGCTTCCGTAATCCGCAAATCTACACTGGAATTCTCTCATCCGCCATTCGAAGACCATCTTGCCCGCCATCTGCTGTGGCCGGAGACAGAGAAGCTCTACGGACACGGATACGAGATCTCCGCAGTTGCCGTAAGCCGAGACGGAAGTCTTGTCGCAACAGCTTGTAGAGCTAGTTCCATCGACCACGCCGTTATACGTTTGTACGATACGAAAGAATGGCTAGAAGTAAAACCCGCACTTAAGGCACATTCACTCACCGTTACCGCTCTGCAGTTCTCGCCGGACGACAAATATCTTCTTAGCGTTGGACGAGACCGACAATGGGTGATCTGGGAGCGCAGCGATGAGCCATCGCTGTACACGCTCAAGTACTCGAATCCAAAGGGCCATTCGCGTATGATACTAGGTGCTGCCTGGACACCTCTCGAAGTACCCACATTCATGACTGCTGGAAGAGACAAGAGTGTCAAGATATGGCAGATCGTTGACAATGATGTGCAACTCAAGGCTACCGTACCAGCTAATGCCGCCGTTACTGCTGTGTCATGTAACAACGTGCTACCTGGTGGTAAGATTATGTTTGCCTACGGTACGGAAAATGGAGATATCGGCATTGCAAACACTCCATCAGATGCTTTGGACAAGGTAGAAGTGTCTATGGTCAAAGCGGAGTTAGTGCCCGCGAAGACGATCAACCAGATCGTCTGGCGGCCTGGAAGAGCCGATGGCGAGCAACAACAGATTGCAGTAGCGAGTGATGATACCTCGTTGCGTGTCTTCAACATCTCGCAAGAGGCATCGTAGCAATAGCAGAAGATTTCAGGAACGTGTTACATGTCGACAGTTGAATTTGATCAAAACTTTACACTATTACGCATGTTTTGCTGGGGTATCTCGCCAAAGAAAATCATTTCCTCCAATTTTTCCACAAACAATCCTGTATCTCGTGCTTGATGTTCAAGCGTAACGTGCCCCCGCACTCTTCTCATTGACCGGTGCCACAGGAGGCATTCCAGGCTGGGCCATTGGGTACTGTCCAGGCGACATGCGCTGTTGCTGCTGCATCATCATCTGTGGATGTTCTCCGAATTGCTGCATCTGTCCCGGTCCTTGCTGCATATACTGGGGTTGCATCGGATATCCCTGCTGGTTCGGTGGCATCTGATAGTACATGACTTGTCCTGGTTGCGGCTTCATATGGGCCTGCCCTGGCGGGGGCACAATAGCGCCATTGGTGATCATGGTCTGTACGATGTTGGCAGCAATCTTCTCTGCGTCCTTGCTGGTCTTGCTGCGGTTATGGCGATGGCAGTCGACGCAAGCCCACACGAAGAGCGCGAAGTGAATAACCAATCCGAAGAATTGGCATACAACACCTGTCAACGTAGTGTTTGCGCGTGTCCCTTTCTCCGCCCAAAGCTTGTTAACATAAGCGTCCTGCTCTTCGCAATTGTTGAATCCGTAGTAATCACAGTCTCGCGGAGAGTTGACATAGCTCGTGTCTTGTTCCCATACCCACGTGCCGTTGGAGGCCAGAACATAGTCTCCACCACCAGAACCATAACTATATCCATCAGGTCCACCATATAAACCGTAATCCAACACGTCCCGGAACGCGAAAATAGCAAACATTGCTGTTATAATGAAGGCAAGCCACAGCAGAAGATCCATTGTTACGCGAACACCGGGGTGCACAGGCCGTTTGCGCACAATAAAGACGATCATGCAAAGCGCGACAAAAGCTACTGAGATGGACCAGGTGATTAGACCGGGCCATACTGCGTAGCTGTTGTAACCGAGATAATAGTAGTCGTTGTTGGTGTACAGGTCCGTGGTCATCAAATAAGCAAAGCAGCCTATGCCCACCAAGCCGGTTATGATGGCAATGGCTCCAAGGCCGAACTTGAACTTCCAATACCGGTCGCCGGCATTGAGCTTGTCGTTGAACGAAAGGTGTTCTTCGGTCTCGGTCTCGGTCGTCTGTGGAGCTGTCGTATTCGGGATCGACGCCGTAGGACCCGTGGTGGGAACACCCGGCGCAGGGCTGCTCGAGGCTTGGGTTCTGGGGGAGTTCGCGTTCGCAGTTGACGTGGCATTGGCATTTGTCGCGTCGGATAGTCTAGCAACAGACTTTGGAGGAGGCGTCGGAACAGGAGAAGGAGGCGCAGCTGAAGTCGCGTCGGGCGCGTGCGGCGTGGCCTGAGGCTGCGAAGTAGAAGAAGACATTATTAAGGATTAACTAAAGTAAAAAGCGAGTGGATGCGCAGAGATATGCGCGTGGTATATGGTCAGACGGGGCCTTCGAAAACACAAAGAACAGCAAGAAGGCCAGGCAACAGGAGAGAACTCTGCCTGCCTACAAACATCGTGGCGCCACGGGGTGCCTGAAGCTAGTCGTATCGGTGTTGGATAACACTTAATTTAGATGAGCTGGAGCGGAACAACCATGATGCGGCCGGATAAATCTCAGTCATCAATGCACGACGCTTAGCACCCTACTACTGCAACCTTAATTGAGGCTTGATCCTTTGTCATTTCACAACACCCAACGAACTGCCTTGGATCATGGATCATTAGAAAGATTTGGATTCGATATTAAGTACCTCGCAGATAAGTCGTATACGGACGCCATCGCTTGCATCGCTGAAGTCCGCCCGAAAAAACATTACGTCATAAAAGACCTTCTTACACAAGCCGTACTTTCCAAAGTTTAAGCCATCAAGCTCCATCCTTGGGCCCTAGCACGAAGAAAAAGAAGGAACGGAAAGGTGCTGGTGCCCGATCTCAGTCATCTCAGCCATCACACTCTATGGTGTGTGTCTAGTACATTGGGTCTCCGATAGCGCTGATGGAAGCAACACAAACACCATCCTTGCAGTATCCAGCAGGTGTGAGCCATCCCCAGAGTTCTAAGACATGTTAGTGCAGTTCTCGGAGAATGACATATCCGGCTGAACTTACCAACTTGTTGACCGTTGGTGAAGATGGCGTTGGCGGCTCCCGAAATGGTGGCTGAGCACGCGTGTGTGCCTGTAACTTGGTCGCAAGTGATTGTGAACGGGGCAGTAGCCGTAAGAGGGATATCGGCAGAGCCGTAGCAGCGACCTTTATCGCACCATGCTGAGATACTGCTGCTCGCCGTGTACTTGTCGCCATCGACAAGTAGAGACTGAATGGATCCTGCAACGGTGATGGTGCACTTGAAGTCGGTGCTGCAAACTCCAGACACTGAAATCACACGTTAGCAACTTCCAGGATAGTGGTATGGGAGTGCGTTATCGAATAGACTTACAAAGACCATAAACAGCGCCAAGAACGCCCGAGAGGGTCTTGTCAATGACGGCTGGCATAGCAGGCAAGTTGTCGAGAGTGAGAATGCCGGAGCCCTGAACTGGGGCAGAAAAGCTCGAAGGCATAGTCGGGTTCACATTAGTAGCGGTTGGCACTGCGGTGATGGTGGATGTCTTGGTAGCAGCGGCAGCGACAACGGCAACAGAAGACGATTTAGCTGCACCCAGGTTCACATCCAGAAGAGCGCTGGAAGTGCCAACACCGACGCTGACGCCGCCGAGTTTGAGTCCGAGGAGAGGGGAGGCAGTTGCAGAAGCAACAAAAAGAGCGAGAGTAGTGAACTGCATTGTGAAATCGGAGGCTGTTAAGCGATTGATAGCACGAAGACACAGAAGAGTGTGATGGCTGAGATGACCGGAGATGAGAAGCTGATGGAAGAGCTGGAGATGATCGAAGCTGATGACTCCAAAATGATAGGAATCCGTGGGCCCTTTGTACTCATCAAACGTGGCTCGTAGTGCGGTATGTTGTCAAATCTTTTGTTGTTGAACCCCCTGCCGAGCTGCGTACCCGACTCAGTGCTATCCCATCCGGTTCGCGCTCCGAAGCGCCTCGATTGCTAGAACTCTGCGCTTTGCACTCCACATCATGAGTTTCAGTTTTGCAAGGCTTCCAGGCCCTGTTACAGATTCGCGATCCCTAGGCAGTTACACTAAGATTGCTGCTGCCCAGCCGATAAGCGAGCAACTACGTCGGTGGAGACCGACAGGCACAAAGGGTACTGGTACCGGTACCGAAGACCAGAACCATGGCCTGTTTAAGGTTTCGGACTAACTAGGCGGAGAGCTTTCCGCACGTTGTGGCATTCATGCCCCGACCAATAAGAAGACATTACAGCTTGTATCGACCAAGCCGAGGGAACTATTGGGCTGATTCCAGAATCGATCGCTAAGACATGCCTTTTGGTTCCGTTTTGGGCCAGAACACACGTTTTCCAGCACGTTTTTCTAGACTCACTGGACCCTTTTCGGTTACCTATGCAAGCTAATTGGCCAGCGGGCGCCTCCGCCGTGCGTGCCAACGCCCAACTAGCCACTCCTTATAGTGTAGCTGGTCTGTACCTGTCGTAGTATACATCGTGGCTGACTTATCCAGTCCAAATCAGGTTTATGGCGATAGAACGCCACGGAGAATATATTCAAATCATGACAATGTACCTGAAGTTCTGAATCGGTTCAAGGCCCTAATGCACCAACTTCACGAGATGGCTTTCTATCACGCTGTGTGACATGCTAGCGGCATTGGCCTCTCTCAACGAAAAGGGTGAAAGTCACACGGCTGCTGAGATCTGGACAACTTGCACAAAGCAAAAGCCGACGTGCCATAATAACATGTGGTAGGAAGAGGGCGGCAGTGCGCAGATTGGAGTTATGGTAGGTGATATGCATAGTGAAGATATTGCTCGAAAGAACCATGTTAATCGGAAATATTGGATATTATGTCTCTGTCGTCACTGAGACCAGCTCCTCCAAACCATCAGTTCCGTCATCGCAGACACCGAAATGATCCTCCAAACTCATGCCAGGTACGCCGTCGCGGAAACATGCAGTGTTCTTCGTTGCATAATCTCTAAGCGAGGTCCAGTCCCTACATTGGTGCATCTGTCCGTTACCAGCCATGCCATCACCGTGCCCATAGAGCGGAGTATTATCCGCATGACACATAATGTGTTGACGCAGGGCGTCAAAACAATGCAGGGCGTGATGCGTGGGAAAGGGAGGTACCTCTTGGCGGTGTAAGGCTACATACGAGGCGCGGACGATGCGCTACATTGTGATGGTCAGAAAGTTGTATAGATCGAAGTAAAAGTATTGGAAAAAAGGAGTGTGACGTACGAGGCAGTGAAGCTGATGGTAGGCTTGGAGAAGATACATCCCTTTACCAGGCATTCCAGGTATGTCCATAGAAGGAGGCCACTATTGCAACTGTTAACACCCACTCTTTGACCCACGCTGTCATCCTTTCCAAGAACCGGTTCAGGGTAACTCACGTGATTCTCCGCTGCGAACTCATGGTCCACTGCGATATGTCCATGCGCAGTGTTGATGTTGTCCCACAGCGGATCAGCATCCGAAGCATTGGGCGCACCCCATGGCGTATTCCAATGGAAGGGAACGAACGCGATGGGAAGGGAATCTACCCTAGCAAGTTCGCTGGGTTGTGGATCGAGGGCGTTGGGCAATGCAAGGCTGGTGGGGGTGGGTGTGGAAGAAACCTCCGGGGTGACCGTGGCGGCCACACCCGCAGTGCGCCATATGGCAATAGACAAGCCCAGTACACAGACATTGGCAACTGTAAGCAATACAAGTGCTATCGTCGGGTAGAGTCGTCTGTGCGTCGAGGGAGGAAGCGGGCCATGTTCCGAAGCCTGGTCACTTGACGCTACGAGCTTGTATCGAGCGAACATGGTGTTGACGAACGCGAGAGGTAACGATCGAGAAACATTGCAGCAACCTGCATGTCAAATAGTCACGATGGCCTGCAGCGCGGAGGATGCACGAGGCAAGTCCTAACGAAACGGCGTATAGTTAAGGTTTGCGGCCGTGCCCTCCAGACAGTAGCGTGATAGGCCGCTACCGCGCGTGGAGCTGAGTCCGACTGCGGTCCGTTGCGATCGAAAATCATTTTGTCTCACGATCTAGGTGGGCCTGCGAATCAACGCTCTTCCCCAGCCTCGCATCAGGGGCCAAATCTAGACCGAGGTGCGGGAGATCTTCCGCTCGTGGTTGATGGACGTTTTCCAGGTCGTTGGGCCTCTCTACGTCACTTTGCCTGTCAACGGGCAGCCTTGCGCACGCCCAACAACCTGGAATCAACTAGGTCCCCTAACCAGAGCTGGGAGGGTGTGTACCAGAGTACCTAGACTTACATATGCATTTTTGTGACAAGGAGTTGACTCCGCTCATCACACCTGAGAATGCCATATGGTACATAATCCAGGGCGAATACCACCGGTTATTATCACTCCACTCACTTCAGTCACTTCATTCTATCAAGTACCCAGTCTCTTTGGCTGCATCATCGGCAAAATGGGTTACGAATACATCAACGTTACTTCGTGCTTGGTCACTGGTATCGTGCTCACAGCCGCGACTGTCATTGCTGTCGCCCTTCGAGTGGGTGTAGCAGCAGAGAAGGCCGTCAAGTCCAGAGATACGCGATTCAGCAAGCATCTCGACGACTTCTTCTGTCTCCTTGCTCTTCTCCCAACCATTGGTGTCTCGACCGTTATGATCTATGGTAAGATACAACCCAACCAGAACCAAGCTTATCTCTTGGCTAACGATCTTTGTAGGTGCAGCCAAGGGAATCATTGGCGGACACAACGGTCCGGATAATATCGAGGGTTGGATCTACAGCACCACACCAGAACTGGTAATTCTCGAAAAAGTGGGTCCACCTGTTCCTCTCTGGCATATTCATCCAACTAACGCTTTGACAGTGTGTGTACATGATCTTTATCATGCAGCCGCTCGCTATTGGTCTCACGAAACTCGCTTTCTTGTTCCTCTATCGTCGCATCTTCACATGGCCTGGCTTCCAGTGGACCTCTTTGGTCTTCATCGTCCTCACTGTCGCTTTCACAATTGCCTTCTTCTTCGGCTTCATCTTCGACTGCCGACTGAACTTTGCTGCCAACTGGGGTTCTCTGGCAAGCATCGCCGAGAACTGTCCCTTTGGTTTCGAGGCAACGATCGCGTTTACGGTTCTCGATGCCGTTTTTGATCTGTGCATCTTGCTTCTGCCCCTTCCTTGGATCTGGCGTCTGCAGATGCCCACTGTCCGCAAGATCCAGTTGTGCGGTGTCTTCCTACTCGGAGGATTTGCCGTCGCTTCTGCCATCGTTCGCATGGTCATCTGTATCAAGCAGAACACACCGTCTGCCGCACTTGATCAGCAGTCCATCATGGGTATGCCCACTTACGACATCACCGGTATCACCTCGCACGGTCTCTTCTGGACTGTCGTTGAGACCAACGTCGCCCTCATTGCCTGCTGCCTTCCCAAACTACGACCCGTGCTCAGCATGGCCGGTCTGGGAAGTCTCATGGTCTCCATGGGCTCTCTTCTCCAGAGAATGGGCTCCAGCATGGGTACTCAGAACTCCAACAGTGCCAGCAACGGCAGTGGTCAGTTCAGCAAGATCTCAGCTGCTACTGTCGTCACAGTTGGCAGCAAACCCCGCAGCCAGTTGGGCCATTACCGCTCGCAGGAGAAGGACCGCACTGGTAGCGACATCAGCCTCGTCGAGATGGGCAATAAAGTCGAAGCAGCGGCTGTGGTAGAGAAGCAGGTGTCGCCTGACCCTTACGACACATACGAGGTCGATCTTGAGGACAGGAAGTACCTGGGCAGGAATTCACCAAGCAGGTTTTCTCAGTAAGCTTGCGCTATAGCGATATGATGATACCTCTGCGGGGGACACGACCTCGAATATACCCACCTAATGACTTTTCAAGCGTAGCGAAGCGAAGTGTAGCGTTTAGTTTTAGTATTAATCAAATCCAAATTTCAGCATGATTTCCTTCTCCAGATGCTTGATGTGCTGTTGGCTCCTAACATCACCACTGCTCACACTCAACTATGTCTGCCAGCGTGTCTCAGAACCACTTCTTTCAGCCGACCAGCTCGAAGCAGAGACGCCATCAGCTAGTCTTTCTGCTCCACATCCCGCGGAAAACGTAGCCGAGGTGATTTGCCATTGACAGCTTACTGACATATTCAGTCCAGTGGCGCTGCTAACAGATCTAATGGCCCGTGGTTATCTAGTTGTTAGTACGCATTAGGGTCTTGGGAGGCGGAAAGGTACCGTATGGTCGACATGCATTACGCCGAGTCAGCCGACCAATCTTCACGTCCAGATTGTAATGACCATACACTCCAAGAACACTTGATAGAAATGTGAGATAGATGGCGAAACGTAGCAAAGTGGACTCATTGTATGCATCTGCTATTTCCCAAGATTTCCGTTCAATGCATCTGATACTCATCCAAAGCCATGCCCTTTGCAATCTTCTTGATCAGGGCTTTCTTCAAGAACTGCTCACGAGCGAGACTTCTCGTTTGCTGTGGTCATGTCAGCTACATTTTCTTTGCAGAAATTTCGCCATGGATACACTTACCTTGACAAATACATCAGTACTAACGCGCCCCTTGTCCAAAGCGCGACCTAGAACGAAGAGGGCATCTGCAATACCCTTTTCTTCTGCAGCAAGCGTGTAAAGTTGCCCTCCGACTATCGTAGGCGCTACTAGCACGTCATCAACATCTGGTGCCTTTCTTCTTCGTGCGTCCTCCATGACTCGGTCCGCTTCTACCATGGCGCCTTTCAGCACTTGTTCGTTGTTCGCAAGCGCTGCGTCAAGCTGCTGGAGCTCGCCAAGTTCTGATTGTAGTCGAGAGTAGGCAGCCTGGAGGGCAGCTTGTTGCGCGCGAAGTGGCGCTACCGCAGCCATGTTGGAAGAGACTGTCTGTCGAATCTGCGAAACCAGTGTTTGACTCAAGGCCCGGAGAAGCGCATCTTTCTCAGGGTTTGGAGGAACAGGTGGTACCGGTAAGGGAATCTGGTTGCCAGACTGTGATGGCAAGGTAACTTCGAGCGAGTCATCGAGAAGGTCGATTGGGGGCTTAGGGGCTGGTGGCGCCTGCTGAGGTTGTTGTTGGTACTGCTGAAATTGATGATGCTGTTGTGGCGGGTAACCCTGCGGCGGCGGCTGATATTGTTGTGGCGGTTGGGGTTGTCTGTACTGCTGTTGAGATTGCGGTGGTGCTTGGTACTGTTGCGCTTGCTGGAAATTGGGAGGTTGTGGAGGCCCTGATCTCGAGAACTGGGCAGCTGTTCGCTGGCCATTAGGTACCATGGGGCTCACAGGGCTGCTGCTTTGTACTGGTTGCGGAGGGAAGCCATGCGCGTGGGTTTGAGGATGCTGAGGCCCTGAGCCTTGATTGTAACCACCCGGTCGACTCGGCGCATATTGCTGGCTGGAAGGCTGCTGTTGCCATTGCTGCGGCGCATCATATCTGCTGTTCTGGTTCTGCTGGTATGGCTGCTGCGACTGTGGATGTTGCGGAGGGTGGGGTGGTAGAGGAGGGGGTTGCGAGTACCGACCCTGTGGCGTCTGAGGTGTGGAACGGCCTTGTTCGTGGGGTTTCGGTGGCTTTGGAGGAGGCGCTGGAGCTTGATTCGGTGGAACAGGGGACGAGGATGCGCCTGGCATCCCTTGTACTGAGCGACGCCATTCGGCTGGCGGAGGGGGTACTGGAGGCGGTGCTTGTTGAGCAGGCGCATTGTACTGTGGCTGCTGTTGCCTCGATCGCACGGGCGGCTCTTTTGCGAAGACGCCTCTTAGCACGGCCAGGAAGTCGAAGAGCGTAGACTTCTGTGCGATTATCAGTTGTCGTGCCCGCAGGTGGAGCGTTCGGCCCATCAGCTCTCACAGCTCATGCAGTACTCACATCCCAGTATTTTGCCCATTGTGCCAGATACGGGTGGTATATTCTACCGTCGGTGCTCACATGTTGTCCGGGTCGCAAGACCATGTCCTGCGCGGGTGTGACGTATACGATGGGTGGTTCTCGAGGGTATGAGTGAGGCACCCATATCGCTACCGGAAAGCCGTATGTCGCGCCGCGAAACGTAACGGGCAGCGTGCCGCTGAGCAGCAGTAGGAGCGCTGAAGATCCATTCTCATATGTGTATGGCTCTGTCTTGGGTGCAAGCGACGGGTCTAGACGTTGGTGTCAAGTCAGTCTGCATGTCGTGAAGCTGCAACACATGTGACATACAGTTGGACAGTGCCTCGGCCACGTCGTGATATGTGCGATTTACGTCTGAGTATTCCTGACTGTTATTAGCGCATGTACAATGTAGCTTCACCGACTAACCTACATTAACGAGTACGCTGTACAGCCAGTTGAGTACTTTGTCGCTGGCCATGTTGTAACTGATCGATGATGGCATACTGGTTAGATGATGGCCATAGAGCACGGTCCATGCCTCTCCCAACATGAACCCCTCAACACCTTGGCAATCCTTCAATGAAATGTGCCTCCATTTGTTACGAAGTCCCAAGGTTGTACGCCATATGCCTTCGCACTCCGTACATCACTCAAGTGTGTGGACCATCTCAGGTACGTGAACAAACACAAAAAAGTTTCGCAAATAGTTATATATGCTCAATACAATTTATATGTAGAGCTATTGCGTATGTTACAAAGCTATGTAATCGTGTTTCTCGTAACCGCTTCAGCGAGCGTGGGCAGAATATGTGCCAAAGAATGTACGTCATTATACTATACAAGGTCCTCCAGGGTATCAAACAACTACTACGCTCAATGTTGACTCCACTCAATCGTGTTAAGGTCAACACCCTCCTGTACGAGTTCCCATAACGGACTCAGCTCGCGGAGGAATGTGACTCGCTCCTTGACCGCCTTCAACACGTAGTCGATCTCAGAGTCTGTAGTGAAGCGTCCGATACCGAAGCGGATACTGCTGTGCGCACTCTCATCACTGCTGCCAAGCGCTCGGAGCACGTAGCTAGGCTCAAGCGACGCCGAAGTACAGGCGCTACCCGAAGAGAGGGCAATGTCTTTCAATGCCATGAGGAGTGATTCACCCTCAACGTAGGCGAAAGAAACGTTAACACACCCGGGATAATGTCGCTCCCTATCACCGTTAAGTGTGGTGTGCTCGAGTGATAGCAGGCCTTCGAGGAGACGGTTCGACAGCGCCGAAATGCGCTTGGTGTCATACTAGTTGTGGTCAGCAATGCCCAGACTGGTGAATGATGTGACCAAAATAATGCGTAACAAAGAACTCATAACCCCTGCACATTTGTCAACATGGCGCGTCGACGGCCGAAGCCGCCTAACACTCTGAAAGCCATGCATGTCGGAAGCAAATAATCATAGTGTTCATGAACGTGAAAAAAGAGTGTACGTACCTCCATCTCTTCGTTGCAAATCCGTGCGGCTTCGCCCATGCCGATGACAAGAGGAGGTGCGATTGTTCCACTTCGCAGTCCTCGCTCTTGACCACCGCCACTGATGATGGGGTCGAGCCTGACCCTAGGCCGTCTTCGTACATAGCACGCGCCAATGCCTTTGGGTCCGTAGATCTTGTGGCCTGATATCGACATCAAATCGACGTTCATCTTGTTGACGTCAAGGGGGATCTTGCCGACAGCTTGCGCCGCATCGGTGTGGAAGAAGACCTTCTTCGATCGGCAGAGCTTTCCAATCTCCTCGACAGGTTGTACAACACCAATCTCGTTGTTGACGGTCATGATGCTGACAATGGCGGTATCGGGACGCATCGCGGCCTCGAGCTGGGCCATGTCGATGAGACCGTTGTTTCCTACTGGCAGGTAAGTGACGGAAAAGCCTTCATCTTGCAAATGTCTACAGCTGTCAAGCACACACTTGTGCTCTGTCTGTGCTGTGATGATGTGCTTCTTCTTGCCGCTTCGCCCAAAAAAGCGAGCGACACCCTTGATACTCATATTGTTACTCTCAGTAGCCCCGCTGGTGAAGATGATCTCCTTTGGGTCTGCGCCGATGAGGTTGGCAATGTTGGCGCGGGCGTCCTCTACGGCTTTGTCGGTCTCCCACCCATACGCGTGGGTTCGCGAATGGGGGTTACCATACATGCCGGTCATGTAGGGCATCATCTTGTCTACTACGCGCGGGTCCATGGGGGTAGTGGCTTGCATGTCTAGGTAGATGGGCCGTGAGCCCTGATCCATGACGGTTGCCTGCTTGAGAATGCCTGGATTGTGTCAGCTTTGCGGAAAGCGGGGTGGCGTGGACATTGGAGCTCACCAGCAGTAGGACTCATCATGGCATCAGCGCCCATGCCTGTTGTTGGCATGGTTGCATCCTCTGCTCTTTCTCCCGTCTCCTTGAGGAAACTGCGCTGCTCCTTCTTGATGGCTGACTCGAGAGGAGAGGCGTTAGAGACGGTAGCCTGTGCCGGCTTGGACTCTGACACATAGTGCCGGCGGATGCTAGAAACACGAGAAAACGCAGATGAAGGGTATCGACGAGAGGCAATGCGCAGGGCCTGCCTCGCGACGGTGGGTGCAATATTAGACATGATGGAAGAGTAGTGGAAAAATTAAGAACGCAAATTGCCTCCCGAGGTATTAGAAGCTATGAAGTTTTAGCGCCTAGATCTGCTGCTTAGCTAAGCCCACCAGCGCTCACGATCACCCACCACCTCCACTCGTCATCGTTCATTGTCTGCATCCAGAAAGAGATAGTCATTCACGCGTCGGCGCGTTGTTTGCAGCGTTTAGTCTTGCCTTGCCGTTTCTTTCCCTGCAGCCGACTGTTCACTCTTGGCGTGAGATAATCGTACTCGCTTTCGTACTTGCTCGGCGCTCCGTGACATCCGGCAGATTCTAGGGAGTGCTGCATAGCCACACGCGACGTCATCGTCGAGGTTTAGCAGCCACGCCGGCGCCCGCATCGTTCGGTCGCTTCCTGCTGGTCTACAACTACAGTCCCCACGGCCTCTCCTAATCCCTACTGTGTATCAATCTCGAGCAGACTTACGGAATATACCCCCACCATGAGTTGGAAAGGCCTAACAAAGACCGTCACCCGGGTACGACAGGCAACCTCACATGCCATTTGGGCATCAACACCCGCTAACATCTCGGATTAGGCGCCGCAAACCTTCAAGCAAAGGTTCAACCTCGTATGTATCCTGCAAGCGTTTCTAGAGGATCCCCCGTCTACGCGCCTGCTTCCGAGCGAGATTGAGCATCGCTAAAGCGCGTACACAGGGCGAAATCACAAAGGACCCCATCTACATCGATGCAGAACGCCGCTTCCAAGAGCTGGAGAAGGAGACGAAGAAGCTCCATGAGGAGTCCAAGAAGTATGCGCATTTGCGACACAGCTGTACCAGACGTCTTGGCTAACATGCGACAGGTATTTTGAAGCCATAAATGGTGCGTAGACTAGATGTAACCCTTTCGTCGTTCGGCCTAACCCACCTCCCAGGCATGCTCTCACATCAGATGGAGTTCTCCAAGGCCATCGCCGAAATCTATAAGCCCATTTCCGGCCGAATGTCAGATCCCGATTCGTTCCACGACGAAGGCAACACGGCAGGCATAGAAGCATGCGAAGAATACGAGTCGGTCGTTAAGGAACTACAAGAGACTCTTAAGCCCGAGCTTGAGATGATAGAGTCCCGGGTCATTCGTCCGGCGGACGAGCTGCTAGTCATTATCAAGGCCGTACGAAAGATCGCCGCCAAGCGTGACCACAAGCAACTCGACTATGACAGGCATCGCGCTACGTACAAGAAGCTCGAGGAGAAGAAGGACAAGACACTCAAGGACGAGAAGGCCATGTACAAAGCTGAGAACGACGTGGAACTCGCGACGCAGGACTACAACTACTTCAACGATTTGCTAAAAGACGAGCTACCGAAGCTGTTCGCACTGGAGAGAGAGTTCATCAAGCCTCTGTTCCAGTCCTTCTACTATATGCAGCTGAATGTTTTCTACACATTACACGAGCGCATGCAACGGCTTGATATCGGCTACTTCGACCTTACACTAGATATTGAGGCCGCCTACCAGAAGAAGCGCGGCGACACACAGGAAGAAGCAGAGAAGATTTCTATCGTCAAGTTCAAGACTACAGGTGGCGCTCGTGTCGCTGGTGCACGACCGGGGCAGTCAAAGTACGCAACGAAAGCACTTGAAGCCAAGGCAGGCCGGAGCTCGATATCGGAAGACACAGAAACACCGCCACCACCTTACTCTGCTGGGCCTTCTGCAGCTGCTATTGGAGATGTTAAGTCCCCAACCCTGTCGACAGGATCATGGGGTTCTGCTGCCAAAGCCAAAGGCGCTCCTCCGCCACCCAAGCCTAAGCCTTCGCGCCTCAGCGGTGTACCCGCGACAGAAACCGTTACAGCTCTCTACGACTACGAGGCACAAGCGGAAGGCGATCTTAGTTTCTTGACTGGCGACGTAATAGAAATCGTCTCAAGGACGCAAAACGATAATGAATGGTGGATTGGAAAGGTACGGGGGAAGCAGGGACAATTCCCAGGTATGTACTCACACCTCTCTGAAGGAGAGTTTACCCTAACCATTCCACAGGCAATTACGTCAAACTGAACCAATAGTCGAGGCTCAGTCCGCCGTCTCCTACCTTTCGCTTGCGAGGTCATACATGTTAAAGCATGGTGATACCATTGTTGCGTTTACAGCATCTTCTGGGGTTTTACGTTAGAGTTGTGTGCTATGCTGATTTGAGCGATCGGCGGTTTAGCACATTGGCTTGCATTGATCAATCTAATTTTCAATCCTATTCTCGGTACCACCTTCTTCAAGCCACCAGTTCACTTGGTTCATACATTCGCGCTTTGTGTTCGTATCTCTGGCATGCAATGCATAAGATGATTAGCGTACTCGGTGCGGGGCCTGTTCCGCCGCACCCCGCATGACGTTGATCGGAGACATGGAACCCTGGAAACCTTGCAATCATCCGAACGTGCTCAGGGGTGTCGAGACATCACTAATACTACTAATCGATTCCGTCTTTTCGACCACGTCTCTAATGCATTGTTAGAAACATCATCTATTTTGTATATAACCACTATGCCTTACGAATCGGCGATAACCTTTACACTCGACACGATATGTCCCTGGTATGTTCACTTCTCTTCATGATTGATTGACCCTAACTGTAGTATGGGACATATCTTGGCTTCATCCGCCTCACCAAAGCACTTGAAGCATACCGCACAGCGAACCCCGACTCACCAGCAACTTTCACCCTCAAACTAGCTCCTTACCAACTCTACCCCGACGCCACACAAGAAGGCGTCGACAAGTACGAATGGTACAAGAACGAAAAGTACCAAGGCAGTGAAGAGCGGATGAAGATGTACATGGCCGCCATGGAGGATCTAGGTAAAGCTGAGAACATCAAGTTTGACTTTGGAGGTGGCATGCTAGCGAATACCCTGCATGCCCATCGTGTATTGCAGTATTTGCAGAACAACAAAGAGCAGGGACTTCAGCTAGAGGTTTTGAAATCGCTGTACACACAGTACTTTCAGCAGCGCGCTCATCCGAGCAGTACTGAGACATTGAAGAAGGCGTGTGTAGCAGCTGGAATCAGTCAAGATGAAGCGGAGAAGTTGGTGGAAGACGGCGATGAAGAGTTGAGGGAGACAAAGGCAGCGATTCAGGAGCAGGCTAGCAATGGTGTGGATAGTGTGCCGTATGTTATATTCGAGGGGAGGAAGAGGGATTTCACGCTGATTGGGGCGAAGAGTATGGCGGAGTATGAAAAGGTGTTAGGGCAGGTTGCTAAGGAGTGTGCGTAAAAGGAATGACACCTTCGATCGCTTGTGGATAGACTCTACAAATATGCTGTTCTTCCATCTGGGCATGCATTTCTTCTAGACGTACGTATCCTTTCGAACTTCCCCTCACCAATCTACTCAAGTAGAACCTCCAATCTTAGTAGCTCAGGGCCTCAACGACCCCTCCTAACCTATTCATCAGGATAACTACCTGTTATACATAATAAGACAGACCTGACGAGTGATAAAACTCAATCCATCTCCTTACAATGCGGACCATCAAGGAACCAAACCTAGTTTCGAGAAAGGTTTCGAGAAGGAACTCGATACATTTCTTTACCACGCCTATACACTTTCTCGCCACGCGAACTAGTTGAGATTCGAACTCGTATAGAAAGAGAGAAAGCGTGATAACCAAAGAGAAGATCTGGTCCATTTCTCCGATGCTTTGTGGCGCACATGGAACGAAACAACATCTTTTTGTTGGGCACAAATCTCCACTGAGGAGCGAATTTTTGGGGTTACGGAAGTATAACCGCGGTACAATCCAACAGCGAATTGCCCAATTGAGAATCGCCCCGGAAACAAACATTTTGGCTAAAAATGGATCGAGCTTGACATCCTTGTACTTCCACGACCAAAGGATATTGACCCAACTGGGTATTAGCGTCGTGAGACCTGGCAAAAGACTTCCCGGTAGCACGATGAATCCGAGTCGATGACAGCTGATCGAAAGACTTGCGTACCAGATTGCTCCTATCGGAAGCACTAATCCGACAGATACTATGAAACGGCGTCGCTTGATAGGTTCCTTGGGATCGAAATTTCGTTGTCGCTCTTTGTAGAAGCACACAATGATCTGCATCGTGGCCATCTGGATACCCACATGTACAACCGCAATAGCAGCTGCCAGCATTTGTCGCGTAGCTTCGTCCACTTCAAGTGGAGTCTTTTTCCAGTCTATATCAGAATATGAACCACTTTCGCAAGGTATAACCAAATTCAGCTGGCGTATGAGGTCGATCGCAGCGAAATTGGTATATAACGCATATCCGATAAAGTGCATGTTGTGCGTATAGTCATTTTGAATGGTGTTGATCCATGAGATCGTCAGGGTAATCATCCAGGCAGACCATGGGCCAGGGCCATAGAAACCGCTGATCTGGAGATTGTTGGAAGATGACAGAGACATTTCGACGGCATGGACTCGAGCGTGCGTTATGCTGTCCGAAACAGAGCGAGGAACTGGTGTCCCTTACGAATTTTGATAGGCTTCGCTCTTGTGGCGGTCTCGTTCGTACTCAGGGAGTGATTCGTCGTGAAGTAACGGTACCTAGGTAGCAAGCTCCGTCGAATGCGGTAGGTGGCACCATGTAAAGGCTAACAGACTTTAACATGCGTCGAAAGACCAAGATTTGTACAAAAGATCGTGCCAAACTCTTAACAAGATTCGCGTGCGCGGCAATGTGCAATATAAGAAAGGTTTCCTTGTGTCCTTGAGCGGAGGTTCAGCCTCATCGCAAGGCGTGCCGTCGACACACGTGGCTTTCGCTCAGCCTCACCCACTAAAGCGCGGGGGCTGTGTAATCTCGACCGTTATCAGGACGCCCCCATCAAAACTTATCACGATAAAGGAAGCTTCTTTGAGATTGTGCATCGGTTCAACGCATCATCTAAATGTTGATATCAAAGTGCGCATGGCTGGGAGGGCTCAATGGTTCTCGATTTCATGCTGCTGCATGCCTTTCACGATTTCGAGTGATATTTACGGAGATGTTCGATCATGTAGCCCATTGCAAGAACCGTAGATAGCACTTGTATATATCTAAACTACCACACTGCTGTCAGCCACGTCTGGAAACCCTTCTTCACGGCGTTGAGTATTCCTAGCCCAAACTCATACAAGAATAGGAACAATGCCACAAGCAAAGAAAAGACTTGATCCCACTCATCGATGTCTTGCGGCGCACATGGAACGAAGTAACAACGTTTATGAGGTATCAAGTTGCTCTCATCCATTATATATGAAACATCCGATAAGAAAAAGAGAATGAAGCATTTTATGGAGAAACAGAAAATAGTAAAATGGACAATGGTAACAACAGCAGAGTATTTGAAATCGATAAATAACCCCACAAGGTCACAGAAGCTGTAAAGCTCAACGGAAAAGCCGAAAAGGAAACTTAGAGGAATCATACGGGGAACAAGATAGTTGAAAGTTGATCCCACAGAGAAACAGACCACTGAAACTGGAAGCACGAGACCGAGAGTTAAAAACAATTGACGCCGCATCATTGGAGACTTGTCTTCAAAACCGAGAACCTGTGATTGGAATAGACACGTGACGAGTTGCGATATAGCGAGGTATATGCCGATATGCAAGACTGCGGAGGAGGCGATGAGATTTCCTATCTGAGGATACTCTAACTCCCCAAAGTCTCTTTGATGTTGTAAAGCGAGTTTCATATGATGCATAAGGTCGATAGTAGCCCAATTAGTATACAGCGCGTATCCGATGAAGTGAAGGTTGTGAGTGAAGTCCCTTTGAACGATGGGTGCCCAAGAGATAACCATGGTGATTACCCAGGCAGCCCAAGCCCCGGGACCGTAGAAGCCACTGATTTGTGTATTGTCGACTTGTGGCTGATTCATTGTGGTAACGAGGATTGGAGTAGTGATGCCGTGGTCGACTTAGAAGAACGCGGGACGAGCAATGACTCTTGCAGCTTCTGTGTGGTATACGACAAGGGTAAAGATGGCTCTATCATAGACGAGATTTCGACATAGGAAGGCCCGTGGTATCTAAGGCAATACTCGTACTGACGAAGATTCGTTGTAGATATGGCATGCGGCAAGGATCTTTTTGAAGTAGTTCAACCAAAGAGAGTTTCGCATAGGCTCGATAGCGTTGAGACCAATTCCGAGGTTGAGATCGCAAATTTACTCCCGTAAATTGTATGCAAGTTGTCGCTCCGTCGAGCTTGGTGAGTTGGGCAGATAACTACAGGAAGCTTGGTGGGGTATTACCACCCAATATAAGCTGACGCAGAGACTATCTGGATCTAGTTTGATAAGGCCGAGGCAAGAAAGGAACGTATGCGAAGGCCTGGTCATGTATCGATTAGCTCGCAAATGACAGCGAAGTGGGTGGCTGAGCCAAAGCCACATCTGCATGGCGTACAGGCTGTGCAACCTAAAGATTCTGCAGGTGCCGACCCTCAACGACTAAACTGATAGGTGATAATAAGAAGTCTCTGAGCATGTCGCGTAGGCTCACTTGTTCATTGCTGGCAGCTGGTAGTAGAAGTATTCATTATTAAAAACAAGAAGTCCAAGAAAGGACACATAACACAAACACCACAGACTTGGCCTCAAGCCCTGTTCCCATCCGGTGAACCCCCATCACTTTCATTCCCATCCTGCTTCCCTCTACCCCCTCTCCTCTTCATCCTAAACCACCCACCAACGCCTCCCTCCCCCCTCCTTTCCGCCCCCAACTCACCATCCCTCTCCTCCATCCCCACAACAACCAACTGCTCCCCCTTCCTCTTGACTATCCAATCAACACGCATATCTCTCTTCTGCGGCCCTTCTTGCGGCAAGCCCCTGAAAAGACCGTCCTGCGGTGGAGAATGGTAGCCTAGGATGAACAAGACGAGAGGTTCACAGATGTCGGTGATGAGGCGGATGCGCAAGAGGACTGCGAAGTAGATAAAGATGAAGATATTGATAAGGAGAGTTAGAGCGAGGACTACCAACAGAGCCTGGGTAGTGGTGTTAGCATAAGTGTTTAAAATTATGGGCGGAGGGGAACGTACCTTCTGATAGTCCTTCTCACCACCGGACATGTACTGTGCTACTCTTACAGAAGCATTGAAGTTTTGCATCTGCGGTTGATCGAACTTTCCGTCTGTAGTAAAAGGGAAATCCTGCGTCAGATCCAAAACCGTACACGTCGTCATACTCAATAGCGCTTCCGCGGGACTCGGCAACGTTTTGTTGAGTTTGGGTTCGGTAAGCTGTAGTTGCGTGAATATACGTGCTGTTGATGCATCACCGTCGAAGACGCCATTGTTCAGACTGAGAGAGTTGAGGAGGTTGAAGCCTAATTCGCGCCAGCCGACTAGAGCGGCCTTGTCACCGTTGGAACGAAGGGGTTGGATAGAGGCGTCCTCGCTGATATTCCCGTGTGGGCCGTCACAGACGGCCTCAAGGCTCTGACCGCCGGAGGAGGCGTTGTAGCGTGTAGTGCAAGAAGTCGTGATGCCGGCTTTCATTGAGCAGAGGAAGTAGTCCTCGGTGGTATTGTCGGGGGCTTTGCCGAGGAGGTAGACCTCTGGTCTGTCACCCTCTTCGTATGGAACTTGGGTGTGGTTCGCGATCGTGTTTCCTGCCTTGGGATACTTGAGAAATATCGGTCTAGCCCGAGAATGATCTTCTGTTTCGTCTTTCCAACCAAAAATGTCATCAAGTACCGTTTTGTTGTTTGTGTTAGTTCCCTCTGGAAATCCCAAGATAGGCCACCAGTTCACCGACTTGGAGCCTTCTTCCATAGGGATTGCATTGGGCCAATTCTTGTATATAATTGGAGCTAGCTCTTCCTCTTTCGCATTGACACACAAGGCATTGATCGCAAAGCTTGCGACTGATGCGTGAACAGAGTATGAGCCGCCATCGTGGAGATCCTAGGACTGTGAGCAGGGTGATGATCTGGGACTCCGGATACACTTACTTCCGGTTGTAACAAATCATTCTGGGTATTGCGAGCTGCAGCTGGAATGCCTCGATGAGGCACAGCTATAGTGATGTTGTTGACTGCAACTGATTAGCGACGTCAAGGTAGGAGAGGAATAGCTACGTACTTATTCTTCCCGCCTTCTCGGATTCAGTCGCAACGTCGTGATGGTCCAGCCATGCAGTAGTAACAGTAACGTTATTATCTAGCGACGCACTAATCCGCTTGCGTTGCAGAAGGTCCTCGGACATCCAGGGAGGGTTCGAGGCTGCCGCTGAGTCGTCCCAGGCTGACATGTATTTGACAAAGTTTCGACCACAGAGCGATGACCATTTCATGGCAAGACACGTGCTGCCGCCCCATTGATCATCGCCCACGTCAGGCCAGGCGGTCAGGCAAGTCTTATCAGCCTTCAGAGTACTGGAGAAGTCACCATCTACCTGACCGACCATCATCTGCTTTTCCCATGGTGGAAGGCGTAGTTGTGGTTGCACTATGGGTATATTAGCGGCTTATACTGATGAATTCTGGGTGGCCGATATACCAAGTGCACCAGCTGCCGTGGTATATAGTAAGGAAAGCACGGCAGTGATCAGGGAGAGTACTCCCAGAAAGCTGAAGCCAGCAACCCTAACGCTATGCCATTCACTGAATAGTCTCCCTGGCTGGCTTTAAATGCGGTTAGCCAATATAAGCGCGACACCCGAGCCGTTGTCGACTTACAGAATCCAAGACCGCATCTCCACGCTTGCCAAATTAAGGCCCTTTTGCTGAATAGCTCTTCTCGACAGGACCTGCCCTATGAACGCCAAGAACACCATTACAAACGACAACTCGACGGTCTTGGCGATGAAAGCCGTCAATAGCGCCGCCGAGGAAGGGCTAAAGCGTCCGCGCGCCGATACGACATGGCCGTATTTAGGTTGGACTAAGGCGACGATGAAAAACAGGGCTGAACATAGAGTTGAATACAACGACGTCATCAAAAGACTGACTGAGTATCCATTTCGTCGTGGCTCGAGTAGGCCCTGAGTGTATAAAAGTGGTAACATGCTCCTCGAACTATCTAACCAAATTAAGCATCTCAACCAAGTACGGTTGGGTGTTGGGCTTACTTTTGGATTCAGCAGTAAAGCTTGTCATGCTCCGTCCATCTTGAGACGGTCTAAGAAAGGGGTTCTCGGGCTGTTCATTTCGCGGGCTTGGTTGTGGACTCGTCATGGTGTTGAGTTGATGGTCTTGGGAGCGACCATCAGGTAGACCCGCTATAAAACAAATTAAAGGAAATCGAAGATAAGCGAAGGATGCTACGCCTTAGAAGATGCAGCGCAGGTCGTAAAGGCTGTGCGGTGAGATCAGGCAAGCTGTGATTATTTTAGTGGTTTCAAAGCGGCCGAGCGGCGGTGCTATGAGCCCCACGTCAGCGCCGTTGATCTCATTCTAGCAGATCACACAATCGGACATTCCGAAAAATGAAGAATACGATGTAAATCGCCTAAATGCCATTATTTTTGATCTAACATATGCTTGAACTTTTCGATCTGTCTCAATATCAGCATTTGTCGCGATTGCATATGTTACGAAATGACGTGAGCTTACCTTGGTACTAAGATACTTCTCTACTTCTTCGCTCTTGATTCCCTTCATACCACCTGTTTTCCAGGCGAGCGGAACCATAGCTACGCGTTCTCTTACTACGACTTCTCTATTCGGGCCCTCGACCGCATGGACTTTATCTGGGTTGTTGGTCAAAAGTCTTATGCCTTTGTCTCCGTCTAAGCCCAAGTCCATCAGCATAGCCGTAGCTAGACCGTAGCTGCGCGCGTCTGCGGGATGCCTTAACATAATGTTCGCTTCGTATGTATCGTTGCCTAGATCTTGCAGGTTGTAAGCCTTAAGCTTCTCGCCTAGACCAATTCCGCGGCCCTCTTGGCGAAGGTAGATAATAGCGCCGCCGGAGGGTGACAGAGTGGGATCGGCCATCAGCCGCGCGGCTTCGTCCAGTTGCTCGCCGCAGTCGCAGCGCGCAGACCATACAGTCTCGCCAGTATAACATTCGGAGTGTATACGGACAAGAGGTAATTCTAGTGAGGAGGCTGGCAGGACGTCTCCATTCTCTGAGGATGATGCGGACGCTGGCGACAACAGCCCGTTGCTCTTATGCGCATGATCCGAGTCAGACTCTGGCTTGCGCTTTGTAGGGACGCCTTCCGCCCTCTTGAGCTGCTCAACCCGCGAGCTGATTCGCCCCGGGTACAAGCGTCCTACATATGCGCCTCTTGTCATACGGTCCAATTCCGTCTCGCCAGGCCGCTCTGCATCTAGTGATCTAGAGCGTATTTGGTTTCCAAAAACAATTGCAAGATGCTCCTTAGTGTCAACGCTGTTCCTGTACACGTGCAACCACATCTCGTGCCCGGTAGTTGTGGGTATCCGCGCGCGCACTTCGCACTCCACTTTGGGCAGCTGCGGCAGTAGATCCGGTCGCGGCGTGTCGGTGCGCACTGAGGTATCGACTGGTATGGAGCGGGGCGGTCGGGGTTGCGAGGGTGTCGCGCCCCCGGGTGTCGCTGGGGGCGTAAAGGCAGGCGATATTATTGAGGGCGGCGGGTTGTGGTGCGCATCATCATCGTTCGCGACACGCTCCGGTGTCTCTGGCTTAAGCTGTGACGTCTGGAAGTCGAAGCCCTCTCGCCCGGCGCTCGAGAGGTGTGGAGAGAAATGTGGTGGGAAAGCCGTCATGATGGAGTGGTAGATTGTACGGGGCAGCAAGCGAAAAGGGAAGATAGAAATTCTAGTAAGGCAGTCGCATACCAAGTGAGATTGAAGGCGTGCAGGTGGAAGTGATGTTACTCTAGAGTCTACTGTGGGGTCGAGTCACTCATGACATATCCGAAGCCGCTGCTGCTCGGATGTCGTTAATTCGGACCCGCCGACATGTAGCCGCGGCTGCGCAAAATCACTAAGCACCAGGGCAGCGCCTCTGTCAGCGATTAGGAATCGGAAAGAAAATCTCCGACATGGCTTCTGTGAAATTGCATCCATTGTGGCCGGACTCTTCAGCCGCCATGCAGGACTCCCGCACAAAGACGCACCGAATTATGGTCGGTCTTCGGAGAAGTCCCTGCATTATCTTGGACTCGGTCGTAGATTTACACCATGAACATGGCGTCATCCAACGCCCCCATGACACCAACTACATATTACGAGCACGTGCCGCACGACCACCATTCTCCAACATGTCATATTAATCAATCAATCAATCAATCAATCAATCCACTCGACGCTCCCTGCCCCAGACCTCATCCGCATTCTTCTTGCCCTTGGTCTCAGGCACATACCAGGTAATGAAGGCAAAGAAGAAGGCCGATAGTGCAGCAAAGATGAAGTAGACATGGCCGTGCAACTTGGCGCTCGCCAACGGAAAGAACTGTGCGACAATGAATGTAGCAATCCAGTTGGCTCCGAGCGCAATACTCTGTGTTGCGTCAACAGCATCCGGGCCTACCAGCTCGCTCGCCAGGATGAAGGGCACCGGGCCAAGACCAACAGCGAAGCCAGATACAAATAGCAGGACAGCAACGGCGGAGAGGACAGAGATCGACTTGATGATGCCAATGGCGAGCAGGAGTGAGCTCGTGCCCATGATGGCAAGGGAGCTGAGCAGGCAGACCTTGCGACCCAGCTTGTCTGCCAGGGGCGCACAGCTGGCTGTAACGATGATGTTGAGCGCTGAGACGGCAAGATTGAGAAGTGCGGAATTGGACTCGAGTAGACCTGCCAGAAGCGAAACACCGTACATGACAATGCTGTTGATGCCGCTGAACTGTTGGGCCAGCATAACCATGACGACAGCGATGGCAGCCTTTTGGTAGTCAGGATGGCGGAAGACTTGCGCAATGCTGAGCGTCTGTTCTTTGCCTGACTCTTTCGGTCTCGCATCAGCTGGCCCATCTTCGTTGCTCAATAGGGTCTGTTCCTCCTCTGGATAGTTGTTAGCATATAATGTAAACCCGACAATTTATTTGATCAACTTACCACTGACATTGCCTGAGCCCGAGACACCCCAGTCGTTCATTTCATCTTCAATGTCTGCATGTTCTCCTCTGATCTTGCGCAGCGTCTTCTTCGCGAGCGAGACATTACCCTGCTCTGCAATGTACTTTGGGCTCTCGACCGACAATAGCAGTCCCACGCCTTGTACAGCCCCGATGACACCTCCAATGGCCAAGATAAGCCTCCAGTAGGAGTCGTGGCTCAAGAAGTATCCCAACAACTGCGTGATCAGGATGCCCACGTTGCACCCAATCTGTGTGAAAGCACCAAAGAAGCCCTTCTCGCCCGGCGGAGAGATCTCAGAGATGTACAGGGGCACAATGACGACAGACGCGCCTGCACCCACTCCTGACAGCAGTCTTCCAAATGCCATAACACCAATGTTTGGGCTTAGCGCCTCGAAGATGGGGCCCACAGCGAAGAAGATGGTGGATATCTGCATGGCCCTGAGGCGCCCGTATTTGCCTGCCAGCGGTCCTGCCGAAAGCGCTCCCATCAGACCTCCCAGTGTGTACAGCGACCCCACAACACCCCATTCGGTTGGGCTCATTTCGATGCATTGCGGGAGGCTGGGGCTAGCAACGGTAGACTTGATCGACTTTCGTTTACAGCGGATGACATCTTCGGGCGCGTTCAACTCAGACTGGGCGTGTTAGCTATGCGCCGGTAATAGATGACGCTGAGTCCCACCAAATGGAAGCCGAAGAGAAGCGGGCCGAGAGTCGCAACGGACAGGATGTAGACGAAGTAGCCCGTCAGGCTGCTGAACCACGAACGCGGGTCCATGGTGGGATTCTACGGTGGTAGAGGTGGGAGGTAGTTTGGAGTGTCGCTGGAGCTTGGAGGACGTGTCAGCCGCCTCGTAGAACGTGACATCGGAATGACGATGATGCACCGCACCTACCTATGTGGGCAGCTCAGACAAGAGCGATAAGCTGTTCCGTCTATGCCCTGAACATGAGGCTTTGTCGCAGAGCTTGGGGTTTCACGGTCGTCACATTGCTAGTGCAAGCTTGGACAAGGGACAGGCGGAATCAAGTGGTTGGCTCCAAGACTGAGGCTCTGCGGGGAGCCATGCTGCGTCGTCGCTCTATGATACATGCTTGAACCTCTCGTCTTCCACCTGTGAACCTCTAGACTCCAAGCCAGATTCTGTACACATCATTCTGCGCGTCTTTCGGCATCGCAGCTTGCCATTGCGGATCGCGTCCCACACCTGCAAGGGCTCACCGGAGAAGTTCCGCTGGCGCGTCGTGGTCGTGGCCATCTGCCGCGTCCGGCGTGGAGACATCAGCTACGCGAGAGGCTGAGGCAGGACATGGCGAAAGCATGAGCCAGCTCGACAACTCCTCCCCGCCGGCCTCGTCGGCTTCTGCTGCGGCATCCACCCGGGCCCCATCGCGCAAGAACAGCCTGGCGACAGCTTCCGACGGTACGCCTCTGCTTTCTTTCCGTGTCCATCAGTCATCGTTTCCTATATGCTGGCCTTTCTTTTTTCCCCAGCCTCCGCTCAAGCCATCGTCGCTTCACTTCCCTGATCTGGCGCCCCTTGGCCAAACGTCGTAGCCTGCGTGATTGTTGTTCCTGCTGTCAGCAATTGCCGCTCGTGTCCGCATCACCCCTTGTTGACGTTGCTGGACCCTTTGCATTTCCGACTGTTCCATCACTTTAGCGTCTAGAAGCGAATACTAAACCTGTTCCTGAAGACTCGGCAGATCCCGTTCATGCCATGTTTACTGGATACAATAACAAGAAGCGAGTCACGGAGCGCTACAAGATTGTAGGCTTCATCAGCAGCGGTACCTATGGGCGAGTCTACAAAGCCGAAGGCAAGAATGGCCGCACTGGCGAGTTTGCCATCAAGAAGTAAGTCGGAACGAGTCTTGCCACAATGCATGCTAACATGCCCAGATTCAAGCCGGACAAAGAAGGCGAACTTCAATACTCAGGCATCTCGCAATCCGCTATACGTGAGATGGCACTATGCACTGAGCTCGCACATCCCAATGTCGTGCACACCGTAGAGATCATCCTGGAGGACAAGTGTATCTACATAGTCTTTGAGTATGCCGAGCACGACTTGCTACAGATCATCCACCACCATAACCAGCCCCAGCGACAGGCCATACCCGCGCCAACCATCAAGTCTATTCTCTACCAGCTCTTGCAGGGGTTGGTCTATCTGCACCGCAACTGGGTCATGCACCGGGATCTCAAGCCAGCCAACATCATGGTCACTAGTGCTGGCAAAGTCAAGATAGGCGACTTGGGTCTTGCCCGCCTGTTCTACAAGCCGCTGCAATCTCTCTTCTCAGGCGATAAGGTCGTCGTGACGATATGGTATCGCGCACCCGAGCTTCTTCTTGGTAGTCGTCACTACACCCCTGCAGTTGATCTGTGGGCTGTGGGATGTATCTTCGCCGAACTGTTATCATTACGACCTATCTTCAAGGGAGAGGAAGCAAAGATGGACAGCAAGAAAACTGTCCCATTCCAACGCAATCAGATGCAGAAAATAGTTGAGATCATGGGCATGCCCAGCAAAGACCGATGGCCTCTACTGACGGCTATGCCTGAATATCCTCAGCTGTCGTCTCTTGCCTCAGGCAACGCTGCACGATTTTCCCGACCCCAGGGTGGCGATGGTCTGGAACGATGGTATCACCAGACGCTCAACAATAACCAGTATCCAATAGGCTCCGGGCCAGATACACCTGGACCCGAAGGACTCTCTTTGCTCAAACAGCTCCTCGAGTACGACCCCCAGAAACGACTCACAGCGGAGAAAGCGTTGTTACATCCTTACTTTACCATCCATGGCAAGCCAGCCGACAGCTGTTTCGAGGATTCAAAGATCAAGTACCCCGTCAGAAGGGTCAGCCAGGAGGACAACGATATCCGCACGGGTAGCTTACCAGGTACCAAGAGGAGCGGACTTCCAGATGACTCGATCATTGGACGTCCTGCGAAACGTCTCAAGGAAGGATGAAGAGACTCGACGCGGTGATTTCGTGCTGCTCGATAATGTGTACGGACGATGCGATGCAGTTTCCCGTTTGTACGTACTGCCACAGTCATTGCGGCAAATCTATCCCTGGTTCTCGGCATGGTGCTACATGGCTGGACCCATGAGTAGTGGCCTTGGCAGTGGAAACGGCTTTGTGCGAGTCTTCATCTTACACAAGTGTCCTGGAACCCTCTCGACCCTAGTCCTGACGTAGCACGGACACGACGGCAATCTGACAACATGCTGGCTCTAATCGACCGAATGAGGGGAGGCCGTTCCCGAGGACAACGCAGGGGCAATATGTCCGACTGGGAGGTGCAAACCATTCTGTTGCATCTGTCTAGCTGGAACCATGTTGTGGAGCCCCTGGAAATGAAGCGTAAAGCAAGTAGTACTTCTTGTCTGCCTTACAACCCCGCCCTTTTCAGCGTGCTGGCAGTAGAACAGTGAAATAAGAGAAGTGTGCAGCGCCTTTGCACCTGGATCGCGCTACAGCGGTAGCGATAGAACCCACGATTTTAGGTTAGCCTTGCTCGCCGTAATATATACAACGAGGGGAAGACAGCCTGTCAAAGGCAGCCACTAAATACAAGTACGACGTTTCTCGACCCTAAATTACCTCCGGCACCGCCTGGATCGAGCGAAATACCCAAGATGATGAAATGGTCACGTCCAAGTCCTGGTGGTCGAGTAAGGGATGTTCTCTTAGGCATTGATACTACAAACTTGTCTCCTTAGTTCTTTCTCTACCAATTGAATTGTGCCATCCAGAGAGCATGCGGACTCGCGCTGTGCATGAGCACTTGGCCCTACTGTAGTCACTCTTCACGAACGCCACTTTGCGTGCTTGTGCTTCCTTCAACCTTCACATGTCTATTTTGTGCGTTGCTCTAACGACATATGGCATTACAGCTAGCGTAGCGGGCTCCACGAGGTGACGACAGAGAGGCAGTGGTGTGTGAGCAGTGCGCACGCATCAGGTTCGTGGCCAGTCTTCAGTGATACCTTCAAGTAAGTTCGCAGAAGGGTAATGGCAAGAACAGTGAAGGAACTGATAGAGAAGCAGACCTGTGTCGCCACTAGGTGCCTACGAAACGCAATGGGCCTGTCCTACCTGCCTTACCTGCAGTCTACCCCGGCTGACATTACACGAACGGTCGCTACAGTAGGCCTGCTGCCTCTGTTCATCATTCACTTTGATGGTATTCGGTGCCCGGCTGCTCTTCCTCCATTGAGTCACCTGGTAATTGGTCCGCTCTCCGTAACCGTTTGTTTGCGGGGCTAGTACGTGAAGGCAGGCGCGGACTGTCAACACCACGCCATCGTCGGCCCAAGCCACGTCCTTGACCATATAAGCCCGGCCGACCTCGTTCTACTCCTGCTTCGTCACTCGTTGAAATACTTTCGCTCCTTAGATTGCCTCTCATTAATTTGCTCCAAACCTGTGCACAGCATCACGAATCGACTGCACCTGCTGTCCGAACAACTCATACCTATTGAATCTCGCCCTTGGCCCTACACCCTACAAACAGATATCCAATATCTCTGCCGAAACCTAGCCATGAAGATTTTCGCTTCCCTCCTTGCTCTCACGGCAGTCACAGCTGTCGCCGCTCCCGCCAATGAGATCAGGCGCCGCGATCTCGCTGCCGACGATGCTCCTCATCAGGACGATCCGAACTTGATTAGCGCCGTCATGCGGGCTCACTGGTACTGGCGCAGATTACATTGTGCACAGGACCTTGTTTGGGATACTGAGCTTGCCAACGCCGCGCGTGCTGATATCTCAGAGTGCCCAAAGGACCCCGAACATGTAAGCAGCGGGCACGGCAATGACAGAGCATGGCTGATATTCGTAGAAACGCTCCGGCAGCAATCTCTCGTCCGTGAACCCACCCCCTGAAGGTTACGATGCTTGGGTCGAGTTCGCTCGCACTGCTACCCACGGCTGGCACGAGGAGGAGACCAAGTACCCCTACGACAACCCACACTTTGATCCTGCATGGGGACACTTCAGTCAGATGGTCTGGCGTAACAGCACGCGTCTTGGGTGCGCCCTTGGTCACTGCCCCAGCGACGTCAACTGGCCGGGACGCTTCTACTGCTGTGAGTTCAAACTACAGGATTGTAGGTGCAACAGTGCTGACAACCACAGACTATTCGTTCTTTGGCAATAATATTGCGGCTGGGCAGTTTGAGGCTCAAGTTTGGGCGCCCGTGTGCAAAGATCCTGACGTTGCTGAGGTCACGAAGCGCGAAGACGTCAATTTCAACTGGGCTCGCGTTTGAGATGCCCACGCTTGCTTGTCACACAACTCTGCGTACCGCCTGCGTAACGAGACTTACGACAGCCTAACCTTTCTCTCATCACGATGTTTGGCGCTATACCCTATTCACGGATCTCTGTTCACACATACCTTGTCTACTTGGAGATTTGCTGCCGCTTGTCTGGCATGACTTACTATATCACTGGTTCTGGCAACACTGGTGGTGGTGAGACGTTGATGACTATTACCAGTGGTCGACTGTTACCAGTTGTTGGAATGTGTCAGGTAATGAATCCGGCGTAGCTTGCTGGTCATTATTAGAGGAGATGTCACGTCCTGGGAATACACAAATTCTTCATGATTCATGCTCTCATTATTCAAGCGTTATTCCGTGAGTCATGACGAGAAGCATCCTCGACCTAGGCCAAAGGTTCTCCAGAAATCCACCGCACTGAACGACGAACGGCAATCATGTTTATCCAATGCAGGATAATAGAAAAAATGTCAAGACAAATCAAAAGATTATGTACTGCCTACTTCCACAATTCGATGAAAAACCGCAATGCCTTCACACCCTCGAGAATATCCATGGAACACGATCATCGACACAGGAGTGTTTTTAGGTGAATAGTTTGAGGACAGGAACGAGAGGAAAGAAAGAGATATAAGGGGCGCTGAGGGGCTGTGCTATGAGAGCTGGAAGTAAATGGGGTATCAAAGATGCTATCTGCAGGACACATCTCATGACCTCAAGAGATAGTAAATATACATCAAAAGGCGAGATAAGAATCTTTGCGAAACCATTCCACAAGCGTCGCATAACCCTGACAGGTAAAATGGACACCCTGGCAAAGAATAGGGCCGAGTGAAGTGGAGTGCTTGTGGACTTATTGAATCACTAAACATAGAAGAAGAAGAAGCAAACACTGGAATGACTCTCTTGAGAACGCATCGACACGCAGCTATACAAGCTAAGTGCTTGGTGTTGAGGACCAGTTCAGCCTCATGCACTGCACGGGTCCTCGCGATCGGATCATGCGGCCGGGCATTTCCGCGGATCGCGAAGCAATAATCGGTCCTACAAGAGACGGCAAACCCCCATGATCTCCATCTTACACATAACCATCAGCAAGACCCTTAATTATCCACTCTTCTCATCTCACTTTTTCGTCCCATGCCATCAAAATTCCATGTTGAGAAACATGGACATCCTCAGCCACCAGTCGGTCATGAGCGGGCGATCCCTGCATAACGGCCATGCGCCAGTGGACTTATTGCATCATTGAACGCCACCATGGCCTCGATCTCGCCTCTGAGCAGCGAAGAGCCGCGACGCGCGACAGGCAAGCCATCTCAGGGCCCCCACTAATGAGGCGTGCTTTTGTCTGCCCTGCGATCAAAGATATATCGATCTATGGCGTGCGAGGGGCGCGGAGATGGATCCGCGTGGGCTTAACACGGGCGACAGGCACGAGAGAGTCTAGCCCTTTGGCTCCCTGGCACTGGCCTGCACCTTCCTCGTGGGTCTCGCGCGTGCAAGTACAGTGGTTATCGGGTTTTAAGGTTGCGCCTGCCTCCTGTTTCCGCCGCGTTTGACGGATTGGCTGCTAAACGATCGACAAACACTACCACAGAAGATTCAATTGCCACCCAGTACTACAACAAGAGTCGCCTTTATCGCCCAAGATGCTGGAGAAGCAGCAGCAGCATGCGCTGCGGGACGAGGGCAGAGACGCTGTGCCGAGGCTACCTGTCTCCCTGTCGGGTGAGATTAACGCTGCTACACGGTATGCTTGTCTTCCTTCTTAACTATGGCCCTGGAGTGAGAGCAGGATGCTAATACCACTCGTCCAGATCTCTCCACACAAACCTTAACCGTCTCATAACCTCGCGCCTTCCGCTTGCGCTCCCGCCGTACACTTCCGACCCCACATTCTACGCAACTGGCCTGCTACACTTTGCGCACATCTTCCTGACTTTTGAGTCACTGTGGGCTGATCTGTTGCGCGACCATGCTCCAATCTCGCATACCGCCTCCCCGCACCCCGCAGTCGACCCCGAGACCGCCTCTCCGCCATTCTCGCCACTGCTCTCGTATCTCCTCGTAAACCCATACGACTCACCTTCACTCTTTACATCAACCTTGGGTGCGCCGACTGCGCCTTCTCCACAACTTGCTGCCTTTCTGCAAGCGCTGCGACCGCGAGGGTTGATCCGATCATCACGGCTAAAGAGAGATCTCGAGTATCTCCTAGGCGTCCACCCCACGGACCTCGAGGTCTTGCTAGCCAAATATCCCGGAGACAAGGTCGCCGACTTCTGCACGCACATCCGAAAGAGCGTCAACGAGAAGCCTTGGACACTCGTCAGCTATGCCTGGTGTTTCTACATGGCCGTCTTCTCTGGAGGTCGCTGGATACGAAGCGTGCTCTACAATGCACCACCAGGCTTCTGGCCCGAACAAGATAATGAGCGCACGACATTAGAAGAACGCGGCTTGTCATTCTGGCATTTTTTCGGTCCCCATGATGGAGAGGATATCAAGGCAGAATTCAAGTCGCAATTACTCGCTGCAGAGACTCTCTTTACACCGGACGAGCGCGTCGACATCATTGAGGAAGCAAAGAATATCTTCCGCCTCTGCGCTACGCTGGTAGATGAGCTGGATGAGTCGATCGGCACCGATATGGCGCAGTTTGTTGCGACACCCGCAGTTCATCCTGAGCCCAAGGCTTCGACCGAGAAAGCGATCCTCATCGATACCAACGTCACAGTTGTCGAAAACATGACCAAGTCCAATGACCCGTTCAAGACATTTCTCAGGAGGCCAGAAGTCACGGGTACCCTTGTCGCTATTGGCTGCCTAGCCGTGGTCACGCTGTTCAAGTTGCAGTGAGACAAGACGACATGCGTCTGACATAACGCCTGTTTCTCTTTTTGTTTTCATCACATGCTCATGAGCTTTGCTTTCCATGATTAGCGCTAATGTCTTCAACTGACACGGTGCGGTCTCTGACGGGCAGTAATGACGCGTCACGACTGCTTCTGCTTCTATTTCTCTCTTCTTAGCATACGGCATTCTTTGGAGTTCAGTTATCTTTGGCGGGCCAGGATCAGCCTGTCATTCGGTGGAGTTCTCTCCTACTTTACTTTATTCGGCGGTTTACTTGAGGTCATCTCAAACGATCAGTGCATGGTAATATGGCGTGCGATACCCCCTGTAGCAGTTCGTAGGATACATGCTTTATTTTCATTTACCCTCAGCCTCAAGATGTCACATGTAATGAGATGCTTGCACATGATACTCACATTGCGCACAGTGGCTTGTGTTGTTAAGGAGAGACGGTTTGTATTAGGTTTCTTTAGAGAGATCTGAAAAGTACATGGATGATGTTGCCTGTTGCTGACTTTGCGCTCTGCTAGAAGAAAAAGGAAGACAACTTGGCGGTCGTTACATGTTTTTGGATCTTTTGTGGTATGCCAGGAAGGGAATGACAAAAGAAACAACCTTCTCTTTCGGGTCACACGGTTGTGCTGTACAACTGGCCTTTTCGTTATTTGTTGCAGACTCCGTTCTTTTCTCCCTTAGGGCATTTGCATTGCTTGTGCTGGCAAGTCTTTCCGTCCTTGCAGGTATCTCCGCATTTTGAGCAGTCTTCGTTCGTACCCCAAGTATTCTTCTTGCACACATCTTTGCAAAGCTCTTCCCCAGGCTTGCATTTCGGTACGCACTGCTTGTTCTTGCATGTCTTTCCCTCTGGGCACTTGTCGTCGCATTTGGAGCAGTCTTCGTCTGTACCCCAAGTGTTCTTCTTGCACACACCTTTGCAAAGCTCTTCTCCATGCTTGCACTTCGGAACGCACTTCTTGTCCTTGCTGCATTTTTCCCCGTATTTGCATGTATCTCCGCATTTTGAGCAGTCTTTGTCGGTACCCCAGTTTTTGTCCTTGCATTCCCCATTGCAAAGCTCTTCTCCAGGCTTGCACTTCGGAACGCACTTCTTGTCCTTGCTGCACGTTTCCCCGTATTTGCATGCATCTCCGCATTTTGAGCAGTCCGTGTCGGTACCAAGGGCCTTGCATGTTCCATAGCAGTCAGTAGACTTGTCAGCAGGGCATTTGCACTCCTTGCTTTGGCACGTCTTTCCTCCTGTACACTTTGAAATGTCAGCATGTGGAGCTTCTCTTCATCATCACACACTTACCTCTTTGCAGACGCCACCACACGGCACTTTCTTATTCGAAGCTGGAGCCGCAGGGCCGCATTCATAGCAAGGCCCCTTTCCCTTGAGAGACTGGAGAATGCAATCCAACCCGTAAAGTGGGGTATTAGCTCCGCACCATGTTGTGCAAGCGGTAGTTCGTTTGGCCTCTGAATCGGGGAATGCGATACTAGAGCAAGCTATGCCGGAATGTTATCAGTATGAATCGCTGATTTGGGTTTCTGTTACATCTGGAGTACTGACCGAGAAGGAGTAGAGCGAACACACTGAGTCTAGGCATCTTGAATCGAAGTTCGGTGAGGATTGAAGTCTGATATGATGGCACTTCTCTGCGTGCTCAAATCCATAACGCGAGATTCTCTCTTTATTTATGCGTTCGCCATGCGGCTCAGAAAGAGGAGTCGAGATCCAGAATTGTCTTGGAGGTCTTGTCAATAAGCCATCTTCAGCTCCAGAGCTGCTGGTCTGCAGTACCACATCGTCATGATGTCGAATCCGTCGGTCATGGCATCCGCATTTCAGTGGGTTGAGTCTGATCCATCTCTTTATGATTGGCAGGCAATTCGACGCCTCCAATATCAGCGTAGAGTTGTCGAGCGCACTAGGTTCGAGGTACAGTTGGAAACGTAATTAGAAACGTCGAGTTCGGGTCGCGGGAGATGGCCAAGAGTCTTCTATACTAGCCACGTCCATCTGGGTATGAAGGTTGGAATCTCGCGACACTGACGATCAGCGAGAAAGGCGCTTTACATAGCGCTAATGCAATGCAGATCAGGTTCGAAGCAGTTCGTAAGTTCGTAGTAAAGTCTCCGCTACAAGCCGAACCCCGCTTCCAAGATATGTGGCTGACTTCTTAGTAGCAGCTAGAGCTGAAGCTGAAAAAGAAGACCTATGATGTTTGCAAGATGTTCGTATAGCTAGAGCTTACACATAGTCACTATTCTTTCGGTCCCGGATATTGCACCGTGCGGAACCTAAACCCCGCAGTGATCTTGACCGCATTGGACTTTCTTTTTGCCGTCTCAGCTACATATCAGGACGGCAACCTCTTGGCGTTCACAGATATGACAGAAACAGTCAAGCCAGCGATGTTTCTGCCAACCGCAAGATCAACCAAGCTGTATTGCCAAGCAATGCGAGCAGCGCATAAGCCCTAACCTCTATCATTTTGTCTTGGCTCAGTCGGAATCCACCATGAGCTACCTTAGATCTATGGCTAGCTTGCAGACACGCCTGAGTCCAGTCTAGCCTGCATCCTTTGAGAACATAGATATGCCTTTCAGTCTGCTAGAGGCCTGAAGCCTGTAGGATAATCCCCGCCTGCACTCCCACTGGCCTGAGCTTTGTATATCGTGATATCAAGTTATCTAGATTCTGGGCCAGCTCATGCGTGGTAGAATGTGTTCTAAGGAAAAGACGTGTTTTATTCATTCTATTCAATGAGATATGAGGAGATACAGATAATATGGCTGATTTTGACATGTTTCCAACGAAATAAAGAAGAGTACACAGTCATCGTTATATGTTTTTTTCCATGTTTGAGCAGGACAACGTTCGTATGCTTGCCGCCTCTTTTTACATGTGTTTTTGTAGCGTTTTGGTTTGACAGAAAAACAAAAAAACAAAGGAAATCCACCCCTCATGACTAAAAGACGGCTGTGCTTGATTGCTGCTTGGTTCGTCTCATACCGAGTTTTCGGCCTTAGTGCGAATTCAAATACCTAGGTAGTTTCGAATGCTCGTATCGAAAGACCCGTCCGTGCCATGGACTTTGCGCAAATGGCTCCGTAGGGCGGCGTCGCTGAAATAGCCTTTGCCGTTGACGCGATCGCAACCTGGTTGTGGGCAGGAGAGTGCGGATTCGTCATGCTCAGTGCGTATGTGGTTGGTCCATTCCTTCGACGATAGGAAGGCATTCTCAGTAGAGGACCAATATGCTCCGACTGGCTTTGACTTTGTGCAATCTGCCTTTGGGCACCACTTACGATGGCACGAGACAGAGATGTCATCTTCACCGATGTGGTGATAGTTGCGAACGTGTTGGGTGAGATGGTCTTTGCGTTTGAAGCCATTCTTTCCTCTGTATTTCTTGCAGTATTTGCAAGGGAAACGTTTGGCGTCCTTTTGATGACTTATTTGGTGTCTTGAATATGTGTCCAGTCGGGTGAATCCTTTTTCGCAATCTTCTTGCTTGCACAAGAAAGCAGTGTGACCAGAGTCGATAGTATGTAGCTCTAAATATCCTGCAGACATGAATACTTCCTGACACTGATCGCATGAAGTCATGCCCTGATGCATAGTCTGCATATGATGTTTGCCATCTTGTGGGACGACATAGTGGAATCCACATTGTTTTATGGCACACTTCTTTTTGACATGATGCGGCTGATACTGTGGCGCTGCAAAGCTAGCAGGCCTGATCTCGACAGCCGGGTCTACTGTAGAAAGAGAGCTCAATCCAGAACCGACAGTGCTACTATGATAACAGTTAGACTTCAGTCATAAAAAGAGTACTGAATGACCTACCTTTCGGTGTAGCCAACTTCCGGGAGCGTGATATTCCAGTAGTTATTCAAATCTTGAAGTGCAGCATCATTCCTGGAGAGCTCAAACCCTCCTAGCGGGGTTGACAACACCGGTTCAAGCCAGCCTACATGAGTCTCGGGGGGAATGTAGTTGTTTGGATTGATATGGTCTTGGACCCCTGTATGCCAGTCGAATGTGTTCGGTGTCGTGATCCAGCTTTGAGGGACATTGTATGCTTGACTATCCCAGCCCGAGTAACCAATTGGAAAACACAGAGGGGTCTGCAGGGCGGTGTCGTCAACGTTGCTGGCCAGCGCACCCTTTTTGTTAGCAGAGTGTAAAAAAAAAAGCTCACCCAAAGTCCTGGAACTGGTAGTCGTCCATGATTGGCAAGGCAGAAGAAGGCTGCGTGCGTCTAACCGAAAACGTCGAGGTGAAGCAAGCCACAAGTGTCGATGCGTTGGCACTCGTAAAGCAGCGTAGGAAGGCTGAGATAGTGTTGGTACGAATAGTGCAAGATTTTGATGAGAGCAACAAGCAGGATGCTTCGATAATACATACTTGCAGCCCGCTAAGCCTCTCGCTGCCTTAAGCGGGAAATGGAAAAGGGCAAGAGTTATTAGCTACTGCATCTTGGCTGCATGTTCAGCTACATAGAGCCTGAATGATTGGCTGTGATGCGCGAAAGGGCCATGGCCCTTTTTTGGTGCGAAGGATGAACGTAGTGGGGGCCAAGAACTGAACGCACACCTACAGGCAACCCACTCGCAGGCTGATGATTGCGAGATATACGCTTGCGGCTACAGCTATGACAGTTCTATTCCAATGAGCTGATCGAAATCAACAGGCGAGCAAGGATATTGGCCATGTTCTTGGGATGCAAGAAGCTAATGACTTGTTTCGCACCGAGACTCCAATCGCGCTTGCTCTGCCTGGCCGATACTCTACGACGATGAAACCTAGCAGCAGGCTATCTAGCCAAGAAGCAAAGTACATGTGCAAAGCATTTGCGCAGTGATGTGAGGAGAAACCAGCTAATGAGGTGTAAGTTAGAACCTGCTATGCTTGTGCTGTAGGCTAACTTGACGGAGCATTCACTGGTAGGAAAATGATTGGTCAGGATGTAACGATAAGTATCACAAGGGATTACACAGTTGGGGATATCTAAGTAGCATGTCGCATGTACTCATACAGCTCACGATCGAATGCGAAACCCATTTAGCACCATCGCAACTCTTGCCTTGTGGTGAAATGATGCTAAGGCAATCTGACCAGCCCTGGAAAGCTGAAGACAACGCTAGAACGGACGACTGCAGCCCTCTCAACCTTCTTGATGCGCTACCCTCCCAATGCATGCTCTGGCGCAAATGGGTCGAAAGGTGCCACAATCTGCTTCTTTCCAAACGCCTTCTTCAATCCTTCTTTCATCCTCTCCCACCTTGTCATCCCCTTCCTCTTAGCGTGCTCGAAGGTCATATAACTCTTATCAATTTCCTTCAGTCGTGTCGCCTCTTCCTTTTCAAATTGCTCAGCGCGCTCTCGTAGTCCATTGATAACGTGCTGACGAAGCCGATAGTTGGCAAAAGTCGTGTCGTGCTCTGGATGCAGGGCGAGTATCTCCGGGATCTTGGAAATAGCAAGACCAGATTCGTTGATCCGATGATAGAGGAAGGATTCAAGGTCTTCGGGGCACCAGGAGGGCTGCGCTGGGACGCCGACAAAGGTTGCGCGAGTAGCGCGGACAATGCCAAAGTCGGTTATCTCGCCAGCTTCGTATTGTTTGAGTAGGTCGCAGATGATCTGACCGCGATGTAAGAGGCGGACTTCGCGGTGTGTCCACTCACGCTTGTAGTCTGTCAGATTTGGTGGGAGGAGCCAGCCCTCCTGCGTGATCTTATGGGCTTCGTAGAAGTTGTTGAATTTGTTGCGGGCATTGGGAAAGAAGTAGCCTTTCCAGAACTTTTGGTGGTAGACTGCGGCTTCGACTAGGATGCGAAGATAATAATATAGCTCATGCTGACTCTCACCGTTAGTCTGACGAGATGGAAAGGACGTAATACCCCGGCTAGCCTGCCGAGGGATGTCGAAGATGGCAGCCGCAGTGGTATTGCGCCGATGAGCGTATTTGTTTCTCGAGCCTTGAACATAATGTATACCCTGCTCAAACTCCTCTAAAGATACGGCAACAGTAGCGATGGACTTGGCCTGTGCTTTTGTAAGGATGCCTTCCTCACCAAGGCCATGCATAAAGATCTCGAAGTGCTCTGGCTTCAGTATGTGTCTAGGGTCCTCAGGGAAGAGCTGTGCGACGATCATCTCGTGATCCTCGCTGTTCATAAGTCGACGCTCGACGAGCTCAGCGTTATTGACCACGGCATTGTATCGCATGATCCAGTTACGCTCGACAGAGCCTTTGGGCATTTCGCTCGCACGGATACTTATACCGTTGACGTTGAAGGTGGCATCAGGTATATCGCCATCAGCGTGGCGGGCTTGGAGATGAAAGTGGGCATTGATCTGATCCATGATGTTTATGTTGGTAGGACAGCCATCTGCTGCAAAGAAGGTGAGATCTTTGATGGCTTTGCGTCGACGTAGAGCCTCAATTTTCTGGTTTGCGGTTCTTAGGCTGGTTCGACGGAGGGTGGACGGAGAGAGACTACTCGAGAGACGAGCTATATTATGACCATCCCTGGGACCGTTCTTCTTTAGAACAATTCCTAAAGGCTTTAGACGTTCGCTGGTATTCGCCCGTGGCATAATAGCAGTATGGCGCTGCGCCAGCAGCTTTTCTGCTGCTCGCCTATCCGCCAAAGCGGCTTCTAATTCATCTGTGTAGGCATCAGGGCTGTCATGAGTCGGCTTGACGGCCACTGGCTTAGAGGTTGTTCGAAATATTGGGTGACTGTCGGCGCGCGTGTCGATGTCGGTTGGAAGGTCGAGGTCCGCCTGAGTCTTGATGCCAGGTCCAGCAGGATGGGTTACAGACTTGGTCAGTGATGTAACAGAGGTGACGCTGACATGCCTTTCGTTGGGTATCGTCGTTTTAGAATGCGCGCTTGTAGGTGGTGTGAATGGGCTCGTGGGTAGAGTGCTCGAAGGAACCATGTTTGAAAGCATAGTGGTGTTGTTCGCTGTCGAAGGTGAAGGAGAAGTCGAGGTAGCATACTTTGGACATATTAGTATTTGTCGTAATGAGAAATGGTTATCAGTACCGACCGTCTTCTGCTTAGGTGACTGGAAACGGTAGAGTCTTTTGGAAGTAGAGATAGATGTAGCTGGTGCAGGCGTAGAAGTCATGCATGGGATGTAAAGATCAGAGCTTGGTGGGACACTGTTATTACGGCGATGGTAGCCGAAGACTTTCTGGAAGCTAGCCATAAGGCGCGTGGAGTCGTCGCGCTTGTGACGCATCTTAGGGGCGCTGTTACTCCTATTTGTACCGGTGTTGCTATCCATGCCACTGCTGTGGTCGTTTTCAGCCAAATCGTTATCGTGGCTCCGGCGGGATAACTTAGCTGACAGGAAGGTCTTGAAGTTAGCCATGGCCGGTGTTAGAATGTTCCGGGTCCTTTGTTCCAGGATATCGCTGAGAATATGTTAGAACTAAAAGATGAGTTGCCGTTGTTAGTCAAGTGGTGGCTTGTGTGGGCGACATCGTCGAGCGTAGTGTGGAAATGGTAAGTTGTAAACATTGCCAAGCATTTGTGACTCGATTCAAGACCTCGAGAAATCGCGGGGCGTTGTGGCGAAAAGTGAGGGTGAAAGTGATATCAAAGCGGCCCGAGAACTGCCTCGATAGAGCGTTGTGGCCAAGTCTCAGAAGGCAGCAAGGTAGAGGTGCATCAGCGAGCCGTCTGAGAAGATGGCGTAGCTCCGTCTACTCGCGGATACTCAAGAGAGGTGATGGTTTGCGTGAGACTTACCTGGCACTGGTACTCGTTTCACACATACAATGCTCACGACATGTATATATGAACCGACAGTCGTCCTCACTTGGGGTTTCGCTTGCACCAAACACGTCAATCCTCCAGATGTCTGCCGAGCTGGGTGCACTATGCAGGTCTGCCACAACACATAAGCATCGCAGCCATGAAGACCGTATCCATCCAATGACGAGACTTCGCCTTCACGAGTCGAGCTCTTCGTGGAGAATGAAGGAAGGGCACAGAGGCAAGGACAGTCATACTGATGGACACAGTGAGAACTACTGCCTAACATGAAGTTGACTTGGAAGTGAAACACATGGGTGATTTAAGGATAGGTATGACTTGAAAGGTGAAAACAGAAAACTCCCCTAAACTCCTTGCTTGCCGAAGACTGATATGCGTAGACTAGGAAGACGATCACGACCCAGTACACTTGCGCAAATCTTACTGCGTCCGTCCTACAATGGATGTTCCGACAGGACCGTATATCCAGGATAGCTTGCTTATACGAACCTCTTGAGCACCATGAACAGTAGCGCGACCACTACTCCGTAGATACAAGTGTCGATCCAAGCCAGGTCGGGACTGCGTTGGGCAACCTGTTGAGGCGGCGGGGCGGTTGTTGTCCTTGTAGGTCTCACTATGGGCACTGGAGGAGCTGGTCGCGATAGGACTGTAACTGGAGCTGCAGGCGCAGGTTCTGAGGGCGATGCAGACAATGCGGCTTCAGCAGAACTCTCTACTGCCCGCTGCTTACCCTTATCCACCTTCTTGTCCTCTTCACCTTCCTTGCCCAGCTCGTCGCGATAAGCTAGTCTCAACTCTTCGGGAACTTGCTCGTCCTTCCTCTTGCCCTCCTTCTCCTCGATCTCCTTGACAAGCTCCTCCCTCTCTTGCATGATCTCGGCGTTGCTCTTGGCACAGCCGGCGCATTTCCATGCCCCGCTGTCTTTGGCCATGCGCTCACGTGCGTCTCTACTGCATTCGATGCCGCCGAGCTGCCCCTTCGCGTCTGTGTCCATGAAGCTTCTTATCGCGACAAGAGCTGTGCGCACGCCCCATGCCGGCTGCCATGTCTCTTCGTGATGGCCTGATATGCTTAGACAGATTTCGCGATTGACTTCGAAGCGTCCAGTGGGTGTGAGAAAGCGGAAAGACGGCGGGCGGAGAGGATACGTGGATGGGAGGACTATGCGACCGTGGTAAATGCCGCCGGCATAGGGCGATGGCTCGGGCGGGCCGCGGATCGTAAAGTGCCACTCGAAGAGGTTGGTTTCCAGAGGTTCGGCATGGTAGTCTGAGGAGGGCGACGTAGAGAGTTCTGAAGCTTCCTTTACTGCGACACGTCAGCTACCTATCATTAGTCACCATCTATGCTCGCATACATATCCGCTTGATAGTCGGGTTCTTGGTGTTGAACTGCCCGCGGGTGGACATGGTCGCGGCGGTTGTAGGTTGAGAGCACGGGGTATGAACAAGATCTTTATATAGTGTGACAAATGAGCAGAACCATGGGTGTATGTATATCAGCTACCTTGCGGTGCACGCGTTTGAGCGCATTCACCGAAATGCAACGTAGACAACCAAGACGCGGCTGCGTCTTTGGTAAGCACCGGCAACTGCTCGTAATCGATAAGTTCGGCCCCACTAATAATTAGCTCATCCAACACATTATGGTCAACCACCTTTTCGGCTTATGCGGGCTTGACATACTATAACATTACATTAGTCTCAATTCTGGCTTATTCCACCATGTCTTCAACTGAGCCCAACACTGACGATATGTCCGTGTATCATCCTCACGACCTGCTGATCGCGCAGTTCTTTCCTGATGAAGACATATCTTCTATGGGCTACGACTCAACAATGTACTCAGCATTGTACCAAAGTGCACGTATTCTTGAAAAGATGGGTGAAAAGCCTCCTCGGATCCCGTGGCCAATGCCTCCACCTAGGTCACCAGAGTTCTTAGAGGCTGCTGTCGAACAATGGCGAAGCGAGGCGCTACGGGCGATTGACTCGCGCGTGGCCATGTTCTCATCGGATGCTGTCCCGCATCATACTGTAGCTACACACGGTCTCCAGGCTCCTGCATTACCCAATCCCTCTGCTTCAGTGCATCGCCTTCTCCTTATACCTGAGCTGCTGGAACTCATCCTACGACAAGCAACCCCTCAAGCACAGCATACCGCATGGAACGTAAACCGTCTTTGGCGTAGGACGGTTGAACACATTCTGGCCTATGAGTACCGATCGTACCATCCCTGGCCCCCAGTTGAATATGGCGATCGCATTGATATACAGACAGGCATCTCGTGGGTGCAGCCGCCCGACGACGAGATCGCGCATGTTGAGCAAGAGACCGCAACCGCGTCGCAAAGACCTCTGCACGAGCTAAGGCAAGTCTACTACCCAGCTAGAATCGTCCAAGCCAGCTCACTGTCCGGTGCTGCCTATCTGGCGATCCAAGATGCGTATGAGCGTCTCCAATGGAAGCCTGCAGAGACCGACGCTGTTGATCAAAGCCGGCGGTGGATAGACCTCAGTCAATTCATGATGAATCCTCACGTTGTAGAGCTGTTTGGTGACCGCATGCAACTGAAGCTAGGCAGATGCGAGATCGCGTTGAAAGCCGGAACTGGTCAGCCCCGCCTGGTTCAAGGGTCGCTACCCAGCGGGAACTTTGCAAATTTGATTGCTGATATGTTCTTGACGGAGCCTCCTTGCAAGGCACTAGGCATCTACATGACTCAACAACACTCACACCATCTGCATTTACTTGTTACTGTATCTGATGAAGATGGAATCCGTGTGGGACAGTTCCTTGACGCTCTTCAGCAACACGCAGGCAAGCTGCTCTCTCGATGGAGAGTTCAAGTTGAACACCTTCGACGGAAGATTGGGTGGTCACACTGGGCGGATTTCAGCACTACTGAGCAAAAACGTCTTCCATGGATATACCACGGCTCTCCAAAATTCTACGTGTTTTTGGAACAGATACGGGAATGCCCTCATACACGAGGGGTTTTTCGAACATTGGCACAACAGGCTTATACAATGGGAGAATCAACTGTCATTGTACCTAGGAGCGAATGGTTTCGTGATTCTGGCAACTGTTAGATTGGATCATGCCCAGCTTTCTGGAATGTTACCTGTTTGAACAATGAACGAGCAGCGTGGTTTTTCCTTTGTGCTCGAGGCATCCAAAGCTATCCTGCAATCTCCATCAAACAATACTTCGAATTTTGCACGCAGCTAGTAAGGCATCGTTTTTCATTACTATCATATGAACACTATTGAAGCGTTCTGCAAGAAAGCTTCATCGTGTCAGAGTGTTGATGTACGCAACCCCTTCAGCTCGATCGTCGTCCTCTTCAATATAACTCTGATCTTTGCGGAACACAAAGTTCGTCGCATTGCTTGCATAGCTCGGCCATTCGGGTATTTGAGGTACTTCTCGACATGTCAGTGTATCAATTAGTAGATGTAAAGCATGCTAACTTACCACCGTGACCATTGGGATTTAAATCATAAGCAAACGACGTCCACATTCGCATCACCAGCTTTGATAGCGCAATGTTCTCCGAGCTGTTACCCAAGGGAGTGATTTGCTGCTCTGTGTTTCCAAAGACGAATGGGATCTATCATTACGGTTAGCTCTTCAAAAGTTTCTCCCGGTGAGGAAGATACATACCTCGGAAAAATGATTGACGCCGATCGTATCAGGCGTAGTATTGAACTTTGGTGCATCCCATCGGTACGAATACACACCATCGACAAATTCACTCATGCTTTGTGCAAGCCCTCTTCGCGGAGCGTACATGGTCAGGTCAGTTGCGATACTTTGGTAGCGCTTATACTGAAGACCATACTGCGGCCATGTGCGATTGCCCCATCCGTACGGTTCGCCAAGTGCAGGGTCATTGGGGTATAGCTCAAGCAGTTTCTCGGCAACTGTCTCGTTAATGTTCCAGCGCTTGGAGTGCACCATCTGATTGATGGCATCGGCGTCGCTGTTTACCCCGTTCACACCAAAGCCTTCGTCGGTGTTCGTACCGAGGATAAGAGGAATCTTTGCGAACTTGCCCTCCCGCAGTGATTCTGAGCCGTATCGAGGTATCAAGCTGCCATCTATGACGTGGAACCATTCGAGGCCTTGGTATCCGAAGGGTGCAATCGTCTCGTAGGGTACGTCGCGAAGACACTGGAGCGTATCCTCAGCGCCAGCGCAACCAACCGACTCGGTGAGGTTGTTGTACATATTCTGGTACCAGTCTGTGCCGTTGAGTGGCGCGCCGACAGCGCCACCACTTTCCAGAATCGCTGCGCGGAAGAGACCTTCGTTTTCACCATTGTATGCCGCTATGTGGTCTCCGACAGAGTATGCACCCGCCGATTCGCCCCAGATAGTAACCTTTGTGGGATCACCACCGAAAGAAGAAATGTGCTTATTGACCCATTGCATGGCGAGTCGTTGATCGCGAAGTCCTAGATTCTGTACACCGGCGTCTTTGACCTCTTCGCTATAAAGGAAACCAAGGGCTGCCATGCGATAGTTGATCGAGATGCCGATGACTGGTTTGTTGTTCAGCACAGATTGCTGGACGATATAGCTCATGTTGTATCTGGATACAGTTAGTATTTGATGCTCAGTGTAAGAGCGTCTTTGGGGACCATTTACCGCGGATCGCTAGTAGCACCCTGCTGCCATCCACCTCCGTAGATCCATAGCAACACTGGCAGGCTCGTCTCATCTGTTCTGGGCTTGACGATGTTCAAGTGCAGACAGTCTTCTCCCAACTTCGTCCAATTTGCAGCGACCAAGGTGTTCGTATCCGAACCATAGCCCTTGCAATCAATGCCGTACTGTGTAGCATTGTGATATGTCGTAGGGGAGTCTTTCACTAGCTCAGCAGGTGCGAAGCGTACTGGCTTTGGAGCAAACTTGACGCCCAGGAACAAATCCTGATCGAATTCTGGGAGGTGGCGTCCTTGGTAGATACCAGCTTGCGAATGAACGACAGGGGATGAACCGAGAATACTGGTGGCAAAGCACGCAGTGACCAAGCAGGATCTTCGAAGCTTCATGGCGGAAGGATCTGGGGAATTGCGCCATGATTGCACAGCATGTGCATTCACTCATATACACCATACATCATCTGCCATTTCAAACCTCCCTATGAGCTTCCACGGAAGCCTCGTTCCTGAACATCCACCAATGGGGAGCATAGCTACATCGCCATTTACCTATCCGGCATTCGTTTACCGACCAGCGCGGCTCTAAGCATGCTTGTGTTCTTGGCAACGTTGAATCGATGCTTGGTCGCCTGGGCATGGAGCATAAAACTGGACTGGCAGCATTTTAAGCCTGTCTGTGCCAGCCCTGCGGCTGCTTCACGGTGAATTGAGAAGCTTGGTAACAGAGTCAAGTAAACGGTGACGTGCCATATTAGCCGGCGATGTGATGCAATTCGGTTGATGCAAATTAATCCGGGGTAGACATTCGCTCCACATTACCCCGCAAGCCTCGCGGTGTGCCGTTGCATAACGCACCGTCCACACGTCATTTATCCGGGATCTTGGAATATACCACGTGCGCTTCTTTTTGTGAAAAGATCGTTGCAAAGCCCGAGATATTGCCTAGAAGACTTCCAAACCTGTAGTCTATCGAATGATTGACGTCCGTCACACAACTGCATTCATCTCAAGCTGGATTTCCTCTCAGTGACGAGGACATTCATCTGGTCCTGCAGAAAGATACCACCGTAGTTTAATGATCTCCAAGGCTTCTCAGAGTCCGCAAGAGACCAGTCGAAATGTCGCAGAAACTAGCATCTAGTTAGTGTCATGGTTCACCGCGGAGGGCTATATGACATACCTCGAAGATGGCTTTCCTAATCTCCAGCCATGCGATGGGCTTACCGAGACACTGGTATTTGCCATAGCCGAAAACCATCTCTGAGGTCCGGATCATGGCGTTCAGACTTCCGCGGTGGGTATCATCATGGTCATCGAGTAACCAGCGTTCTGGTCTGAAGCAGTCAGCATCTTCGCCGAAGATCTTCTTGTCATGGTGCAAGCCCCATGCGTTGTAGCTGATGTTCGTCCCGCCAGGGAAGAAATATTCTTTGCCGTCAATGACGAATTTGTCCCCTCCGACGGGAACCTTCTTTGGGACAACATCGGTGATGGGCGGGTGCATACGAAGCCCTTCGCGAACAACAGCCTGCAGATATGGTAAACCCTTCAACGTCTCATCGGAAACAATATCGAAAGTAGTGCTAGCCTGACTTGAGGCGACAGTAGCGTCGATCTCAGCCTGAAGGATCTTATATACCCTATGATGTGTCATCAGATAGAGCATCGTCGCGCGGATAGCAGTCGCTGTGGTATCCGAACCTGCCAAGATCTGGAGCATTGATTCGGTGAGTAGATCGTCTCGATTCAAACCGTGGCGTATAAACGAAGCAAGCATGTCCGAGCGACCACTCGTCGGCTTCTCAAGACGTGAGTCGATAAGACCCCGAGCTACAGCCATCATCTTCCCAAAACCAGTTGCATCCTTCTCTGAGGGCCCAAAAATACGTGCAATAGGTGGCCAGTGGAGATAAGGCGTCAAACCAAGGCCAGCGACCACAATTATAATCGACAGTCCGTCTCTTCCGGAGCTAATGTAGTTATCAACATCAGCATCGGCCTTGAGGTCTCCGAACGCTTTACCAAAGCCGATCTTGCTAATGACATCAAGGGTGAAGTACTGAATTTTGCTTCCAAGATCCATGGGCGTGTAACGCGTGGTGGTGGAAAGATATTTTGATCTGATCAGGTCGAGAAGCTGCTGTACATGCTCATCGATATCTGATTCCAGGGAGAGGTTTTCTTTCCCAGAGTAACCTGAAGCCATCTGCTGACGCCGCTTGGTGTGCTGAGCCTCATCAATCTGACTGAAGACATGGTCTCTGCCAACCTCTGTGCGCGTCGCAGCGTTGAACCATGTTGATCGAGTGTATGGCGAGCGCACCGCATTCATATGCGCCAGCAGGTCTGGCGAGGATGTGATTAAGTCGTTGGGGCCGACTCGGGCGATGGGGCCTGTTGGCGCTGTCAGCACTTGGGAAGGGGCGGGCCGCACAGGCGAGCCACGGCGCCTTTTCCGCGCTCCAACTCCTAGCCCTCCTGAGGTTTACTCACCATAGCGTTCGCCCACCTCTCTGTACCAGAGATGGGAACGTCGCCCCAGGAACGCACGGATGTGTATCAGTTCGGACCACCCCGTGGTAGGTGGACCAGCGAAAGCTCGAAGCCGCCGATAGCCCAAATAGGCCCTCGCTGCGTAGGCCGCCAGAGCAATCAAACCTAACATCCATCTTGCAGCATAAAGCTGCGCAAACAAAGACATGTCGAACACACGATGTCAGCTTAGAAGAATAAAGGATGAACAGTTGAGCAAGACAGAGAATGGTATTTCTACGAGCGGGGTCGCCTGCTTCTCCATGCATGTCAATACGGAAGCATGTTGCGATGCAGCAAGCGAAGCCGTGACTGCAGGTACCCTTGCTGAGTTTTGCTACCAAGACAAATGTCAGAACTACTGAGCATCCCAAGACCGATCACGAACGGTTGTTACGATCTGCATATGCACATAAGCACTATGAGACGCCCGTTGGATAATTGCCGGCAGTCAGTCTTGCTGTCACGCCATGGCACACTGGCATGATAAGAGGGGATACTCGCTGATCGCCCAAGACCGCATCGAACTGAACCTGCAGCTATGCTATTAGACCTATTCACTATTAGTCTAGCCGTCGCTTCTGCCTACGCGCTTTCGTACGCTGCTTCCAGGCAGCATTTTTCGGAGCTTCGTCCTAGCTATGACTATATCATCGCTGGCGGTGGCACAGCAGGTCTCACGGTAGCTGATCGACTTGCAGAAGCCTTTCCAGACAGTAAGATGTTTCAACTGAGTAAAGGGAGTTTATCAGTGACATTTTTCATAGGGACAGTCCTCGTCATTGAGTATGGCGAGGTCGAGTACGCACCCGGCGTTTTCGACCCTCCAACTACTGTATGGGGCGGTTCTAGTGCGAAAGCAGGATTCTTCAGTTTCAACTCACTGCCGAATCCTGATATGGACGACAAAGTGGCGTCGGTCCTTGTAGGAAAGACTGTGGGCGGAAGTAGTGCTATCAATGGTATGTATTTTGATCGCGGATCTAGACATGACTACGACGCATGGGCCCGAATTGGAGATCCTGAATTCAGTTGGAGTACGATCAAGTGGGACTGGGATAGCTTGTTTCCTTACTTCAAGAAAGTAAGTGCGGATACTGCTCATACATCTGGGATCTGACTAACTGCGATGCAGAGTGTGACCTTCACTGAGCCGACTCCAAGCGTGGCAGAACAGCATGGTTATACCTGGGATATGTCCGCTTATGGGGGTACCACACCTATCTATTCAAGCTTTCCACCATTTTTGTGGGGCGATCTTCATGTTGCCAGAGATGCTTGGAAGGACATGGGCATTCGAGCGTTAGAAGAGTGCGCTGGGGGTGATAAAGAAGGACTATGTTGGGCACCCAATTCTCAACATCCAATTACGGCAAGGCGATCACATGCCGGCTTGGGACATTATGAGGATGTGAAGAATTCCAGACCGAACTACAACTATGACTTGCTAGTCAAGCACCAAGTGATCAGGGTCGTTTATCCTAACGACGTTTCAAAAGGCCCACCATTAGTTGAGGCGAGATCTCTGGCGGGAGACGAGACGTTCAACGTAACGGCCAGAGTCGAAGTTGTCATCTCTGCAGGCGCATTACATACGCCTACCATCCTGCAAAGGAGCGGTATCGGACCCGCACCCTCGCTAGAAGCTATGGGCATCATTACTGTATTGGATCTTCCTGGTGTAGGCTCAAACTTGCAAGACCATTCTTCGCCCGGTATATCATGGAGTTGTAAGTGGATCCGCTTTTCGTTGATTAAGAACGACTAGACACTGATTCCACTACAGACTCGAAGCCCGGTAACTTTTCCAACATGCCTTCGGATATGCTCAATCCTGCGTTTGCCAATCAAGCAGCAGCAGAGTTCAACATGACACCAGCAAGAGGCCCATACACATTGGCTATGAGTTCAACTGCTCTCTACATATCACTTCCTAATGTAACTGAAGAGTATATGAGTATAATCAAGGAGATGCGCAGAGTTGCCGACGACGGCTCAGCGGCCTCTCATCTGCCCGAAGGGTCTCACTCAACCCTCATTGACGGCTACAAACGCCAACTTCACGTACTTGCGGACCTTCTTGAGAACTCCGAGGCTCCTAGTGTGGAAGTACCGTTTGCAACTGGGACAACCATGCGCCCAATCATTCTCCATCCGTTGAGTCGCGGCACTGTCCATCTCAATCTGACAGATCACTTGGCTCAGCCTATACTCGACTACCGCGCTGGATCTAGCCCAATTGATTTCTTCATCCACATCGCTCATCTCAGATGGCTTCGCAAGGTACTTGATACACCCACCATGCGTAAATATGGTGCTGTAGCAGTTAGTCCAGACCCAGCTATCCAATCGGACGAAGATCTCAAAGCGTTTGTTAAGGGGTCAATGGTGCTGTCACACTTGCACCCATGCTGCACAGCTGCTATGTTACCTAGAAATCTAGGAGGCGTTGTAGGACCGGATCTCAAGGTCCACGGTGCAGCTGATCTACGTGTTGTCGACATCAGCATCCTACCGTTCCTGCCAAGTGCACATACCAGCTCTACGGCGTATGCTATCGCAGAAAAGGTCAGTGGAGAGAGAGACATTTGAACAGAAACTCACTAACGCTGAGTAGGCTGCGGATATCATTATACATAATCTATAAAGATAGTACCATGGGTATTTCGAGATACCACAATATGCTTGGATAGCGTTTCCACAGTATGATACAGATGTTTATGTTATTCAATATCTACGATGATGTTACTAATCGGCGCTCGACTTTCACATCTGCAGATAGCTTTTGCAACTCTTCACTCAGCTCGTCTGCCGCGGCATTTAGCTTCGCATCATCAAGAGCTTCCAATGCATCCAAAATGAAGAGCACGTTAGATGTTCCGTCGCTTAACGCAGTCCTCGAGCATTGCCTCCAGTTCCAGCGCCTGCAGGTCTAATTGTAGTCGTACAGAATCAGTATATGTCTCTCTCATATGCAGCTCGTACAGTGTCACTTACCACGCCGCCATCGTCACACCATACTGCTTCTCCGGGACTTGGGTGTTCAATGACGATTTCGCCGCCAGATTTGGTGTCAAAGTTTTCATCACCCTTCGCGCGTATCAGGAACGGGCTTCCTTGGTACTTATCCAGATCCTCGCCTCCCAAAGGAATCTGATGTTTGATTGAGATGGCGTTATATATATCCGTCAGTCGATTAACACGTGGTAAGCCTGCGTCAACGCGACGCAATAGCGCTTCGAGGCTGTTCATAGTCTTCTTGGGCTTTGCGCCGAAGGCCTTGTAGGCTTCTTTCCATTGCGCGACATGAGCAACATCGTTGACTGGAGTTTTCGCAAGAGATGCTTTAGCTGTTGCTTCTGCAGAAGATAAAAAGGCTTCGCTGGTCGCGTCGCAAGGGCCTGGTGGGATGTTGGTAACTACCATGAGCAGGGCGCGGTAGTCTGATCGAAGCTGGAATATCTCTGGTGCAATGCGCGCATTGGCAAGATAGCTTGAGGGATCCTGGATATTTGCCATGTTCGAGGCGATTGTGGACAAAAAGCGAAGGTCAGCTGTGCGGCGTGTAAAAGGCAATGATGAAGATATGGAGGCTGGTACGATGACGTGCAATGTGCGTGAAGATGTGTGTCTGAACATTTTTTTCAACTTGCTTCAATACTTATTCATTTACATACTGCTACAGTGAACGCTCTAAAATTACCATGTTAGGACGAAAACTTCTACATTCGACCACAGGGCGTACATATGAAAGTCTCTGTTGACATGTTGACATGGCCGAGTCTAGCCTCTTTCTACGGGCGTCTAGCGCGTTATCGGGCTAGTTCTAGCGGAAACCGAGTCCCCATCGTACTTCGTACATCGTCGCTTGCATATTATAGCTTCCCAAAAGTTGCCATCCCCGCCACTCAGCATGTCGTTCCTGGTCAATCCTTTTTCTCGATCGTCCCAAGCTGGAAACGCGTGGTTCTGCGCTGGTGCAGTGACGTTGTACCCAAATCTTGATGACTCTGCGCGCGTCGGTGAACAGCGCCCTTGCGGCGAAAAAAAGCATGTTCCAGGATGCCGAGTATTCCACGTGCCCCGCGATGACAGCTCCAAAGCAACTGAGGTAGCGATCGATGATTGGAAAGACCCTGAAGTCGGTGGTGATGCGAAAGATCAAGTAATGGTGTTTCGATACAAGGGAAAGTTTTGCGCTATCAACCACGTATGTTGCGATATTCGGTGCTGTACATCTGGCGCACATGTTAATCATAACATTTGCAGGAATGCCCACACTCGTCATATCCACTCTCTAATGGCACGCCCTTCGATATTGAAGACTTTGGCGTCGTGCTGAGCTCAGGTATCCAATGTCCCAAGCACGACTGGTCCTTCGATCTGCATACCGGCCGGTCAGATCGCGGAAGCTACAGGCTCCAAGTTTGGGAAGTTCAGCAAAGAGCTGGCAGTGAGGGCGACGAGATATGGGTCAGAAGAAAGCAAAGAATCGGATAATTTCACGGTATCGCATGCGCTATGCTTTACAACTTGATACCCGTAACCTCGAAAGTCTGCACCATGTTCTTCTCAAACTTCGACCAGAACTTTGTCCCGCTGATCGTAGTGTCGAGATGCTGCACGTACCGATCACCGCTGCCAATCTGAGTGCTCCACCGCGAAACGGTTGCCCCGGATGAAGGACGTCCCGAGAAGCCCGACAATTCGAAGTTTAGGTACTGCGCCGCGTCCCAGTTCACGGCTACGATAACCAATAATGACTTGCTCGCATCGTAAGCAGCAACGACGTTGTCCCGGCCGCCATCGAGGATCCGCATTCCTGGGCGCATATGTCTTGCAAATTGCGCGAGTACATAGTACTTCTGTGTGGATGAACCCAGCGTTTTCGCATCATTATCCGCGTCTACCAATCCCCACCCACCTTGGTCCAAGACCTGCCAGTACTCCCATGCTGTAGGCTTCAATTGGCGGAGGTCCTGGAGGAGGTATCTAGCCATGTTCTCGCCAGAGGCCACACCATCACCGTATTCACTGTTCCAGAGAGACTTTCCAGCCTGTGTAGCTAGCGTATGGACACCAGCGCGATCACCGCTTCCGTACTGGTAACCATGCACGTTGATCCTATCAATCTTGCTGAGTGCACTGCTACCAATCGTCTTCAGGGTGGTAGCAGCTTGGTCGTAGTACGACTCATCGGATGCCGCAATCTTCGTTGACAGTCCGCGGCTCGCGAGATGTGTATCGAGGAAGCCGACAATCTTGGCCTGGGTGGATACGTCGACGTGGCATCCTTCTTGCGTACCGTCTGCCTTCCACCAGTTGGCGCTTGGCTCATTGAACGGATCTACAGTTTCGAACTCGACGCCCCAGTTGTCCTTGAAATGCTTTGCTACATTCGCCATGTAGATCGCATGCTGCTCCAAGTTCCACGATTGGATGTTTTCGCTACCGTCAGCTGCACCTGAGGGGTTGTGGTTCTTTGTCATCCTAAAAGCAGTTAGTCTACTTCTCACATATCGCTTATATTTGATAGCTATATACCACCACATCGGCGAGTTCGAGAACAATTCCGTTCTATCCGCTCCACGTGAGATCGCCTTCTGGAGCATGGCTCGTTGATTGACGTCAACAGACCTGGAGAACAACCAGTGGTCAGTAAGGAGACTCAGAGCAAATGAAGAAGGCGGGTATCATACCAGTTCCAGCTTGAGGAGGACGAATCATTGCTCTTCCAGTCTATCCAGTAGCCCTCCATCTGCCTCGATCTCTTCACGTTCGGCGATACTACCATCTTCTCCCCGTCGACGGCATTCCAGCTACATGCACCCGCATTGTAGCGTACAATGTTGAAGCCAAGTCCTGGTAGGGTTTCACCGTTGAATTTGGTTTGCTTCAGCGTGAAGAATATATCCGCAAGGTCATCTCTGTCGCCGAACTGTTGCGCCCACCATGCCAGCGAAGTTCCCCAACCTTCCCACGTACCCCAGTTGCTCTTGGGGTCGATTGTAGTCGTAATATCGGCATTGACAGAGTAACTGCTAGCCAGCACCAAGGCCGTTCTGAAGAAAGTTGATGTGCGCATCGTAAGGAAGTATCGAGCGAGGCTGCTATCGATCACTACATTCTTTCATCATTTTCACTCTCTGCTTAAATACAGCAGTCGATCTCAATGTCAGCTTCTCATTCAGGTATCGCGTCCGCACACACCATCTTGTCACTAAGAATACACTTGGCTCTTGGAGCATGCGGGAAGCGGGGTAGTGTATACACGATGCTATAGTACTACCTCGGCGCTTGGTGGCTATTTGGGAATGAGCTCTAGCAAGGACCGGTACACGACAAACCAGTTACAACTTCGGCAACATAGACAAAACGAGCGATTCCAGAGTCCTCCACGAATAAGATGATTAGAAAATCAATTCAAGGTGGCCGCGTGATAGACATCCAAGGAACCGGATTACTTCCGGAGTTACTCCGCGAACGAACTTTCGGTTTGCTGTGGGGCGGAAGATTTCGGCATACAAGTTCTTCCGCATTTAGACACTTTGAAACCTTGCGATGACGGCACTGCCACACATGCCGAAGCTCAATGACTATTATACGATGTGTTTAACGAAATTGAGTGATCCTTCCGCGGATAAGGTTCGGGTGTGGAGGCGGACGCTAAAGGGCTTGTCCCCACTATGCTTGCCACCGATCACGAGCTGTGGAGTGGAGAACATATCGGCTGACGGACTAAGTGACGGCCGCGGTGCAATACGTACAAGCTAGTAAATGCAATCACAATAAACAGGCATAACCAAGCAAATGTATTCTATCTTAGATATGGTAGTCATCGCGCAAAGAAGAAGGAGTCAAGGACTCGTCAGATATTACAGAATTTATTGTACGTGACTGTTCGCACATATACTATGATACATCTAGAGAAGCTTTGCAGCTCCCGCAGTTGAGTTACCACTTTCGGTCGTATTGCCAGCAACAATACCATTCTCATCTGCCTGGTTTAGCCAAGCAGCCTGAAGTCCCCAGACACCTACACTGGCCGTCACTGTCTCGTTCAAGCCCGAAACCCTCAGCATCATCGTGTCAAGAGGCTGTGTAGGAAAGAAGACCGAAGTTGCACTGAGTTCGCCACCGTTCAGGAAGATCTCGATAATGCTCCTGTCGATGATGCCAGAGATCCTCCATGACCCGTCATCCTCATTGTAAAGACCTGTAGCAGTGAACTTATCGGTGAAGTAAGGGCTTTGGAAAGCGTCGGTCTTCCCGCGGTCTAGCCACACGTCGCCGGATGAGATGAAAGTGCCACCTGAAATTGACTCTCCCGATACAGAAGACTGGAAGGTGAAGCTGATAGATCCGGCAAGGGAAGGACCACCAGTGATACCAGTAACGTTGGCTTCGAAGTAGAGCGCGCCTGACTCAACGGTGGAGTAGTCAACAAAGACGGTACCGTTACCAAGGGAGTCGTTGGAAGCTAACTCCGAGTCGACGATAGACATGATGTCTGAAGGGTACGAAATCAGCGACAGACCCTGGCGAGGGAGATCCTTCAGGTAGTGGCCTCTTGGCACCGTCATGACACTCCTGAAACCATCACCTACAGCCTCGCCAGCAGTGGGAACAACGTTGGTGTATTGCCAGTTGCTTGCCCAGTTAAGCGTAACCTGGTCTTCCTCGGCAGGAATACCATAGAAGAACTGTCCAGCATAGTTATCCTTTGCGAAATCCGTGAGCCTAGTGCGCGCATCGTCGGCTTCGAAATGCGTGCCGTTGAATGTTCCAACAAAGTACTCTGTGATAGATCCACCGAGCGGTGCACCCGGATTGATTGAGATAAGCATAACGTATTTGGATTCATCACCGTCGGTAGAGTTCTCCACGCGCATCTCGACCATGTTCGGGCACTCGTACTGCAGACCAGTGATACCGTGGTGGGAAAAGTTTGACGTAGGCGTCCAGTCGATGAGATTGGGACTAGTAAAGATGCCGACCTCGAAGTCAACGGGGTACGCCACAACCATGACCCAGCTCTCGGTGGGCTCATACCAGATCACCTTTGGATCACGGAATTGGGTGGGGTTAGTGCCACCGGGTACGATGACAGGGTTGTTCTCATATTTGGTGAAGGAGTAGCCGTTGTCATGCGAGTAGGCAATGTGCTGAGTCTGGTTCTCGGGGACATTGATGGTGTAGATTGCGACCACGCCGTTGGTCTGGTTTGGGAAGAAACCGCTGGTGTTATTCGAATCGATGACAGCTGATCCCGAAAAAACTCCTTCTGTGGGGCCACCAGGGAAGAGAGCAATGGGCTGGTTGGTCCATGTATAGAGGTCTTCGCTAGTAGCATGACCCCAGTGCTGGTTGCCAGCGACGTTTGCGGTAGGGTTGTACTGATAATACAAGTGATATACACCATCTTCATCAACATACATGCCATTGGGATCATCTGCAAGAGGAGTTGAATGTCAACAGTGGACTCGTAAGTCTCGTGTCTTTGGAAACTTACTCATGAACCCTACGGGTGGGCTGTAGTGAACTTGAGGTCGAAGTGGCTCATCATAGTCGCCCGGCAATGGTGTTCCCGTCGGCACATCAGATTGCGAGTATGTAGATGTGCTCGTAGCCGATGCCGTTGTGTTGGATGACACTTGTGCATGCCCAAACGTGAGCAGGCCGCCAATGGCTGCGAGGACGGATAGATGGGAAGGCATGGTGAATTGGTATCCGGTCCGATATGGATCATGTAGAGAAACACCCCCAGCTTTATGCTTCTCCAAGACTCGTCCAAGACTCCGATGCTTCCCCAAGACTCCGATGCATCTAGGACTAGAGTGTAAAATTTTACATCCTCCGTGACAACATAGGTAGGCGTGAGTGTGCCCCGCATCTTTTCCCCGTTGTCACTCCGCTTATTCCGTAATGCTGGAAATTTCTTATGCGCGTAGTCGGCGGGTGCATGATGGAGTGGAACCGAGACAGAGGAAACGAGCATACCGGAGCTTCCGAGAACGCGTTTTCCCCGCGGAACTCTGTAGGGCTATACCGACTCCAGCTAGACTCACAGTTGAAGTGAACGTGCGTTCTCGCGTATCCAGGTTGACGTTTAAACGTTAGGTTAGTGAGGACGGGACCGATGTGCAATGATGTCGTTAGACGTGCTAGCGCATACCATAATCCCTCCGAGAAACCTTCCATGCTCCGATCATGTCATGTATATGAGCAGTAAGCAAGGAGTGGCAGAGCGCTAAGGTAGAACTGCACAGAAAAGGGCATTAGGAAGCTGATTTCTTGTCAACATCCTTGTGTTATTGAATTACTCGTGCGTGCCGCAGGTTTAAGGTGCGAGTGCGAAGTCCCAGACCTGTACCTTCCTTGTTCCGAAAGGACCACCTTGCCTGATAAACAAGCTCAGTACATTGAACTTGTCCAACCTTTCCTCATCCACTAATGGCTCGCCTGCAGAGTTTGGGATGTCCGCCAACTTCTTCCAATCATTGTATGCTCCTCCCGCTGTCGCAGCCCAGATCTGAATAGTCATCTTAGGCTGGTCTGGTAGGATAGCAATCACATTGTCGCCTGAAGCAGCGATCTTGCCTCTGTAAGCGAGGTATGGTGGTGTTGAGAGACCGGGCGTCTTGATAGCGGTCTTGGAGAATTTGCCCTCCGGGGTTCGAAGGTAGTGGTAGAACTGTGCCGTACCTGTCGAGTTGTCACGCATGAGAGCATGGAAGCGACCTTTCTGATCGGCGCATTGGGCCTCCTGATTTATAATCTCGCTGTTTTGTGGGATCGAATATATTTTTATGCCGGGTGTTGTCGGCGTGATGGGCTTTGCGACGGTCTGTCCATTGGTCTGCTTCCAAGTCTTGCCATCGTCTTCCGACATGGCGAAGTAGAAGTCGTGGTTCGTGCTCGCCGTAGGCGTTTCGCGGACGGTCCATGAGACGAAGAGCTTTCCACCTTGGTTACTTATTCCGTTGATGTATGCATTGTTGTCTTGACCTTGCAGGTATTTCCCAACAGCGCTCCATTGTGAAGAGCTTGTAGAGTATCGATGAATGTACGAGTCACCAGCACCGGACTGTCCGATCCGGAACTCCATGAGAAGGTCACCATTGTCGAGACGTTCAAAACGAGGGTATGTGAGCGGTGTCCATGGCCCGGTCGAGCCAGGCAGACTGTGCTGGACAGCTCCAAATGCACTAGCGGTCCACTCGGATGGAATTGTCTTAGCAATGCCTGTATTACTCGCACGATAGTTGAGTGGCACATCGTGATGGTCGAAGCTCAGATGGATCTTGCCATCACCGCTGATCCCCATGCTAATGGTGTTGTGTTCGTCCAGAGTAGTTTGCACATAATCGGTGAATGCAAAATATTGCCACTCTCCAAGCGCAGGCGAGATCTTGCGACGCCCCAAGTTGACGTAGTGCTTGCCGTACCCAGAAGCAGTTTTGTAGAAGGCTACGTATTGGTAGTCGCCGAAAGTGGTCAAGGCGTGTTGTTGGAAAGCAAGCCCATTGAGACGGACGGAGCCTTCTACGTCATTTGTGATGTTCCAATTCTGCGTTTTCGTGATGGAGAGTGCAGAAGCAATTGAAGATAGCGCGGCGAAGCACGCAAACAACGACGAGGCGACTTTCATGGTTCTGGTTGCGGAATACTCCACGTTCTCGGAAGGCCAACGCGTGTGCCAATATATATGCCGGCTACTATACGGTGCGAATGTACGACAGAGCTTCGGATGAAATCATCTCCTAGTGTACGTGCGTGAGCCGCATGACTAGTCCGACTCTTCCCAAAGCTTTTTGCTAATTTGTGTATTCTAGGCTTGATCATCTGGGGATGGCAATGCATCCGGCATGCATCGACATTGACCTGCATCGGGAAATCGGGGTATTGCTGTGACGGAGGCGGGGAAGCTGGGGTAGTGCCATTATGGTTCTCTGCCGGGCCATGATTGAAGCGATGTGTTCAACACTGGACCGGAAAAATGACAACTCTCCAGAACGTGCAATGGCGCATGGCTGAAGCCCATGAAGGCCTCGGTAGTCATTGTCGCGCATTTATGCTTCGCATAGAGGGGGTGCACGAGTGCTGGTGAGCGTTAGTGCACAGTTTTGAGAGACACCGTCGATACGGGAGCCTAAAAGGCCTTGAAAGTCGCGTCACCACGACAATCTGGGCGGTTGAATGTTTTCTACTATCGAAGGGTGCAGACGCCACTGACGTGTGGCACATTTCGTAGCGACTTCTTGCATCGGAACGGTTCCGAGCCTGGATCCCGCGTCTTCTCGCGCGCGTGTCGCGTCGCCTTCCACCCTCCTTCCGATACCGCCCTCACTACCAGCTCAATGCCTACAATAACCATCGTGGTACACTTCAAGAGCCGCAGAAATGCCGCTTCTTAGCGATAGCGACTCATTACATGCCTATCTCCGTGGTAAAAGTACAGGAAACGACACCAGAAAAGGCAGGAGCAACTGCAGCCAAGGGCCATTTCTACTTGGCAAACTACTCCAACAGGCAAAAGCGTGTCTTGACTGACGTATCGCTACTATTCAAAGATGGGGGCAGAAGAGAGGAATAAAATATGCCAGATGCGCAAATTGGTGTTTTACACCTGATCGTTCGAGGTGATACCAGACGAAGATGCGCTCATCTTCGATTGCTCTCTTCGCAGCGTCTGCGCTTGCGCAGACTCAATATGGCGAGAACCATGTCAATGTAAATCTTGACTCGCAGCTTGTGGAGCAGACAGCTTTTCCAGCGCCGGATGTGACACTCCTGAGTCCGGCGTTCTTGCCGAACGCTTCGTTCGATCCGGGCTGGACAGAGGGAACCGAAGGCGCGACCTCCCAATACAAGTTAGGTACGTCAATGATGGATGTGCAGATCTGCTACAGACACGAAATCTAACTTAAGCAGAGGAATTCATAAGCGGCCTTGCGACAAAGAACCCTTCATGGATGACCTACGACGTAGCCGACTTCCTGAGCGAGGAGGGTAAGACATTCCCATACGTCTACCTATCAACTTCAGCATCAAACGCATCTACTGGTTACGCCACCTCTGGGAAGTTGAGAGTATGGATTCAAGGCTCAGTTCATGGTAACGAGCCGGCAGGCGATGAGGCAACTTTGGCCCTTCTCGGTGCCATGGACAGCGATCCAGAGTGGGCTGCCAGCTTCCTTGAGAAGATGGACATCATCGTGTTACCACGCTACAACCCGGATGGAAACGCTTACTTCCAGCGCACCTTGGCCACAAACTTCGACCCGAACCGCGACCACACGAAGCTTGCGCGCCAGCAGACCCGTGATATAAAAACATGGTTCAGCAGCTTTTCTCCACATGTCGCCATTGACATGCACGAGGTAAGACCAGGTTGAACGGGATGCATGTGTATCATATGCTGACTTTGTTTCTGTAGTATGGTGCCGCAACACGCTACTCTGGCAACTATAGTAATGCTGCAGATGGCATGTACAGCGCAGCCAAGAACCTCAACATTCATCCATCCATCCGCGCGCTCTCCGAGACGGTCTTTGCTCCTGCCATCAATGCGTCTCTCCTCTCTCAAGGTTTACGTGGGGAGCCCTACGTCACCGCTGCGCGAACAAACCCACCTCGGCTTGAGGAAGCAGGGACCGATGCGAAGATTGGACGCAACGCAATGGGACTGACACAATGCGTGACGTTTCTCTTCGAAACGCGCGGTATCGGCATTGCAAGCCAAGAGTTCAAGCGTCGCACCCTCGCAGGATTGCAGATGATTCTTGGTGTGCTAGAGACTGCTCGTGATGAGCCTGATGTCAAGGGAACTATCGAAGGGGCCATTTCAGAGATCATCACTAGCAAGGAGGACATCGTTATTACCGACTACACCACCTTTTCGAACCGCACGTACACCATGGTCGATCGTCGAACAGGTGAGGTAGTCCAACTACCCATTGAGTTCGCCAGCACTACGCCTGCGACTGCCAACATGACCCGCACCCGGCCTGAAGGGTACGTTATTCCTCGCGCTTGGGCTGACCTCGCCGAGCGTCTCAAGATCTCTGGGCTGGAGGTCGAGACCATGCCTGAGGTGTTCCACGGAGAGGTTGAGGCATACAACATCACTTCTTCAAGCCTCGCTTCATCGTACTACGAGGGCGCTATTCTCAACACCGTTACCACGGAGACACTTATTCAAGATGTTCAACTTCCGGCAGGTAGCTTCTTCGTGAGCAGTGCGCAGAAGAATGCAGGACTAGCTTTTGTCGCGCTAGAGCCTGAGAACATCGATTCTTATGTGTCCTTTGGCATTGTGCCTATGGAGGTTGGAGATATATATCCCATTTTCAGGAAGGGTTGAAGACGAGTGCTTTTGTCATCACGTGCCAAATTTGGCTCATTAGCATGACTAGAATAGGAAATGTAGCGTGATCGCAGCTAATATGCTGACTGGCACTGGCTCGCATCAACTTAAATTTGGGAAAGTCCAACTTGCAAAGAGTGAAGACACTGCACCTGACATCGATGATCAATATCTCTTTAATGACCCTGGATCGGAAGGTAAGAATGAAGAAACAAATGGTAGTTGAAAAGACAGAGACTAAGACGAAGATGAGTGTTGCAAACATGAGTGATTGCTAGGAACATCTCTAGGCCGGGTTACTCTCAAGTCCCAAAGACACTCTCAGAGAAGCCACTCTCTCCACCACGTAACCGCCCTATCCTTCGCCTTGACCATGGCCTCCCTCTCTCCTGGAACCGTCTCGTCCCCCTTTGTCAAACATCCATGACTGACACCAGGGAAGTGTACCCACTCCACCGGCAAACTCTTCTTGTCCAACACCAACTTCTTGAAAGCATACAGTTTCATCTCATCGGAGAAGATTGCATCATGCTCAGGCTGTAGAAACATAATCGGCACGTTCAAGCCATCGAAATCCGCCTCGGTGATCATGGACGGGTGAGCGCAAACCACGCAGTCGACTAACTTCTCGGTTGCAAGACGCAACACGGCCCAACCGCCCCAACAGTAACCCGCCGCTCCGATCTTCTTGTAGCCAGAATCTCGGAGTGCTTGGACGCAGGCGAAGACTTCGGGCTCGCGGACGGAGCGGCTGTTGCGTGCTTTGAAGCCTTCCATGTCTAGTTCAGCCCATCTGCCGGCTTTGATTAGGGAGAAGTCAAGAGACTCGCCACCGAAGAAGTCGGGCATGTAGACTGTCACGTTTGCCTGCGTGTGAACTGTGTTAGCAAGTTGACATGAAATCATAGATGAGGAGTTCGGAGACGAACTTCTTTGGCAAAGTGATCAGCCAGAAGACGGTTGTTCTTGAATCTCCAGCCTAGACCATCATGGATGATAATGACGGCAGCCTCAGAGTTCGATCCGGTGATGTAGGTTGGGTTGTCTGCGAGCTTCGCTTCGTGACCGCTCGGGGTACCGGTCCAGTTGAATGATTTGAGACAGCAAGGTTCAAAACCTCTTGGAGATGACATGGTGTGAGCGCGGTATGCTTTAGACAGAGATTAGCCCAAGAGAATATGAAGTATATGCCAGAGAATGTTGGTCCAGTATTGTAACGGGCAACATCTGTCCCTGTACGGTGTAGGATTTATATCTTGCCCAAATCCGAGCATCATGAAATCCGAGTACCTCATAGCCCGAGTGTCACATAAACCGAGTATGATGGAACCACCAACGTGAACGCCGTAACGGGGTTATCGCTGGCTACGCGTAGGTAAATTCCGATGGTATATACGGATCGGATGGTAGCATGCGATGCCAGTGCCGGCACTATGATCAGACGCCAGCCTGAAAGCGCACAAGAATCGGTTCGCTGAGTGGGTGGGGTTTGAGAAGGTTGAACGAGCGAGGCCCGGAGTTAAGGTTGGCTTTGTGCCGACGAATGCTCGAACCAATGATTACTATTCTTTTCGAACAATTGACTCGTCACTGTGGATATACAAGTATTGTTTACAGCAAGAAATTGGACGCCTAGATCATCTACGTGTCTTGATGCAAGGTCATGTATCGTGAAAGTGAAAAGATAGGAAACGCCTGTTGAAAGGCTTATGCGTCTAACGATGCAACGCAATATGCCCGCCCACCTAATATAAAGTGAGAGTGATGAACTCCTCACGCAAACGCCAGTCCCATGTAACGCCAATGTGCAAAGTCGTGCAACGGTAGCACATGATGCGGGGAATGAAGTCAACTGTGACTTCGACTCTTCCGGACTTTCTCGCCCAATGTCATCCCTACCGCCTGTTGATAAGGTTCAAGAATTCCTGACGGGTCTTGTCTCGTGACCGCATGCATCCGAGCATGCAGCTTGTAGTTGTTGTTGCGCCCGTCTTCTGAACGCCGCGCATGACCATGCAGAGATGGCTCGATTCGACTACAACTGCGACACCTTGTGGTTGAAGCATCTCAGAGAGGGCGAGAGCGACCTGTTTGGTGAGGCGCTCTTGTACTTGGAGACGGCGAGCAAACATTTCGGCGATACGAGCGAGCTTGGACAGACCGATCACGCGGCGGTTCGGGATGTAGCCGATATGCATCTGTACAAGAGGTCAGTTGTCATTTTCTGGTACTGCATGAGACGGGAGGATGTCAGAACTAACCTTGCCCATAAAGGGAACCAGATGGTGCTCGCAAAGGGAGAAGATCTCGATGTCCCTCACAATGACGAGCTCGTCATGGTCCTCGTGGAAGACAGCACCGTTGACGATGTCGCGCAGGTTCTCTTCGTAGCCCTTTGTGAAGAAGAGCAACGCTTTCGCGTAGCGCTCTGGTGTGTCGAGCAGCCCCTCACGGTCGGGGTCTTCGCCCAGACACTCGAGCATAGTCCTGACAGCGCCAGACAGCTTCTTGAGGTTCGCCACCTTCTCCTCTTCGGTTGCCTCCTTCCTCTCCCGCGTACCCTTGCTGGGCCAGCTAAGCCCGTCGAAGTCGATGGTGGGGTGCTGCGTGTACGGGCTGTGGGCCCGGCTGGTCGCGAGTGGTGTCTGCGCAACGGTACCCTCGAAAGGGTCCTCGGCGTCTACTTGACCATTTGCCATGACATGGCGGTTGTCAGTGTGCATGTTCGCGACGGAAGACTTCGTGGGGAAGTAGCTAGTCGGCCCGTCAAAGTTTACTGGCTGGCGACCCCGGTTGGACGTCTCTATAGCATGAAAGAGGTGTTCTCGCTCCTTCTTGTCGCGCGCCTCGGTGGTAAGTCTGAGGGGGGATCCGCCGTTCATCATATGTGAGGGGACCGCGGACTTGGGCTTGGGCGAGTCGGAATCCATGATGGCGGGGAGTCTGGCTGGACTTTTAACTTTTTTGTGGGGAAAGAGTTTGTACTAGGTGGAGGAGGATAAAAACTACAGAGTCAGAGAGGGCACAAGGGCCAGGCAAGCATGTTCGGACTGGCGCATGGCTTCCGCAGAAGAATAGTACTGCGGCCCGGGTCTGTATGACTACAATGGAATAACTTTGTCCTAAGCGTCGAAATGGGGACTAGCGTTCCGTACTTGCAATGACGCCACACCTTCCTCACGCTCTGACCAGGTCTGCACGTGATAAGCGGGCAGGCGAGCAGCAGGGCAGGAGCGCCAGTCAACACAACTACCACCCATTCCATACCCAACCCTCCATCATCATCAACACATGCTTCGCTAGGTACGCACAACATCGCCAATACCGCTGGCGCCTCGTTTGATATTCACGACATCTAGCGACGATGCAGAGGATGGGCAAACCGCCATGAAGAGGCCTTTTTAAGGGCCCTTGCTTGGTCCCCGCAGCTTCACCTTATCGTACCACCAGCACGGCGCATTCTCTACAGCACCGCCCATCTATATTCTCGAGCCACGGCGCAATCTATGACGCGTCACCACACCATGGTGCGATATGCGTCGAGGGAGGACTGGGCCTCCACTGGCGACGGTGGTGAAGGTGGATTGTCACAGTTACCTCGGCCTCTTGCTTGGACATCTTGATAACACGCCTGCGCAGTCGTGTACTAAATACGCACTGTGCCTCACTCTTGACATATACTGCGTCTAACTCGCGTCGTGGATGGGCTTTGTCTCACCTGCTTGTCGCTCTCAACCCTCAGTTCCCCCTCCGGGCCAGGGCGACAATTACCATACGCATGTCACTCACCTGCGTATGCTTCTGGCTTGTGCAGGAACATATACACGTTTGTCGCGTCACTCGTCTTTGACGACTGCTTGGACGACAAGGTGAGCCTGGTTCACGTATTGAAGCTTCTCGCGTCTGGCTGCCTGTGGAATACTCCCAGACCCAAAGGCTCTAGGCCGCAAGGTTACATCTACGGCGCTTCCAGCATTCGACCTACACCATTTTCCCTCCCTTGCACAAGACGAGGTATTGAGTTCCCACGTCATGTGCATGTTTGCCTGGCTCGTCGCAGCGTGCGAATGCTCACGACAAGCGATGATTACGACGACCTCAGTTGAATCACAACAAGATCAGTGTCCGGGTCAGCCAAGATTCATCTCTTGGTGTATTCCGTTATTGTGGTCTGAATATCGCCCTCCCAGAGTTGCTATGGTCTGCTGCTGAGAAGTGCTTTCTCTGTTGCTTCCAAGGGGCAGGGTGGACTTCGGCAAGGTAGCGGTGGTATTGCTTCGCATGTTTTATGTAGATGTCGTGAAGCCGTATGGCACACCTGGTGGACAGCAACATGATATACAAAGTAGAAGACGTGGGGAGGATGTGCTGAAACAGATGAAATCGGGGAGCAGGCTGGAATCTTGGGCGGCATGGAGGGGCTTCCATGCACTGAATGAGGGCGACCTTGATCACGGGGCTTGGCGCTGTCGATAGCGGCTGGCGAAAGACCGACGAGCGAGAAGGCACTGCAGCGTCTGCGGCCACGACAGCAACATCGAGGAAAGCGCATCACCGGCAGCACATCTGGGAGTGTATTTCAGTCGCAGCCGCATCTTTTGTTGTTTTCCAGTTCTATTACTACTTCGTCGTAAGGCTGAGAGCAAGGTGCTTGAGTTTCTTGTTGCTCGGTTAGGCCGTGGCACTTTGACCCGCGGACCTCTTGATGCTGCAACCTTGCGCTTTCTGATGACCTTCCTGCCTCTATGGCTGCCCTGCGACGGGCTCAGGATATAGACCAGTGGAGACCAGAGGACTCGTCTACTCGGGATAGCGAGCGATCCAGGGAACGGTCACGGGAGAGGAACATCGAAGCCCGAACATCGTCACCAGTGCCACGAGCTGCCAGAGACTCCTCCAGACATCGCGCACCAGACACGCACATCCGATCATCGGCCAGGCACGTGCGAGGACGTTCTCGCGAGAGAAGTTTGAGTAGAGAGCGCGCGCGTCGCCGCAGTCGCAGCACCTCTGGGGAGGACCGCTATCGAGCTTCGAAGAGGGAAGCCAGCGCAGACAGGGTTTCCCACTCACATCGACACCACCACCACCATCGCGACACGACTCCATCCTCAAAACGCCACCACCCGCGTTCTCCATCTCCGAGAGGCTCCGCGAAACGCGTAAAAAGACAAAGGAGTCGTAGCTCTATACGCTCCACGTCCAGATCACGACGTGCGTACTCGCCGGGTCGACCTCCCAGCAGGGCATACTCTCCACGACCTGCACGCTCCGACCGCGACCGACCGCCTCGAAGGCCCACGCCCGATACATACTTCCCGACGGCTTCAAATCGTCGCCGCTCTCCCTCTGTCGATAGTCATTATAGGCCAGTGGCGCATCGTTCACGGAAGAGATCAGTTTCACTGGAGAGGAGATCTAGGCGTGAAATATCGCCTCGGCGAACGTCACCGAGAAGGACTGATCGTAGACCTATTTCGCCGTTCGACGACCGCAGGGAACGATCATACAAGTCTTACAACAACCGCGACAGGGCAAGAAGTCGCAGTCGAGCTTCCAGACGTGCTCGATCTCCCTCTCGCCCGCCTCGTAGACGATCTCCAGATTCAGTTCGCAGAGACTCACCGCCCCCGCGTAGGAGTCGCTCGCCTCGCTCATCCCTTCGACGTCGTCCATCCCGATCGCCCTCTTTTACATCAAGACCGCGCCAACGTTTGGATAAAGGAGCAGATTCTGGCAAACCTGCCCTCGCAGATAGGATCACCTCACGCCGAGGCTCACCAGCACCTGGATCAGGGTACAACTCTGACGCATCCAAGAGCCGGGAGGACCAAGGCAACATGAGGGGAGCATATCATTACCAGGGACGTGGTGGGTTTCAGCAATCCCCACCGTATCCTGCCCAGAACCAATATTCTCCTCAAAACCAGTCCCCTTATCATGGTGGTCGAGGCGGTTGGAACAACCAGCCATATCCTAATCAAGGGTCAGTTCTAGTCCCGTTGGCCTTTGGTCATTCCCATGCTGACATCATCAGGTCTCCCATGCAAGGCTATACCCCAAACCAGTCCCCTTACCATCAAAACCAATCACCCGGTTACTATCCAAATCAGCCGTATCCACAACCTGGCTTTCAGAACAGCCCTCACCGCGGAGGTCATGGCAGTTACCGCGGCAACAACTTCAATGGTCCCGACCGACGCATGTCAGGCCCTGGCGCAAATCCTCCGTTTGGCGGACCTGGTGGACGAGGGCGTGGTACCGCGCCTACACAATTTTCAAACCTGTCATGGACGCCAGCATCCGGCACTCGAGGCGGCCGCCCCGCCACTGAAGCACCACGTCCACAGCCGGCTGTCGCATCCCAAGCCCCTGCTGATTCTGCATCTGTCGACGCCGACGATAATCCATTTCGCCCATCCAAAGACTTGCGCGTAGAAGACGAAGGCCCTAAAGAGGAAAAAAGACCGGTGAAACCTCCAACGGCGCCAAAGTCAGGGTTTGGGTTTTCGTTGAAGACAAAGAACCCAGTACCACCAGCGAGTAAAGCAAAGCCTGGGTTGGAAGAGTCCGAGAGACCAGAACCAGTTCCTAAAGAATCTCCTCTTGCTCCCAAGGCAAAGGTGGTAGCCCCAGCGCGCGAAGCTTCCCCCCGCCGCCCGGAACCAAGAAGCGACCGAGATCGAGACTTCAGGGATAGAGGTTACGACAGCGGTCGCGAGCGGGACAACAGGGAACGAGACCGGCGATATGACAACTATTACGACCGGAAACCGGCTTACCGAGATGTGCGGGATCCTCGCGACAGAGACGCTCGAGATGTACGGGATCCTCGAGAACCTCCATATTATCGTGGCAAAGAGCGGGACTTCCGAGAGCCACGAGACAGAGACTTGCGTGACCCGAGAGACATAAGAGACCTACGCGATGTTCGTGAACGGGACCCCCGAGACATGCGCAGTCCTCGAGATCCCCGAGATATCAGAGATCGCAGAGAGCCATACCCACCACGACGACCTGACGATAGACGGTTTGACCCGAGACCTGACCCGCGCTCCGATCCGCGACCTGCTCGAAGGACACCACCACCTCAAGTACCCAAGACAAGGATTGTTACAAGAAAACGCATGAAGCCCCGACCTACTCTGGTTCCTGAACATGCAGCTTCGGAGTCAGTGTATTACAGGAAGCCAGGCAACGAATCGGTAGTTGGATCCGGTACATACGGAAAGGTGTTCAAGGGTGTCCATGTTTATACTAAGGACATGGTTGCCCTCAAGAAGATTCGAATGGAGGGTGAACGCGATGGCGTAAGTACATCCAACAAGCGATGACACGACAATGCTAACAACTATCAGTTTCCGGTTACCGCGATTCGCGAGGTCAAGTTGCTGCAATCTCTCAACCACGCCAACATCGTCAATCTACGAGAGGTCATGGTTGAGAAGAACGACTGCTACATGGTTTTCGAGTACCTATCCCACGATCTCACTGGTCTTTTGAATCACCCGACCTTCAAGCTTGAACAATCACACAAGAAAGATCTGGCAAAACAGCTCTTCGAGGGGCTAGACTACCTCCACCGTCGCGGCGTTTTACATCGAGACATCAAGGCTGCGAACATCCTGGTGTCAAACACCGGGCAGTTGAAATTGGCAGATTTTGGTCTTGCACGATTCTACGCGAAGAGCAGCAAGCTCGACTATACGAACCGAGTCATCACCATCTGGTACCGATCACCAGAGCTGCTGCTGGGAGAAACTCAGTATGGTCCAGCTGTTGACATTTGGTCAGCCGCTTGCGTACTGGTGGAGATCTTCACACGACACGCTATCTTCCCAGGAGATGGTGGCGAGATCAACCAGTTGGACAAGATCTATAACATACTGGGCACGCCCACCGTGCAGGACTGGCCTGGCATCGTTGATATGCAATGGTTCGAACTACTGCGCCCAACCGAACGGAAGCAATCAACGTTCGAGGAGAAGTACAAAGATCGTGTTAGCCCTATGGCCTTCGAGCTCCTCCAGGCTATGTTCCTTTTCGATCCCAATGCGCGACCCACGGCCGCCGACGTACTCGAGCACCCTTTCTTCACAAGCGAGGCGCCGCCGCCGAAACGCGCTGATGCGCTGAAGGAGCTGGAGGGTGACTGGCACGAGTTCGAGAGCAAAGCCCTCCGGAAGGAGAAGGAGAAGCAAGACAAAGAGGCGCGGCGTGTTGCGCGGGAAGAGAAGGACACAGCGAGGAAAGACGAGGGTAAAAGACGCGCTGACGCAAATGCCGGGGAAGAAAGGGAGGCTAAGCGAGCGAAAAGCGGTGATGCGACGGCGTAGAGTGCTGGGATATCTCACCCGAAGCCGCGATAGCGAAGCTGATTAGATAGCGTAATGTTTGTATGGCTAGAGGTATGTTCAATCTTCGCGCGACTTTGAGACGGAATACAATGTATGTATGTCCATCACACTTCTTGAATAGATATAAGATACCTTTTCTCCACTTTGACACTACATGGCTCTTCCATCGTTCTCTAAAGCAGTTGTTAGTAGCAAAGTCTACTGAATGGAGAGATGGTACGGTCAAAGGTGTCTGGCCGACTTTAAGACCTTACTTAGTTACCATGTGGAGATCATGGAACTTTCTCTCGGCCGCTCCTTGAGTCCGACAAGCATCTTACTAAAGAGAGATGGAATCATTATGTACCTGCTTTCCCATTTCTGCTGTCCGCGGATCTTCTTGACCCTCAATCTCGTAACGGCCAAGGGGTGACCCTGGCGTAAGTCGTGCATCGGCGTACCTGAACCAGCAGATCGTAGACCGGCCTGTGTGCGTAAGAGACCCTCCTCAACACAGAAAGTGAAGCATCGCTACGATCCTAGCCTGGATCTGATGTGTCTTGAGCTTGGGTTGATGAGACGAAGAAGAGTTGTACGAAAGTTGTCATGCTGGAGAAGGCGCTAGTCCGGTGCTGCCCCACGCGGAGATGCCGAGAGACGAAGAACCGCATTGTCAGACTTGATATCTGTCAATCAGAAGCTCTATCGACGTGCCGGGAGCGCTCGCCGTAAGAAGTGGGGATAGTTTAGCGTGCATCTCAGCTGCGGTGGCTCAACATTCGGCTGAATACGGCATAGCACGGAAACTCCTTTCCCGTATTCGACTTGTCCTAGTGGACCCCTGCGTGGAAAGTGCCAAACTACGGGTAGGACTTGAAGGTTTTTGCTTGTGTCCGCGCGTTGTTATGATCCCTTCGAGACTGCTAAAGAGGTTCTCCCGTCACACACACAATACCCGCTGCCTTTTGTCTGTGGCTGGCTGGATTGCGCCACTTTTGTTTGCATTACCTCTTTAGGCGTGCAGCGCGCTCGATCAGGAAATAACAATTACGATGGTCTCGTGGCGGCCGGAAACGAGATTGGAATGGGCCTTTTTTGGCACTACTGCGGTGCAAGCCCTTACGAATATTACTATACAGATGTTCGTATCACCCCGCAAAGCCTAGCATTGGAACGATCGCTTAAACGTCTCTAGGGTTATACTCGTCGTCTATCTTAACTGGGTCAACTCAGTGGTATACCAAGTGCCACTTTCCTATGTCACGCCCTTGACGCTCGCTGTCAATTCTTTGGGATGTCTCTTCCAACTCATATTAACGCTCGATGCATATCGGATCAAGAACCACATCCAGGTCAGTGATATTACCTCACGGACTGCACGTGAAACATGTACTGACTTCGTACATCGGCCTTTAGATCTTCGCGCAATGTGTTGCCAACATATGCTTGTCAATCTCGACTGTTCTTCAATACGGCGAAATCCGACATGCAGCTGATAGGATCCTTCTTAATCACGATATGTATGGCACACCCTTTGCAGATCATGATTGGCCTTTCTGGAAGAAGGTCTCGATCGGCTTAATGGTTTGTCTAGTTGTCACATGCGTTTGCAGTGCCATTATGTGCGGATTAGCCAGGGGACTATACCGTGAGTTTTCCTGGGCTTTGTACCAACACGTCAGTCCTGACAGGAAGATACAAACAAAATACATGATTTATCAGGTGAGCATTCCCGCTATTATCGTTCTCTGACTGTACTCACACAAAGTAGATCTACCTTGTTCTTCTCAAGATCACACCTTACTTCGTCTTTGCATTCATATTCATTTACGACTTCATCGACGTCCATTACAAAGAGCCCGAGTTCTCGTTGACTCTCTCAATCCTTCCGGCTACTCTTATACACGTGGCTATCGCAGTCTATTTTGTAAGGCATGAGCGCCGGATTGGGATGGGGTTTGCTTTGGTGCGTCCTTCGATTCTTATAGACTGACACTCGCTAACACTTCATGTCGCAGCTCCTTCATGCCGCAACAATTGCATATCTGATTAGCAGACTGCTCGTTCTTTACGGGCATACACTACTTTCTAAAACTTTGATGAAGGATGAGATGGTATTCTACTCTTGCGTTGCGCTGGGCTTCTCGACTCTTGCGCTCATTGTAGGAACTGTTTGCTTGTTCAACTTCAAGAAAGGACTGAGACCGATTCTGTTAGGCCAGGTGCAGCGCAAACCGCGAGCACATGAGCTAGAAGACGATTACTATGTTCAACGTCTAAATTACAACGTGGTGCCGTTGGCTGATCGCGATTCGCAGAGGTGGGCCTTGGACTGAGGAGTAACGTGTTTCATGCCAATGAAAGCAAGATGCTTTTCTTGTATAAATTTAATGACGGGGATCATAACGAGCCGGTTCAGGCTACATAAACATTGTAATTTACTAGCGCTGCCTAAGCCTTTTCTTGCACTTCAATCTCAACTTCCGGCACGCTCGAGCGCTCTCGACAACTATTGGCCGACTGCAATATATCAGCATATGGAGTTCCTTCTCGAGTAGCGGGTACGCGTTCAACGTTAGGTCGAGCTTTTGCATTGTGATGGGCCCGATGCCCTCGGTGAGCCCACCGTCGTGTAGAGAGATGTGTTTTACGTCGAAACAGTGTTTAATCACATAATAAAGAGACTTTTCAGTATGAAAGGGAGCTGTACCGACCGTTGAGGGGTGAAGACGAGAACTTTCAGCCAGGTGGATGCTTGGCGAATCGGTCAAGCCTGTGCCGTTACAGGTGTATATGGCAACGACGGGTTTGCCAAAAGCCTCGTCTGGCGGTGTCATCCTGTTCAAAAGCCTACCCGTTCAAAGCAACCTCGTATTTCTTTCTTCCTTCGTTACAGTTACCCTCCACACACTGCAAGCCCCTATCGCTCGGTACTGGGCAGTTCTTCGCTAATACCCACGTCCGTGTGTCTGCTGATGAAGACTCAGAGAGATGCATGTCTGCGCGATGTCCGCCACCCCTGTGTTTGCACGCCAGCTACAGGGGTATTGCTTAGCAGGCTTATTACTACAAAACACGACAACATACCAGCCAGCCTGAATTGCATTCACATATATACCAATCGTTCGCTTTGCAGCGGTCTCCAGGGCGCGCACATGCTGATACGGATGTGAACTGAATCGACAAAATGATTGTTCGTGCTAGAAAGGCTAGGCATGTGAGTAACGACTTCATGGCTTTGTTCAAGACTTTAGGATGGGCAAACTTGGCTCATAGATATAATGAGTAAACTGCCTCACTGCGTATGTGTAACTGTTATCTCCAGTCGTCGTGCAATCTGGCCACTCGTTTGCCTTTGTGCGGGTAAAACCTCTCACCGCAACGTGACATCCCCTGTACTCTCTGTGATTATTGGGCAATAAGCCTTTTTGTAACTTCAGATGATCCTGGATATGGTCTCGCAGGAACCAATCAGTAGCACAAGATAGGTTTGAAGCCTATCAGAAGATCCCGTGGAGAACACTATATCAAGAATGTTCAACCAGTCACGTTAGGTACGGCCTACTAGGAGCAGACACAATGTGATTGAAACATATCGGGTCTGATGCGGGCGAAAACATCCATGAGCGGATAAGGACAGAGTATGTGTAGTAGTTGCCGTGCGATATGCGGAATCGGGTAGCCGCGTCACTCCGGGCAAAATGTGACTCGGTAGGTTAGTCTGGCGGTAGGAAGCAACATCCAAAAGGCTACATGTTGACTTCTACGTCCGTTAGTAGAATGGTTGAGTAGCGAAACTTATGGACCCACGTACCTTGTACCCACGTTCATTGCCCAATCCGGATACTCGGATAGCGTATGTGCAGTTGGAGGAACGATGAAATTCCGCGAGCGTGCATCACAAACAGCCATGCGCACAGCAAAGCCAAACGAAATTGACCCTGGAAATTTGTTGCTTTCTCTCCCCAAAGAACGACTGAAGGTTAGCAATGCGAACTCCTGTACTTCATTGCTTATTCGCCGCCAATAGTGGGGGTCATGACTACATAGGTAGCGTCAACCACCTGTACTGGTAACCCTACCTAGATGATCGCCGCAGAAACTCGACGCGACGTTTCCCAACCGCCGGCTCTTCCATCTTCGCTTATTGTGAATATCATGCTACAGATATCTTTCGGATGTGGGTCATTCTCCAATGGCAGTCGTCATCTCATCGACCGGCCGTCCCCGACGTGATCGATTGCATTATCACGGTCCGATCCAGCGCTCCAAGAAGCATGATTGGCTTACAGCTTCTCCACTGCGTGGAAGGACAAACGCTCGATTAGGACTATCGAAAGCTCAGGCGTCATGTAGCGGCCGAAAGAAGCAAGCGACGTCTAGCGATGGAGCGAGGGTGCTATAGCGCGGCCCGTCCCCCACATTTGATCTGCAATCTGCAGCATCGAGATACTCAGCCCTTGTGATCTACCCGCACCTGGTACTATCCAGTCGAGAATGACCCACCAAGCGAGGAGTGCTAGGCGACGGTCGCTGACCTTGCACTACCGAGGATCGCCATTGCATAGGTATGGCGACGCCCGGTCTGATTTGTCTTAGACGGTGTTTGATCAAGCTGAACTCCTCCAACCATCATGGTTAACTCCACCTCCCAAGTCGCCGACACCCTACAGGACCGGTCCCACTTATCCCATGCATGGCTTCAAGCTGCTGTATGTGCCTTTCCGGTAACAGTGAAGCGCAGCGAGCGGCAGCTGGGATGACTTCCCCAATTCGCCAGACGGTCTAAGAATACTGCGTCATATCCACCAATCTGTCTTCAAGCATCAAGCCACAAGCACTTCGTCTAATCGCGCAACAGACGATGCCAATGGACGCGTAGATATGCTGCTTGGATGCACTATCTTAGTATGTGGGCGGGGTACTGATTGACGGCATTGACAGCATAAGTACCACTTTCCACTCATGCCCATCCTTTAGAAATTTGCATCTCAGTACTCTTTTCGTTACAACAATACTTTTCATAATCAAAAAATGGCCGACACATTTGCAGCCAATTCCGACATCACCCCAGAAAAGCTTACTATCATGAAGCTCAAGGCTAGTGGAATCCGAGATGTCTTCTCTGAGCCTTCCTCACCTACAGGCAACCGATCCTTCTCATTCGGAAACCATGCCAATGGTGCAAGTCACAGCTCATCCTTGACACGCCGTTCCACTCGGCAGACAAGCTCATCTTCACGCCGAGCAAGCAGCTTCCTCCAGTCACATCGGAGCAAGATGTCTACAGAGCTCACATCGCAAGCCGAGGGCAAGTTCTTCGCTTTGATGGATCTCATGTCTACTGCATCCCGAGAGGCTTCTTCGCTAAAGGAGTCATGGTCTCGTATCATGGCTGAGCGGGACAGTCTCGTTCGGGAGAGGGATGAGCTTCTCATCACGGTTGAGGAAGTGACTGAAGAGATTCAGCGCAAGGAAGCTGAGCACTCGCACCACGGCCACGAGCACGGCGAGAGGAAGAGACAGGTGGAGAAGCTCATACTTGAGCTCACTGCTGCACTTACTCAAGTGACCGACCACAAGAAGAAGCTCGCTGATCGGGACCGTGACCTTGAGAGCACCCGTCATGAGCTACATGAGCTTCAAAGCTCTGTTACTCTCACCCATGGTGAACACGAAAGGACCAGGTCTGAGCTAGAAGCTGCCTACTCCAGGTTGAAGATCTGTGAAGGCGAGCGTGACTCCGCTCGATTCGACTCCGAAAAGCATCACAGCGAGCTTAGGACGCTCCTCCGTGAGCACACTGAGCTCAAGAGCAAGTACAGCGAGACTACCTCCAAGTTCGAATCTACTCGCAAGGAGGTGCTCACCCTTACCGATCGCATCAAGATGTTCGAGCTTGAGAGGGACGAGCATCTCCATGAGAAGGATCGTCTTCACGAGGAGCTGAAGCGTGCGAAGTTCAGAGTTGACGAGACTACTCGCGAGTACACTGAACTGACGGAGCGACACGATCGTGTACAACGCGAGCTCCACAAGCTTAAGGAGGTCGTCCGGGTTATCGAAACGGAGCGAGATGATCATGCCCTTACCATTGACGGCCTCCGCCGTGAGGTCAAGGCCAAAATCCTTGGCTGGGAAGAGTCCGATGCCCGTGCCAACGAGTTTTCACTCAAGTATGAACACATCAAGCGTGAAGTAGTTTCAGTCAAGGAGAAGTTGAGAGACCTTGAGCTCGAACGCACTGAGCTTCGGGATGCCATCGACCGCTCCCGTGAGGACCATCGCCTTGTTGTTATCGAGCGGGACCAGCTGAAGGAAGACCTTCACGACCAGCACCGCAAGGTCGAGGACGGTCACCGCCGTATCAACACCTTGGAGGAATCCCTCCGTCGCGCCGAGTTGACTATCACTGAGATCAGATCCGAGATTCACACTCTTACCGAGCGTAACAAGGTCCTTTACCGTGAGGGCGAGGACTCACGTGGCAAACACGGCCACCTCACCGGCGAGATCAACAGTCTCCAGGAAAAGCTAGTCATCTTCCAAACTGAGATCACCAACCTCAAGTACGCTCGCGACCGCGCTCACTCTGACCTCAACGCGTGGAAACACAAGTACGAGGAGATTACCGAGACTATCTCCACATACGACGACTCTTCCGCCGAATTCGAGTTTGAGATCACTTCTCTTCGCACTCTGCTCAATGAAGCTCGCGAACAAAAGGAACGTGCCATCTCGGCTCGTCACGCTGCCGACCGTGAGCGCGACGAGTACATGGCCAAGTACGAAGAGAAGTGCCGCGAAATGGAACGCTTCGAAGAGTCTGCCAGCAGCGTGTACCATGCGAGCAGCGGTGGAGCTCGTGGCGGCGCAAAGTCGATGACCTCCAGGGTAGTGTCGAGTGGAACTACGATCCACAACCATGGTGCATCAGGTGGACACAGCCATGGTCATGGTCATGAGCATACTGAGGGGAATTCTATCTTCTCCCATTAGCTGCTGTGAAGTTGAGCGACTGGGGTTCTGTTGCTGGACGGGCTGGCGCATGAGGAGCGAAGAGATTAGGAAACGGAAGAGCATTTTTGAGACGAGCAGGCCGGGTACGGCGGAGACAGTGAAAAACGGATGACTGTTGATCGTTAGCGGTGGCTAAAAAAGTTCGTGCTGGGAACACGGTAGTAATGATGTTTACATATGACTATTACCTTTTGAGTTGCATGCAAAATCTGCCTTGGAGGTAGGCACATGATTTTACATTGATGGTCTGATACAGCGTGTATTGATGTCTCTTCTAGAGCACATAACAACCGTCAACTTCGTAGTAGAGACTTGACTAGTGATAGTAGGAAACCAGACCGGAAATATCACTCATTAGGTAATATGTGGCCTGTTCAGCCTATTAGTAACCACTCAAACGACTGGAAACAGACGTGACTTCCTTTTCGTAATTCAGGTATTCGTATATAGGATGAACGCGCTCAGGTGACATCCCCATTTTGGACGTTAACCCCATGTATAGGACCCGCAGTCTGTTACTGAGCTAATTGCTTCCCGCCGACCGGATATCATAGCACTAGAAGGATGGCCGTTATGTGAAAGCTACCTGCTACTGCGATGACGATGCCGCTTCTGTATGCGAAACATCAAGGGACGCAGATGTGTACTTCCAGACCGAACCGGAAGTAGGCTGCTTAGCTGAAAATAACAGCGGCAGGAGGCGCAGGAGTACCACTGATAAGGCCGTCCTCCTCGGCGCCATGGAAGAAATCCGTACCGTCCTCAGAAATATTCTCATGAGCCACCATTTCTATATCCACTTCAGCATGTACGTTGACAGCCCCATCCTGCTCCATCTCGACAACCTCTTGTACGCTCATCTCGACCTGGGGCATCGTCTCGGCGTTCTCGATCTGGTCACCGTCTTCGGGAACGACGTGGATTCCGTTGGTATGTTCGGGTAACTCGTCATTGTCCACGCCCTCTGGCAGTTCCTCGGCGCCCTCTTCGTCCTGCTGTGCGACAACAGCTTGGTTGTCCTCGTCGTCTTGAACACCGTCTTGTTGGCCATCCATGCCGGCACCACCATCATCACTGTAGTCTTGATACTGCTCCCGGTCTTGTTCTGAAGAAACCAAGACGTCCTGGCCATCCTCCACGACTAAGTCATCTTCTTCTTGTTCCTCCTCTATCTCTTCTAGCTGCTCTTCTTCGACAGACGACTCGTCGGCTTCGATCAGGTCCTGGAGATATTGATCTACCTGCGCCACGTATCGATCTGGGATCTGGCGCAAAGTGTGGCCGCGCATCTTGCGAGGAGCAAGAGACTTAACGGGCTTTGTAGGTTTCGCGACTGCAGCTGGCTTTGGAACAGGGGCGACATCCTTGGGCGGTCGTCCTCTTCGGGCGGTTGGCTTCGGGGCTGGCTTTGTGACGGGCTCTGATTTGGCAATGTTGGCTGGAGGTAGGCGGGTGCGCAGCTTGGAGCGCATGCGTGGATCAAGACGGCGGGCAACATTAGGCTCAGCCTTGGCCTTTGTGCGAGGAGACGACCGCTTGCCGATTCGAGAGGGACCAGCGACCCGGTCGAGATCGAGGGCTGCAGTGCGCGCTGGTCGACCACGCTTGGGTGTAGCCGGCGGCGCGTTTGCGGTCACATCTGCTTTGCGAGGACGGCCTTCACGATTCTTGACAGGTGCCTCTTCTTGTGCAGGTACAGCCTCTTTCTTGGGCCTTCCTCTGCCCTTTTTGACTACAGGGGCTTCGGTAAGAGGCTCAGGCTCAGGCTCAGGCGCAGACGCAGGTGCAATGTTAGGCTGGCGACCGCGTTTCTTGGGCTTCGGCGCGTCTTCGACAACGGGCTCTTCGGCCTTCGCTTTGGCGGGACGCCCGCGCTTCTTTGGTGGCTCAACAGCGGCTTCGACTGCATCGGCTTTGGACGCGCGATTCCGCTTGAGAGGTGATGCAACAGACGCTTCCTCAGCTGCCGCTGCCTTGCGACCGGGCGCTATACGTGCCTTTGGGGGCATTGTGTACTTGCGCTCGTGGTTCGCACACCTCACGATGAGCAATTGAGTATTGTGGCGTGCAATCCAAGCGCGGTAAGTGAGGTTGCCGAAAAACGCGACTTGTCGGCTGTTGGTGGGACGCGTGTGGTGGAGTCTCACTCACTAGCGCAGTCGCGGTGCACGTGGTTGGGTGTGCTCGGTAATAGGGTCTGAGAATTGCCATTCATGTCAAATCTTCTCCAACTAAAGTATTAGGTCTTTAAACTTGCCTGCACGTCGTTTGTTTGTGGCTATCCAATCGCGCCAGGCACCCTTTTTTGGTACCTACTTGTGCTTGCTGCTTGCTGCTACGGCCTTGTCCCGCCACAAAAGTCGACACGGGAGGCATAAATACACTGCGAAGACACTAGACTTGTGTCATCATCTCAGTCGTCATGTCAGAATCACAATTGGGCTCAGCAAACGTGTTTGCAAGTATTACAATATATTTACAGGCTAAATTTGACCCCCAACTCCAAGACTACGCGCTGAGCCCAGAGAAGGTCTATAGTGGTCGGAGAAGAGAACTTTCTAGATGCAGACAGTACAAAGACAAATGGTCGACATATTTACAGATGACCAAAATATTCAAGATGCAACCAAGACGGGAAAAAGACAACATTTGAAGAATGAAATAAGATGACGATACTACCAACGATGCCACTCTACCGCGCAATCTACTCGGCCTTCTTGCTAGCCTTGGTCCTCAACTTCATGAGACCGTACACCAGCGCGTAACTAGAGAGAGCGAAGATGACACAGATGGCCGCATTCCTCCATCCGTAGTAGTAGTCGTTGAGGTTTACCGTGTACAGGTAGTCGCTTCCCTTGGTGTATTGGCAGACCCTACAGTCTGAGGTAGCATCAGGGTTGACTAGGTTTGTGCGGCTTCCCGGGCCTGCCATCCACGCTTGCAGGTAGTCACTGCATGTTTGACCAGATGGGGGATCGAACATGGCGAACTCTGACTCGGAGCAATTGACATCCCATTCCCAATCGGCGAAGACGAGCAGCGCGCCCATCAGGTAGTTGAACGGGTTGAGGTAATAGCTGGAACAGTGTTAGTAGGGTTGCTCTCTAGGTTCATGGTAGTTTTGGGGTACTTACATCCAGTAGCGCCAGAATTCTTGGATTTGCGCATATGGCACAAGGACACCACAGAATGAGACGAGCACTCCGATGATGAGCGGGTTGACGAGCGAGGCAAAGACAGCGTTGGGTGCGTAGGCTGCAACGAACTGACCAATACCGGTGTAGATGAACTGGTAGACCAGCATGACGAAGAACACCGCACCTGCCTTGTTGGAATCGGTGGGAAGACCGGCAGTGTAGTAGAAGCAGAGGTAGTAGAGGATAGCGCAGATGATGAGGTACGGGATCTCAGAGACGACAAGACCGGTGACGAAAGCGATCCAGGAGTACATCTTCGACTTCTTCTCACGTGTTTCGTAGATGTCGCGACGGTCGATGAAGAGAGGTTGTAGTTGAGCAATAACACCTGGTGCGACGAAGATGTAGTTGAAAAGAGCAAAGAGGACGAGCTGCTGGTCAGCTACAGTGTCGCCAATCTTCCAGAAACTGAAACCGATGAACAGCGCGGTACCAATGTGGAGAGCAAACTTGTTGTTAACGTAGTCGATGTTGCGGTACATGCTGACGTTCGCCCTGTGTGTAACAATCTTGGTCTGAGTCCAGAGATCCATGGCGAACTCATGGCCGTCATCCGTGGTTCCGGGCTCTTTGCCAGCAGCGTCAGTGATGATGTGGTCGAGGTCCTGATGCATGCGAGCCGCTTCAGGTGAGTCAAGCCAGACTTGATGCCAGTCTTTTCCGTGCGTGCCAGTTACCACGTCGATCATGTGTTCTGCAGGGTTGGCGTTGGGAGGGCAGGGAGCGTCGTATCGACCGAAGTACTCCTTGATAGTCGCTGCGTTGTCACCGATGTCACCGAAGTAGACAGTCTTGCCACCCTTTGCGAGAAGCAGAAGAGTATCGAACTGAGCGAACAGAAGGGCGGAAGGTTGATGAATGGTGACCAAGACGGCTTGACCAACGTCGGCGAGCTTGCGAAGGAAACGAACAGTGTTGAAAGCGGCTTGACCGTCCAATCCAGCTAGCAAAAGTTAGTGGTGTACTGAGAGGGTGATTACGTGGACTTACAAGTAGGCTCATCGAGGAAGATCAAGATGGAAGGCTTCGAGACAAGTTCAACACCAATAGTGACGCGCTTGCGCTGCTCGACTGACAAACCTGCTCCAATACGACCAATCAAAGTATGTTCCAAGTCGTGTAGTTCAAGCAGATCGATGATAGTGTCGACATAGGCAAGTTTCTCCTCGCGGGGAGTGTCACGGCTTTGACGAAGTAGGGCAGAAAACTCAAGCGCTTCTCGGACAGTCGCAAAAGGCTCGTGAACATCGAGTTGCTCGCAGTAACCAGCGGAACGTTGGAATGAAACAGGGAGTGGTCGGCCATCTACCAAGATCTCTCCATGAATGGTACCGTCAGTCTTGCGTTGGGCAAGAACATCAAGAAGAGTGGTCTTTCCAGCACCAGATGAGCCCATCAAAGCTCCCAACATACCAGGCTTGACGTAACCATGAACATTGTCCAAGAGTGTGCGGTCGCCAGATGGGGTCTTGACAACATACGAAAGGTTGCGCCAGGTGAAGACGGAAGTGTTGCGCATAAGGTTGGCACTCAAGTCTTGGGTTTCAGTGGCTTTCTCGTTGCTGCCGTCTGTCCTGGGCGCTTTCTCGTTTCCTTGAGCTTCTACATCACCGGGTGTGATAGAGCGGGGGACCTTCTTCTTGTTCTCACGAGGGATCAGGAGAGATCCTCCAGAGCCAGCTGCGTCGTCCCATCGAAGTGTAAAGAAAATTGTGAGACCAACGAAGAGGAACCACCAGGCAAACAAGATTCCAACATTTCGCCAGATGTGTCCCTTCGAGTAGGAGAGGCTTCTGAGGTAATCATCACCACTAACCGAAGTAGCACCAGGCCTAGCGCCAGCGACACCTGCGCAGGCTTGGTTGACACCGTTCTGGTACTGAGGGAGGAAGTTCGGAATCAGGTTGGCATTGACGCAGGGAATGTCTTGTCCTGAGAATTCGTTCGCCATTAGAGACTCGAATCCATAAGAGAGCGGGTCAATCCAGTAAATCCAGACGAACCATGGGTGCATGTTGGGTTTCGGAATCTGGTAGCCGATGTATAGAATGAGAGCTGTTATCGAGAAACCAGAGACCTTGGAGGCAGCGTCGAAGTTGGGGAAGGCGGCGCCAACCATGCGGAAGAACGCAGTCATGACAAAGGTGACAACATATACGACGAACCTGTGAAATTATGTTAGTACATAGCATCGATGCAGCAAAATCACTCATTACTTACCAAGCAGTGAAGAAAGCAGCAGCTGTAGCCTTCAGAGCCACCATCCAGTACAGTACAATCATGAACATGGATACCTGGAAGAGTAGAATCGGCACATCAGCTGCGATCTGCGCGATACAGAAAGCTGCGGGGTTGTAGAAGGCAAAGTTCTTGTGTTTTGCGAGGATGGGGCGGCCGAAGAAGGAGTCCGTAACTTCCGACATGGCCAACAGCGCGTTGAACAGCAGAGCCAAGAAGAGAGCTCCTCCCTTGACGAACAGTCCGGACGAGTTTGCGGGAGCGTTGTAAAAGAGGGAACCGGCAATCTACAAGGTGAAAGTCAATAAGAGTCGAGTACGGAGACATAGGCAGAAACTTACAAGTGCTTGGAAGAGCGTTGAACCTTGCTTGATGATGAACGTCGCTTTGTCACCCCAGAGGATTTGATACTGTCGAGCCACGCAAGCCTTCACCTGGTCGTAGAATGACACAGTCATAGGTGATGATGCTGGGAGGTGCTTGGACTTGTCTATCGCCATGGCTTCGACAAACAGCTTGGTATTGGTCTTTGCCGCTTCACTCGTGGGATATGACAGTTCCTGCTCCATGGCAGCCTTGATGGAAGACCGTTGATAAGCTTGCTCCAGCTCAATGTTGTTGCGTGGGAAGCCTTCGAATCCGGGACGGATCTGTCGCTCAGAAGGCACCGTGACACCGGTCAAGAAGTCGGCCACGTTGGCACCCTCACTGCATACAAAGCCTTGCTCCTCCATGAAAGGGCGGGCTTGTTCGCGAGTGCCGTAGAAAACTTGCTTGCCTTCGTCCAGCACAAGGACTTTGTCGAAAAGGTCGTAGATGCCGTTACCTGCCTGGTACAACGTAACAATCGTAGCGATGCCCATCGCATCTGTTAGACACCTGAGAGCACGAGTGTACTCCAGAGCTGTGCTGGCATCTAGACCACGTGTGGAGTTGTCCCAGCAGGCTACGCTAGCGCGGTTGGCCAGAGTCTCGATGATAGAGACTCGTTTGCGCTCTCCACCGGAGACACCGCGAACGAAGGCATCACCAACCTTGGTATCTTCGGTGTGAGAGATGCCCATGGAGTCCATCAAGAATGACTTGAACTTCTGGCGATACTCCTCGGGGTTCGCAGAATCCTTCGGTAAAGTACGTGGGATGTTGAGTTTTGTAGCAAAATCCATAGTCTTGCCTACTGTGAGGGTAGGGAAGAAGAGCTCCTCCTCTGTGTTGATAACAATGTTGCCACGGTATTTCAGAGCTTCTTTGGCGTCCATGGAACCGAAGTGTACATCGCCATCGATTTGTGCGTAGCCCTTTCGCTTGTTGGCAAGCATCTTCAGTAGAGTGGTACATCCAGAACCAGGCCTTCCTAGGACCAGCAGCATCTCGCCAGGCTGCACGCTACCAAAGCTGTTATCGAGGATTGTCTTCAATTCGGGCTTCTGTCGTGACTCCCTGATCTGTTGCGGGATGTTGAACTGACTGAGCACGTTCTCTTGCAAACGTGCATCTGAAGGAACCACCTTTACGGATAGTCCACTCCATGTAACTCCCAGTCTCCGGCCCTCAGTAGGGTCGTTTTGTTGAATATTCTTTACATCGTTTGCAAGCCTCCACTCTTCCACCTTCGTCTTGGCGGAATCGCTGTCTGTGATGTCTTCTTCCCGCTCTCGCTCGATATCATCGTCGTGTCGTGATTTGCCGGAGAATGTACGGGATATTGTTCGCATGATCTCCTCGCCAGCGCCGGCGGGTATGTTATAAGCACTGCTCCTCCTTCGCTCCATCTTGATGTTTATTCCACGGTTGGGCCAGAACTATACTCCGTATGTGAATCGGCAATTAGGTATTAAAGAATTTATTTTGGAGTTTGGAGGTGACTGGTCTGGACAAACACTACTGGAATCAATATCGGGGTCGTTTTCATATAAAGGAGCCCATGGGAAACTGTTGTGGATACCGATCGTCCAGAAGAGTCTAGGGGGACTCGGGCGTTCACATCAGCGGCTCCGACTTTGCTGACGTCGCCAGGCGGAATTGTGTGTAGTCACTGCTTCAACCGTTGATACCGGACGAAGCAGGGACTTACTCCAGACAAGGAAGCCACGGGGACCGACCATAGCGGTACACCTGCATACGGCCAAACTTTGGCTGGTATGATTGGCCCATGTATTCACCCCAGCAGCAAGAGCAAATTCGGATTTGTCTAGACTGCTCTGATGCTAGATCCAGGGTCAGCCACAGATAGCGTCCTTGTCTCCCGTTACTGGGCGCAGGTTACAGCGGGGCGGAATTGAAATTGCTGCTGATAGCGTTTCTTAGCAGAGAGCTTGAGGGTCAACTCGGGCTCGGCCGAGCGCGCGAAGCACCGAACAGCGACCCAAGACTTTGAAAACGATCAAAACCAGATCCCAGCGTGTCGGAGAGGCTCTCCACGTGGTTTCATCTAGTCGTAAAGATAGCCTTGTAACCATCGGAATGTGGAGGTTCTATGCCAGTTGTAGGCACATTCTTTAACGCTCGCTGTTCGCACTTTCAGACGCCGACTTGTTGTGCGAACCCCGTACCCACACCCTATAGATTGCCCCTCTGCCTCGTTACAGATACGAACCGTTTCAGCGCGACATGTTTACTTTCGTACATCCTACTGTACCTTGTTTGTACAACCACGCGGACGAAAGGTTGTACCGATTGGCAAGGCCCGATTACAGTGTACGACCAAGTACCGAATGAAGCGTCATAAGAGGTCGAAGCACGAAATAATTCGCACGTTCGCGCAACAAAGACCGAACGCCGATGACGACAGTCAGCCAAAGCTTACGTGTAGAGGTATTCTGGTGTTGATGGATAACGCTGCGGAAAGGTCGCGCAGATCGTACAAATGGGACCCGCGGCCTCCGTGAATCTGAGCAGTGGTACGCCAAGGTTCCCTAGCGCCGAATTAGATGCACCAAATTTGGGAGTGCACGTTTCAATTCATGCGCTCTAGATTCGCAGCCATAACTGTTGTGACTCACAAAGCATTGCTGCAAGGTTCAGTACATGCACAGCAGAAGTCCTATAGACCGGTCAGCAACTGCATGTCTTTCGAATGTGCGTGAGGACGTCATCACTCGACTAGCGGATCGGATGCCGGATGCCAATGAATGCCCCGTCCCGTCCCGCCTTGCACTCCATCGCTGGAGCGCGTTCGGGAATTTCGATTACTCTTCAACGGCGATAATCCCACCGCACGTGACGAGCTTACTGAACGCTTCAGGGTGATGTCCAGGGTAACTGCCCTACGTCCTCAATCTTATTTGATCATGACAGGACCTTCATGCAATGTAGAGCATGCTTACCATGGCACTGGGATTATCAGGAGCAAAATCGGATTTCTAGCTCAATCTCTTGCATTATAAGCAGCCTGTGCATTGCTCCATATGCAGAACACTCAAAGGGTGGTAGGGCTTCTACCTGTAATAGAATGGCGATGTCCTCAATACGCACTCGCAACTGGGGCATTGTCAATTCATCCGCCTTCTCCGTTCAGCCTACTATTGTTCAGTCACAGCTTCAAGCAGGTCGTGATGCAGTACGTGAGTGAGCAGTTCGCCCTACTACAGTGGAAGTGGTCAAGATGCCACTAACCTTTTCATGGTAAAGTCGGATCCGACATGCTTCTAAGCGAGCAAATTTGATCGACTTCCCCTATGAACACACCCCTGGCAAAACATTCTACGCCCAGCTCAACGAATTTACAACCTGACATTAAAGACATATACATATCAATTCTTGCTCCTTTCATCGAATCACGTGAATCAACATCTCACCTCGACTCTTCAGCATCGGTGGTTTAGTGGTAAAATTAGCCGTTGCCATCCTTCACAGGACAGTTTCGGCTAGCCCCGGGTTCGATTCCCGGCCGATGCAACGAGCAGCAGTAGCTATTCTTTTTGTCGTTTTGGAGGTCTGTTGTGGTAGTGGTGGTGGTGGTGAGCTGGCGTGGTTGTGGGGAAAGGGGCCAGACAGCCTGATACCTTCCCGGCGGTTGCAACACCGACATTCTTTTTTGCTGCTAGTGATCAGTCCCACATGTCTGATCTCCTTGCTGCGCCCTCGAGAGGACGGAATATTGCAGGCGAGTTACGCTCGTAAGCCATCAGTCAGTGCTCACTAGTGTGGCTCATGCAATCCATGGCCTGATTAATACTGGGACTCATGCACCGCACTATTGTTGAGTAACGAACTGTTTACTCATACCTCGTACGCGTTTCGTCCTTCGGCCTTTTCGGTTTATTCTATCGTCAAGGCGCACAGCAGCGTCGATCTTCTCCGATTGTCCCGGGAACTGCGCGACCAGATCTACGCCTATGCGCTCCATCAGGGGGGCTGTCTTTATTTCCACCGCAAAGGTGACTACAAAGCATACTTCAGTACAAGTTCGCGTCAACCGCAGGAAATCGTTGAGCTCCAGTACATGTGTTGGCAGCTTCGCTCGGAGGCTCTCGGACTGGAATGGCAGCTTAACGGCTTCACCTTCCTGTCTCATGAAGACCGGTGCGGCCAATTTGTCGACAAATCATTAACAGAATAGCTCATAGGCTTCTTGGATATGTACTGCGAGGCGTGGACACAGCGACTCCGATGCGTCACTTTGTTGGCGTGAGATAGCCGTGTGGCGAAAGGGTGTCCGGGCAACCCAAGCTACTTGAGTGATCTATGTCTCGTCGCGCACATCTGTGAGGACTACCCTCGTATGACAGTGCGATAGCAGGTCGATCTTGGTCAGCAGCCGCGCGTCAATTTTACAACTGGTGTGCACGATTTCCATGCAAGCGTGCTTCTACTAATCAGAGTTCTCCGCCCCGAGCCACCCATCACCTTCGAGAGGCATATAAAAGAATCTCGGCTGAGTACAGAGCGGGCCACCCTGTAGCTATATCACTGGTTCTGGTGCCCGACAAAGAATGGTCACCTGGGGTGCCAGTGGATATACCTGGGCAGCTGTGAGAACATTATACACGCGCAGAACTTCGGAATTTCCCCCTTCAGAAGAATAGTTGACTCAGAAGGGTTACGAGTGATGATGACCAGTGATAACAGTGAAGATAAGTCCGCTCACCATGACAACACGGACGCTTGCTTGTTTGAGGAACGTCTCGCCCTTGCAATAGAGTGAGCGAGGAATGGAGTTTGAAGCGTAAATGAATGCAAACATGATTTTCTTGATTTTGAATTTCTCAGCCCTCTACTGGCTCGTTGATCTTCTTGTTCCGTAAGTGTTGATGTTCAACATCAATACCAAACGGATCTGTCCACTGGGCCAACACTAATGATTTGGCATGTCATCCGGATACATTCCTTTAGCCTTGAACAACCTCCCAACTTTCTCCTGTGCTTACCACTAAGTTCAAGACATCGATAACCGCAGCCTCCGTCCAGTAATCCATTCGCAAAATGTTGACACTCCATACAGGTCTCTCAGCCAACATCCTATCCATCATCGCAGCATCAAACCAGAAACCAGCTGTCTTCTTCTCTTTGTCCCACGTCCAGGTAGTTATCACTACGCTCTTCTGACGTAATTTTACAAACACGTCGTCTTGGTAGCCTTGGTCGCCCGCCATCAAAGCCTTTCGAAGCGTGAAGTCCGGCATACGTGTGGCCACATCCATTGCTGCTAATCGAGCATCAAATTGAGTGAAGAGAATAGTAAGAGCAGGTATGCTTGGCTGATAGTTCTTCTCCAGATGTGTGAAATCGGCGAAGCGTATGGTGTAGCGCTTGATGCTTGAAAGCTTAGGTATAGAGAGTGGTGTAGCGATGCCAAAGGGTAGCTCGTACATCCACATCGCTGTAAGAGTGCTGAACTCCGGAATGAAAGGCGCAATATCGATGTGCATACGGGAATGCTTTCTGCCACTCTCCTCAACTGTTAAGGGTGAAGTGGACGGAAATCTTGCTTCTGTGTGTACCTGGTTGCTCAAGATAGCTGAAATGACCTCGGACAGCCAATGTGCTGGATACCCAAGCTCATGCAGTCTGACGATGAGACGAAAGAAGATGGTGACATTGAGTGGCGCGTAGATGTAGCTGCTCATCTCAGATACAGAAGCAGGGAGTACAAGCTTGAGAAATATAGCGTACAGCCAATGCTCGACTTCTGAACGTAAACTGAGATCACCCTGAGTGCGCTGATAAGCGTGATAGAGAATCATTGGGTATTTGATTCCCTCAACAGTTCGAAGGAGGATATCGTCAATCTTGTTGAGTGAGATAGTCTTCGCACCTAAGAAGTTCGCAAGATCACGATCCGTGTGAACCGTGGTATACTCGCTGTTAAACGCTTCTACCGAACGAAATGCAGTGTGGTTACGGCAATTGTTGGCCAAAGCAAAAGAAGATGGCTTATCCTTCAACAGTGGTAGGACGTGGATGTAAGTAAACAGTGACCCACCCACATAGTCTGGAATATTACTAAGATGTATACGATCGTAGCGCTGAGGAAAGTGCCTGGGTCGATCTTTGACATCCTGCTTCGTGATTCTTCCGAGTGCCACTGTTACGTCACCTGTCATCATCTCGACATGTAGACGACCAGCTAGACCGCGCACTGCCTGCGCGGTATGAACAAAGAACGGTGCCAGGTAGTCGTATAGCTTTTGAGGGTTTTCTGGGTCTTTACCAATCCTTGTGCATGCGTATGGCATGCTAGCGAGCTGGAACAGATTATGAACTGCGAAGACGTCTTGTTTTATCTCGTTCAAGTTGGTCATATCTGCAAGCGTTACGTTGGGCTTCCAGTTCTGTTCGACGTAGTGCTTCAGGTTCATCGCACTCTGGCCACGCATGAGCATCTTGAGAAGCTTTCTGAGGGCGCGCGGTATCTCGTCATCAGGTGGTAATAGCAAACCGGAAACGATCCAATACTGAAGCTCTTCGTGGCATCCTTCTGAAGCCATACCCGCGACGTCGGTCTTTTGACCCGTTTCTGACCAACGCTGTATGGTAGCCTTCGCTTGGGAGACGAGGTTGTGGGCGGGAAAGGCATCCGCCGCTGCTTTCTGCCATTGTTGAAGAGCAGTAATAATGGACTCGCGCCCGTATTCGTACACAAACAGAAAGCCTGGCAATGTTGCATCTCCAGCCAAAACTTGAAGGGCGCGACTGATGGTCTGTTGTAGGCATTCGTAGTTCTGGGCGGGCATGACGTAGCCGGCATACAGGAAGAATAGTGTAACCAAGGCGACAGGAGGCTTGTTGACTTGGTCCGGCGCTGTGTTACCAACAGCATCTGCGATTTCTTCGAGTAGAAGTAGAACAAGGAGATGACGAGCTAATGCGCAGCCATTGATGTCGTTCACAGTGAAATGGTAATTGCACTTCTTCATCTCCGCCCGCTGGTCCAGCACCCGCCCTTTGTTGACGCTCTCGCTCTCGATAGCCCAGATCATCCGGATCGTCTGAAAAAGATGTCTAGCATCGCCAATGCCTCCAAAGAAGTAAGTGATGGTCTCAGAAGCCGACGTATTCGATATGAGCAGATGATCAAATAGCGGCATAGCGTCATCGTTGCCCACGTTGAAGCAATCAGGGGCGATCGCGATAGCGGGCTTGTAGTGTGGTAGATTCCTGACACCTAATCCGAATGTTTTTGCGGCCTCAGACTCTTGACCTAGCGTAACACATCGTTCTATCTCGGCCTTCGATGTCGACTCGCCCAACCTCTCCAAGAGCTTGTTCGCTTGGTCGTACTGCTTGAGATGAACATGCGCCTTGGATGCACGCAGAATTGCCTTTGACATTGCGCCATTGTTGGCTACTGGTATCAGGGAGAGTGCTTGGCGTACGTCCTCGATCACTTTGGTGTAGTTGCCGAGCTCGTAGTGGACGGCAGAGATGTTCAGCAAGGGGCGATAATCATTCGGGTATAGAGCAGCAGCTTTCTGGTAAGATGCGATTGCTCAAGAACCATTAGCGTCATTCGTGGAGGGTTGAGGGGGTCCATCTACCTTTCGTGAACTGTCGCTTCTTGAACTGATTGTTGCCCAGTTCCCTAGCATCCATCTCTCCGTTGGCGTCGTTGTCCGACATACTTTGTGGCTGTCAGAGAGAGAGTGTGTGAAGATCTCGGTTCTTTTGCGCATTCGAAAACACTAAACTTGTGGTTATACATGCGTTTGCTCTCGGTTGCCGCACAGACGTACGGGTCGCGACGTGTACGCTAGTGTATACAGTTCCTAGGAAATGCGTGAATCTTCCAGTTTTGGAACGTGTCACCTGGTTAGTCAGAAATACAGTGACGATTGTTCCTCATTCACCACGCTGTCATGGTACGAACAATGACGATATGTGCCTACTCTTTCAGCTCACTCTCACCTGCATCGTCGAACCCCCTTTCTTCTCAAGGTTCAACTGCGCCCTATACACCCTCAACTGTAGCCACACAATCCCAACCACAAAGAACACAGCAATATCTTACCGCCCACCCGTCGCACGAGGACCCACCTCTTACTCGCCACAGAAAAGTACAGCCGCGTCCAGCATGTCTCGATACTTTCCTACACCGACTAAGGCTAAGCCTCGTATCAACCCACTTATTAAGCTCTTCGTATGGCGATGTCCCGATGACGGATGCAAATATGTCAATGAGACATTGGCAAGTGAAAGAGGCTACGTCCGAATGATCTCAACTGGCGAAGAGCTTCCAGAACCCATGTGGTACGGGGAAAAGTGCGAAATGTGCCGCCAGAAAGCAGGGTAAGTTGCGATTGTGTAAAATGCATGCAAAATATATGCTGACTTCGTATTTTCACCCTTGAAGTATAGAGTGCTTGCTCCTTCAAATCAAACCTCTGACGCCCTCTCAGCCTGTAAGTGAAGCGAAGGGCAACGGCAAGGCGGTGGTAGACGAGGATGTCGAGATGGAGGGTTGATGCGAAATATCGTCTACTCGTAAGCTCGAGTTCTGGATCTCCCCCGCGTTGACGGAGGACTGCTGGACATGTGGGCAGTCCGTTTGCTAGAAACACGCGTCGCCTCAAAGCTAACGGTTCGCGCCTAGATATGAGGCTTGATAGCACCAAGATTCCTCAAATCGCTTCTTGTCCTTTTACATGTCATGGCTGATGGGATATGTGAAATGAAACGGGCTGCGGTGTAAACGTCATCATATACATCACTGAGAACGCGTCAAGACGCGACGTGCTAGACCGGATCGGCTGTAGCGCGTCCTGTCCAGCCCGGGCTGAGCTTTCACTGATGCTGTGCAAATGAGAATTATTCTCGCCCTATGCTTCGCCGCGATCATGTGAAGCTGGACTAGCCAGTTCTTCCAGACCCGAACTCTTGCGAAAACGTGCAGTAGGCACGAATTCTTGTCGTCTTTACTTCCAAGGTTGGAGTAAAAGCAGCCAACGAAGCTCTTCAGCCCGTAACGACTTCACATCCTGCCATACTCAGTACAACAGTTGCCCTCCATACAATGCTCGTCATAGTCGCCCTCGAATCCATCGCAGTGGGCCTTACTCACGTCGAAAGAGCTGAAGAGCTGAGCCCCACTCTTATAGGCTTCTATGGACGTGTATTGCCGAAGCCTAGGGCATGATTAGCTCTCCTGCGCAACCTTTCAGCTGACCAGGCCCATTACCTGGTGATTCGGGAACACGAGCATGTCTGCAACGACGACATTCTCCCGTCTACTGGATGCAAATACTATGAGTTCAGCAACGTCATCTGGAGTGAGTGGATCGCAACCGCTAGATGTCTGTCAGCAAGCCTGTCCGGAACCTAAGGCAAGTTGCAAAGATCGTACGCATAGACCTTATCTGCTTTCTCTTTGTCAAAGCGATGCCGGATGTCGTTGAACTCCTGTGTGCACCATGTTAGCGTGAGTAGGCATAAAATCGCGATACTTACTGTCAAGACTTGCCCCGGATCTACTGTTATGATTCGGATACGTGTGCTGATCGACTCTTTCCTCAAAGCATCAGTGAAGGCCCGAATCGCTGCTTTACTAGCGCAGTATATCTGCATGATTCTCAGTTCACAACCATTACGAGTTCAAAACAGATTATCTGTCAGAAAGGCCACGCACCGATCCACCAACATAAGCCTCTCGCCCAGCAATACTTCCTAACATCACAACATCGCCCTTGCCGCCGTCTGGTCGCCTCTTGAATATCTTCATCACTGCTTGCGTCATGTTGATTACACCTTGCACATTCGTTGCCCATACATCCTGAATTACGTGTGTTGGTATGTCGGGTGCTTGTTCGACGCCTGACATGAAGCCTCTTTTCGTAGTTGTCAACGAATGAAGTAAACCTTCTAATGGAATACACACGCATTATTGACCAGCACATCCACGTCGCGGAACTCGTCTGGTAGTCCTTGCTCTCCAAACATCGCCTCGATCTCTTCCGGTCTTGAGACATCAAGTTCCATCACGAAAACCTTCACGCCATCGCCAGTTTCATTCTTTATCTCTGTGGCGAGCTCATGGAGTCGGCCGACCCTTCGCGCTGTAACAATAAGCTTCAGATCTTGTGGTGATGAACGAGCGAACTCGAGTGCAGTACTGCGACCGATTCCGGAAGAGGCCCCAGTGATCAACACGGTTTTACCGGAAAGATTGTTTGCAATCGAGTTGTGTGAGCGCATGCTTCCGTTCAAGTTCACAGAGCTCTTTGCGCGCTCGGGTCGTAAGATGTGTGGTAAGAACGGGAGCGGGGATATGGCCGTTGATACCCGGTTCCGCGAGGCAAGCTAACGAGCGGACGTTCGCGATGTTCAGTGGACATTCCATCGTCATCGCTCAGCCGTTACAATTACACCCTTGCAAATACTCGTCATGCCACACGCGATTACTTTGACCCAGCACTGCGGCGCCATTTCACCGAAATGGTTCCTTGAGCGTTCAAGGGTGCGGTGCCGCTGAAGGATTTGGCCAAGATGCAACGCCGAAACACGTTCCATTCTCATTGGGGTTGACATTGAGCGATCGGATTCTCTGCAGAGCTACGCACACGACTTCTACGCACATCTGTACGAGGTGCAGATAGAGAATCGCGTCGATGCTGACGATCTTGTTTTGATGGAAGAGCCCGCGCCACATGCAACAGTTCCTTCGGCAAGGTGGCGTGGATGTTCAGATGTTCGACAGGTACGCGGAGAATAGCGCAGGTTCACCGCACACCGGCATTTGCAAGCGAACATGACAATCATGCACAGAAAAGGCTGCTCGAAACGCGGTCTCTCGGCAGAAGCTGGGATGGGCCGCTCCTTAACATGAGGCTAACACCGATGCATCTGGGTGGGCGTTGAAAAGTTGCAAGCGAGGTACCAGACGACTGGGCCGACCGTGTTGGCGCCAAGATTGCGCGTCTCAACCGGAGCCGTAACCTTTTCCTGACTGCCGTATCTCATGGCTCACGCCACTTGAGTCAAGATTTGACCGTCTCAGCGAGACATTATCCGCAGCCCACGACTGTTCGCCGCGTTATGCATCCTCAAGCGAATCAAGCAAGAGCAAGGATGAGAGATTCATGGTTTAGGTGATTGAGGTCTCAGTGATGACCATCTTTTCCCCTAAAGAATATCATCGACATGTAATGAACCAGATTTGGGTCCGTGAAAGACAAGCTGCCTGATCGTGAGGCTTCCTTCAGTTCTCCTACCTTCAGTCCGATCCCTGTCATAAAGAATCCTTCCCCCAGTTTTCATCGACGTCTCTTTATCCGAATCAAGAGTACGAAGCATTGTGCATGCGATGCCATGTGTACTCCTATACCGCAGACTGTTCAGAGAATGAACGCTTCATATAGCACAATTTACCTCGTGAAGGCTGTCTAGCGCACCAACTTATCCACTGTCTTCTGCATCGGACTACAAAGATGTCTGACCCTAATGCAACGCTCATCGAGTGCCGCGTTGAATACGCCCTTGGAAGTGTCATTATAGCTGCAAGATTCTTCACGAGATGGAAGACATTGGGATGGCGAGGCTTCTACTGGGATGACTTCTTTGCATTTTGGTCGTGGGTATTCTTCACTCTCATCTACGTTATGGTGGAGTATCTCAGTAAGTCGAAGATAGCAGTGAGTTCGCGATTTGATCGTTTGACTGACAATCTCCAGGTATAATGGGTGCACCAATAGCCATGACCCAAGAGCAGCGTGAAGCACTCCCACCAGCGATGCGAAAGTCGATGCGAGAGGGTGCAAAGGGCATGTTTGCCTCGTTCTACTTCTTGATCTTCTTAGTTTGGAGTCTGAAAGGCTCGCTCATTATTCTCTTTCTGCGTTTGACGTAAGTGCAGTCTATGACGCTCCGCAAGATCGATACTAACTTTCGCGTGCAGGAGAAGTACTAGGCTCTACCATTATGTTCAAGCCGTGGGCGCTATCTCGATTGCTGCATGTATAGCTGCCATCATCACTCAAACCACACACTGCTTGCCTTTGAAGAGAAACTGGCAAATTCTTCCTGACCCAGGCAAAGAGTGCTCAGCTGGCATTGTGATTAACATTGTCATTGCTGTCGGGAACGTCTTGTGGGTAAATCCTCAAAGTTTAGCGATATGTAGCTAACGCATGATACAGAGTGGATGCTTTGTTGCTCGTTGTTCCTTTATGGATGCTGAAAGATGCAAAGATCAGTCTATGGCGGTGAGCTTATTCCCCATATAAGAAGAGCCAAAGCTGATACATGTTCAAAGCAAAATTCGAGTCATCTTCCTCCTGTCTCTCGGTCTCTTCGTTATGGGCATGGCTATCGCACGCTGCATTTTGTCCATCGGCACCTCCGTCCAAGTGGCTCTCTCTTCAGTGTGGGCACAACGCGAAGCCGTAAGTCTGCCATTCACCTACAAGCCATAATTTCGGTATCTGATCGTGTGCAACAGATCGTGTCCATATTCGCAGTGAATGCACCCGTAATCAACAGCCTCTTTCGAGCAGAAACATGGGCAACAAGACACTCTTCGAGCGGCTACGTATCCAAGGACTCCCACAGGTCGCGGACAAATACCAGTACGTTGGGAAAGAAGAAAAAGACCGGCTTCGAGATATACAAGATGACGGATATCGAGACCAAGATGACGGACTTTGAGACAAGCAGCAAAGAGAGCACGTCGGAATTGTTCAAAGATCCAATGCTATCTCCAGTGCCTTCGCAGTGGAGATGTTCAGCGCGAGGAGCAAGTCGAGATGGTAACCCCGGACGTATGGCTTGAAGGGATGCGGGAAGATACCCATAGCCCCTGAAGCTGTCGTAACGTCCCGCTGATTGGCGCTGTTCTCCGGCATTTCGATTCCTTCCGCGGAGGAGAGGGATTGCTTGACGCGTCCGCCTAGCATTTGGTTACATACAGCCTACCTTTCATATCGCACATCACCGCAAATGTAACTCACTACTCTTGTTGCCCAAGATATAGTCCTCGTCAATTAGGGGTCGCTAGACACCAACAATAACTCAAAGCATACACTTGAGCCGCTCATCTTACGACCTGCACGATAAGGCCACCCCAGCAATAACAGTCTTCTCAGCCGAGTCATGGGCACATGTCAACGTACACTAAGGATCAACTCCCTGATCGATCCCACATCTGCCAAGACCTTATTGCCGTTCGCGGTAGGCGATAAACCGTGAGATGACCAGGGTCTGTAAGAAGCGGAACTAGAGAGTCGTGAATTCGAGAATATGTAGTCAACAATACTGAAGCACGAATCATGCCAGGAACTGATAAGTACCCCACACTATCCGGCTCATGGCTCTCTACCAAATCAAAACTCATTAGAACTTTTCAAAATGCCATCTTTCCAAGACACAATCAGAAACCTAGACTCTTTACAGCCCTCACAGTTCTCTACAGACGCTGAGCGCTACGAAGCTAAAGAAGCAGCGCGCCGCCTTCTGAACCGCCTCGAAACGCCATTTGAGCAAGGCTGGAGGCTGTCTTTCGAGACGCCAGTGCTCATCGCCGGTATCCAGACCATTCTTGACCTCGGCATCTGGAAGCAATGGACGGAGGCGAATAAGAAGAACCCTGGTGCACCAGTGCATCTGGATCAGCTGCTAAAATGGGCCAACGCGAAGGCCGAGCCAAATCTGTTGCGTGAGTATAGATGTCATTGGAAGTAAGAATTACAGAGCTGATATTGTGGTTTGTAGGAAGATTTTTGAGACACATCGCTGCGCTATATGTATTAGAAGAGACAGATGTTGATACCTGGAAGCCTACACCGTACTCGCTCTCTCTTGGCGACACGGTATCGCATACCGACCAAATCACACAATGCGGGTACGTGGAGCCATCCTCAATCAGATTCCTCAGTGGTCCGTTAACGCAACTCTCAGTACCGATCATACCGTTCCCACAGGCGTCAACCTCCCGTATTTCCTCAAGAAATACAATTATGTCGAACCAGTCGACCTGGCCAAACTCGACAACTACCGCGATATGACAGGCGGAAAAGACTTCTTTGCTACTTGCGCCGCTGACCCGGTGGGCAAGGGAAGTAGCTTCATGGGTCTGATGACCGCGCTGCGGAACCATAAGATGAGCTGGACAGATGTGTACGATACGAACCGCATCGTCGATGGTGCTGATGTCCAGACTGGAAAACCTTTGTTTGTGGACATTGGCGGCGCGCACGGTCTCGACACTTCGCGTCTTCTTGACAAGCATCCGGACCTGCCTGCCAACGTTCTGGTCCTGCAAGATACTCCCGAAGTCGTCGCAATGCCCATTGAAGACTTGGATAAGAGGATAGTGAAACAAGCCTACGACTTCTTCACGCCTCAACCTCAAAAGCACGCGCGCGCTTACTTCTTCCATGCCGTACCCCACGACTGGCCTGATGCGGACTGCGTACGCATGTTCTCGCAAGTGGCCGCTGTGTTCAAGCGCGGATATTCCAAGCTCCTGATCTACGAGGTTGTGCTGCCGAAGAAGGGAGCCACGAACTTGATGACGACGTTGGATTTGCAGCTCATGAACTGCACAAGTGGAATGGAGAGGACAGAGGAGCATTGGGCGAGATTGTTGAAGGAAGCCGGATTTGGTATTGTAGATATAAGTCGGCATCCAAGGGCTGTGGAGAGCGTTATCGAGGCGGATTTGATCTAAGTGGTACGTCGGGCGTATTGGTCGTCCTACATGCCCACGTTTCGAGTCAGAATGGAGCATGCTCAGAAAGTCACTTCGAATAGACCAATACTATCTCTTTCTGAGAAAGGAATTTGATGTCCGCTCCACCCTTCAATCCAATCTCTCGCCATAACTTGATGACCTTTCCTATGCACCTCAACATTCTTTCTTCCTTCTCTCCGCTTCCTGTTGGCGAGCCAAACACAAGGGTGTTCAGCAATAGAGGCAAATATATTGTTTCGCGCGATACCATATGGCAGGTTTGCAGCAACCCAGCACCAATTCCAGAAACGTCGAATCTACCACGCTGGACATCGTAGGACAGGAGTCCTTTCTCGGAAGTGAGGGCGTACGCATAGATCATGTTGCGGATTTCACCTGGGAGACAAAGTAGGGGCGATGCTGCTATTGCAGCCTGATGGGCCGCTAGTGTGGTATGGGAGGATAGGGGACCGAGGATTTTGGTGTGGGTCTTTCGTGGCCGTTTGTAGGATCTGAAAGTTTTCGAAGACTTTCTGAAGAGAAACTTTGTGGTTCTTGAAGGTTCGAAGCTTTCTGCCTGGCCAGGTTTTGTAGAGATCTGTGGCTCTTTGGACAGGGTTGAAGCATGCGGGGTCTGCAACGTTGGATTGTAGCACGAGGTATGCATGATACAGGAGGTGATAGTGTGTAGATGGCTGCGCTTTTGATGGTGGCTGATGTATCCAGTGATATGTGTGAGGCTTGAGATTAGAAAGAACTGGTGGAGGCTTCAGGCGTTAGTACCAAATTATATATTTTGGCCCACGATAGAGTTGTAATCATCAAAAGACACGGCCATATTTGCTACTGTTGCGAATTGCACAATAGCTCCATGGTTGACTGTTCGCTACCAGAAAGTGAGGGCACGTCTACCTTCGCCTCAGCTATTTTCTCGGCCTACTATCATCAGCTGGGACCCTATCACAGCGCTTGAGTGCAATGTTTACAGTATGATTGATCTTAACATGCTTCGCACATACCTTGCGCCCAAGTAAATGAGCGCTCCAGCCGTGGGGCCTTCCAGACTACGCCCACTCCCCCCTCGAATTGGGTGCGCGTATCTGGAATCATCGATCCATAGTCGACATATATGATTTCTTCATAGAGTAACACCACTCTTTTGGCCCGGGAACGTGGTTTCTTCGAACTCGATCTTGGTGATGTGCTGGCCGGGCACAACGATCAGTCCAACATAACGACTATTCCAAGCTACGGATGTGGATGGATTTCCCGACTCTTCCACCGCCTTGCGAATCGTCTCGGCTGATGGCGCACGGTACTCATGTGCCAGTGCAAGAATGATGTTACGGCCCTATACCGTGTCAACACAGTGCAAGCTCGTACACACGTCATAGCCTACCTTATCCGTGCACTTCATCTGGCCTCCAAAGACGCGTCCATCGCTGGCATGTATGCGTAGATTCTTGCCGATGAACTGATTCAGCCAGAAAGTCGCTTGCTCGTTGTCCATGTTGGGGTTCTTCTTTGCTCTGGGGAAGAGCCAGCTGTAGCGGTTGGTCCTCCTTGGGGCTAACATTTCACTTCTTGGAAAAGAGGGGACCGCGATGTGGCTGTGTAACCTTGAGGCTGGAGTCGTGGCTTGAGAGGCCCGTCGGAGAGGGGACGGCCGATGTGGCTTGGCGCGTTTGACGCGTTTGCGCCAAATTTCTGGACTTTGCGGAGCCCATGCGCAGTGGAAAGTCGCCATACATCCCACCATGTCTTCGATACGGCGGAGCTGCCAATCGGCCTTGTTCAGGACAAACAATGTCTGTCTGTACACCAATGGCTCAAGACGCGCATTCTCTCGCACGTCGGTGAGCTCCAGAGGTCCGTACCACACCCGCATCGCCCTCCCACTGCTTACCATACTTACACGGACATAAGGCGCTCTCCCAAACTTCCTCCCACCCTCCAAGCCCGAACTATCAGAGCTCCTCTCCAAGTTCAACGCCAAGATCCTTCTTCCCTCTCACTTGACGAAAGAACAACGGAAGCTTGTCTACTCGAAAGAATCCCGCGCAAAACTCGAAGCCGAACCCGTAGAGATCACCCTGGGAGATGTCACTCTTCCTCTCGAACACCTCGACCGGAACAGACTGCCAAACACTTTCAAGACTTTCAGGGGGATCGTAGCCGAGAGCGAGACTAAGGAGGACTGGGAAAATGTAGTCAGATGCTTGGAGGGATTCGAAGAGGCGGGCATCAAGGTCGAAAGCGCGTGGCAGGAGCTAGTCGTAAGAAAGTTAAATCTAGCGGACATGCATCATCTTGTCCTCAAGATGTTGCAAAGATCAAAGGCAACAGGCGTGAAGCTGAGCAACTTGGGTGTGCTGCAACAAGTATTGAGGAGTGTGCACGACAAAGCTACCTTGTCTGACTGGGCAGAGGAAGAGACAGCCAAGATGTACAAGCAAGCGAAGCAGATTGTCGAGCTCATGGATAATGAGGAGCACCACAAAGTCCAGAATCGCAAGGATCAGCCTACTGAAGGTGACTGGAGGGGCAGGCCTTCCGTTGTTGCACTGCCGACCGAACTGGCTGCTGTGCTCGCCGAGCGACATGGCGGAGACATGGAACAAGTCAAGAAGCTATCGAACCGTTTGGTAAATGCGCTTAAGCAAAGTGATTACACAGTATGTTTCCAAGAGCTTCGCCAATAAACACAAGGAATACTGACAAGCCTTTCTAGGCCTGGCTCGACATGACGTCCTTGCGGTCCAGTACTAAAGCCGATTCATTCAAAAACGTTACCACACAGTTGGCATTCACAAAAGACCACAGCTACAGTCTCCTTGAAGTAATGATTGTGTGGAATGCACTCAAGACATCTCGCAAAGTACTGGGTGCTGAAATGCCCATGGCCGAAGAGGCACAAAAGTTCGAAACTAAGGCAGAGCAAGTCCTGATGGAGGGCATGCAGTCGTTGGATGATATGTCGAAAGACAAGAGCGGCAAGTCGCTGAAACCAGCGTTTGTGAAATACGCCAAGGATGTCCTTGAGAAATGCAGATAAGAGGCGAGCACCAAGAAGTTAGATGTAAAGAAATAAGAATACGGCAGGACTGACTGTCATGTAAGTCCATATACTGTACCATAGCGCAGAAATGAATAAGGAAGTGTTCCTTTGCTGGTGGAGCACCACATTTTGAGCATGGTCATTATCGGCTGCATCGCCTCACACCAGTCAAATAAACATGATTTCATTATCACAGCGTATCAAATCATGGACAGCTCACATGGCTTCTTTGGCGCCGGCACCGACTCCCTTGCTTTATTTGGCCTCATGAGATTGCCCGTAATCTAGTCTGACGCTGGGCACTTTCTGGAGACGAATGACATTACTAAATCTCACCAGAACATCTATTGTAGACCTCGGGTCGAGTCTCGACCAAGTATGGAAAACCTCGACTTCGTTCCATGTGTGATAGCTCTTCACTTCGTTATTCAGTGTCCGATTCTTGATTTTGATATTAAAGTTTTCGACGGTATGGAAGGAAAGATGGTGCCCTCCAAGTCTGCACGTTGGGTAGCTACGTGTGCGTTCAGTCACTGGTGCCAGCGCAAATGGCCTCAATCACCTTCTCATAGGTGTCTTCTTGGTAGCAAAGCTATCTTTTGGAGGCCGCTCGTTCTACGGGTCATCATAAATTGCGAGAGTCTTTTTTGTCGCAGCTGTTTTCGAACATGGCAGACTTGCTTCTTGCTTTTGAAATGAACCGCAGAATTGTAGATCGCAGTGATCACCAGTTGCTCCAAATGTCTTCAAAAACACCCAGGAAACATGGTCAAGAGAAGTGTTGGGTTCAGTTTCTATCGTATCCAGGATATGTTGATGGAGCATGGAGCACCCAAAAGATGTGTGCACAAGCCAATATATCTATGAGGAGATCATGAAACTCATCCCGACAGTCTGTGGCGCCGCAATCCCACATGGCTGTCAAGTGTGGATTTTTGAAATGGACACATCTTGGTTTCGGAGAATAGCGATATTGTGAAGGATGCGGCGATCTTCCAGAGCGAGGCCATTGTCTTTTTCGAACACGAAGGAATCTTGGAAAAGATTGTCTACTCAAACATGGAACTATAGATTTGGAAATTGTGGAAAAGTCCACGAGAAAAGGACATGAAATCACTTGTTCAACATTTTGGACACCATGAGCGCGAACCGTTCGGGTTTTGGAAGACTCTCAAGGTATGTTTATAGAAGAAAAGAGGATCTGAGAAATGACAATGAGGCTTATATACGTCCGCCGAGCCTAATGGTGTTGGCTGTCACCAACAGCATCGGCACCTTTGTGTGTAGTCATATGATCGTTACGGTGTTCGGCATAAAATCAATAGGTTGACTGTGTACTCGAAGCAACTGCCGACGATCAACGCGAGTAATCAGCTGTATTGATAGACGCGGTTCCAATGTCTCAAGCGTAAGCGGTCGCGCGCGTGTCGTTTCATGAATTGAGTACAGACTCCAGCACTGCTTTCACCTGACTTGTCAGCTGCACCTGCCTTTCACGACGCCTAGCTGCTTATACTATTGTCTCAAAGTTTCAGATTCTGCTTGTGCTTGATCACATGGGCACTTTTCTATATCTATTTTGTTGCATTGCAGATGAATATCACAACGCTCAACCACACCCGCAACGAAATCGCAATTACAACCATCAAGTAGACTTCAGAAATGAGCGTCCCATCAAATTCATCTGCTTCTCCGGCAACTGGGCGCATAACCACCTCTGCTCAAATCCTCCCCAACTGGGACACTTCCCGCCCCATTCTACGTTTCGACTTCCCCAACGCCCAAGCCCAAGAAGCCTTCCACCGCGCCTTCTTACAAGTCCGCTCCGAAAAGGATAAGGCTGCCTTCATGGCACGTTTCTTTGAGAACTACGACGGACAAGTGTCGATCCCACGACGCGTTGTCATGGACACGAGTCGTGATGAGCAAGTGGCAAAGGAGGTACAGCGAAGTTTGGGGGTGGTAATGGATACCGACAGGGATCCAGAGGTTGCCAGAAGACTACAGCAGCAAATGGGTGGAGACGACTCTGGCGGAAATCGAATGAACGCGCAATTATACGATGAAGAAATGGCAAGCCTTAGACAGCGCCGGCTTGATTTCGAAAGGAGGCGTCAGGGTTACGGCGGTGCGGGTGGCTTAGGCTACAACGGCGGTGTGGGTCGGATGACAGACCGGTTTGGAGATATGTCAGTTCACCAGCGCGTTGCACATCCTGGCTATGCTCCGCAACAGCCACGCCAACCGGACTACTACGATAATGGCTATGGTGAGCCGTACCCATGGGCATACGGTCCAGGTGACGGAGGGGACGGGAATGGAAGTTATGACGCTGGATACGATCCTAGGTATCGATACTGGGGCCAGTGGCGTAGAGGCTACTAAGCCTGCTGAGCACCAATGTTGATCAACCATGGAGACTCTTAGTGTTCGAAACAATGTCACATATCTAGACACGAGCTGATGATATAAATCGTACGCGCCAAAACCAAACCTCATAGTAGACCTGTTAGACCATGATAGCGCTCCTCAGACATATGCCAGGTCCCTCTCCCTACTAGCGTAGCCTCCTGCGTCTCCTGCTCAACGAGTTTTGTCATCCGAGTCCTGTATTTTAATGGCTTCCATGCGTTTCCGCATTGCTAGCCGCGCCATAGCGCCTTTTGGCTTATTTAGTTCGATATCTGGCGACGACGGGCTTCGTGGTGAGGAGGTAAGGGGTGGAGGACTCCGTGATGTAGGGCTCTGTGATGAAGGACTCTGCGGCGGAGGAGTCTGAGGCGGAAGTCTCGGTGTACCGGCAACTCGTATCTTCATCCTAGCTGGTCGCCATTCCCATGGCAGAGGACATCTCTGGACCATTTCCGCAGAATATCTAGCCGGGCAAGATGTAGATCGTGGCCTGACAGATGCCGTAGGTGGGAGCTTGTATGGAGGATTCCATGTGGGCGAAGTAGTGGGGTTTGAACGGGAGGTAGTGAGCTGAGAAGAAACAGCCATAACGGAGGCAGTACAGATAGCAAAAGACAGTAATAGTTCGAGAAATTTGGCGATGTGAGGGTTGTTGTGAGACGATAGTGCAATAGCGACAGGTGAGGCGTGTTCTGGCGGGACCACCAGAGTTTTGTTTAGGCTGGCGAGCATTGCGACTGCTTTATTGTGACAGTGTCGCGCTTTCCAGCGTAGACGCTTAGATGGCGGAAGGAGTGACTTAAGGCTATCACCCACTGTTGGTGGCCGTGAACAACACTTGGGATGCAGGGATAACCTGACCATGATGTACCATACAGCCATACCTCGACGAATAAATACACGATGGCCAAAACCTCCAAGATTTGGTGTAATATCATGCGCCGTCTTTCGTACCGTTGTGGTCACGTTTTGATGGGTTCTTCAATAGATCATTTCGTCAAGATTCGTATTCGTACAATGGTATCACTCTTCAAACCCCAGCCACTCGCCAACATCTTCGCCTTCGTCACTATCGACCATCTCTTCATCCGTTGTCCCATCTTCAATGGCTTTGACGCCAAAGTCAAGCTGTGCTGACTTCTCTTTCTCCTCTGGCGGCTGTGCCAAAAGATATTCAATGCGATAGATGTTCTCGTCCGCCAGTCTGGCGAGCTCAGCTTGTATCCTACGAACGGCCTTCTCAACACTTCTTAATTCAGCCTCGAGGCCGCCCTTGTTGTCCTTCATCCATCGACCATGCTTGCTGAGGAGCGATTCGATCCACACCAGATTGAACTCCAGATGCGGAGACTCATCGGCCTGAAGAGCGACAAATCGTAATAAGCGGCCTAGATACACTGAAGGTAGGTCTTTAACTACCAAAGCTACGCTGCCCACGGGTGTGGCTTCGTATACGCGACGAACCAGATTGCGCTCGTTGAGACGGAAGGCCATGACCAGTGCTTTGAGATAGTCCTTTTGTGCGAGAGTTTCGAGAGTCGTAGCTGGGGTAACGGTGATGTCTAGGTCGAATGGATCGAACTGGAATGTGTTGTCGAGTGAGTAGATTAGTAGACCTTCTGTTGATGCAGCACAGAACGCTCGCCCAGTGGGTGAGAATGCGACAGCAGGTACCCGTACTTCGGGTCGTGTTCTCCGTGCGCCAATGCCTTTTTGCGCTCCAGGTAAGGTTGTGTCTCGACGATCTTCCAGGTCTGACGCTTCGCCTTGGTCGTCAATAAGACCTTGCGGGCCGGCGTCTGTGAGCAGCTTGCTATTGAGGAACTCTTGTGTGCCATCAAGTGAAAGGTTCACGGATACAGTGAACTTCTTGAGTAACACACCCGACTGAACATCGTACAAGCAAATGTACTTGCTGTTACCACCAGCAAGTACACATGTCCCGTCTGCACTGTACTTGACTGACGTAAAGGCTTTGGTGCCTGCGACGTTGGCCGCCGTTCTTCGATCTGACATCTTACGACCACCAGAAACATCTCGTCGCGCATCGACACCGTTTTCTTGTGCAGCATCGGAGACGTTCCAGAATGTAAGCTGCCCGTCAAGTGTTGTCACGGCGATTTGCTTTGAGTCGGGGCGGAAAGCGACAGATAGAATATCTGCCATGAGTTGCAGCGGCTCACTTGTTTGCGTGCGAGCAAAGATGTTCCAGACGCGGACAGTCCTGTCCCAACTTCCACTCACCAGCGTGCCTGCATCAGGGGAGAATGACAAGGACGATACAGGGCCCTCGTGGCCAGACAGCCTATCAAGCAGCTGGCCGGTCTGGACAGACCAGATGTGAATATCGAAAGAATCGATAGAACCTGCGCATACGACCTCGCCGCTCGGGTCAACGGCCAAGGATGAAAACGAAAGTCTCGAAGGTGCTGTGAATGTGCGGAAGTTGCGATACCGGTGGAGATCCCACGCCCTGACAGAACCATCGAGACTGGCTGTGAACAGGACATTTCCCTTCTTCGCAAATTCGCAGGCAGTTACACCACCCATGTGTTCGGTGAATGTGACGACACAGAAACCAGAACTGACTTCCCACACCTTGATCTTTCCGTCATCAGCCGCCGTTATTATGCGCTGGCCGTCTGGCGAGTAGGCGATCGTGTTCATTGAGTCGAAGTGCCCCTGCTGCTTCAGAATGTACGATTCTGACTGCCACTCCCAGACCAACAGCTGCCCGAGCTTCGATGCGCCGAAGGCGAGCCATTCTCCGGTCTTGTTGATTGCGACATAGTCAATATCGTTTTGAGAAATGCTGAGGCTGGAGATTTGAGCAAACTCTGGCAGCTCGTGAATGAAAAAGGCACCGTGGGAGAAACCTGTAACGAGTAGTTTCGACTCAGGATGGAAGCTGGCGCATGTGACATGTGCGTTGTTCTGGTGGAAGAAGTGGCGCTCCGCGATGCCCCATTGTAAATTCTCGTCGTCGTTTTCATCGGCGTCGGCTGGCGCATCGTACCGCAGCATGTATTTCCATACGAACAGTGCACCGTCCTTGCTGACTGTGTAGATGGTCTCTTGATCTTTAGAGAACCAGGCGCCGACTACTTCCTGCCTGTGTCCACCCAGTGTGGTCTGCGCATGCCCTTCTTCTTGATCTACGCTCCAGATGCGTGCCGTCATGTCCTTGGACGCGCTAAGGAAAAACCTCGAGTCGCTCGACCACTCTATGCTTTGCACATTGTTGTAGTGTCCTGTGTATATCCGGTGTCGCACAAACGGCGCAAACTCTAAATCGCCCTCTGCGACGTCTGGAGTAGACGGGGTGTGCCATACTTCGATCTGCCGTCCTATGCCTACTGCAAAATGCCGGCCCGAGGGAGAGAAAGCGATCGAGGTGACTTCACCGCGGAGAGAGAAGTGGTAGAGAACGATGCGACGAGGGACGTTGGTAAGGACTGCGCGACCGTCTTCGTCGACTGAGAGGAGGAGATTTCCGCGAGGGTTGAGGGCAAGGCGTGCGATGTTCTTCCGGTGCGCAAATGGAAGTGTGTGTGATTTGGAGCTGGGCAGAATTAGCGCGCGTCCATTATTGTGGAAGTCGCGAGTTGATACTCACTTTACAAGGTCGAAGACAGTGACCCGGTTACCAACCGGTGATAGTAGACATGTGCCATCTGGAGTGAAGAGAAGGTTGCCTCTGCTGTAGACGGTACCCAGCAGGTTGGAGAACTACAAAAGTCAGTCGCGAACACGTCCATGGCAGCATTGGACTTGCCTGAAAGTCAGTCTTCATCTTCAATATGTCTTGGCTGCAGTCTCGTCATGTCGTGGCGGGCGTGGTCGCATCTTGAACTTTTTCGAAGCTCGGATCATGCTTAGACGCGCTAGTTGGGTAGGCTGCATTAGTCGCGGTACCCCGTTCAGGGTCAGTGCTTGCCGAATGGGCGACTCTGAGAAAGGGGACCCAAATTGTCTACACCACCACGTCTCCTCACCAGACCCTGTACCACACGCCTTTCAGTAACCTCACTACTGGATTGCCTCTCGTCCGCATCCTTTACGTACGTTTGCACGCTGCATGCCATCTCCTACAAGACTGGACATAGCTAATACTGCTCCCCAGACCCCATACACACCAGCGGTCAACCACACATCAACGCCATGGCCGAGTCCGCGTCCCCCATTGGCATTGCCAACGTACGTGTCCCCTCTGCCACAGCTATGCCTCCAATTCGTATACTAACATGCATCGCAGCTGCCAAACCAGAGGTACTATCAACACAGCGGACACGCAAGCATCGGACCCTAACGTAGCACAGGCACAAGATTGTTGCGAAGCGCGGTGCTGCCTTCACCATAATGGTACGAACATCGTCCTTGTCAAAATCCACAATCAGTCTAACCTTTGCAGGTTGCTGGCGAGTCGGGTCTCGGAAAGACTACCTTCATCAACACCCTCTTCTCCACCACCATCAAGAACTATGCCGACCACAAGCGACGACACCACAAGCAGATGGACAAGACTGTCGAGATTGAGATCACCAAGGCCGAGCTCGAGGAGAAGTTCTTCAAGGGTAGGCAGAGCACCATTGGACTGCCCGTCTCCTTCAACTAACACCCCCCAGTCCGCCTTACTGTTATCGACACCCCTGGTTTCGGTGACTACGTCAACAACCGCGACTCGTGGCAACCCATCATCGAGTTCCTCGACGACCAGCACGAGTCGTACATGCTGCAAGAGCAACAACCGCGCCGCTCTGATAAGATCGATCTCCGTGTTCACGCCTGCTTGTACTTCATCCGCCCCACCGGCCACACCTTGAAGCCCCTTGACATTGAGGTCATGAAGAAGCTATGCACACGCGTCAACCTGATCCCGGTTGTAGCCAAGGCCGACACATTGAGCCCAACAGACCTGGCCAGGTTCAAGGCGAGGGTAAGATGCTCCGTCTGGATAGCATGAGCAGATACTGACCGCTATTAGGTGCGCCAAGTGATCGATGCTCAAGGCATCAAGATCTACACTCCCCCGCTCGAGGACGACGACGCTGCCGCCATGCAGCACGCACGCGGCCTCATCGATGCCATGCCTTTCTCCGTTATCGGTTCTGAGAAGGACGTTCAGACCAACGACGGCCGTACCGTCAAGGGCCGCCAATACGCCTGGGGTGTTGCCGAAGTCGAGAACGAGGAGCACTGCGACTTCAAGAAGCTCCGCGCCATCCTCATCCGAACCCACATGCTTGACCTCATTCACACCACCGAGGAGAACCACTACGAGGCCTACCGCGCCGGCCAGATGGAGACAAGGAAGTTTGGCGAGGCGCGCCCAAGGAAGCTGGACAACCCCAAGTTCAAGGAGGAGGAAGAGGCTCTCCGCAAGCGTTTCACCGAACAGGTCAAGGTTGAGGAGCAGCGCTTCAGGCAGTGGGAGCAGAAGCTCATTGCTGAGCGCGACCGCCTCAACAAGGACCTCGAGGCTAGTCACGCAGAGATCAAGCGTCTTGAGGGCGAGGTGGACAACCTCCAGGGCAGCATCAACCGCTCTCACGGTCGTCGCTAGACGCACCCTTTGGCGTTGGTGGTGTTGCACGAACAGAGATGGTGCAGTGATTCAGCATGGTCGCACTAATTCTCCACATTCTTCCTTCAAGATTCCCCTTCTGTTTCCGTATCTTCGGTTCTCATATGTCTGTAATGTCGCGCCGCTATGGGGACACTGTAGGCGACGCGTATCTGGGCTTGGGCTAAACAGCATGTCACAGCTTATAGTTCTATAACTTGGTATTAATCTATTATGAAGACCGCTGGTCACTAAATCTTGCTCATGGGTATATGTGATGTTTGAGTAGCTAAACTTGGAGTCCACCAAACACCCTATCCAATTCCTCGCCTTCTTTGGCCTTGCTCTCCGCTTGCGGATCTAGATCCATGAGATTCTGCACCGGCGCTTTGTCTTCCTTCTTCGCGCCTCCATCACTCTCCTCTGGCTTCAGTATATGTACACCACTATCTAACCAACCCGGCGCAACTCTCCTCTTCTCGGCGAGATCCTCTTTCTGCCTCCGTTCCTCCCACTGCGCCAATGTCTTCCTCGCGTCGGCCTCTAGCTTAGACAAGTGTTCTTGTAGTGCGACACATGATGTGAGAATCTGGTCTGGGTGCGCTGACGTGCCGGATGAAGACATGACGTATGCGGGTTTCGACGCGTTGGACCCGTCTTGCTGCTGTTGGGAGAGGATCGAGGGAGGAAGCGTCGAGGGTAGGGTTACGTAGGAGTATGGCAAGGGGACCGAGGTAGGGAGGGAGAGGAAGGGGGAGAGTGTCAAGGGAACTTGGGCGAGGAGAGGATGTGGGTCTGTGGATTTGGAAACGTTAGCATAGGGGTTTCTGAGACGTTGTGATAGTTGTGGTAGAGGGGATGTAGGAAGATGGTATGCGATGCGCCGTGCCGGCCAGACTTCACGAGACGATGTCAAGGTCTCGTAGCCTCACCCGACAATTTTCGCAGCCACAAATCAGGTTTGGAATCGCGTGCCTGCGCGCCTGTTCTGGCTACACACGTGCATCGTATCGCAGCGGATGTGCATCGTCGTGGGAAGGTCTGGAGAACAACTCACGTTCGTCATGCATATCCAATAGGACTGTACGCGTGTGTGGAATCTGGCCAAAATTTGCCGAAGTAGCAGCACTCAATTGTATAGGGCGTATATTTGGCTATTGCAAGTGCGATGGGTCGTGAATCTGCGGGGTATGCTGATGTCGTCGGGGTTTGGGGTGTATGGATGTGGAGCTGCGATTGTTGGTGGGGAAGCTGGGCGGAGCTGCTGATGCAGGTACCAGACTTGGAAACAACGATCACGCATGACGCACGTGAGATTCATCTCGGACGCTTGTGGGGTGCATACACGAATGCTTCATTTGGGTATTGGTATGTTTTTCGGATCGATGCAGATGTTGTTCTTGAGTCTTGGATGGGTTCAAACTATTGTCATATGCATTTACATCTCATCTATCCATCGAAATTACAACAGCGTCCTGAAATACCGATTCATGCGTGAAGCGAGACACCATATAACTGATAATCTCACTTTTTTACCTAATCTTCGCAGAGCAGGTGAACGGCCTCGGTCCTGGGATGGTATAGCTTGTTGGTTTCGGCCAGTAGAGCTGAAACTTGATGCCTGGATCAGTCGCTTTGTATGCACCCGGGAAGCTGACTGTAGCCGGACTGGCAGTACCACCTCCTGTTACGTTTATCTGGGCACATTCCATGTAGAGTTGAGCACCCGGGTAATTACTCGCAGCATGGAGAGCGATAAGTTCGGCGCGGAGGAGATATCTGAGAAGGACTGTGTCAGCCAGAACTTCATGACAACTTTTGGCAGAAGAGATTTGAAGAGAAAGGTGCGACTTACTGTCCACTCGGAATGCAAGACGGAAGTACAAAGTCTACTAGACCCTTGTTGTTGTAAAGCCTCGTAACTGCCCACTCGCCATTGGCATCCATACCATCCTCGTAGATCTTGAACCACTTGAGTCCCGTCACCGTGGTAGACAAAGCATCATCGACTTTGGCGAGATAAACCATAATGGGGCCTAGATGACCGGGGTCGATGGGATCTGACTTATCCGTCTCAGGTTTAGAATCAAGCGTGTGGTGCCACTCGGCAGTGAGCTTGTCTCCGGCTTTGACCTAGCATGTTGTAAGCCGAAGCCATGTGGCGTAGCTTGCTTATTGCGAAACCGACATACATTGATAATGTCTTTGGGAAGAGGCGTTCTGTAGGGGTTTATGCTGTATGTGGGTCAATATAGCGCTTGACCTTGCGCTTTGTTATGATTTACCCGCCATTACATATGACATCGTTAGACGTTACGTCTTGAATTGGTCTGAAAACCGAATGAGTTGCGATTCAGAACATGATTGTGGGGCACATTACCCGTCGTAGGTCTGTGTGTCGTGCTGTTAGGAGGCGATTAGTAGGAAAGTTGTTACGAGCATGCTCACCGGCACCCGGATTCCTTTGGTATGTCCTTGCCCCACGCCGTTGACGTGCAATTGAGTGAAGATCGTATGCGCCGATGCGCTAGCTGACAAGAAACAAGTGACCACAGAGACCTTCATAGTGTAAATCGTTACCCAAGATCATAATGCTGTTCACAACTACGACGGCGAATCTTCCTATATGGTATCATGGTGTACTGTTTTCTGAGTTGTCCAAATGGAACACGGAGCCATTGTCCAAAGTTGGTTGGGGACTCGGCTTCGGCACGTGTGCGACTGGCGATGGAGGCGTGTGACCAGGAGTCCTTTATTTCTCAATATACTTTGCCCGCTGCAATGCAGTTATGGAAAAGTGTGCATAGGACACGTGCTTTACGGATTTTCAATGCATAGAATCCTCGGCAGTTACCAAATAGGTAACGGGCGCCAACGTAGTCACGGATCGACTGTGTAACTTGAGCCGGCGGTTGGATGGAAGAACCGCAGTGTTAATTACAGGAGGAAGGATACGACCGAGGTATGCCGCGACATCATGGCAGATAGTCTTGGGATCTGTGAAGCGAAAGAAGAAAAGGCTAATATAATAGATTGTGTGTTACTGGTCTGGTCGAGTGTTTCAATTAATGAAACGTGCGCATCTTGTCGTTCTGCGAAGGAGGCTTGGAAGCCGTCCTTCATTTTGGGGCAGCCTCACGGAACATGCGCAAAGAAGCCGGTACCGAGAAGGCTGTGGCGGTTGCACGAGATCAGAGGCACTGACTTGTTAATATTCCCGAAGACTCTGGTGGTGCAGACGTTGTATTCGAAGAGGCTGATGCAAGGCGGAAGCGCGAAAGTGATGGTTTGTCACATCCGCCACTAGACGTTTGTGGGGAAAGCTGGACCCCGAACGGGTAAGGGGCGCATGGCTGACGGCGAGCAAGTCGCAATCCCGGCTTCTATCAATCTACATCAATCAATCCACCCATGCCGCCTGTAGTTTGTACATATTAACGACTAACCTTGAATCTCGGCCAGATCACCTTAGTTTCGAAACAACCAATGACGATGCTGCCCACGGTAATCACGCCCTCAGTTAGGCTCACCCTGGCCAGCGCGCGTCTCCCGTACCTGGTTGAAGGCGTAGTTCTGCCGCCTCCAGAAGGAAGTTCCCCAGGTAGTGGCTTGGCTATTGGTCTCAACCCCATACGCGACGGCTTTTGCGAAGCAGTCTAGGATAAAGTCGAGATGTATATAACGCGTCCACACCCTGGCATAGCTATAGAAGGCACAGCTTTCACTTGCCCTTGTCAAGCTCTCTCATCTTCGACGTGCTGGTAACAAGTCTCCAAGATGAAGACTACTTCTTTCGTTCGAGCGGCTTCGCTGCTATCCTCTCTTTTCGCTCCTGTCGCTCTTGCGCAGGAGAAGTTCACCCATGAAGGCACCGGGATTGAGTTCTGGCGCCAGGTAGTCAGTGACTCCCAGACAGCAGGTGGTTTTGAATGGGGTTGGGTATTGCCCGGAGAGCCCACAGGCGCCAACGACGAGTACATCGGTTACATCAAGGGGTCACTTGAAGCGAACAGGCAGGGATGGTCTGGTGTCAGTCACGCTGGCGGCATGCCCAACTCTCTTCTGCTCGTTGCATGGCCGGAGACTGATGCCGTCAAGACCAAGTTCGTCTGGGCAGGTGGTTATGTTGCTCCTGAAGACTACACCGGCAACGCGACTTTGAGCCAGATCTTCCACTCGGTCACCGACACACACTTCGAGATTGTGTACCGATGCGAGCACTGCTGGGTCTGGAACCAAGGCGGCGCTGAAGGCTCTCAACTTCCCACTACCGAAGTCAATGTCATCGGTTGGGCCCAGCACGACAAGATCTACGACGGCACATGGGTCTTCCACAACAAGGGACAGTCTCAGTTCGGTGCTCCCACGGCGGATGCAAGGAATGCGAAATACTCTGACTATGTCAAGCTGGTAGGTGGCCAGCCTTCTGGTGCACCCACGCCCACCCTATCGGGCCAGCCATCAGCCACCCCCACTCCAACTGCACCAGTCAAGTGCGTCGGATCTCCTGCTCCTTCAGGCTCATTCGACTACATCGTCATCGGTGGTGGTGCTGGAGGTATCCCCGTAGCGGACAAACTCTCTGAGTCTGGCAAGAGCGTCCTCATGCTCGAGAAGGGACCGCCATCTCTCGCTCGTTTTGGCGGAAAGATGGGTCCTGATTGGGCTACTAGCAACAACCTGACCCGTTTCGACATTCCCGGTCTCTGCAACCAGATCTGGGTTGACTCCGCAGGTGTTGCTTGCACTGATATTGACCAAATGGCTGGCTGTGTTCTTGGCGGAGGTTCTGCTGTCAACGCTGCGCTTTGGTGGAAGCCGGTCGACATCGATTTCGACTACCAATTCCCCACCGGCTGGAAGTCAGCTGATGTGAAGGGCGCGATCGACCGTGTGTTCAAGCGCATCCCTGGTACCGACACTCCTTCCGTCGACGGCAAGCGTTACAAGCAGGAAGGTTTTGATGTCCTGTCTGGTGCGCTTGGTGCAGACGGCTGGAAGAGCGTCGTTGCAAACAACCAACAGAACCAGAAGAACCGCACATACTCTCACTCTCCGTTTATGTACGACAACGGTCAGAGGCAGGGACCTCTCGGTACCTACATGGTCTCTGCGCTGGCGAGGAAGAACTTTAAGCTCTGGACAAACACCATGGCTCGACGAATCGTTCGCTCTGGCGGAGCAGCTACCGGTGTTGAGCTGGAGAGCGGTGTCGGTGGTACTGGTTACTGCGGTACCGTGAACCTCAACCCTGGAGGTCGTGTCATTGTTTCTGGTGGAGCTTTCGGATCCTCAAAGGTTCTCTTCCGCAGTGGCATTGGACCAAAGGATCAGTTGAACGTTGTGAAGAACAGCGCCCTCGATGGCTCGACGATGATCGGAGAGTCTGACTGGATCAACCTCCCCGTCGGCCAAAACCTGAACGACCACGTCAACACCGACCTTGTCATCAAGCACCCCAATATCTCTTTCTACGACTTTTACAAGGCGTGGGATGCCCCTATCGAGGCTGACAAGGACCTGTACCTTGGCAAGCGCTCTGGTATTCTTGCTCAGTCTGCTCCCAACATCGGCCCTCTTGCTTGGGAAGTCATCACTGGAAGTGATGGTATTGACCGATCGATCCAGTGGACTGCTCGCGTTGAAGGTCCCGGCGCCAACGACACTCACCACCTCACCATCAGCCAGTACCTTGGCCATGGCTCTACTTCGCGTGGTACGCTTTCAATCAACGGTGCTCTCAACGTCTATGTCAGCAAAGCACCCTACCTTCAGAACGAAGCCGACACCGGTGTGGTTGTTGCAGGTATCAAGAGCATGATGAAGGCCATCAAAAAGAACCCGGCAATCGAGTTTCAAGTACCTCCTGAGAACATGACGGTCGAGGCATACGTTGCCAGCCTTCCCAAAACCCCAGCTGCCCGTCGCGCCAATCACTGGATTGGTACCGCGAAGATCGGAACCGATAGCGGTCTCACCGGTGGAACCTCTGTCGTAGACTTGAACACCCAGGTGTACGGAACTCAGAACATCCACGTAGTTGATGCTTCTCTGTTCCCCGGGTAAGCTCTATCCTACCAATTTTCAACCATCTTCAAACTAACATAGCACAGCCACATCTTCACCAACCCTACATCCTACATCGTCGTCCTTGCAGAACATGCCGCTGCTAAGATTCTTGCACTTGGTGCAAGCAGTGGAGGTGGTAAGCCTTCGTCGTCCATGCAGTCATCTGCAGCCTCCGCTAAGCCCACCTCCTCGAAGGCGCCAATTAAGTCGTCAACTGTATCTGTGAAGCCGTCATCAACGGCGAAGCCAACTACTATCAAGACATCCACAGCACCAGCGCCTACTCCCACCAAGGTGGCTAACGCCTGGGAACAGTAAGTACTTGGAACACTACCATCTACAAAACGTTTACTAACATCTCATCAGATGTGGCGGTAAGGGCTACACAGGTCCAACATCTTGTGTCAGTGGATACAAGTGCGCGGTCAACAACGACTACTTCTCTCAGTGCATTCCCAATTAAGGGACGCGAAACTATTTCCTAGCCTCGTTTTGGGACACATTGCATCTGGGGCATATTCTTTGTACATACTTTAGCTTCAGTGTATATCACTCGCTCTTCCTGCATCTTCCGCTACTGAATACCTGCTCTGTGAAACGGCCAATTAACACGTGTAGCACTTATAGTGGCCGATGTGGCATAGCGCACGTCTTATCTTGCCCCACTTCAGTTGATCTTTCGCTATCGCCGTTCCATCTCAACTCAACACCTTTCTGCGCATTTTGATCTTTTCGCTGTCGTTGAACAAATTTGTGTAGCTTGGTCTGTATACATCTTGTGAAAACTTGTACATGCGCAATGTCGTCGAACTGCCCAGCCACCTCTGCCAAGCGCGATGACGCGTCGACAAACGTGACGGAATTGATCCATGGACGACTTCAAAGTAGCCCCAAAGAAGACTGGGATCGATTATTGAAGTGTTGGGGCTATGACGATTGCGGTGATTGTCACCGGAGTGAAGGTCATTGTGGCTGGTGTGCGATTGTACGTACGCATTTTGTTCATCTTCCTTTTAGCCATGAAGTCGTAGCAGGCTGTGAGCAGAACCGATCTCATTCATGACGTCGAATAATACTTCCATATCCTATGGTTCACTCTGTAGAGAACTTTACATGTCTAGAATGTTGCGAGACATTACTGAACTCTGGCAACAGTCGTCAACATGCCTTCCGCTGCCCACGGATTCCCTGTCAAAAGCGTTCCCTCTCCTCACACCCATCCGCTACGACTCGATATGTGCTCTACGCTCCGAGCGTTTCGAGCTCCGCACTTCTGGATTAGGCTGTCAAGTATCCACAATTACATTCTTGACGTCCATAGTGACGATTTTCTCTACTCTACTTGGTGTCTTGGTGCTATACGGTCTCGTAAAATGTATCAAGTTGGCTGGGCTAGGTACTAGGGGAAGCAGAGGCGGTCATGTGATATTTGAGGACGGTAGTGAAGATATCTGGGTGAGAAAGAGTGAGGGATGGGGGATGTGGTGGCGGCGAGTGAGCGGCAAACCGAAAGAGTTCGAGATTGAGGAGGTAGATGAATGGACAAGAAAGAGGGGGTTCTTATGGTGGAACACAAGGGATGCTGAGAGGAGACCGCTGCTCCAGTGATCATACAATACATTATCTTGTCAGGTGCAAGCTGTCTTGGTCGACATTAGCCGTCCAGTGACCTTTTTCCAGCTTTCCTATGCTCCGCGTGGACAATTGACATGTCTCTCTCACTTTACCGACGCGTTTGCTTCGCTGGATACGTCATAATACTGACTTATACGGAACCTCAACTCTCCCGTCTTTCACCCCTTATCTTCAGTTAGACTGACTTTACCTGCTCTCACCAGAATACGCGTCCAAGCTCTGGTGCGTCAAGGACATATAAACCATCTAGCTGCGGACTCGACCTACTCTCTCCACCGCAATCCTCCACAAATCCATCGGTTCCCCATTCTCAGACAACATACAACAACAACACATCTACAACAGTTCAAACTAGCAACGATGTCTCGATTCCACCAACGCGGACGTCCAGACTCGGTCGCTCCATGGGCTTCGAGCTCGTATAGCGAGAGTGACGGTGAAGATCATTCTAGTGAAGCTGCACTTACGCCACCGAGCTCCGATGAGCACTCATTGCCCTCAAAGATCGGTCGTCGCACTGTCGGCCAGATCGTTGAAGCGATCAACCTGTGCATTACATCCTTGGAAGCATTCACTCACGATGACCCAGCCTATGTTCAACTCAATGAGCTCCTCGGTCTCCTCAATAATGAGTACATGGAATCTGTGCACAAGGGCGACCACGAATCTGCCCGGAGTCACGGCCTCGTGGGTGACTTTCTTCAAGAGTGGTTCGATCACGACCAACAGGACCACGGTGAACACTATGACGGATCTCCAGAAGCCAGCGACAAAACTCGCAGGATCATGAGGTCTTGCGCGCCCACCGGAAGCATTGGTGGATCTTTCGTCAGTATTGCCTCGGAACTGGGCAATATCCGCTCCCCAGCTAAGAAACTCAACCAGGACGTAGGAGACATGTACGGTCAACACTCGGAGTCCCATGTGCCTCGCCTTCGTAACTCCGAGACTCAGTCTTCACCCTACACAGATGATGTTGTCCCTCTCCTGGTGGGAGACCACATCGCCCCCTCTACTGAACAGGATCGCGGTCAGGGCGCAGAGGGATTTGAGAAGAAGTGGAGCACTGTGAAAGCCAATACTGCAGACACGAAGTCAAATACTGCAAATACAGTCCGCTCTCCTCTCCGAATGGAGGAACGAGACTCTTACTGGCATTTGTTCAATGCTTACGCTGTGGAAGAGGCGAAAGATCGAGAGGCAGAACAGCGAGTTTCTCCTAAGCTCAAGAGTTTCGACGAGGTTCACCGCCAGCTGCGTGATCAGGACATGCTACCGCCCTACAAGTATGTCGCCGCTGCATCACCAGCTGATAACGCAACCGATAACAAGAAGCCGGCTGCTACTAAACTGTATCGTAATCAAGAACGCCTTGGTATGGTTCATGACAATCTCAGCAAATCCGACCCTAAGATCGTTCCCGTTATCGCTAAGTCAGGCCATCCTGCGAAAGCATCCGATGTCAAGACGGCCACTAGCTTTGCATCTCCCCACAATCCTACCGCACCGGATGATTCTATGGTCGATGAGTTTCTGGAGGTCGCCAACAACAGCTTCACCCGCGAAGAAGCATTTGAGATTCTCCGCATGTGTGGCGCGAATTTGGTTGCGGCTGTCTCCGTGTACCGTAACGCCATGGGTTCTGAACATCTTCGACAGATGCTGAGGGCTTGGCTCGCCCCGCTTGAGAACGCTGAATTCAGAACAGCGGCTCGGTTTTATACGGAGAACGTCGATAATCAAGGAAAGCCATGGGGTGTTTCGTCGGAGAAAGAAGTTGGCATCGAGGGAGATGAAAGCCAGCCTACTCCGTCACTTATGAACGTGAGGGAGGCATTTGCGTTCCTTGGTCTGGAAGCCTACAACTCTGTTGACTTTGACCTTTTACAGAAGATGTTCGAACATTATCTTCCCTGGGTGGAAGGCATCCCCGAAGAACGACAGCAGCTTCAACAGGCTTACGACACCGTTTTCCAGCACCAAAACGACAACGATTGCTGGAAGCTGTGTCCTGTTCCGCGGACTAAGGTGATGGACGAAGAGCTCATGAAATGGAAGAATGAAGACGCAAAGATTGATTGGGTTGCCATCGCCGACGCACTGGGCCTGACAGTTCCACAGTGTAGGGTCCGCTTCAAGGCCCTTAAGCCAGCGAAATCAAGTTCCAGCGAACCAAAGGAGCGCAAGGTCAAAGAACAACATCAGAAGGAAACAGTCAAGGCAACCTCCGTCCGCATAGCCACACCCGAGCTTGGAGTATGGGGTACTTGCTGCGCGGGAAACGAGAGCCCAGTTGATCATCATTACTGTCAGAAGTGTGGTATGGAGTACTGCGATGATTTCGGCCACGAATGTGAGGCAGACCGAGCCGCATTTGGTGGCGACCATCCTGCATGGGGTTCCGTTGCTACACCCACCGACACTCCAAAGCCTAAACCCCCCGTTCCTACTGCCTATACCGTTACCTACTGGGCCACCATCGAATCGGGTGATGAGAGGGTTCATATTCCCGTCGACAGCAGCAACGTCTCTGGTCTCGAGAAGTCCATCATCGAAGACAGTGCTGGGATGAAGAAGGTGTGGAAGTGGATTCAGGAGAAGAGTCTCAGTGATAAGGTCGGCCTGCAAGACGCTTTCGATCTGGCCAAAGACATGCACGGCAAAGACGAAGACAAGGAGCCGGTTATTGAAAAGCCCATGCCTGCCGAATATACCTCACGTGCTTGCAGTCGTAGCTCAGTTCGAGAGTGGGGCGTTCCAGAGACATTTCAGCCTGGTTTCGTCTAGAGCATTATATCTCCAGGCTCGAGTCTTACCACATCATGAAAGGTTTGCTTGCGATTTGCCTTCTGTTCTTGATTTCTCCTTTGTTCGGGGTCGCATATATGGATGAGCCCACAGTAAAAGGCCTTGGATATGCCGCATGATAAAAACTGTGCGATCCGCAAGTTCTGCTTTAGCATGTATAGCACGATGAGGTACTCTGATTAGTGGAATTAACGTGTATAATTATTTGTAAACATATCTGTCGGCATTCAGTGATGCATCATCTCCCGGTATCTTTACGCCTAGGTGAGCACCGGACCACTCACATAGAGCTCACGATGTTTCCAGAGAGTTGCCTGAGATGTATTGTAAATTACCGCCGGGTGCAGAGGCTGTATGCACTTAGGTGTTCATGATGCCGGCTAGCCCCACACTCTATCCGCATATTAAAGCCTATGCAGGTTCGTCCGCGATGAACGCACGCTGTGATTGGTATTGCATACTATTTTCAACGGCAGTTCAACCTTTCGAAAAGACTGTAAGTTCATAAAGTTCAAAGGGATGACATTAACAACACCCCTCACATAACCATTTCTACACTCTTGCTTCACTGCCAGAGACACCTCACACCATGCGCTCTTCAATCCTTCTCAGCGCATCATTGCTATTCCCTCTTGCCATGAGTGCATGCGAACGCGAATTTCTCGCTGCCTTCACATCACTTTATCTGAACGCGCAGACTGTCGGCAATTCATCCCTCCTCACCAACTATATGCTACAAAACTATACCTACTCCGAAAATTTTACTCCCGCCAATCTCTCAGCCCCAACATCCATCTTAAACAAACCGCTTAACAGCACCAATTCGCGCGTCTTTCTAGATCCGTATCTTTGCAGCGCCTTCACCGAGATCATTGTACCGGAGCCGAGCCATCCATATGTTCTTGGCGTGCGCATCGAGGGGAACGGGAAGTACGTAACGAAGATGGAGACTCTGGTTAGCGATGAGGGGGATTGGCTGTTTAATGCTACAAGTACAGCCTACTGGAGCAGCAAAGAAAGCTGGACGCCTATCCCGCTCGCAGACCGGGATACCCGCGATGTCATCAAAGCAGCTGGTGATGCGTATTTCAACCGCTTTGGCAACGTCAACATCACTGTTCCCTTTGGCACGCCGTGTGCCAGGCTCGAGGGAGGTGCGTACACCGACACTAATATGACAAATGGAGAAACATGTCATCTGGGTCTGCCGAGCAATGTGTATGTTCAGGATCGACGGTATGTGGTTGATGTAGAGATGGGTAGTGTCAACATCTATCTGGGCTTTCCAGGATTGGACAGGGCGAGCGAGACGCCGGCGCCGGATAGCCATACTTTCCGCGTTGAGAAGGGCAAAATCAGATATGTGCATACTATCTCAACATGCGAGCATCCGGGCTGTGGGTTGAATGGCACGTACATACCAATCGGTGGGGGCAAGAAGGGAGCGAGAGGTGTTGCTACTACTAGGCTTCGATCGATGAAACGTGGAATGTAAGAAGGCAACCATATCGGTTGAAAACCTGTTGATGTAGCTGCTATCCCCTAGTATGCTATTCTATACTCGTACCTTTAGATTCGGTCCCGTGATACTCCACCGTCCCACTACCAAAATACAGCTCCCCAGTAACACTGCAGTCCCAGCGAACACCTGCGCACTTAGATAGCCTCCTCCATTACTTTGTATCAGCGCGCCAGCGATTGGCGGCCCAATGAAAGTGCCCAGTCCGACGATCGCGAGGCCTTGACCATTTCTCGTGCCCACTTTGCTCATGTCCTTTGTCAGTGTAGTCATCGCAGCTGGGAAGATACCCTGGAAGCCCGCAACGAAGAAACCATAGCACACAGCCCAAGCGTAAAGGCTAGCCTCACTCTTGACCAGAGGCCAGAAGTATAGGACAAAAGCGGAAACGAAACAAAAGGGTATGAGAATATTGTATGGCCCAGTATATTTGTCGGCGAAGTATGAGGGCACGAGACGACCAAGGACACCCACACCGTTGAGCACCAAGAGAACATTGATTGAGGTACCGTATGGTAAGTCGAGAATATCGACTGCGAAGGAGGAGATGTAATAGAAGGCGAAGTACTGTCCGAGAGCAATGAGGAAGACTCCAATCAGGAACACGCTGTATGGCAGCTCTCCGAAAGCACTAAGTTCAAGAACCGGACCAGACTTCCTCGGAGGTAGTCTTGGTTTCAGCAGCGAGCAGTAACATGTCCCTATGGCCAACATCATGAAACCCATGACCCTGACTGTCCAGGGAAAGCCGATTCTAGGAAGAAGCTGTCGCGCGATGGTCGGATATACCAACCCACCGGTTGCGCTACCTGAAGCCATGATTGCCAGCGCCACACTCCGGTTCTTCGCAAAGTATGTGCTGACGAGTCCCAGGACGGGAGCAAACTGCATACCGTTCCCCAGTCCATTCATGACACCCTGCGCAAGGAAGAATTGCCAGTACTTTGTGCATAGACTGGTCATGAACATTCCTAGACATGAGACGAGCATGCCAGGTATGACAGACCAGTAGAAGTATCCTGCGTCAAACAACCGACCTGTCAACATGCCTAGCGAGAAATGTCCCAGCATTTGGAAGCTTCCGATCCAGGATACGGCTGATGGCTCAAGGCCTAGATCGAGCGTGTAGTGTTGTTGAAAGACTCCGAACGTGGCAATCATGCCCCATGTATTGAATATCACGAAGTGACCCATGAATGCCTGTATCCAAGCTTTGGTCCCTCCATCGGGCGGTGGTCCAGGATCGATGACGGACGCATTCGAACGAGCGGTAATGGTCTTTGCAAGCCCAACGACCGACTTCTTTGTACGAGAAGCGTGAGACACGTGTGTTGGTATTCTTGCAATCTCCTCCTCTTCATTTCGCGACGCCGTTCTTGAGGGTACTTTTATTGATGCGTACGATGCGTCATGGTTGCGTTCGGGGTGCGCTTGTCCGAACTCCGATGTTGTTGCTTTCTCGATATCGCGATTGGTATCCATGTTATTGTGGAAACAGATACTAGCAGCTGCGCAAATAGCGAGGAATACCGAGAGGCAGAGCTCCCAAGACGTGATGTGGCTGGTGAGTGGATATTCGAAAGAAACCCATCCTTCGGTGTTTTATCCGACGGTCAACCGTCTTTTCCACATATCATCCCCACTCGCCGGCCGCGGAAGCTAGTTGGGGTCCGATACTCCCTTTGGACTGGGTAATGAATCCATCTGCACGACGTGTGCCAGACATCCAATTGCGAAGCTTCCCCTAGGAAGATGGGGAAAGCTCATGGTCGCTTCCCCAAAATTCGGCGTTCTCACCGCATTGGTAATCTACACGCTAGGCCATGTTTGGAGTCGTGCTGTCGATCTTTAAACTAGCGCCCGTCGGCTCTCACAAAATGTTGCCGTACAACACCACAATCTACATCATGTTATTGGTAAGCTTCGTATTACATACCGTCAAAGTGCTGGTGCCTACTTTTTCGCAAGATATTCTAAGTTTTTTCATGCATCTAAGTATCTACTCAGTACTACTGGGCCTGTGTTCGCCTTGTTTGACCGCTTGACCTTCTCCTTGCGATATTGCCACTAGATAAGCAACTTTATCCGACATCATACGTACCCGGCTATCAAATCATGAGTCAATCTGCATACTTAGATGGAGAGTTCAATATAGGCTGAACAGACACAGTAGTAACAGTGATAGTAGTACCTGCGTATTGAATATTCGGAGTGAGAGGAACAAGTGTGTATAGAGAGGGCTTCGCTGTTTGAAAGATGCACCAGCGACGATTTGCGTCACCAACAGCGATATGAAGCTAGACACAAACTCCCGAAAGCGCACCGGTTTTGATGGATACGTTTTCATCCGCACTACCATCTTTACCTTCTCCTAAATAGGCCTTCATACTCCTCATTGGACAAAGATGAACACGTTTCAAGTAGAGTCATACGTCAACATCCTCGCATATCTATTATAAAACTCCAAGCATTTTGCGGAAGACAATGGTTACGTCCTGATGGATACCCCTTTTGGATCTTTCCTTGAAACCGACAACAAACGAGGTGGAGGACTGCGAGAAAAGAAGAGGGAAAATAGTCAGCAATCCACAGAGCATTTTGATATATCGATCGAAACGAGACAGTAGCATATGTTGGTCTTCAGAACATACGCCGCGTAGCAGTGCGATACATATGACTCTAATGGGATGGAATCTGATGATGTGCACCTCTCTAAACATGCTTCAGATTTCCCCACTCTATGCCTTCAAATGCTCCTCAAACAGCTTTTTCTGCTTCTCCCACTCCTTCCTAAGCTTCTTCACCCTTCCTTTCGCCACATCAGCGCCATCTTTATCCTTGGTTGGCATACCATCCTCATCCCACGCACTGTACTCCTCCGTCCTGAACATATCCTTCGGGTTGATCTTAGCTTGTTCCGCAAGCTTAGCCTTCTTCTCCGCCTCCTCACGTTCGCGCTTGAGCTTTGCTTCGGCCTTTTGACGAGCGATTTCCTCCTTCTGGGAGCGCGCTGCTTGCAGCTCGGCATCGACGGGGCGGACCATGGCAGGAGCGTTCTCGCGATCTTCAAGGTAGATACCAAGATCCCAGAGGTGCGTGTCACGCAGCTGGTCGCACAAGTCGAGGTAGTCCTTTGCCGGCGCTTGCTTCTTCGCCAAGTTTTGTAGGGATTCTTGGAAGGTTGAAAGTACCTCGGCGTATGGGAGTGCTTCGATGTCTTGCTGCTTTGCGGGGGTGTGCTGTTCGATAATGGAGTCCAACTTCTCATTAAGATCACCAGCGATGGCATGTTGCCGGACCTGATCGCGTTCTCGCGAGACAGCGTATACGTGCTCCTTGGCAGCAGCAGGAATATCGATGCCAGCCCAGCCAATACCGCCGTCCCATGGGTCGGCTGAACCGTCCAGACCGAATACCCGGACCATTCGAGTGATGTAGCGAGCGACGTCGAAGGACACGT